GCAAGCCTCTCTTCAGATAGAGCCGTACAATTCTGGTGGCTCTGACGACTTCCCCGTTTGGTTCGAATCCGAGCCTAGAGAAGTCCTGAGAGGTCTGTGGACGCCGCGCCGTCACGTAAGCCTACAGTGTGCTGGTGTGTGTAACCGCCACATTCAAGACCACAGCTTGCCCGTCAGAGAAGCCTACTTGTAAGTAGAGTCGTTTGATCGTGGCTGTGAGAACTATTCCGACTCGGTAAGTTGATTCGTCAGGAAATTGTGGCTGCGACGAGACTACTCTGGGGCCTTTCGCACCCAAAGTTGTCCTACTAGCTTCTCTGAAGCCACCCTCACCTGCCCTTGTCCTGGTGTAAGTTCAACGGCCACAGTCGTTACTACAGCTTGCGTTTCGAGAAAGCCTTTCTATAAGCAGAGTCACGAGTCGGGACCGTGGCTGAGACGGTTTATCATGGGCTTTTTGCGTTCTCGTAAGTTTCCAAGGAGCCTTTCAAAGCCACCCTCACCTGTTCGGACGAAGGTTTTTTTGACGCCACCTTTGCCTGCTCGACTTCGGTGTAGCTTCCAGACCAGTTATCACTACACTTTGCGCTCCAGTCAAGCCATCTTGTCAGTGGAGTCATCGAAACTCTGTGGCACTGACGTCATTTCGTCTGGGCATTTCTCGCGCCCACGCAACGCTGTAATAAGACTCCTCCGATGCCACTGTGATCCGTCCAGACACAACTGCGCTGGTGAGTAGACCGCCAGATCAAGCACAAGCTTCCGACTCAAGCAGGCCATCTGTAAGCAGAGTCGTTATATTGTGGCTGTACCGCCAACGTACGGGAACGTTTCGGTAAGTCAAGAGGCGTGTTGGCTTCCTCGCCCATCCGTAGTAGTTGCTAAGCGTTATTCTTCCGACGCCACAGTGACCTGCGAAGAGCTGTGCTGTTGTTCCGGAGTCGTACTACTCCATTTACCACCTAATGCAGGCATTCTTGTTTAGTAGAATTGTCAGATTGTGGTTATGACGACTTTTCCGTCTGAGTCTTTCCGCGCCCACGTGTATCTTAGGACGTCAACTGCCCCTGGTACTCCGTTCTTGTGCTGGTATTAAAGGCCAGAATCCAACCTGCTTCTACAGAATACTTTTCTGTACGGAGAGCCGTCCAAGTTCGGCCCAGTGGCTCAGCGGCTGTGACGACTCTTCCGTTTGGGCATATCGGCGCCCACACTTCGTTATCGAGGTCTTCCGAAGCCACCTGATTTGCCCAAACACAACTGTCTGCTGATTTGTACCGCCAGAATGAAAACCATTGCCAGGCTTGCATGTCAGGCGGGCAGAGTCTGGGTGAAGTCGTCAAACCGTGGCTCTGACACCTGTTCTCTGGGCTGTCCCGCGAGTTGCTTCGAGATTCCTTCTGATGCCAACCGGTTCTCGCCCGTCTGCTCACTTTAATCGCAAAATACAAAGTTACATCTTGCAGTTCAGGCACCTTTCTAGCGTGTTGAATTGTCATGTCGTGGTGGTGACGAAGGCAATCCCGTCGGGGCTTTCTGGGCCCCATAGTCTCCTTACGGCTTCCGCCGATGCCACCGTTACCCGCCCACGTTACATATTTAACCGCCCAAGAGCACTACAGCTTGCAAGTCAGATACAGTACTCTTGGTTCGACAACGGTTTTTCCCGGTGATGCGCTGCGCTGCGGGTTGAAGCCACGCACCTCCATTCTCAAGGCTTGCTTCAGAGGCTTCATTCCGGATCTTTAAGCCGGAACGTTTTTTGAAATTTGATCTTCCTGTCGTGTGCGCTCTCTCTTTGTCAGTTAGAACTTATATTCAGCTCCCATGCGTTTCTAAGTTCCTTCGTTCAACGCTGGCATAAGCAGGCAAGCAATAACATGACGTCGTGGCATGACAACTTTGATCTCGTGAAATCCGAGCTCGTCATCTGCTTGAAACCTCGGGCAGAATGTCTTTCCTCTTGCCCTTGCGGCTTGCGGCTGCCTTTCTTTGTGTGTTCGAAGAAGTGGGTTTGAGAGGAAATGTAGATAAGTGGCAAGAAGCGTCGTCAGAAACCCTGCTGATCATGCGGCCCAGTGAGCTTGGCCTCGAATCGCTGATTTGAAACTGTGGCCGACGTCGACCTATGACCTGGCCGTTCTGATTTTGCGCCACAGGCGGGCAATCTCTCTTTTCTGAGGCCACCGCTTATGCAAAGTCATCCGTATATAGTCTCCACCCCAATGACTTGCACGCCCTATATGCGATGGAATTCAAGTACAGTACTCCCGTACACGCCGGGTCTGTACGGATCAAGGTCTCTCGTTTGGATATATAAACTCCGTTGCATTTTCTTGCAGAGGCTTTGTCGACCCTGCAGGCATATTCAGCCCCGACTTCTCTTGAGTTATGCTCCTTAAAGCTCAAGTTGGAAGTCACTGCATCCCGCATTGGGGCGCAAGCTGTATTCGCTAGCTTAGTAATAGGCAATTTAATTGGTGCAAAAAAGTTTCCTCTACAGGGTTGCAATTGAGCCCTCACATCAAGATCATCCCGGTTGTTTTTGCATATTATAATGGCCATGAAAATGTCTCGTGTGGCCTAATGGCCAGCAAGGACATTGATGGTGGCAATCTGACGCCAGGAACACGAACCTTGTGACTCCTCCACTTTTGGGCAGTATTTCACAAGACTCGAACTTCTCGCCTGTTGTCCTCCGCCAGCTTGATCAAGATCCTGGTTTTGTATCTGACTGGTCGGATGCGACTCGTTTCGTGCGGGGTAACGCTGGATTCTCGCAGAGACGCTTCGCGAGCCCAATTTCTGTTCTACTGCCTGCGATGACTTGATCTTGATCCCAATGTGGCTACGAAGAAACTTTCTGGCCATGGCCATATCGCCAAAGTCAGACGTTGTGACTCAGCTGACGCCACAAATCAAGCTCTACATTCCCGCTCAATTGTACATTGGTTGACGTCTTTGAGAACCTCCTTTTTCAAGTCGTGCCACGACGTCCTCGTATTGAGTTCGGCCTACATAGGCTGTCTTGACTGGCCAATGCACACAAGTTTTCTGGCACGTTTGCGATAAGCTGTCAATTGAACATCAGGAACGTGCCCGATTACTTCGCGTCATTTTTGTATTTTTTTTCTGAGAAAGTCTAGCTCTTCGGGAGTTCGTACTCTTGGTTTCAGCTAATGTAACCCGTCTTTGGTCCGTTCAATACCCCGTCATACAAGTCCATTGATTCACCCCTTTCAAAATTTCCATGATGATCCGAAGATTGGCCCACTAATTTCAACTTTGCAGCGATACCTTAATTTAGCGCATGAGCGGCGCGGTCAATCTTTGCAACGCGCGTGCGCCCGTAGAATCGCCCCGTTGCGGCCGATTCAGGGGCGCCTGAGTGCCGTAGCAAGGAGCATTCAACGGGCAGTCGATCCAGATTTTCAGACTTAGCCGACTGCCTATCATTTGCAATCGACTTGAAGGAGTAGGGGCAAAGTTCAGAAGAGAAGAACCAAATGCCATAAATGATTGGACTGCGGACTGCGGACTGCGGACTGCGGACTGTGGAGCTGATAGTTTCGCTCTTATATAACAAAAGGGCACCTCCCCGCTCTTTCAGTTTCAGTCTGCTTCATCCCTTTCATCCCGCTGAAATGCACGTGCCGCTGGTCAGGGACACTCGACCCCCCACTGTAAGAAGTTTCACCTTATGCCAGTCTCCCTTGCTCCATACTGTCAGGAACGAACTTGAAGAGCGTGCCAGTTGGGCTCCGCGCTGTGTAGTCCGTAAGCAATTTGCTCCGGAACACTTTCTAATTATAAGCGGACGCAGCGATTGCGCCGCCTATTGTGCCTCGGGTCCAAACTCTTGTTACCGCAATGTGTTCTTACAATTAATCTTTTAGTAGGCCACAGTTGAAGTGCCACGAATGGAACAACTTATCAAACAATCGTAAGATTTTTTACAACAGAAGGTTGTCGGGCTTGAACTGCTCGGACAAGAAATGGATTGTACAGGACTGGCAATGACGAGATGCTCTAAGAAATGACTGTTTAAGTCAGTGCTCACCAGGCGAACGAACGTGTGAGGTCAATCGCCTTTATTGAATCTGCACAGTAGGTCAAGCGCGACCGTCATTCCCAATTTTCCGGCTTGTTTGCGGGCCCCGGCTTGTTTGCGGGCCATTTGCGGGCCGCCATGAATTCAAGTACGTCGAAATGTCCCGCCCTTCTGCCCGCGCGTGCTCTCTAGCATCTTTCGGCGAATCAACTCCGCCGCTTCTAGCTAGTGGGAAATCGCTTTTGAGCGTTTGCCTTTCCCCCCTGCACCCCCTGCGTTTTTCTCCACTATTCCTCCTGTTGAACCATCCGGCCGGCCCCTTAAGCTCTGGATTTTGAGTGCGGAACCCTTCGATCCTCGCCCGAGCTCCTGAAATTCGCTTTTCAAGCTTGCTGGTCTGGACTCGTCAACCTCGTCAAGATCATCGTTAATCACTTGGGCTGTTAATGATTGAGATATTTGGATATTTGGACCCATCGTATCGTAGTGATCATTATGAGCGTGTCAAAGGCACTTCCAATGGGCACTTCTAAATTCAAAATGTTCATGCTGTTGGGCATTTCGGTCTTGGACAAGGTTTCCTTCCGCGAAATTTTCTCCTAGATTTTTGAACGGGCGCTCGCAAGCGTAAACACTGCAGAGCCGTCACGGTCACGATCCCGGGCCGCCTGACTCAGGCCGTACGGTCGCACGCGGGGCCGCGACCGTCCGCGGCGGCTGGTGTGCGACCGTCCGACAGCAGGCCCGCGCGGCCGCCCGGGCGGCCGCGCCGGGCTTCTGGCCCGCCGCGACCATGGCCGCGCTGCCGCCATGCCACAATCGACGGCTAGATTTGTGTTCACGTGGCACTCTGGACGTCTAGGGGCCGTCGATAAGGACGACGCAAAGACGGCGGCAGCTAAGGGATCCCTGTACCCGGAACGTAAATTCAATCTCAAGCAGCTGCAAGCTTGCAACTGAGCTGTTTATTTAGCTGGTAAATATTGTTCGAAGCTGCATGATCGAAAGCGGCAACATCTCAAAAGTCAACGGGCTCAGGATTTGCCTCGCATTCTTTTCAAGCTGAGAGCAGCTGGTGAAGCTGGTCCTGCAATGGTGAAGACTGCAAGATGCAATCCATACCTGACATTGTCATAATTTCCCGCATACATCGGGCAACTTGTAGCTAAGTAGCTTATGCCTCAATCTGCACACCAGGGTGCTTCTGAGCTTCTTGCTTGGTATCAAGTGGGCCAACTTGTCATTTGTAGTCACAAGAACGACCTTCAGCATTCAGCAAATTAAAGCGAGCTCACCAGCGGTGCGCAGTGCCGCTTCAATTGTCCATGGCTGCTTCCATGGCGCTAACCAAGCCCCTCCTGTACTTCTTTCCTCCATCATATGCCACAATGAAGGTGAGAAGGCCAGAACCCACTTTTATTTAATTCCAGGAAATGATCTGCTCTCAAATCCAGATGTCTCACATTGTTCTGTTTTGCAGCTTATGGGATGATCATACTGTACCACAAAGCGCCAGAAAACGACATAATATTCTCTTTCTGCAGGCATTGGGCTTTTACCTCAAGGCTTGTGATAGGCGGGCCGCACGCCTCGTGATGGCTAGACAAGCTCTGGAATCTGCAATTTTGCCCTTTTCTTTTCTTCTGCTTCAGATCTCTGTCAGCGCAACAACGTTGATCAAGAAACTCTTGGATCTGCATCGCAGAGTTGCTTGTCGCAACGTGCTCAACCAATACTTGTTGCTTTCTTCTTACAGGCACGAGTTCTGATGGAGGAGAAGGGTATCGAGTACGACTTGGAGCTCGTTCACACCTTCCTGTGTGAAAACCTGCAGCGCAGTTACGTGCAGAAAGTGAACCCTAAGGGCACTGTACCTGCTCTTGCCCTCCCCAATGGGACTATCCTTACGGAGTCTCTGGAGATTATGAAGTGAGCCTAGCACCATGCTCTCTAACAATGTCTTGGCGGTTGACAGGAGCAGAATGGGTGACTGTGGAATTCTGTCTGGAAGAGCAGAGAAAAGAGGGATTTACATTATCGTTTGCGAAAGTGGAACTGACCTTGTACCGAAGCTATGAAGAGTTCTGAATTTGGGATTGCATCTATGATCATATTGTCAGGTTTGGGCAAAGACCATGTTCCTCACACAGGAGATACACCTTCGACTATGCATTTGGTAGTCCCTGGATTCGTTGTGAAGTAGGTTGGACAAATGCATACCAAGCCCCTCCGATCTTTGCAGCTCTTACTAAGCTCTTTGACTTAAGCTTACTTCATTTATTAGCTGTCCAAAAAAAAGAATTGGCAGACACCCATCCAGTACCCTTACCAAGTCAGCCCAATTGGTTCAATTTAGGGTCGGGCTTACTCCGGACTGCAAATGCAGGTTTGGGTCCAAAAACAGGGTTTTGCTAACCCGTCTCCAGGTGGGCAGACAACCACGATAACGCACCCCTCGGTGGCTCGTCGGTTGACAGAACAAAGGTCGACTTTTGGCTGGACGCTATGGATAAGTTTGACGGGAACTACTTTATATGGGCGCTTTGTCCCCCTCCGCTAGGGCCCATCCTGCACGACCAGCTGATCTTCAAGAAGGCCTTTGTGGGTGAGATTCAAGCAGAGTGACGGTTGAAAGAAAATGGCAAAGATTTGAGCTTGACAGAACCCAAGTGCTTTTGACGAACTATGTGGAGCCAGAATTAGCACAAGGGTCCACAATTGATTCAGGGGTATCGAAGTATTGAGAGACTCAGATTGCCTTGCATCTTTTGGATTCGCTTCTGCTTCAAGTCCCTCCGTTGTCCACCATATGGCTCTCTCACTGCCATCTTTTTGCGCAGCTAGAGTACATGGTGGTAAGTTGATCATTCTTGCAAAGTTGGGAAGACAAAGAGATTTTGCTTGTGAGCAGCCCGTCTATAGAACTCACAGTGGATCCCCTGTATTGTCCATTCTTCGCTCTGATTCATCTTGTCTGCCCTGGCCCCTACTTGCTAAACGGCAGGAGCAACCTGTCGCTCCTTACGGCTGTTTTGCTCAATCTGCGGCTCTGATTGCGCCACGTGGCACCCTCATCTGCAGAGCAACACGCAAAGTTCGTGGCCGAGCTGGCCCAATTCTACACCGAGAAGGCGAACTGGACTGCACAGGAGATCGAGAAATTGAAGGACGAGGACGCGAAGAATTCAATCAAAGACGAGGTGGGAGTCGCATTTTTCCCTCCTTTTATGAAAGAAAACCTGAAAGATTATGGAAAGAAAGACTTATCGAGGGGGCGCCTCTTATTTCTCTGTTTGTTCTCCCTCTGTGCACACAATACTTCTTCTTTCATCCGGATCAGTGGGATTAGCGCCTCTCCTTTCATTCCACGCCCCCCCGAAAGTGGTGCCGCCCTTATTACTTCGCTGGCCCCCTTTGAATCGAACTCTCCGGTCCTCTTGCAATGATCATATGCACCAGGTTTATGCGGGTCAATGGTTGTGCCGTGAAAGGTCTGGCTGATCATTGTCGTTTGGGCGCGTCGAAGCGCGCGACATGCACCTTCCAGAATTTCCAGATCCGCGTACCTTCCCACGGCCTCTTATCGGGGTGCCATGATGTAGAGCGGGGTGAGATCTGCTCAAGCTCGGAATAATCAATGATACGATGCAGCTTGTCCCTTCTCTTCACTTCACAATCCTACCAAGAATATTTCAAAATAAGTCGTCTTTTTTGTGGTTTCTTTACAGGTACGTCGGCTGGTGCAGACTGCGGAGAAGCAGCTCGCCTCCACCGAATTCGTAGCTGGGGAAGCTGTCTCAGCTGCAGATGCAATGGTAAGGAAACCATGTGGTGACGTGGAATTGTTGACCCGCGTTTGCAACTTCACCAGGGTTTCTGATTGGGTAGCCTTTTCCGTTATGGGGATCGGAACATGAATCCTTGAAGATCGAAAGTGCAGATTTTGCAGTTTCAAAGCCCTTGTCTGCAGAGTCATTCCGGGCAGGTAGTTGGAGTTCTCATAGGCTTTTCATGCCGTTTTTGCGTAGAACTCTTGCAAAATGGACGCTTGTGCCGCTCACAGGTATTCCCTACTCTTTCGCGCCGTGTCTTTTCTCAGCTACCACGATGGGCAAGTATGGGCTCAGCCGTACTTCCTGTAGCGTGTTGAGCAGGGATGTACGCTGACCTTGGCGTTCTCAATCAGTGCCCCACGCCTTTCGCCCGCGCTCATTCACACTGTTCTTTCGCTTCCCAAAGCTCTGCATTACGATTTCGGCGGCTCTTCGAGTACCGCGGCGGTTTGGGGAATCTGTTTATTCACATAGTTGTGCGTTGCGCAGTTCGCTACGCTCCTCAATCGGGTCGAGATGGCGCAGCTTGGGCCGGAACTACTCGCGGACGCGCCCAAAGTACAGGTACGGCAGCGAGTTCCGTCTTTCAGTCTGCTTCCTCTTCCATTCTGACGATCATATCGCGTGGAAACAAGCATTGAAGTCGCCACGAGTTGAAGTCGCCGGGAGTTTGTGTAAGGCAGCCATGTCATTGGTTCCAGTCCAACTTGTGCCACCTCCGGAATCTGCTCGGAGAGGGCGCTCTTGCGGGAATCTGAACCCTTCAACAGCTCATGTGAAGAAGCTGCTGGAAGGTCATCTTGATATAATGTGTTTCCTTTCTGGGCAACTGGCTAGGAGACGGCTCTCCACTCGGGAATTATCCCGGACTTTGCTTGCCGTCCAGGTGGGACAGCTACCTAGGTTGGCTACCGTTCCACCTTCGTTCTAGAAGTCTGCCCAGAGGCCGCTCTCTTTGGTAGTGGTCAGACTCAAACCCACCGAAGATAAGTCGAAAACACGGGTCAGGTTGCCTCCCATTTACATCCCTCACACATTTACATCCAGCTCGTTATCTGGGGGACGGAAAAATCGTCTTCAGTGCGACATGGATTTTCGGCCGGGGTACGTCGCATCTGGATAAGGGATGCGTTCTATTCGCTTTTCTTGTCCTTGACGAAGCTCTAAAAACACGCGAGTTCCTCAGCCGGCCATGTCTAATAGATACTTAGAGCAACTAGACTAGAACAGTTTTGCTGGCTCTGCCTGACTGGACACGTTTCTGCAGGAGTACTGGGAGAAGTTCAAGGCCCGGAAGAGTTACCTCGCGTCTGTCCCAGCAAGCTTGTGATGGAAGGACGGCTTTAAAATGCTTATGGGAGCTGTTCAAAGTAGCGTGGGTCGAAATTGTAAGGGCTCGAATTAAAACCCATAAGAAACCGTGCGCGGTCAAAAGATTGATTACCTACGTACTGAAACTTGTATACTCCGAAGACGTGTTGTGTTGGTAGTTTGATTGTAGTTGACGTGCGAGCTCGTATAAAGATCCAGTAGAAATTGTTTCTCGTTCAGTGGTTTTGCACGGTAATCCTCAGAAAGCTGAAATCGGAACGCTAGCGAGCGAAGTGAAGTACAGGCAGTGAACTTGATGCCAAGGAAGTCCTCCAGAATACATATTGTAACTGAGTGGAGTGCTGAATTGGAGCACGTGGAGGTTGCCCTAAGTTCGGTAGGTGTAGTTTATATTGTATAATACCTGTTCTTAAAGGTGCTGAGGGATATATTGGAGACGGCCCTCTATTGGAGGGGGCGCTCAGCTCTTCGTGACACATTACCTAGTTCGTTGGATACCAACTTCCCTGCACTTCATTGTACTAAGGATATGAAATCCGCATTAAGCTGCCACCGTCCAACTTATAAGTCAAAAGCAGCACTAATTCAAAGCTTGCAATCTTGAGATGGTATCCCTTGCACGACAGGAGGAGTGGCAGATCGAGCGTCCTCCTGGGACATTGCATCCTCGCAAGGGGCTTATTGAAATGATGTTTCTCACGGATGCTAACCGTCGAACCGGTTTACTAAGATCTTGGATGTATTAATACGCAACGCCGTCCGCCCATGAGCAACCGTTGTGATCGACTCACTGATCGGACAGGCTCGTGTTCGAGCAGCAAAGCGAATGCAACCTCTTGCATAAAGAGTGAGTTTGTTCCAACTTCAAATTGCATGAAGGCTCGATTCGCCCAAGTTGTGCAGTGCAGTGCCCTGCACTCGAAACATGACGAAGACGGTAAACTGTTTCGGGTTCGACGCCGGAAGCTATTGATAGGATTCCTATCTTCGAGCTAAAAACCACAACTACGCGCAGTATCATGGCATGCTACTAGAACTGCACGTACGTGTCGATTCATCACGGCGTAGCTGATGCAATGTTCGTGAGAGGGACTGTCTCCCTGATCTGTTCCCTCCGTTACAAAATGAAGAAATGGGTTGGCCAAGATTGAAAGGAAGAAAGCGTACCCTAAATTACAGAAAATAGTTGTACTGATGCTTCCAGAATTGCTGTCGGAAGACACCTGCCCGTCTCACCGTTACTCTAAGCGTTTGAAATTCAGTCCCTAGCACAGTTCGGTATCCAAGCTTCCGCGTCCGTTTGTGCTATTTGGAGGCCATACTGCTGAAGTACTCCTCTTAAGACCTGCATCACTCAGGTTCGGCTCTCTATTTCAGGCATCTCTGACATCAATCTTCTGTGTAGCACTTATAAGGGCAGCCCTCCACTTTTATGTTTGCCTCTGCACTCATCTCGTGCATGTTTTCTACGTCCAAAGTCGACCAATTGGCCTGGAAGATATACCACCCGGGGCGCAGCTGATCCTTCCCATAAGCCGCCGGCGCCGCGGCCCTTATGAGCTTCTTCAGCGTCTTCATATCCTCCGGGTTATATTCCTTAACCCACTTCTCAGCGTCACGGCTTACCTCCGACCATTCCACGCGCCCTTCCTTGATCTCTTGTGGTTCTAGCACGTAACCCATTCTTTTGATATGCCCTGGGAGGTGAAGGATCCGCATCCCCTGACTGTGGTCCACCAACTCTTTCTTTAGGAAACCGTCTAGTATACCAGGGTTAGCCTTGACCAGGTCGCTGCTGACGAGGCGCGTGTGGGAAGCTTGGCTGAGCAGGCGGCCGTAGAAAAGGGCGCACCAGTTGTAGATACCCATGGTCGGTGATATCGGTGCAAGAATTGCTGAAAAAGGTAGGCTTTGTTACTCCCAGACGAGGATTCACCCTTCCCTCAAGCTTTCTCAGCAAGTTACAATTATTTAGCTGAGTCTCCAGATTGTCTTCGTACAGACTTGGCCCGCGAACTGCTTTGGACCCGCCCGGCCTTCGGGCTTCTGCTGACGAAACTAAAATCGAAAGAGAATATTCCTAGCTGGAAAAGCTGCCTGAACAAACACCCGAACAGGCTTCAGAAATGTTCTGGGTTAGTACGCGCCCACGGCGGGCCGCCTGCCGGCACAGCTGCGCGGCCGCCCACCGTCCGTGCAGTCGGTCCGTACTAAACCCCAGCACCTAGCTTTCATTGACCCGCGGCGCGCGGCCGCGCCCGCGCCGCACAAAGGATTGAACACGCTTATGGCAAACCCGTCCGTTGCCGCCGCAAGGCTCGGCTGGCGTCCTTATGAGGCAGAAACAGTGGCCGCGCAGTGGCGAAGCATCTGTACAGAACTTGTGTTTCGTTGTGTCCGGCTTGCCGACTCGCACATATGCCCCACAATAACTACATTCAATCGCTGGAACGCATACGCTTGTTCTCGGAAGTGTTTCTCGCGGCACTTGACAAATACGGGATATGGTCTCCTGTGCGACATGGATTCTCGACGTCTGGAAAAGCCGTACGTTCAACTCGCTTTTACTGTTCCTGACGAAGCTCTAGAAGGGCGCTGGAATCACAGGAGTCCCCAGCCGGCCATGTCTAAGATCACTTGGGGGAGCAACATAGATTGAAAGGCGTGCTGGCTTTGCCTGACTGGAAACATTTTTGCAGGAGACTGGGAGAAGTTGAAGGCCCGGAAGAGCTATCTTGCGGAGGTTCCAGCAAGCGTGTACGTGATGGAAGGACGGTGATAGAATGGTTATTGGACCTGTCCCAAATTAAAGTAGCGTGTCGACTTGGATCGAAACTGTGCAGGCTCAAAAGTCTCCAAGGGACCCATATATGCGCATTCGAAAGAATCGTTACTGAAGTGAAGTGGACTGAACGTGTGCCCTTGGTAGGTAATGAGCGAGCTCGGATAGAGATCCAATGAATACTGTTCTTGAGCAAGCTTGGCTCGCTGACTTCACACGGTAGCCCACGTCGCAACTGTTGTAGATCAGAAAGCTTTAGCGACCGAAGTGCCATGACGTGCGATACAGGCAGTGAAGCTGATGCTTATTAAGGGAGGCCTACAGAATACACCATGTCAAGTTGGAGCACGTGGAAGCGCCTCAGGAGATACATATTGGTGCTGAGGAACATATAGGAGGCGACCCGTTTTTATCTCAACGTCACCGTAGGATATCTGGATTCCACACTACGTTAGCTGCTGCCAAACGCTGCATTCCCTGATATGGTATCCCTAGAACGAGAGTAAGGGATTGGCGAATCGAGCGTCTTCCCTGGCCAATCACTCAAGCGGCTTATGGAAATATTTTCACTAATGCTAAGATGTTACCAAGGTTCTTGAATGTACACGCAACGCCGTCCGCCCATGCGACGGACTCGACTCAGTGACAGGTGTCTTCGAGCAGGGCTAGCAAGAATGCCCTTTTGCATGAAATGCTAATTCGATCCAACGTGCATGAAGGTTCCCTCGATCGTCCAAGACGTGCAGTGCCAATTACGACATGACTGAGACGAGATTAGACGGTTTCGAATCCTACTCCGGAAAGAATCTTATACATCTCGCGAGAATCAACCATAATTGATGCGCACCATCATGACATGTGCCACTAGAGCTGCACGTACGTGTCGATACATTGCCGCCTAGCTGATGCAATGTGATCTCGTGAAAGGCCTCTCTTGTTCTCTCTCCCTGATCTAGATATGGTTCTTTCCGATCCAGAATCAATTATAGGATAGTTTATAAGGCAAGAGCAGACGTACCATGGTTTACGGGGGAAAGAAGGAAACGTTGAACTACCAAAATACTGGTCGATGTTACTTGTACGAGTTCTAGGACTGCTGCGCGGCTCCTTCCTTTCTCCTACAGACGTTTGAGCTTCCAATCCCCAAGCAAGGCCGGCATCCACTTTTTCGTCCCTTTGTGCTATTTAAAAGCCATACTGCCAAAGCAGCCCTCGTAAGACCTGCATCACTGAGGTTCGGCACTCTATTGTAGGCACTTCTGACATCCAAAATCTGTATAGAACTCATAAGGGCAGCCCTCCACCTTGATGTTTCCTTCTGCAGACAGCTTACTCTCAAAGTCCAAAGTCCCTGACGTGGCCTGGAAAACATACCACCCGGGGCGCAGCTGATCCTCCCCATAAGCCGCCGGCGCCGCAGCCCTTATGAGCTTCTTCAGTGTCTTCATATCCTCCGGGTTATATCCCTGAACGCACTTCTCCGCATCACGGCTTACGTCCGACCATTTCACTCGCCCTTCTTTTAATTCGTATGGTAATAGGTAGAGATTGATGTTGTCGTTAAAATGCCCTGGCAGGTGAAGGATCCGCATCCCCTGACTGTGACCCACTACATCTTTTCTCAGGAACCGGTCTAAAATGCCAGGGTTAGCCTTAACCAGGTTGCTGCTGACGAGGCGCGTGTGGGAAGCTTGGCTGAGCAGGCGGCCGTAGAACAGGGCGCACCAGTTGTAAAAACCCATGGTCGATGTTATCGTTCCAAGAACCGCTGAATAGTGGTGTTGTTCCTTACACAAGAGGCAAGCCACGCCCTCAAGCTCTTTCTGCCCTTAGCAGTCTCCAGATTGTATTTATGTTGAGCTGGCCTGCGAACTTCTTTTGACCGCGACCTCCCTCTTGTTGACGAAGTGAAAGCGAAAGAGAACAAATCTAGCTTGGAAAGCTGCCTGAACAAGCACGCACTAAATATGAGTGGGCTTCAGAACCATTCTGAGTAGTACGCGCCCGCCGGCGCCGCCAACCGTCCGTGCAGTCCGTCACGTGCTGGGGTTTAGTATAAACCTCAGCACGTGGCTTTCTTTGGACCGCGGCGGCCGCGCTCGCGCCGCACGACGGATAATTAATGTTGCCGCCGGCAGGCTCCGCTGGCGTCCTTATCGGAGGCCGCAGAAGCATTGGCCGTGCACTGAGTGGCAACGCATCTTCTACAGAAGTTGTGTCGCGTTGTGTCCCGCTTGCAGACTCGCAAATATGCTCCACTAGATCTGCAGATGGCTCGAACGCATGCGCGCTCGCGCCCGCGAGTTCGACTAGGTCCTAGACCTGTTCTCGGAAGTGCTCCTTGCGGCAGCTGAGAAGCCTGGGGGAGGAGTCAGGAGGAGCCGTTCTGCCTTTCCTGGATACCGTATGCCTTACTGCTCCTGATGAAAAAACGACCGTGTGAATTTGATAAGTGGCATTCAAGAACATCTGCCCACCCAGCTCTGCCTATACATGTGCCCTCGAACGTACCGTGGGATCTGAATGACTGATCTGATTTCCCTTGTACAATCGTGGTGATTTTCTGTGAGCACTGTCATGTGCTGACAGATTGACCTGAAGTTGTGCAAGTACCGAGGGGCCCCCAACGCGCTGGTCGTCATGCTGCGAGCTCTACAGTGTCTGATCGTGGATTATGGGCGGCTTCGACAAGAGAAGCTCAAGCAAGTTCCTTCGACGTGGCATTGCCAGCAGCTAAATACGCGCTTTGCTCGAGTACTCCAGTACTCCATATATGGTTACCAGCATCTAGGGCGAGACCAGTCCGGAACGACAGCACTGAAATCGTAGAATCTATGCCCCAACCCCTTGTGCTCGAAGCACAAGTTCCTGAAACACAGGTGGCACGGATGTACTGTAATGCCCGTTGAAGGACTCGAGTAAAGGATGATCGTGACGTACGTAGCTAGGCATTTTGGGTAAGGCCAAATTCCGAGACTTTCTCATGCTAACCAACTAAGGCCTCGCCTCGAGAAGTTGGCTGAATCCGTTGCGGCAACGTCTGCCTGCATCCCTGCTTTAGATTGCGGGGAGATAACGGAAGGCGAATAGGTGAATTGAGGTTTGATTGGCACATCCCTCCGAAGGACTTACACATTCGCCGCTCTTAAGCTTCTGCAAGCTATTGCCTAAAAGATAAGCTGGTCGAATATTTCGTGAAGATAAGCACGGCGCCACTTCAACACCAAGTCTCCAACTATGAAGTAAGCGTACCTGGTCCATGGTGCCTGTCAACTTGACATTGATGTAACAAGTCACATGCTCCCGACCAGCACAACGGGCTAACACCCAGACGGCAAACGAACGCCCACTTGAGACGAGTCTTGCATTTTAAATGGGGAAATTCCGCTTTGCTTCCATTGGAAGCGCTCGGTGAGCACAGATGCAACCTCTTTCGCTTAAAAGGAAACTAGAAGGAATTGTGCGGTTTTTGTTTCGTTCTCATACATCGGGGAACATGCACAGTAAGGTACCGTTCAGCCATACGAATTCGAAGCACTCTTGGACCGAGGCAGAAAGACTCGCGGTCCTTTCTACGCCTTTCTACTCCATATTTATCAACTTCCTGTGCCAGGTTCAAAAGGATTCTTACAACTAGGCTTATATCTCCCCTCGAAAGGCGCACCTGAAGCTGCCTATATCCATTCAAGCAACTGGTTATGTTTTGATCTGGTTACACTTGTGATCCGAACAATAGAACTAGCATCTGTCATGATTTCAAACTTTTGTGTAACACTCGTGGGGACAGCCCACCACCTTAATGTTTGCCTCTGCAAACAGCTCATGCATTTTGTCTGCCTCCAGAGTCCACCACGTGGCCTGGAAAAAAAACCATACGGGGTGCAGCTTATTCTCCCCATACCTCGGCGGCGCTGCAGCCCTAATGAGCTCCTTCAGCATCTTCATATCCTCGCAATCGAAGTCGTTAACCCACTTGTCCGCGACACAGGTTACCTCCGACCATTCCACGCGCCCTGCCTCAAACTCGCGAGGTTCCAGAACCGGGTCAACGAAACCCACTTTCTGACAGTGCCCGGGGAGGTGAAGAATCCACCAGCCCTTGTGGTGGTCTACCTGGTATTTCCATAAGAATCGGTCAAGGATGCCCGGGTTAGCCTTAACCAGGTCGCTGTTGAGGAGGCGCGTGTGGGAACCTGCGCTGAGCAGGCGACCGTAGTAGAAAGCGCACCACCAGTATTGGCCCATATTGACGTCACGTCTGATTAAAGCGCTGAATGCTCAGATCACTGACGCTAGGAACATCAGTGACTGTGCTCCTTGTGACGACTCACACCACTTCTTGCAGCTTAATTACTTCACTGCACTTTACTGGCGGTTCCCAGATCTGCAAAAACTTAAGCTGGCGACCCACTTGTGGGCTCCAAAATTGCTGACGGATCGAAAGCGAGAAAGACTTGGAAGGCCTGCTAGGCCAGACAGGCTGCAACACTACAACCTCATATTCAGCAAAGTGAGAAGGGACTTGCAGAAATTTCGGAGACCATTGCTGCACGAGAATGAAATTTGTCACTACTGCTTATGCGGGTGCAATTGGATGAGCCTCTTCTGCTTTTGTAGCTGAAAAGATAGCTCGTTAGGACTAGTCCACGAGTCATGGATGGGGCCAGAACACTTTCGAAGATCGAGTCTAGAAGGCTCTAGAAAGGTCTAGAGGCCGCTAGAAGTTACGCGCCCGCCGCGGGCGCGAGCACTTGTGCCCGCGCGGCCGGCCGTCGACAGTAATGAATTAGGATAAACCCCGTCGCACTCGTCGCCGGTCACGTCACGGGTCACGTCACGTCATGCACGTGATGATCGCGGCCTGGCCGGGCGGCCGGGCGCGCGCGGCCGCCCTTGTTGGGGCATATTATTATGATGCCTGGCAGCCGCACCAGCCACGCAATCATTCTCACTGTCAGCATATAGGTATGCACATCTAAATCTGTAGAAACGCCGGGTCATGGGTATAGTACGGTACGTACAGTTCTGATGCCGGTATACCTTTTAAACTAGCATACCGCACATGCATGCCAGTACGTACGGAGCCTGGCCAAAGAGTGACGAATTCTTGCATGTGAAAACCAATGTTGAGTATACTAAATCGCCATATGCCATGCATAAGCTAACTAGGCACGTTGTACGGTCCTTAACTTTGGATAGCGTACTTTGCCTTATTTGATTACTTTTCAAATGTGGCGGCGCATGGCGCCCATGTGCAACTCAAATAACGCGTCATTTGAGCAATCATCATTCAATAGACGGAGGGTTCGCAATCATATATTTGGCAGCAAGCATATGGAGGCTCCATTTCGATACCTCGTGCTTGCGAATCGCCACTTAGCGTAGCGGCGGAGCATGGTCCAATCACGCCGCAAGATCCCTAACGGGATTGAATCTGTACAATGATCACCGAGTTTTGATCCGACTTGCAGGTGGCCCCAGTGAGCTCGGCACGTTACGCGAAAAGGATGCCGACTGAGTATAGCTGAGATCGTCGACCACGGGTCCAGCATTTTGGAAAACCGTAACGGGGAATCACAACTCAAAACTTCTAGGTAACGTCTACCATATCTAGAGGAAGCTCACTGACGACGGTAACACGTTTTTATACCAGCTTGTTGAACTCGATTGTTCAGGCAAAAGCTAGGCTCTTTTAGAGGACAGGAACTTAAGCTTGCCAAATATGAATTGTTTATTTCTGTACATTCCTAAAGCTCAAAGCATGTCTTGAAGCGCCAGCTCCTGTCCCTCGTTTCAAGCAACAATCTGTGAACCTGACCGCTTGCCAGGGCCCTGCAGCCAATCAGCCGTGTTCTGAAGCCATCTTTTGCTATCGAGCATCCGTTGAGGAGTCTACAACTACCAACAAAGTGTTTGTAAGTCAACACCGACCAGGAAATCCGGAATGCCAGCCACCTCGTCAGCTCAATATAAGCGTCAACCGCATAATGTGAGCGCCGTAACCGCAACTTTGACCGCTTTGAGTCTTCCTCTACTTTGACCCGTGCCACTACCCCGCTTCTTTTCAACCGGCTCTGACGTCATGAAACGGAGCTTGCCAGAGACGGTTCGAACGTCCACAACCAGGGCAGCTACGGAGACGGTTTTCTGACTTGGACGTCCCCAGACTCGCAAGCCGTGACCAAAGCTCGGGCCTCTGAAAACAAATCCCACGAATTGTACACACTACATTGGTAGCGCCGGCGTATCGCTAAGGTTTCTTCACGGCCTGGAGCAATTGTCACATCTGTGACGCCGACCGATCTGCCGGAGTTGTGACGGCGGCAGCTGTGCCGTCGACGGACTTGTCGACGGGTCGAGAGCCCGGCCCCTCCGATTGCCTCCAGATCATCTTCCAGCGCAGAGCTCCGTTACCCAACCCGATTCTCAACGATGTCTCGAGCTCGGACGAGCTCTTTTCCTGACCGAAACAACGATAATCTGGTTGCTGCGCACGTCGCATACTCAGCCGTTCCAAATCATCCGTGCGCGTAAGTCGCAGGTACAGCCGTGCCGTAAAAAGGGTCAGTGCAGCGTTCCGGCTCCACGGCGCAGCCTCGAGCCGTTCCGTGAAAGTGTCAGAGCCGCGTTCCGTACCAGGGCTCCATGAGCCCACCCCCCGAGGTGGGCTCCCACTGGCGCGGAGGCCCGGTTCAGCTCTTTCTCCGTTTTGGAACGACGAAGCGAAGTGCTGCCATCGCCGGGTAATCAGCCGTTTCTTAGAACCGTCAGGGTGGCGTTCCGGCCTGCGGCTCCGAGGACCACTCCCCCGGGGTGAGCTCCTCTGCCGCACACGCTTCTTCTCAGCAGCTAGTTACTGCGTCGCCCAATTTTCAGCCGTTTCTCAATACCGTCAAAGCAGCGTTCCGGCCTGCGGCTCCAAAGACCCCTTCCCCGGGGTGAGCTCCGCTGCCGCACAGGCCCGGCGCCGCTTTGTCTCCAAAGCCGAGTGCTGCTGTCGCCGGACATTTAGCCGTTTCTCACAACCGTCAGTGCAGCGTTTCGGCCCGGGGCTCCCATGACCCCTCCCCCGGGGTGGGCTCCACTGCCGCACAGGTAGAGGCCGGCGACCGGGGTGGAGTAGTTGGACCAACCAGGGACTGGCCGGAGCAAGTAGAGGGAGTCGAGGCCCATTGATCCGTGGAAGATGTTTCCCCCTGCATTAAGGGTAAAGGAGTTTCAGGGATTTACGCACTGAAATCACAAGGAAAGAGAACAACAAAAAGCTTGAGTGAAAATAACGCGCCGTGAAGAGAACAAGAGGCCTGCCGGAGAAAGTAGAGGGAGTCGAGGCCCATTTTTCCAAGGAAGACCCCTGTGAGCCACGACAAAACTTCGTTCTACGAGACTTTGGCGTCTATGAACCAATATTTAAAGAGCTGAAGTGCGAAGTATGTATCAAAACAGGGAATCGTCCGCAAACTGGACCACGCAAGAATTAGATTTTCACACAATGACAGTATTGCGGGTTCGACGAACAACAGAGCCGGAAACTGGATTCCTTTCGTTTCTTAAGTTGGTTTGAGTCCTGGCACTACCAGAGTCTTGAAAGTGCGAAATCTTGCTTGGTCGGAGAGTCCTGCGCAAATGGTCTACTAAAGATGTTGCGCTCTTCCTCAGAACCAGCAACTTGAGGTCAAGCCGGGGACCTCGCATGGCAACGGCTGTTGTGACACCCTTTTCAAAACTGAAAGAGAGAGACCCTGTGAAGTCCCGCCAACGCGAGATAACCCTCACAAGTTTCTAGACCGACTCTGCAACGAATACAGCAGACGGTTCCACCCGCTTCCACTTTGACACCAGGGGCTCACCCGTAAGGTTCAGCAGGCGCTCCAGGTCCGGTGGTGTCAAGATGTCCTGCCCGATGATCGACTCAGAGAAGCCGGGGGCATATTCGTCGATAATGGAAAACACTCGCTGGGCGAAGGCCTCTCGACGACCCGGCTCATCCCAGTTGTAGTCCTTGGGCTTATACGGGGTGTACTGGATGAATAAGTTGATTACGTGCTTTCCTGCGCAGTGAGAAATAGTTTTCAGGCTTGGGCAGTATGTGGTGACTTATTGTCTCAGCCGCGATATCCTCGCTCTGCTCACGCAAAGCGTTCTTCTTCCCAGCTGCTCATCGTCGCTTGACGGCGCCATTCCCCAGCATCCTGCCGCTCAAATGATATGGAAGAATGAAAATTTCGGAGAAGAAGACAAAGGAAATGAGCCCAGTCCGCTGTTCACTTGCAAAAAGTTCCACAGAAATAAGCTGCCGAATCGATGGACGAACGCTTACGGCGCCCACTTGAGGATACGTTTGCAGCGCAAGGGGATTTTTGAATGAACTCACGGCACGCTTTACATAATCGTTACATGTTGAAAAACAGCAATGCGGGAGCAATACCGGTGACCGGGAATAGAGAAGGACGTCAGCCTGGCGTTTTGAGGAGCTCACCAAGAGGTGCTATGGTGGCGTCGAGAGAAGACGGTATAGTCATCTCAATTACGGGCCGGCTGGAAGGGTGGCCGTTCACACACTCCTGGTAGGCGGTGTGAATATCCGCCATGCTGCGAAAGAACGCGAGTCAGCGTGACGGAATTGACCTTCTAAATCCAGCGGATGCAGATGTTGGATCGCTCATTGGGACTATTTTGGGCTAAGATGACTAGTTTAACTGATGTTCTTCAATGTCAAACATGGGATCCAGCGGATAATGAGGACGTCCTGTCGGATGTCGAAGGTCGTTTATCCGAGTGGTGTGGCAAGCTTTTACTCAGTAGACCTAGAGCCGATATGAGCTTCAGAGCTCCAACCTTGCAAAAGACAATTCTGTACCGTACTGCGCTTCGAAGACAACGTAGCGGAATCAATTCAAGAGTCACTGAATTGTCAAAATAGGAGGGAAAAAAAGAAGCTGATATCCACTTCGTATACTTCCCAGCGCCAATTATAGTGCAGGGAGACTCTGCACCGGCTCAGCAAAGACGAGCGAAAACCTACCTGCGCATATGATGTACATTGCAGAGTGCCGATTACAACACACAAGTACTCAGGTGAAAGCGACTGATTATGCAAGTTAAGCGCGCGCACCTCTCCGCGCCCAAGTGGATGGTCCCAAAGTGGGCGGCGTTTGGGGCGTCGCCGGAAGAGGGGAACGCCGTGAAGTTCGGGAGCTTGTCGACTGCCAGGTTGATCTTGGTAACCGGCTGGACCGAATAGAGAAGAACGGGAGTACATTAAGCAGGTAAACGCCGTGCATTCCGTCATTTAAGGTTGCGGAACTCGACATTCTTTGATTGGGGTCGCTGTTTTAAGAAGGCGATGAGGACACAAGCATAGCGCCAGTGGTTGAGAGATTTTGTAACGGAGATCTTATGAGAGCTTTCGTGATAGTTTCTCTTCAGAGTACTGGACAAGCTCCACGTCTGTCGCCGGGTCTGCGTGAAATCGTCCGGGATGATGCGGAGCTTCTTGGCAAATAAGATAGTAGAAACGGAACACATAGAGACATATTGATGAAGAACCTTGTTTAACAACACCAGCTTTCCTTAATACCGTTCAGCGTCCATGCTTAGGCTGTCCCACCACGATCTGAACGTAACTGCAGCGATTATAAATGAAGATGCTAAGAAGCAAAACTTCATGAAATCTCAAACGCAGAACGTGCTCAGCTCACCGAAGAGTAGTCTATCAGGTCGACGGCCCGCCGGAACTCCGGCGGAATGTGCTCTTCCGCCAGCAGCCGGCGGAACGTCACGTGCGGAGTGGTGTTCGCAAGCACGTTTGCACTGCGCACCAAAGTCCCGTCTGCCAAGCGAACGCCTTCAACGCGCTTACTGTCGCTAACAACGATTTCCGCTACCTGCAGTGATTTGATGGGCATGTTTGCTGCCCCTCGTTTGCATGCGCGAACTCACAAGTTGTACTGATCAGCGGCGCATTTGTCAAAATTGTCTTCCATAGGAACTCAGAAGAGGAAGACTGAAATTGAATGACGACCAGAGGGCTAATAAACCAACGATCTGAGTTGTAACAACTGCCCTTTTCTGTCCTCGCTGAGGAGAAAGCTTGCCACGCCACTCCAGCCTCCTACATTTGTATGGAAGACGAAAGAATACATTGCCTGATAAGACAATTTCCGGCACATGGCCCTCTCTAAAAGATTCTGACCCAGGAACGCCAACTTTTCTCCCAGTTGGGGGTAGGGGAAATGCATTTTCCAGTACACCCCTCAACGAATCAAGATGCAGGAAAGGAAGTGCCACCTTCGACTGGGCGACCAACTTACCTCCGCGTTAGTGACGACGGTCGCCCCTGCCTCCACCGCTGACCGCGCGATTGCTGCCGAGACTGCGCCCATGCCCCCTTCGACGAATGACCAGATCCCCCGATGGCCGTTGGTTTCGCCCATCACGTGGTGCAAAAGCACGTAGCCGCTGCCTGGAGTGTAGGGACTGGCCTGCAAGGGAGATTCAGGTTAGCGAGGGTTAGCAGTTTGGACGGAGGCTCAACATTATTTGAGCACATGACGTGGAGAGAACATATCCGCCATTTGAAAAACAAGGACAGGCCAATTTTTGAGGCCGAGAGTTTGCGGGTTTGAGTACAAATCACGTTTCTGCTTAAGGAGAGCTCTGACACGTGGCCTCGCCTCGGGGTGGAGGAACTAGCCTGCGTGGAAGTTTTGGGTTAGCGCCTGCGAGATACCCTTGAATCAGGGCCTGCGAGAAAGATGTGGGACGCAGATGCATTCGAACTTTATTGATGGTCGAACCAAGAACCAAACGCGCCAGCCGCAAGCGATGTAAAACAGAGGTCAGAATGACTTCATTCCCTCACCATTCAGGTCAGATCAATTCCAAACCCTCACCAACTTAACGTCAAGCCGCCTTCAGTTTCTCACTATAGCCCTGGTGCCGCAACTGTTGCGAATGCTGCATTCAGAACGTCAGGCTCTCAGACCCGGAGTCCAACATCGAAACGCAACAGTAATGAAGATTCGTCTAAAACCAACCCAATCCCAAACATGATTGAGAAGGCCAAGTCAAAACAAACCCTCACCATAGCCCCGATAACCGCGTCCGTCGCAAGCGCCGCCTTCAGGACGTCCGACTCGAACCAGCGGTCCAAAACTTTGGCCGCCGGCGCGACCATCAACTCGTATAGCGCCGTCAGGTCCTTGCTTCCTGTTTTTGCGGAGCGCCCGAGAAACGCGGTAAGGGTGCCGGCCTTTTGGTAGAGCGAACGGAAACCTCTTGAAGGTGCGGGCCCTTCGAAGCTGAGTGGGGGAGCATCGAGGAGGGGGTCCAGCAGCGCGCAGAAGCGCTCCAGCTGCGCTTCGTACCTGACGCAATTCAGATTTAACGATTTCAAGGTACGGATTTCCATAGTTCCAGTATCAGAGAGGTTTAGGATTCTCAATCTCGGGTTAGCAATTGGGGAAGATCTCGAAAAGTGACCCGATTCATGGAGCACGCGGGAGCGCCCGAGTTAGCCGCTATTAAGACTTGGAGGCAGATTACTAGGGGCGTTAGATTTCGTAGGGTAAAGGGCTTCGTTACAATTGACGAAAGCTTGAAATGCTGACGGTTTCAAGGAGCAGGCAGAAGCGCCCCAAACTCGGCCGCTGACGCACCTGGGAAGCAGGCTTCCTTGGACATTCAGGAATCGCGGGTTTGACCTTCTAAGTTTTGAAGTCTGGGGGTGAATGATTGGACCGGAGTGTCACTAACGGACAACAATTTCGGCCGCCCTTTCAGCTATGTTCCCCAACGGTTTGACGGGGCCAGCACCGCAGGACGGTCAATGCTCTGGCACATGTGGAGGAGTCGAACAGCGAGCACGGGGAGCTCTGGCACGACAGTGACAAAATGTGCGGCGTTCTTGTGCTTGGGGTTCATGGACTGAGGTTCTTGCGTGACTGAAAGCAACAACTCGAAACCTCTAAGGCCTTGAAATTTCAGAATTAAAGCATTCTGACGAAAGAAGGTGCCGGTTTGACGAGCGGCCTGACGAGCAAGATTGATGAGCAAGCTTGGAAACATGCTTCTTGCTAAACCTCAAAAGAAAATGGTGTTATGAACGACTGTGCGGCTGATCCAGGAACTATATCAGTAAGACAGCCCCAAGCAAAGCCTGCAGGAATCACCCGTGGTGTCTTCGTCTCAGCAAGCACTGGTCTTCTAAGCATTGTTGTTGATGCGCGATCCGCACCAAACGCCCAGAATTTTTCTCTCTAGTGCAATTCAGTTTGTGCGCGAGAGCACATGGAGACCCTTCATCAGTCGTCCATCGGTCACGCTTGCAGCCCCGAAAACGTATACTCTGAAACAAGCCCTCACTTTGGCAGCGCCTCCGCATCCTTTGCCGAGAACTTGGCGACCTCCCGCCTATTGAGAGCTTCGTCTGGCCCCATAAGAAGGTAGCTTTTGCCGTCGCGGCTTGGGATGAAGCTGGACGGATTGCGCGGTAGAAGCTTCAGGCTGTGCCGGTGCAGATCTAGGTCCCTGCATTTTGGGGAAAGTTTAGGATTGGGTTAAAGTTGTTCGGGGCGATGGGAGAAGACGGTTAGGCAGTTGGGTTAGTACTGGACGGGTAATGGAGGAGAAGCTTCAGGCCGTGGCGGTGCAGATCTAGGTCCCTGCATACCCGGGCAGGTTTAGGATCGGGTTAGCATATTTCGGGGCTACTAGAGGAGAGGGTTAGCCAGTTGGATCAATACTCAGATGAAGCTAGCGTGAACAGATGGGTTGCGGGGGAGGACCTTCAGGCCGTGGCGGTGCAAATCTAGGTTCCTGCATTCCAGGCAAGGTTTAGAACTGGGTTTAGGGCCGTTCGGGGCTCTCGAGTAGAGGGTTAGGCAGGTGGATTAGTACTTGGGATGAAGCTAGACGGGAAGCTGGACGTGCTGCCGACGATAAACTTCAGGTCGTGGAGGTGCAGATCCAGGTCCCTGCATTCAGGGCGGGGTTTAGACTCGGGTTAGAGCTGTTCGGGGCTACTGAAGGAGATGGGTAAGGCAACTGGATTAATGCTCGGGTTAGAGCTGTTGGGGGCTACTAGCGGAGAGGGGTAAGGCAACTGGGTTAAAGCTGAACGGGGTGCCGATGAGAAGCTTCAGGCCCTGGTGGTGCGGATCTAGGTCCATGCACTCCTAGTTGGGGTTTCGAACGGGTTAGGGCAATCCAGCGCTACTACAGGCGACGGTTGCGCAACCATCGGGTTGAATCATCTGGGAATGAGGTCCCACGGACTGCACAAACGCAGATTTCGGATGTGCGAGACAAAAGCACTGTGTACTTGTTTGTGTGCAAAAAGGGTCACGGCAGGTCGAGCGAATACTGGACAGGGTAGATTTTGGGTCAGGCTGGGTGTGGGGGATTCAGTGCAGTTCGTTGGGGCTTACTTTGGAAGAGCAGTGGAGAGGGTCTGCACCCTGGAGAAGGATACTCACAGCATGCAAACATTTGCCGTTCAAGAGTAAGTACCAAAGGTTTGACTTTGGTAGGAAGTAGAGACAGAGTCAATCACTGGACAATATGTTCCTCAGGAAGCAATCTCGCAAACAGACTTTGTATCAGAAGCTAGTGCGGGCAAGCCACAAACAATACAGCTAAGGAGGTTTCCATATGCCGGGACTCTCCAGGGACCAAGCTTGTCAAAACTGATTACAGTTCTACCCTCCAAAGTTGAGAGAGAGAACTTGCGTGCCCGTTGATTAAGTCGCACTCTCGACTTATACTGAGCAATTCGTGCGGCTCATTGCTACGTGCCCCGATTTGAAACCTCCCACATCTTTTTCTCCACATCAGATGCCCTGTGATCAAGCACCATCGCACCTGATGATTTGTGGGCGCAAAAGGCTCTGTAAGTAGGAGCAGCGGCTGAACTTGAAGCCGGGAACGAGTTCCTCGGTGACTGCAGCCCCCCCCAGAACATGCCGTCGCTCCAACACGGCAACGCTTTTGCCAGCTTTGGCGAGATACGCAGCGGCAGTCAGTCCGTTGTGGCCCCCGCCAATCACCACGGCATCCCATACCCTGCACAGAGAGGATTAGTAGCTTAATTGGGGAACTTCATCTGAGAGAACATATTTGGAAATGAGGCGATGTGCTTGGTAAGCAGAGCAGCTTTTGGGGAGGGCGGCATCTGAGCGAGTTGAGAACGTTCTGCTTGGCTGGAGAGGCAGAGTTGTGCTTGGCTGGGAAAGTGGAACGGGGGATCTAGGCAGAAAGTGGGAGTGCGCTACTTGTTGGAGTAGGATCACAGATAGTTGAACCTCACAAAGAGAGACCCATGGGGAAGATTCCTGATACTGCAGAGACCATGATGGTGGAACAGGACAGGGTGTCTTTTGCAGCATAGTCTATGTGGTGCTTCAATTCCTTGATGTCAATGATTGCCCCATCTTCTGTATGTGAAGAATCTACATTGCAGCGTGGTCGCCATCAGAAGATCAGAGTCCTAAGTGTTTGATTAAAAGAAGGATCTTTGAATCACCTCAATTGCCGGTGACATTCTAAAACACCTTAAACAATGGCAATTTCTTTCTTGGGGCTAGACCAGGGTCGTTCGTTCTGTGTCTTCCAGTCAGTGCTCAGCTCTTCATATTTTTTGTCCTCTTTGATTAAAATTCATGGAAAGCTTGGGCCAGCTAAGCAGCCAAGACACAAGTTGCCCAAGAAAGATTCAGAAAACAGACACAGGGACAGAAGCGACAAAATTGAAACAGGAGAGGATGCAGGTTGCTCACTTAATAGTCAGATCAGCAGGCCCCCCCTTGGCAAAGTCCACCACCGCTGGCCCCAAAGAGCTAAATGCTCTGCGGAAGTCTAAGATTGCACAGGTGATCAATCTTCGTGCCAATGGCGTCTGACCGTTCAGAGCTGCTATTACCCTCATTCTGTCGGCCACCCCTGATTGGTTGTATGCAAACAAAGCTTCGGAAACGCAATGCCAATGGCAATGTTATCATACAGATAACATTGGCACCTTTGGAACCGACAAGGAACGCGAGGCCTGGCCTAGCTAGCTGCTAACGGCTGCCGGCCAATGTGCAGAGAACAGAAGGCAAAAGGAACAGGTGATAGCATGTGCGAGGCATCAAAAAGGTGGTTGCGGGATGTGAGGATCGAACTCACGACCTTCAGATTGCTAGGTCACAGTGTGTTTTGACAACACGTGTTATGAGACTGACGCTCTAACCAACTGAGCCAATCCCGCTTGGGTGAGTTCTATTCTCAATAAAGTTATGGACAAATAGATTTTTGCCTCCTTGTTATGCTGCTAGATTAACCCTTGACTGTTAACGCTTTGCAAATCGAAACGTTAGAACTATCTGGTCACCGATCGCTGGGTTCCATCCGGACCACCTTTGGTTTCCCGTTACATACGACAAAAGCTGCAGGTGCGCGCGCGGACAGAATGTAGCCGGCAGTTTTCGAATCAGACGCTTGCACTCCTACCAGCTATTTTCCCTGCTTAGCGTTTAGTGGACTAAAGTGCGTACCGTCACGAGTAGACCTGTACATTCTTCAGTGTTGTCGTGCACTCTGCTGCAGCAGCTTCCCCAGTCTGCTCAGAAGCTACACCAGGTAGATGCAGGATTCCGCAGCGCTGGGGAGAAGATGGCGATACACTCCATCCTGAAAAGGATTGGAGTACGGCACTTTCTCTGCTGGAACGGTATCTGTTGGTCTCGGAAGATCTCAAGGGGCGCTTCTGCAACTTAGCTTCGTTCATTACTGTATAAAGCCAAGCAGTTTTGTATAGATATCTGCACAAGAGGCTGAACCAAAGAGGCTCTTCGTCAGATTGTATTTTGCCGCCAGTGCAAAAACAGTGGGTAGGACCTTAAATCAGAACATACAAAAGAGAACGCAGAGGGGGAGCAAACAGGAGCGTTGCTTGGGTGTGGCTTGAGGCACAGAGCAACTAGAGATGGCCAACTTCAGGACCCTGTCCCCTCTGACGGGATCCTTGGTCAGCGACAGGGGCGATGTCAACCTGCCAAAGCTGCCCGGGATGACCTTCAGAGATCCGCGGGTAAGCGGCTGTCCCCTGCTTATAAAGCTGGATTAAAGGAGGGGGTGGGAGAGTATATGAGTCCTGACTCTTTGCTGCTTGCGTTGATTGCAATGTCCTTTGCTGGATGGAGAGACAGAAAAAGGCAATTGGTGAGATGGAAGAAAATTGCGCTCTTGTCGAACACCATTCTCTCTTTGGGCCTCATAAGTAAATGTTGGATCATGTCTTTGCATCTCTGTGTGCCCCTATACAAGTATGTCACATTCAGCCCTGGGCAAAACAGGAACGCTGAGTGTCTCCTTTGCAGCCCGCTTATGGGGGCTCCTGAGCCCCCTAGATCTGCTAGGTACAGGGCAAATGCATAATATCATTGCGCACCATGCCGCGGCATTTTTGGGAAAGGCCCTACGAAACATTCTTCCTGGTATGAGCTCCCTCTCAGACAGCATGATCGCCTCTGTTCCGCAAAATCATACAGTCCGTAACTTACATCTAGCAGCGCAGCTTCTTTCTTGGCCAATCCCTGCTGGGCACATTGAGTATCACTATCCGCTCAGGCGTTTGACCAGAAAAGGAGACAGGGCTTGGGTTACGTAGACGGCCAGCTCGTCAGCAAACATGGCAACAGACTGACCATATAATAATCAACAGCAGCTCTGAGCTACAAGCGCTGACTTTGAACTTCGTCCATAGCCCACAGACAACTCCTGGCGAATGGACCAGGGCGAAAAGCAGCCCTTCTGCTAACCCAGCTCGTTAGCAGCTATCTGCTAACCCACGCCATTGCTCACTTGGCTGACTCACTCTGCTAACCCGACTCATAAACTCACTCTGCTAACCCGACTCATAAACTCACTCTGCTAACCCGACTCACTGACCCATTCTGCTCAGGCAACTGCTCAAAAGAAGAACCAGGGCCTGCGCTACATTGACGGTCAGGCAATCGTCGAGAACAACGACGAGATGGTTGCAAGGCGGACCGCGCAGGTGCGGGTTACGAGTCCCGGCGTGACAATCGCGAGGACTGCACTCGCTGCCACGGCAGGTGGGCTGGCAATTAAAGGCGGAGCAAGGGACCCGGTGCCGGTGTGGGTGAAAAACGACAGACAGGTAAGCTTGGAGCTTGGCGAAATTCGTGGTTTGTACAGTCGCTTTGATTTTGTGCCGAGGAGTTCAGTTGTCGTAAAGCAGAGATAGGCACAAAGCAAATGACCCAGTGTTGTTGGCCTTGGCGAGTGACAGACACTGGAGCTGGGAAGGGGATCTGAGCAAGGAAGTCGAACGCTGTGCATAGCTGCACACCCTGAGGGCTGCACATAAGTACGCCGCAGGGCCCTCTCTTGCGAGCAGAGACTTTGCCACGTGGCAGGACTGAGAGCTTTGACATCCGGCTGCAGCTGTCGGTTCACGCGCAAGCAGTGGTATTCAGCTACTCGCCAAAAAAGGGTGATCGTCCCTTCAAAGCTTCCAAAGTGTAGCTGCTGCGATCCCTCGCTCCCTCCACTAACTGCATCGCAAAACTCTATGAAAGCGGATCCCAATCAGAGTGGTTAGATACTTGATCAAGCAGGTAGAAACGAGTCGCCTCCGCTTGTTCAGGATGGCGATACTACTTAAAGAATCGCAACGGGCGATCAATACCTTCTTTTCTTATCCCCAGACTCATAGTCTTGTTAAACCTGAGCGCAACCCAAGCTTCATGCAACCTCTGTCCAGGTGCTGCGCTACTACTGCTACTTCAAGGAGAGCGTGACGGACCGGCGCGAGGAAAACTTCCGGGTGCGCAAGTGCACCATCTACTACTACCTCGAGGACGGGAGCATTCACATCGGGGAGCCCAAGCAGGACAACAGCGGCATCTCACAGGCAAGCGCAGCGCTGGGAATAGGCCCGCGATTGAGAGCGGGTGGATGCAGACGTAAAGGGCTTTAAACGCTTGCGATTCTGGAGGCTGGCACTGACTCAGCGCACTATCGTTCCAGTACGTTGACGTTTACTGATGCCAGGAGTCGAAAGGGGTCAACTGCTGCGAATGTGAAGTTTTGGATCCTCGTTCGAGAGCGGATTACACCGTCCGTGGGCACTCGCAAAAGTGTTGAATCAGTTCTGGCACGACACAGTCGGCAGCCTCTTCTGCCTCCCAAGCTTAAGTAGAGGACCTCAGGGTACGACCCCAAGGTCCCTTCCTTTGTTTGCGGAACCAACTTGCTGACGTATTGTCGTCGTCTCCTCTTTACAGGGCACGTTCCTAAAGCGCCACGTCATCCAGAAGGACGGCGGCGGTGAGGTGGGCATTGAGGACCTGCTGGTGGGGTCCGAGATCACGCTCTACGGCAGAGTGTTCCACATCACCGCCTGCGACAGCTTCACCAGGGTGGGTTGGCGGGAAAACCCCGTGTTAATCGGAAAGTTTGTGCTCTTGAAGAGCGTTTCACGCTACAGTTAGAACATAATTTTCACAGGTCGAAGTTGAGGAGCCTTACCGAAGTGATGAGGGGGGGGGATGCCGAAGCAAGTCTGCCTTTACCCCCGGCGGAAGCTCTGCGTAAGAAACTGACCGATCAAGTCTAGGCTTTCAAAGTCCACGCGCTTTGTGGAGCTCGTTGCGTCGGGGGATTAAGGCTTCCCTCGAAAAGCCTCAACCGCTGGGATTTGGTAGACGCGTCGTTTCTCAGGGACTGGTTACGAGAGCTGTGTGCGCCATTCTGACATCGCAAACTCGTCAACCTGAAGTTGCTCTACGTGAAACCTGTGCCGGGCTGCCCGCGCAAGAAGCAAATCTTTTGACCCCCAATCACGGTCGGACTGGTTCGTCTAAAACCCGTTTTCCTCGTGCAGCGCTTCCTGGAATGCGCCGGACTGCCCGCCCCAGAAGACGAGGGTTTCCCCGACGAGCCTATAACCGCGTACAAGAACACGCTCAAGAAGATCACGATCGTCCACCACAAAGACTTTAAGACGCGCCAGTTCTTAGAGAAGGACGGCAAGGTGCTGCGCTTCTTCTGCGTGTGGGACGACAGGGGCAGCGTCTACGGGGAGCGCCGGCCGTACGTAAGTGCCACGTGTCCTTCTCTGGTTGGGTGGGGCAGGTGCTTTTGGAGCGTTTAAGGGCGCTCGGGTGCAAGATATGCACTGTTCTCATTGCAATCTCCGAAGCGCGGACTGGAGGTGAGAAACTTCTTTCCGGGTGGTGCCATTCTGAGCCGCTACCTTTCAATACGCCGTTCTTACCGTTGAAAAGATCTCACACTCGACCGCTCGCCTATCACATGTGTGACTTCCTGCTGCCGGGTGAGGATGGAAAAGACATATTAGCTGCTGGTGCAAAGCTAACAAACGTGTTGTCATTTATGCAGATTCTGCACTACTATTTGGCCGACGACACCATCGAGATCCAGGAGGTGAAGGACCGGAACAGCGGAAGGGATCCCTTCCCGCTCCTCCTTCGCAGGGGCAAGCTGCCCAGAGATGTGCCTCAGGCGACGCTCGGTGAGTCGCTACACCTCGGACGTCGTCGGGCAAGTGCCGAGGACAAATTCCTCACATACTCTTACAGCTGATTGACTTACCCCGTCTTAGTTAGCCAGCGGGAAAATGTTCTGCAGGATGAAGATAGAAGGGGCGGACTACCGGGTTAAATAGCAGCAGAACGTGTCGTTAATTGATAGTGACGGTTTCGCTACGATGCCGCGTTCCCAGACCGCTAAAATCCACTTGTGCACATTCGAAAAAAGCCCGATATCGTTGGTGCGCTCGATTGCGCTGATTGCTTGGCTCTTATTCAGCAATTGACGTGGTTCGCAGGCGGGTTGCCAAAGTCGAACGCCAGCAGGAAATCTTCACAGCAGGATTTTCCGGTCCCTTCCTAACAAAAGCTATTGCATGTCACAGGGCGCGACGCGGCCGCGGAGGACGCGTCCAAATTCTATCACGAGAGCGACCTGCGCATCGGCAGCTACATCCGCGTGTTCAACCGGGACATGCTGCTGCACGACTGCGACGACTTCACGCGCAATTACTACCAGACCAAGTGAGGCGTAAAGTGTTTATACTCTTTAATTACCTTGATTTTCACATCGTTGGGAAGAGCCTTATCAAGATGATTAGGTCGAGGATTTGACTTTGGATCAAACGTAAACGCAGCGGAACCAACTGAGGCGAGTGGGTGGCTGTGCGGCAAACATTGACCTGACAAGAACAAGGATCCATCTCAGAATCAACGTAAAACTTGGGATAGAATCCATGAGAGTTTAAGAAGACTGAATTCTTTGAGAATTTCACTTTTCGCGTCAACAGTCCGACAGTCGCTTCGTGGCGAGATCATAGAGATCGTGTACTTCCTGGTTAAGTGTGCACATTTCTCACGAGAGTGCTTCTTCGTCCAAGTGCCGGGAGCCCACTTTTTTGTCGTCGTTCCTTCGTGAATGGCCATCTCGGTTTTTAACCAAAGCGCTTGGTTTTATTCCGCCCGTCTCCGACTTTTTACGGGTGTTAACGCGCTCTCTGGTGGCCAGGTGGGGCATGCCCGCGGAGTACCTGGAGCCGGTGGACGTGCAGGAGCCGATGCTGGCGGTTCCGCAGAACATGATTCCGCCGCACAACGGAATCGGGTCGGAGCTGGACTCGCTGCAGAACTGCATCGCCCTCATCCCCAAGGCGCAGACCAAGGACTTCCAGAAGCTCATGACCAACGACGGAAAGGTGGGGCTTCCGGCGGAATTCAGCTCATCCAAAATTGGTCCTTGCAATCGGACACAGTTGATTGCTATGCTCAAATAGGGTCCGTCCCCATTTCTTACGAAATATGATTGTTGAAAACATGGAATGATGAGCCAATGGGCTGATGAATCTTGCTGTTCATGAATCAAACACAGGAAAAACATCCGCCGGTTGATCACAATCTTTGTGATGGGAGCAAACGGCAGCATTTGACGAAGAAGCGCAGACGACCCCTCTTTGACGTTCTCAGGCCTCAACCGCTCAGCTTTGCTAATCGCGCACTAACCGCCGTCCCTTCCAGGTCCTGTGCTTCTCCGCCAAGATGATCCCGGACGGCACCCACGTGGTGTCTGACGTGGACCGCGAGCGCGATTTCGTCATCAACTACTTTTTGGTGGACGACAGCATGTCAATCTACGAGTCGCCCAAGAGGAAGGCCGGCCTTACCGGCGGGCGGTTCCTCGCGCGCGGGCCCGCGCCCAAGAAACCGGGAACCAACAAGCCTTACCAGGCGAGTATTTGCATATATTTCACGCTCGCTTCTCCTGGTATTGAAGACTTATCGAGATCAGAACATTGAAAGCCTGAATACAGAAGACAAGCAAGCATCGTAGCCGTGACAGGTCGGGCGTAGAGTACGGTTTGCTGCTCTGAAGGAACGGGCCCCAACAAGCAGTACCAGGTGGGATCCGGAGACAGGATTACCGCAATGATCCTTATTTCGAAAAGTCTAGAGAAAGGCTTTTCTGAGAAAATGAACGGTTGTGATTTACTGGGTTCCAGCTTCAAAGTAGTGGGCGACGACGTCATGCCAAACCCGCGCCCATGACAGAGTGATATGATTACGGGCTACGAGAACCCTACGAGGCAAAGAGCCGTATGAAGACTTCATTTGCCTTTCCTCATAGACGCCTGTCTCAGAAAACGAGGAGCCCAACGCGCAGGTCAACTTTGTTTCTTCTTCGTCCACCTCTTCTAATCTCAACGCTCACGTTACTAGCGTCAAGTTTTACGTTCAGACGCTCCTCGATAACATCAGCAACGCTTCTGACTGACGTAGAACTCCGCCCCTTTGCAGCCGGCCGCTGGATAACGCCAGCAACGCTTCTTGACTGACGTAAGATTCCCCTCCTTGCAGCCGGAGGACTTTTACGTGGGCGCGCAGCTCCACGTGTACAGCCGTCTGTTTGTACTGTCCGCGGCGGACGAGTGGACGTACAAGTTCATGGAGGCGCACCCGGAGCAGTACGCCAAGAGCGACTTCAACTCCGTGATGGACCATCTAGCGGATATCGTGGGCCAGGTGCAGAGCAGGGCCGACGTCGAGAAGCTTAAGGGCGCCTTCATCGAGCAGGACAAGGCGGGCGCTGGGTGAGTAGTAGAACAGGGTCAAGAAGAATTGCGTCAATCTGAGCTCGACTTGCGATGTGAGTGGGGTAGTTTAGCACGGAGACTACTATACGGAAAGAAGATCTGCGGAGAGAGGATTCTGAAAGCGGAGAGGCATCGCCGTCTTAATGAGAAGTCAGTCGCTTTCATTTTTTTGATTCGCACAACTCGTGGGGCCATTTTAGTTTTATTCTTCTGCGATGCTTCACTGCATTCTGCAATACAGGAAAGATCAGGCCATGTTTCTGAGCTCAAGAGCAGCGTTCCGCTCACCCGAAATCTATGCGCCAGGATCCGGATGGAAGGAAGGAACTGCCGGCGATGGGATTTTCTCCAAAGGACCTCGTTCTTTGCCTGTCTTTTGAATGGACCTTCTCATCGATAAGATAATAGGGAGACACCCCTTTCCAGCGCGAAAGTGTCTCGTTAACCATTTTCTTCCGAAATGAGAGAGCTTTGGTGTCGGGTTTAGATGATTCATTTGTCCTGCAGGTGCTTGACACCGGACGACATGGCCGCGGCCTTCGCTCGGGGCGGCGTCGATGTGAATAAGCAGGAGGTGGTTACGATTTCCCGGAGGCTAGAGAACAGCGCCAAGAAGGTGCCCATCGAGACGCTCTTCCGGAGTCTAGGCATTTAGGCGACAAGGGGAAAACGGAGGAAAGGCAATCTTTCGATGCTTGACTTGGCAAAAAGGCATAGCGTACGGTTGGTATCATGACGGTGGCCGGCTCTTGATTGGTGGAATCTAATGTTCGAGTACTTTCGGTGGAGGTTAGTGTTTTTCTGTATATTCAATTCATAATCATAAATGTTGATCGAAGCCCTAGCTGGTCTCATTGCGAAGCTACTGTTGAATGACATCACATGTGCAACGTACCACCATTTGAGGAGAGCAGAATCTTGTGGCTTTTCTTGGATTGATAATCTGTCAAACAGTTGGTGATAAGGCACGCCTCAAACTGGCAGGCAGGGAAATGATTGCATACAAAGCGCTGACGAATGACTTCAAAGCTTGGCAAAAAACAAAACAGATTGCAGAAGTCCCATTATGTCGGAGGTTGAAGCGCTTCTAGTAAAGTATGTTGCGTTATGACGGGCGCGCTGGCAGGTAATCTGCTCAGCTATTTGCCGGCGGCGCCCAAGTACTTCAACATTCTTTTCACGTGGGGCGCTCTTGAGTGACTGACGCGCGCGCTAGCAGCTCATTCCGCGCTGATCATCGGATGGTCGGTGACGTACTGTAGCGCAGCTGCGCGCGTACAGTCTGGGCGTAGCCGGCGGCCCCGCGCGTTTTGAGCGCGCGCGGCCGCGCATGCCGGGCCGCGGCCGCGCGCGTTAGGCGCCGCTCCCTCTAAGTCGCAGAGATCCTGTGGAGCTGAGGAGCTGACGAACAACTCCGACTAATTTTGGAATGATATTAGCGGCAGGTATAATGAGCTCGCAGCCTGTGGGGTTAGTTTGGGGGTTAGGGTGGGTACGGGTGCGGAGCGCGTGAATTGCTGGGTTAGGTTTTTAGTGTTAGTTGGAGCTTGATGTACCTGGCTCTTATTATTCCTAAACTAGTCCGTCATCTGAGGAACGCGCTCTCATAATCGTACAGGTTGGATGCGTCCCACCATCGCATTGGTTGCCACTTCGAGCCTGTAACTGCGCAAGATTCTCGATTGCGCATGCATGACGCTCAGGGACGCAGGGCTTTCGCTTTGAAGCCATTGAGAGGCCGATCGCTGCTGGCATGGAGTTTCCGAATTTTCTGTTTGATATCAATGGCGGCTGCAAAAGCTTTTCTGAAGACCACCCACTCTCCTCCGATAGGCTGGACCTCTCTTCCCACTTTGAGGCGGGATCTCTTCGTCAAACTGCCGAGAGTTTCTTCTTCGTCACCCGGCTCGGTCGCAAGACATTCTTCTGTTCATGGCGGCCGAGCATGTGTGATTGGGGCAAAGCTTTTCGCCTTATCCAGATCATGATCTGACAGATACGAGATTGCGGAATCAGATTTGCGATGTTGATTATCGTCCAATCATGAATCCTGTGGCCATGAATGATTAGTCTTCAACGAAGAACTTTGCTTTTACATTGAGAATGATTTGCGTAGAATGCATGCACCTGGGCAATCCTCAACCAAGCACGCATTGACTCTGCAGCTCCAGGTGAACCACGTTTCGCTCTATCATTCGCTTAAGACAAGCTGACGTGGGAACACGTGACTCCTTCCGCGGACCTCCAATAGAGGCTTAGGATTTGTGAAAGCTGTCAACCCTGATAATGAAGCATGGCCGGTAAGATACAGCCTTTTATTTATTAGTAAAGATGGGTGCTCAGATTTGGGGAAGAATAGGCAGAAGCTTATGTATGCTTTTGTTTAACTGAAAAGACATGTATATTAGCTCCAGCTTGGCTTGACCGACGTTAAAGGTATTCAGTCTGCTGACACAAAATTCGAAGCAATGCTGGTAACATCCACATGAGCCGAATCAGAAGTAAAATTTACACGCAGGGCCGCGAGTTGCAATCCCAGAAGAGATTATAGGCTGGTTTGCAGTCTCAGAGAGGATTGAGTGCATTGAAAAGAAGCAATTGGCTCTGAAAGCAGATTCTGAAGAAGGTATCCGTTTGATTTTATCCGCCTTCAGGAACAACATGTATAAGCGCTTCCTTGTTATTCTGTTGAAAAGACATGCTGGCGAGATGCGAATGGTCCGAGGTTAATTTAGCTTCTGGTTCCTGCGACTTCAAGGCCTGTGTTGAAGCTGCATCCATTTAGCTTCAGGGACTTACTCTAGCTAAATTCCAGCGTTGCTTTGCTATTATTCGGAGATTCGCGTCACACGCAGAATTCTTCAGGGTTCCAAGCTTCTAGGTCATCTGAGCTGCCACATCCAGAAGCAACAGCTGCAAAACCTGCTGGAATCTCCATATAATGACGTCACAAAAGCTGCCCCCAAATCACGACTTTTGGCGACAGCGCATCGAAAGAGGGAGGGAGATGGGCCTCGAATCTGAGCTTGGGAAGAAGGCACTGGAAGCGGGTCGAAACCTAGACCTCGATGGCGTGCGAGCTCATGTGGAAAGCTTGGTCTCTTGTGTCTTCGGGCCATCTGAGATATACGAAGAGCTGCTGCGCGAGATTGGGGATGCGCATATTGTGCTGATTGGGGAGGCCACGCACGGGTCGCGCGAGTTCTACGAAGAGCGCGCAAACATCACCAAGATTCTCATCGAGGAGAAGGTAACGTGTGATGCTAACCTAACTTATAATACTTTCTTGGACCACTCATTTCTCATGGAGATCTTGAAGGATTTATTCTGAGGCTACAGTAGCGCAACTTTTGTATGCTTCGCGGTAGTCTTTGCCAAAGCTAGTGACAAATTCCTTCCAACTCGAATATATGCGAAACTCAGATCCTAGTTGTCTGCGCGCCTCCTTGAGTGGACTCACCTTTTAGGATTCGAACGAAGTCAAAATAGAGAAGCAAAGAGTCCCCAAGACTCGGGAAAGCGGGCCGCTCCACTTTCAAAAAACAAAGCAGCTCTCGTTCCGACCTCACGTTTAGGAGGGATCAGAACCTCTTGTATGCACAGGTACCTGCCCCATCTTAATATCTCGATTGTGACGATATATTGTGAGATGTTTGACGCACAAATTGGGATTTGCAGGGCTTCTCGCTGGTGGTGTGCGAGGCGGACCTGGTCAACATGGCCCGCGTGGACCGCTACATCCGCGGCGACTCGCTCGACGGCAGCGCGGCCGCGGCGCTCTCAGGGTTTAGCCATTACCCCCTCTGGATCTGGCGGAACAAAGAGGTGGAAAGCTTCGTGGAGTGGGCCAGACGATACAACGAGTGAGACTTCTCATTTCTTAATTGCGAGATTCTCTCGCCCGGGATCAAAGGCAAGTCAAGTAGCTACGAGGTTAAGGAGCGCCAGTGCTCCTTCGATTTGGTTTCGATTTTGCGCAGGCAGAGTTTACGGAGGTGTGTCTGATTGGAGCTGACCATTGATCTGCTCTTGGATATCACCTGTTAATTAAGCTTTCATGCAACAGACTCCACTTCTCATTTGATACTTATGGCACTTATATGCGTGTACGTCAGAGCCTTTAAAAAATCTCGCTGCTCTAATCTGCTCCTCATGGAACGTGTGCATCGTCGTCATCAGGGTAGAATCTGCCTACGATTCCTGGCAGGCCACGTATGCTACGTAGAGTCTGACCTTTTCAAACTTGGAAGCTCGTTTGGATTCTTCCTCTGCAGAAAGGTGTTCCTGAAGGATAGTCTGAACGGGTACGTTCCTTGCCTTTCTGACTATGCCTTTGGTCGCATGGGAAGACTTGATACCTTGCAACTAAGCGCTGCCATCGTTCCTTGCATTTTTGACTATGCCTTTGGTCGCATGATTGAGAAGATTTGATACGCTGAGACCAAGCACTGCCGTTAGCGTTCCGATCTAGGTTCAAAAAATGTCTCCTGAGCTTCATTCAGAAGAAATTCCACGACCTTCCACATCCAACGTTTACCGTTCGTGATTTTTTCTGCTGAAGCGTCTACTGCGTGAAGCGGCCTTCTCACCGGTTGAGATATGCTCAAGACAGCTAGAGGGACAGAGGGATCCAGGTGCATTTCATAACCGGGAGGTGCTATCGCTTCCCGCCTTGGAAGGATTCGACCCTGTGAAATGAAATGCATTTCCCGCAGCTGTGCTGTTTCAATCCACGGGTTCGACCTGCACGGACTGTACAAGTCACTGGAGGTCGTCATCGAGTATCTAGAGAAGCGAGACCCGGAAGCCGCCGAACGGGCCAAGTAAGACGTCTTTAGGATTTTTCTCGTCACCTCTTGTTGGTTTGCCTAGGGAGCCTTTTTGATACGGAGGCCCTTGACTTGATTACCTGCTTCTTTACTAGCTTTCCGATTACTGTGCTATCTATTCATCTTTACTAGAGACTGCATACTCAAATCCTGCGCAATGATTCAACTCGTGCTCTTGTATTTTAAGGGCTCGCATCCGTTCTTTGAGCACGTCCGAATCGCCTATCTAGCTAACACGAAATTAATTCGAAACTGAAAATTTCTCGAAGTGACGTTAAAAAGCAGACTTCGTTTTCCCTTCCGCAAAGCTCAACCAGCCTCGGACTCCGTCTCCAGTACAGTGATCTGCATCTTCGAAACAATTCAGCCTGCTGCTGTCCGATAAGCAGGCTGGCTATGTAGAAGTTAGCAAATAAATGAGAGGCGTTAAATTCAAGTCTTTGTTCTCAACCGGGTTGAAGCATTCATCAACATTGAAGATGGTTACTCCGTTCTTCCAGGAAGCGCTACTCCGGCTTCGCTCCGTTCGCCCCCGACGCGCACCAGTACGGCTTCGCCACGTCAGGCGGCCGCGGCCAAGCCTGCGAGGATGACGTCACCCTTGTGTTAGCCGAGCTGCAGGACATGGGGCGGCCCGCGGCCGCGGCTGCGGCCGCTGGCGGCGGCCACCGCTGCCAGGACGACGAGTACTTCTTTGCCATGCAGGTGCAGGCGGTTTCTCGTTCACCGCGTAGATGAGTCAGACGTAAGTTGATAGAGAGGAATTCAATCTGCTCAGGGCTTGAGTTTTCATAGCAACCTTCTCCCTATGCGCTAATCGAGGGCCTCAAGAAAATGCTCCAGAAAAGCAAGATTTCGACATTTGGACATTGAGATTTTCACGAAGAGGGCTCCATTTGAGCTTCGTCTTTGCTGGCAGCTCGGCTATCTCATTACGTAGGTGTAGTCTTTCAGCGCGCAACCATGAAAGCAATTCGACGGCTTGCAGAAGCAATACATTCTAGAAAATAACTGTTTTTGTCACAAGTGACATCGAAGCCTCAAGGCTCAAGCTGCGGTGCACAACTTCGGGCCCTACGATGTGCATCCTGGCTTATCGGACGGCTCGAGTTCAGGATGCTCCAAAGTCGAGGAACCTCGATGCTAAGTTTGACGTCAGGATCCGAATCCGGCTTTGAAAACGACCGTCACGGTCCTTTGCAGAACGCGATCGTGGTGAAGGAGGCGGAAGAGTACTACCGGACTATCTACGAGTCATACGAATCTGCCTGGATCATACGCGATCGGCATATGTTCAACGCGCTAGTGGGTAAGCTGACAGGCATCTTTGTGGTTTTTTGGCTTTGCAGAGAGTTGACTCATCCTAATTCCGCGTCCGTCATGAGAAATCTTGGCTCAGTTTCTGGATCGAAGTGAGCGGTACAAGAACGTGGCTACCCCTTGCAGAATGGACAATTTCAATGCTACTTACTTTCTTGCTCGCATGCTTTTTGATCCCAACGGCTGAAAAAGCACGTCTTGCACGTTTTCTTGTGCTTTCTGGCGACGTCCTCTTTTCTGAAAGATCATAACATACTCCGACACGTACGGCTTTTGATTTGATCAAGATCTGGAGAACATTATAGACAGACAAAGATGAAAAGAGCCTGAAACGAATCAAATAAAGACCAGAGGCATCTTCCGAGGAGGTTTCATAACTTGCCGGCCTTGTTCTGTCGCAGCTCTGAAGGAGCACTGCGAGGCGATGTGCGGGCGGTCCTGCAAAGTGGTCGTGTGGGCGCACAACTGCCACGTCAGCGACGCGCGCGCGACGGAGATCGCGTGGGACTGGAACCAGATCAATACGGGCCAGCTGTGCAAGGAGAAGTTCGGAGACGAGGCGTTCAGCATCGGATTCAGGTACTGCGTGGCATTTAGTCAGATCTGCGTAGAACAGGTTAGTTTCGGGAGAGCCCCTCGGACACCAGCGGAGATATCCAAATGCGAGAATGTTTAACTTGAAGTGAGGGGAAAGAGAGGTACAACATCAAACCTTGGGCTCTTACAAAGACCGTAGCCTTGTTTGAAGAAAGCCTTGATCTCAGACACCAGCGAAGCAAAAATTTGGACAAATGTTGTGCGACGGGATTTGGACTGCAATTGGACTTTAATCATTGCGACATCTGATGCTCCACTGCCCGCGTGCGGATAAGGTTTCCCTTGCGGAGAACGACGGAAACGTCTCAGAAAGCATTTGAGTTTCTTCCTGTCGTACGCCAGCACCTTTGGAGGCACTGTCACGGCGGCCCCCGCGTGGGGAGAGCCCGGAAGGTGTGTAAGGCTGAGCTCTCCGGCACCAGGCACCTTCGAGTGCATTCTAGAGCAGGTGAGGCGTTTTTGGATTACCGCTGCCAGGTTAAAGTTCAAAGTTTCTTGGGAAGATAGGCTTCTCAACCTCATACCGTCATGATGTTGAAAGGCTTATGCTCTGCTAGGTCTGCTGCGGAATATGGTCCGCGCGGTTCTGCTGATTGTGTTGGAGTCGGTATCGTGTGGCTTTTCGTGTTTGGTATCCGATCCGTGCTTCTATCTTTGTCCTTCTTTACCTTTCCCATTTCGATACACTTGCTGATCCCGCGCAAACACGTCCATTTTTGCAATCTCTTTCACAGACTCCTCGTTTCCGCCAGGGAGTCTCGAATGATTGTCAGCCCAGAACGTAGTACGAATTCCTAGCTTTGTGAAGCAATGGATGAAGGCAATTGTACCGGCGGTGTCTGCCTCGATTTTGCATATTTGCCCTATGGCGACACACGCGCTGTGCTCTTCCTTTCAGGTGTCGCCAGCCCGCTTCCTACTGGACTCCCGGAGAGCCGAACCCAACGATATTGTGCTTATGAAGCGATCCATCGGTCTCGTCTACCGAGAAGACGCCGAGGCGGACAACTACTACAGGGCCAGAGTAAGGAATGTGTGTTGTGATGCACGATAACAAATCATGTCCGGATTGATCGTATGCTGCCTCGAAGCGGGATTGAGCGCCAGATCGAATGGTATCCAAACCATTGAGCTTTTTCCCTTTGAAAGAGAAAGCGACTTCGTCGCACTCGAACAAAGGTTTTGGTAGACAATCTGGGTTTTGCAGCTGTTTTTCTTGCATAAGGTTGTTTGATGAGTAAATTCTTGAACGTCCGAGCATCATCAAGGCTCCATACACGGCTTAGATGTCACCTTTGAGCTTTCAGTAGTGCGGATATCGTTAACCCAAGAACTTACGCCTCTTCGCGATTGCTGTGCTTTCGCCGACACCCCTTTTTCCTTCTTGTCTGCTTTGTTTGACTGACAGTAAATGAGGAAACCGAGGAATTATAGCCTGATGCGGTGACCTGATTTCCTCCGCAGGTGTTCCAGCAGTATGACAGAATGATACACATCGGCCGAACGACTGCGGTGGAACCGCTGGACAAGGAGTCGGCGTCGGAGGAGATCGAGGAGGCTGACGAGATGCCTCACACCTACCCATTCGGAATATAGGTTTGCCTCAAGAAACTGCGAAATGCGTACAAGATCACTCATGGAGCCAGGAAGAGACTCTAGAAGAAGTTGAGCTACCTCGGTGTCTTCATTAGGTATCGTCAAAGGTCATACTTATAGTGTTTCCAGCGCTGGCGTGCGCTTAGAAAGAATTCAGAAGGTTCTGCTGATAGAGTTTCTGGGGAGTGCTCTGAAGTTGGATGTCATTGAGCGCTTCGACATTCGCCGAAGCGCTTAGAAATCGAGTAGCAGACAGAGCTTCAAGCGCTCTAAGTGTCGTTGGAGCTCCTAGAAAGTGGATAGCAACATCACCTCCACGTACTTAAAGTGTTGCTGAGGTCCTTATGCAGCGTATAAGACTTCAGTTGTACTAAAGGGATTTTGAAATCACGATAATACAGACTTCTCGAATTGAGTGGATCTTGAACTTACATCATTTACGTGCACGAGACGATGACAACTGGCAACCTCTACGGTTGTGTGCTTGTATTTCAGTACTCTCTGACGTTCTTGCAAGCAAACTGCGAAGTGAAGACACAGAAAAATGTTTGCCCCGGCGCGCTAAGTGCATGTAAGATCGATACCGTGAGGATTCTGGCAGCTGGCTCAGAACTCCTGAAGATCAGCATGCGTGGAACTCTTAAATTGGAAAAGTCAGATTATGTGGATAATGTATAACGGCGCGCTTCCAGGGACTCTCGCCTGTCATCGATTGAAACATTGATCGCTCACGCATGTTCTAAACCAGATTTGCTGGATCTTAATTTCAAAGAATCACTTTACAGATGGCGTGATGCACACCATCAAGCCATGGGGCCTGTACTGTGGGTCTGAGTTGGCACTGTACCTTAAGGCCGCAGACAATCCGCATGCATGTCAGCACTCATCGAAACGAGCTCCATATAAGACCGTCACTTCTAAGCTCGACCTAAACTTTTTTACGTAGCTGCCAACGTCATCCCCTCGTCACCGGGGTCGGTACGGCCCTGTATATTTGCGGCGGGCCGGCGCCTGAACCTATACATGGATCGCCGTCTGTGTGACGGCGGACGCTTGCCTCTTCCTTGATTATGTTTCCGATCAACGGTTGACAATCTGATTTTTCTTTCGATATTCGAAAGCTCGTTTGTAAGAGTAGTCGATGGAATTTCGGACAACTCGAGTTTCGGACAGGCAAAGTATTTATCGAATTTCGGATGGCCTTATCGAATTTCGGACTCAGCAGAGTTCCACTTTCGCAGTCTGCGGAGTTCGGGTTCCGAGTGACGGGAACCTCGACGGACTTTCGTCGGCATGCCGGGATGCCGGATTCCGGCGCCGACCAAATCGATCGGAGCTGCAGCGACTAAGTCCCAAACCGCAGTCTGTGAAACTGGATCGTTCCCTGAGTCCGAAATTCGATAAGGCCATCCGAAATTCGATAAATACTTTGCCTGTCCGAAATTCGAGTTGTCCGAAATTCCATCGACTACTCTTACGGTGTGGATTTGTTAGCCGTGACACCACCGACCAAGCAAGCACGAAACTTCGGCGTCGAAGTCCGCGAACATGCACGAAGCTCGACACCAGGATTTTCACCATCCACTGGTCGGACTAAAATTGTTCGATTCGTAAGCTGCGAACTGCGCCGCACGCGGGCCCAGTCGAGCCAAATCTCGCAACCTTTGTAAGGCATTTTTCTAGGCCGTACGCTGAGTTTTATCGTCGAAACGGGCCAACCGAAGCGCAGGTCTAATGGCGGGCCCGCAGAGCGGCGCCGTACAGCGGCAAAAATCCCGATTTGTATGGATGCCCTCTTCCCTGCAGGAAGAGGCAAGCCAATATGTGGCTGGCATACAGCTCATCAATTATCCACAGATCGAATCCAGATGGTTTCAGGTTACGAAACAGATTGCGATGCTGCTTCGTCAAAAGCTGTTGGAGCTTGTACACCTCGATTCCTTGCGCAGCAAATGCTTCGAGCAAACCCCACATACACCGCGTCGAAGGCATGCACCTGGGCTTCTGTCGACCAATCACGTACCGACTTTCCAGGTCCACGTCACTCACGCTTCGCTCTTTCTTTGGCTTTGAACACGATGACGTGGACACACGTGGCTCCTCAGGGGACAAGCCAAGGGTCACGTCGTAAAGGCTTCCAACCTTGAAATGAAGCAAAGTGGACCGGTAGACATAGCCATGAAAGTTTTCAAGAAGGCATACTACGTAGTGCAGCTTGACCACAATTGGGATGATGAGCAGAAGCTTTCTGAAGTTGTTCTTGACAGCAAGATTGAGTGTGTATCAACCGATTGGCTTGACCAACGTTGAAGCCTATGCATATGCAGCTTCCTGCAGTGTGTCGTTGGTGACATCCTACTGAGCATACTTAGGAGGAAGGTTGGAGCTGAACCCCGCGAGTTGCAATCCAGAAGAGATTACAAGAAGTTTGCGAGTTTGTTGACGTTTGAAGAAGCAGCTGGAAGCCATTTGCTTTGAGGAAGGCCCTTGTACAAGCAACCTGCTTACACTACCCAGCTTTGCAGATCTTTCATTGGAAGACCTTGCTTCTGTTCTAAATCTGACCTTGTACGAAGGTGTGTGTCCCTCGAAGTTGCCCAAGGACTGCCTATAATAAAACCTGCGATTGCTGTACAGCCTGGCTTCAATAAGCTGCGTCCTCCAGATACTTAACCGAGCAAGCTTACGAGCAGCAGCGTTGCTCAAATGTAAAGAACACTTCTGATTCCGCAGACATCTTCAAGGACGCAAGCTTACAGCTGGTCAGAGCAGCCACCTCCAGATATAGAGAACGATAGCTGCAAATCCTGCAGCAAAGTCAAGCTGGATGACGCCACAAAAGCTTCCCCCGCATCATGACTTCTGGCGACAGCGCCTTGAAAGAGGGAGAGAGATGGGCCTCGAGTCTGAGCTTGGGAAGAAGGCACTAGAAGCGGGTCGAAGCTTAGACATCGATGGCGTGCGAGCTCATGTAGAAAGCTTGGTTTCGTGTCTCTCAGAGCCGCAGAGGTACGAAGAGCTGCTGCGTGAGATTGGCGACGCGCAGGTTGTGCTGATTGGGGAGGCAACGCATGGATCGCGAGAGTTCTATGAAGAACGTGCGAACATCTCCAAGCGCCTCATCGAGGAGAAGGTAATACAGGGTTAAATCAGGTTTGATTCTTAAAGCACTCAATAATTCCTATGGAATCTGACGGAACACCAGCGAATTCCCGTTTGCTTCTTGCTTGCGGTCTTTGGCGCATTGGCAAGCTTTGTTTTGACCTGATGTGAAACCGCATCCTTGTTCTTTTCGACTTATAATCTTGGATGGAAACATGCTCCTCCCTTTCACAGCCCTGCATGAATTTGAATGAATGCAAGAAAGCAGTCCGGTTGCTCATTCACAGGAATCCAAGCAGCTCTCTTCTCGCTTTCAGAATTGTATCAAGCCTCTTTCTTTCATTCATATATGTTGCAATACTCTCAGGTGTTCTATATCATTGACTTGCCGAATATCTGACCCCCAGAATGGGAGTTGCAGGGCTTCTCGCTGGTGGTCTGCGAGGCGGACCTGGTCGCCATGGCCCGCGTGGACCGCTACGTCCGCGGCGAGTCGCTTGACGGCAGCGCGGCCGCGGCGCTTTCAGGGTTTACCCATTACCCGCGGTGGATCTGGAGAAACAAGGAAGTTGAGGACTTCGTGGAGTGGGCCAGACGGCACAACGAGTGAGGACGATAGTTTCTGGTTGAGATGATCCTGGTTGATCAGGTGGCCATATGCATGCTCGAAGGCAGTTGGGAATTGCCCCTTCGCTTTGATTGCATGCATGTGACTTTGCGGAGGATTGACGAAGGGAGATGACCAAGCTCCTTGGTCAACTTGCCGCCCTCAGAATGGTTCAGCTGACCGAGCTTTGGTCTGTAAGACTCCACTTTCCATGCTGAGACTCATGCACATACTTCTCGTTTCCGACTTTTATGTTTCCTGCTGATTGGAGTTGCGCTTTGTTGGAAAAGGGCAATGACGTCAGCAGACTCTGAATCTGCGTGTGCATTCTGGCTTGCCACGTAGGTTACTGCGTGGTGCGTTGTTAATTACCTCAATCACTTTTCAACTTCTTTCCTTCTCAGGAAGGTGTTTCTGCAGGATACCCGGAACGGGTAAGTTTCTTCACTTCTGAGCTACATTACCATGAGAAAACGCATTTCGTTGTAACAAGCTATTGACGTCCCCACCAAGGCTCTGACCCTCTGTGGAGCTCTTACATGAGTTTCAAGGCATCATTCTTACCATTCCATTCATCATCTACCGTATGCGATGCTCTCTGCTGAATTCTTCAACGCCTGAATAAGTCCTCGCCATTCAGAAGATGCTCGAGACAAATTGAGACAGGGTTTCAGGCAAAATAGCCAAAGACTTCGCCCTGCAATCTAGATGCTTGTAAAGCAAACCCTCCTAAGACACTTTGTAACACGGCTTCAAAACGGTGCTGCAGCTGTGCAGTATCGATCCACGGGTGCGACCTGCACGGACTTTATAAGTCCTTGGACGTGGTTATCCAGTATCTAAAGAAGAGAGACCCCGAAGCCGCAGAACGGGCTAAGTGAGACCGCACACTGTCTTCATTCCTTCCCCTAATGTTCTGGAATTTCTACAGGTGATGTATAAGCTGGCCGTTTGTCCTGTGCGACTTATTTTTCGACTTTCCAGAACCTCTCTAGTTCGGATTGATTTCTCTGATCACTGCTGTGAACATGCTTACCTTCATACGCCTGGAGTCTGCTCCTGCGATATGAATCAGTGCGCGCTGGTTGAACATACGGAATTGCGTCGGTCCAGGGGACTCTCGCTCTTGAATTATATTCAGAATCTTTATCCGATCGACTAGATTGGCGGAAAACTGCGAATTGGATTGAAAACAGAATACACATCTTGGTAAGTTGGTTGAAAGAAGAGAGACGCACGTATTCAAATTCTTCTGCTCGATCTTGCAGATTCTTCCGCCGTCTCGACTCCCTTTCAAATTTGAAGCGAGCATGATTGTCGAGATCCTTGAAGGAAATCAGCCTGAAGCCGTCCGCTAACAAAGTCCCCTTGACCTGAAACCCAACAAGTTCAGTTAGAATTTGTCAGCGGAAAACACGTCGCTCTCAAAAACATTGAAACCCGCCTTTATAATTCTACAATTGGTCAATCTTGTCCTTCCAGGCAGCGCTACTCCGGCTTCGCTCAATTCGCATCCGACGCGCACGAATACGGCTTCGCCACGTCAGGCGGACACGGCCACAGCTGCGAGGATGACGTCACCCTTGTGTTCGCCGAGCTGCAGGACATGGGGCGGCCCGCGGCCGCGGCCGCGGCCGCTCGCGACAGCGCGTGCGGCCACCGCTGCCAGGACGATGAGTACTTTTTTGCATTGCAGGTGGAAGTGGGGTTTTGTTTGACGCTTGAAAGGTTAAACACAGGGAAATCAGTCGTTTGAAGTCGCTTACACTTCTTCTTCTGCTGGTCTAGGCCAAACGCTTCTGTAAACGCCTTTTTTGAACGGCAAAGCATTGATCGTGCTTCTTCTATGCTGGAAGCTCGGTCCCTCTGCATTGAGCATGTGCGGCTTTTCAGTGATCAGCAGGCGTGCAACCAAGCGCGCATGTTACTCATCTTTAACGGCAATGAGTTCCGTACCATTGGAGAGGATACAGTCTCCGGGCGTCATATTCGTCCGTTCGCCCCGTGATTGGCAATCTCAAGGAGAAAGCCATACCACTGATTAACCTGCTTTCAAGGGATACCTAAGCAGCTGTTTGCATTCGATCTGGCACGGAAGCCTCAAAGCTGAAGCTCCGGAAGCGCGTTTGAGCCGCGCGATGGTGCCTCCTAGGACTATTGGACGGCCCAAGATTCTCCAGAATGAAGGAATCGGTGCCAACTTCGAAGCCCACTGACGCTGTCTCCGACACCCCTTCTTGAACTCTATGCGTCGTGGTTCGTTGCAGAACGCAGTCGTGGTGAAAGATGCGGAGGCGTACTACCGGACCATCTACGAATCGTACGAAGCTGCGTGGATCATACGCGACCGACACATGTTCAACGCGCTAGTGGGTGGGTTTGCGAGAATCTCAGCAGAGTTCTTTTGAATGGAGGCAGGTAAATCTCCTGGACATCTTGCTTCCCATGTCGGAATCCTGGTGTGCTTCAATGCAGATGTGAAGCTTTACAGGTGATGAAATTTTGCAGACTGGTCTTGTCTGGTGCTGCAATATCGTGCTTGGCACATATTGGCACGACGTCCGAATATGGGACCGCGGATCAGACTATGCAATTCTGGTCCTCTCATGGCGGCAGCTATTGTGTTTGAGAGAAAGCGGACTCCAGTACGTGGGCTGCCAATAAATCTTATGGAGCACGCTAAAATCCAAAACATCTCAGAATCTCGACTCATATCACACAACCTTTGCTTCGTTTCCATAAGGTAGAGAAAACAACTGAAACGAAGCAAAGCTTAAAAAAAAGGACAATAGCAGAGCAATCTTCCGCAGACATTCTTAGATTCGTCCACTTGCTCTTGCGCAGCCCTGAAGGAGCACTGCGAGGAGCTGTGCGGCGGGGTCTGCAAGGCGGTCGTGTGGGCGCACAACTGCCACGTCAGCGATGCGCGCGCGACGGAGATCGCCTGGGACTGGAACCAGATCAACACGGGGCAGCTGTGCAAGGAACGGTTTGGCGACGACGCTTTCAGCATTGGCTTCAGGTAAAGTAGGAGTCAGATTTTACGCGGTGTTAATCAGAACTATCTGTTGTTGTTAGGATGTGAGGAGTTGGCTTCGAAGAGACCGACCGTTTCCAAAGTATCTGCCATAAAAGGCCCTAATATGGATTTTGAAGAAGTGCTAGGTCTATGAAGATCCTCTAAAGAACCAGACTCGAACCAATCATCCGTAGACAATACCGCTTCAGAACTCAGCTTCTAGACATCAACGGACCCGACTCTGCTCCTTCTTCCTCCTCCCGAGCCGATTGGTCCGAACTGCGAATCCAGAACGACGCTCCAAACACTGAGAGTAATTCTTTCCAACTTTTGTCCTTGTTTTGGCCAGCACTTTTGGTGGCACCCTCACGGCGGCCCCTGCGTTGGGGGAGCCCGGGCGGTGCGTGCAGCTCCGGCCCCCGGCTCCAGGCACCTTTGAATGCACTCTAGAGCAGGTGAGTCTCTCCGTATGAAACGAATTCGTCGCCTTCTGAGCATTTTAAGGTCTGGAAAGTCATAACCTGGGCTTCTTAGATGCATTGATCACAGAGATCCTCCTACCATCTCTTCCGCTTCGTGCTCCTTTTCGGTTGGTTTCTGCTGATACTCCGATTACGTCCCCATTTGCATCTCGTTTCCGACTCGGAGCATACGAGACTGGAAGAGAAATCAGCGAAGAATGGTTCCCGGCAAACCGAATCAACGGGTGACCTACTTGTCTGATAGATGTACGGCAATCGGAGTCGCTTCGCAGGCCCGTCTTCCGGTAACCAAGGTGCCAACCCTTCCCGCCAGGTGTCGCCCGCCCGCTTTCTGCTGGATTCGCGGAGGGCCGAACCGCACGACATTGTGCTGATGAAGCGGTCCATCGGCCTCGTGTACCGAGAAGATGCCGAGGGGGACAACTATTACAGGGCCAAGGTAAGGGCCAATTTCCTGGTCGGCTGAATCTCGAAATATTTACCTGAGTTTTTGACAGAGCCCAGAATATCAGCAACGTGCGATGTATGTTACAAGGAAATGAAGTTCAGCAAATGGCAGCGACTTCGATGTTACTTGGGCAGCACATCCGCGATGCTCGAAGCAGAAACATAAGTGTCCTTTGTGTGCGATAAGTCTTCAAGGCTTTCATACCCGGCTTACTTTTTGCTGGGGCTGAACCCAGCGCTTAACTCGATTTCCTCCTCAGGTTTTCCAGCAGTACGACAGTATGATCCACATCGGCCGAACAACTGCGGTGGAACCTCTCGACAATGAGTCGGCGTCTGGCGAGATTGAGGAGGTAGACGAGACGCCTCAGACTTATCCATTTGGAATCTAGATGCCTGACCTCAGTAAACTGGCGAGGCGCGCACACGCTCGACTAAGCAAATTTAGGCCGTAGAAGGAAGATAAGTTACGCAGGTCACCTTATAGGGCTTAATCAAGGTCAAGCTTTTAAAGTACATAAAAGCTGCAGCGCTGGCGTGCGCTCAGAGAAGAAACATAGATTCTGTTCGTGACCACTTCGCGGTGAGTATTTTTAAGGTCTTAGCAGTGTTCGGGGAATAGATTAGATCCAATTCAAGCGCTAGCGTTGCTGAATTGCTCAAATTCACGGATTCCGGAACAAGAAACGTCGATCTTCCTCGCTTCCATTTTTCCGACTTCAAACCCAACTTATCTTCAAAACAACTTATAATGGGTTTGGAGACATGTGGCCGCGAATGCGTTCTGTAATTTGACTCCGTGCTCTGCTTATCTTCTACGGCGAGGCTCGCATTTGCATGATAACGGCTAGTCAGATTCGAAGGCATGTGCGTGGGAAGATCGACAGCTATGTATGCAACGGGCGCACGTGGTCAAGAGTTGCACGCACCGATCGAAGCGGACGCCTTATTCATGCCGATTTTGAAGAAAGCCTCCGAGCAATCATTGTCTTCTGAACATGCGATGTTCCGCGACGATGCGAAGTTCGAATGTAAACGATAGGCGCAGAAGTATTGAAATTGCTGATCAGCTGGGCCGCTGGTCAGAAGGCTCTTTTGCTGCCGCTGATCAATACTCGTGAATATCTGACTCGGACGGAATCCTTGTTGCGATTGGAGCCTGACGGTGATTTATAGCCAAGGAAGCACGGAATAAAATCTTTACGGACAGTACGTTGGCCATCTAAAGATCCTAAGGACTGTTTCTTGCGGTTCCCGACGTCTAACTCTTCTTTGAACACTGCTACATCAATACTGAAGCTACATTGGTACAAAACGTACGCAAATGAATCAGATCGCACCAAATGATAATCTAGAAAGCTACCTTCCTAAAAAAGATGAAGCACTCTGATGTTCCGTCACATGTTAGATTTCAAAACACTGTAATCTGATCTCATTTCAGTCTTAGTATCGGCTCCAAACCAGAGATCACACGTTTTCTAGACCCCAAGAGGGTAGGTCTGAGGCATCTCGTCATCCTTCCCAATCCTATTCGACACTGACTCTTCGTCTAGCGGCTCCACCGCCCTCGTCTGGTCAATAAAGATCATCCTGTCATACTGCTGGAAGACCTGCAAGCACAACGCATTATGGGACTCTAAGGGTTTACCATGATGACGTCGACACTGGTGCTTTCTTTGGGGACATTCTCCCAGTTGAATGTCAAAAATTCGGGACATTCGTCAGTATCGAATTCCTGGAATCAGTTTGCAGCAAGGCTGATTTGCGCTCAACATGCGCTGAACCGGTGCTGCTTCCAACACGCACAAGGGGGCAACCAAACGCTAGTCTGCACGAAGCAAGAAACGTTTCACCAAACGAACATGATGACGCTGATTCTTCTTGCTGTCTTCATTTGCAACCAAGCGCGCAGGGTTCGAGCACTCAACCAGGGCCGCGCCTCACCTTTACCCGGTAGTAGTTGTACGTCTCCTCAGAATCTTCTCGGTACACAAGACCGATTGACCGTTTCATGAGCTCCAGGTCCTGCGGCTCCGCTCGACTCGAATCCAGCAGGAAGCGCGGGAGCGACAACTGCAGGGGCCAAGACAGCAAGCTGGTCGCCGAAAAAGTCACCGTGTCGAAAGGAACAACTCGATATTCCCCTAGGGGGGCGAAGAGCCCCTCCACCTTCCTAACAACCAGATATTGCGTCGGAGTGAAAGAACTTGGAATCCCGAAAAGATGAGAGAACAAAAAACAAAATAAGACAAACTTGCAGTCCAACCTGCTTCTTGTGGTGGGAAGAGCATCAAAGGCCCAGCTTTGCAACCGAACGCGATCCTTTGTGGCGTCCAAAATCCTACACCGGGTGACGCAAAACGAGACCTCAGATTCAAAATACATCGGTGCCTTACCTCCTTCAGCAGACGGAATGCTGTCTCAACCGGCCTCATTTCTTTTTTCTCGTACAGAAGGATCTTTCATTATCTGACAGAGCGGGGTCAAAGAGAATCAGTAATTTGGGGACCGGGGCCGGGCCGATGCTGTTGGAAGGGCTGAAGTGGCGAGGTTTAGGAGCAAAACCCTGGGCTAGGCTACATTCCAACCAATCATTGAGGGGGAAGCCCGGGTCAAAACCCGGGTCAAAACCGGGTCTAAAACCCCGGGTCAAAACCCTAAATCTCGCCACGTCAGCCCTTCCAACAGCATCCCCGGCCCCGGTCCCCAAATTACTGATTCTCCTTGACCCCGCTCTCACAGTGCGGCGGTATGTCTTACCTGATGGAACACATCCTCTTGGCAGCCTGCCATTGCGGGCGGCAGCTGCACGCGCCGCCCCGCTTCGCCCCACGCGGGGGCCGCCGTCAAACTTCCGCTGTAGGTGCTGCACGCGGCAGAAAAAGTGCCGTCATTTACTGTCCCATCAAAGCTGGAAGTCGAAGTACGGAGCAATCGGGAGTGGACACGCTTGATGTGGAGTCGAAGCAGAGCAGGATTGGAGTCAATCCCAGACAAAAGTGGTGATGCAATTGGTCGTATTGAGGATCAGGAGAGTCGCATTCAAGACCCTGAGAGAATCGAAGGCCTCTTCTTGCTGTTACTGCGCGACTCGGTTATCCTCCTTGCCCAAATCTTCTGCGCGCAAGCAGAGAGTCTCGTGGCTCACTTGCTTGCACTTCTAGAGCTCGGTTTAAATACGCAGAAAATTACAAACATTCTACAAAGATACAAGCATCAATATTTTGTCGCTCCAGTCCTATCCACCCCTTGTCCTATCCACCCCTTTTCTCTTTGCTGGAAGGCACTTAAGCTCAAACTAATATAACATCTCGAGAATCTTCTCCTGCAACAATGTCAGAATAAATCAATAGAAGATAGCACCCTCCCACTGTTTTCAAACAAACACCTTCTGAACTTGGATGGTACCTGAATGCAATGCTGAATGCCTTCTCCCCGTACTTCTCCTTGACCAGCTGCCCCAGGTTGATCTGCCCCCAGTCCCAGGCGATCTCCGTCGCGCGCGCGTCGCTGACGTGGCAGTTGTGCGCCCAAACGACCACCTTGCAAGGCCGCCCGCACAGCGCCTCGCAGTGGTCCTTCAGGGCTGCACAGAGAAGTACCGGCAATATAAACGCTGTTCTTGCTCAATTCCTTTCCACACAATTTCCAGTTGTCGTTATGGTTCTGTGGCTTGTACACCTCAGGGCTCTTTGCTTTTCAGACGTGCAGAGAGTGTCCTGACGAGTGAGTTGATGTTGATTGTGGAGTCTCGTCTTCAATCTGAAAGACATGGGTGCGGCTTCCGCCGGCCTTCTAGGGTGCACCGGAACCGTTTAATCTCCACCCTTTGCGACGGAACACAACCCTACAGCCCAGTCAAAGCAATTCTCTCTGCCTGAAGTAAGGTCGACACAATCTGCCGCTTCCGATTGATCTCTAAACAGCGATATTTCCTGGGGCGAAGAGCCAATTTTTCAGTAATTTATACTCCCAGCTCTTTCAATGCCGAAGATGGATACTTCATTTCCGAATCTGTGTTACGGAACGCGAGGAAAAGGGGAACCGACGGCAGATACTAGCACTCACCCACTAATGCGTTGAACATGTGCCGGTCGCGGACATTCCACGCGGTTTCGTAGGATTCGTATAGCGTCCGATAGTAGGCCTCCGAATCTTGGACTACCACCGCGTTCTGCAATAACACGAACCCTCCTTGCTTATATCTGTCAATGAATTCGTCATAGATATCAGTAGAACGAGTGAGATTGTTTGACAGAGTTTTGCCCTGTGTAAATGTCCACAGCTTTCAAAGCAGATCAGAGAGCGATGATAGGTGTTCTATAAACGTGTTCTCGTACCAAAATCGCGCTTCCCAAAGTTACCCACGCTAACCTAACCCACCCGCTAACCGGGTTGTAACCTTACACCACCTAGAATCTTGCTGCCTAAAATCCTACAGGCCTTTCGGCTTGGGCCCCCAGCTAAGTTCGTACCTGGAGCGCGAAGAAGTAAGCATCGTCCTGGCACCGATGTCGATGCTTATCGCCTCCCGGCGCGCGCGTTTCGGGCCCCAGCTCGCGCAGCTCCGCGAGCATGCGCGCGCAATCGTGCTGACAGCTGTCGCTGCTGCCGCCTGCTGACGTGCCGAGGCCGTAGTCGTGGGGGTCGGGGGCGAATTGGTAGAAGCGGGCGTAGCGTTGCCTGAGAGCCGGCCGTTCGAACGTCAGCCTTACGACTTCTTTACGGCAAACTTATTGTTATCCAAGGAGGGCGAATACAGAGGCATCCAAAGCGAGACCGCCGATTCTCGTATTGCTGGGAGAGGGTTGGTTCGTTCTGTCCGCGAGCACGAAAAGCTCCAAAAACGGTGTCCGGTGCTGACGTGTTAGAGGCACCACTGATGCGTCCTTCCCAGAGTTGTCTTAAAAATCTGAACGGCATGATGTTGACCCCTTTTTGGGGACCGGCCATCGGGCTTCTAAACAGGCTCTGATATAAACCCAATTCCAAATCGTGCAATTTTGGGTATGGTAGTACAAACGCTGAACTTGCTTTGATCGAAGAATTGCTTCCTATTCGGATTCTTGACCTGTCACGAGGGCAGCGCTATCATGCTTGGGAGAAAAAAGAAGCTGAATTTCAGTCCAAGGAGACTGTTTCCGTCGGTTAAGCAGACCCACAACCTCGGTTACCAAGCCACAGGCAAGGAGCAGCAGGCCAAGAACCTATTTAGGAGCGCACGCGAAGTTCGAAGACAAAATTTGAGCTGTTCAAGCTAACCTGGGTCGATGATTGCTTCGCCTGAATCAGAAGTCGGTAACCCGTTCCCTCACAACTACTTGGTCGAAAGAAATGGTAGGACCCTTTGACTGAGCTTGAGCTTGGAGATATCTTGAGAGAGAGGCAGATCAAGCAGATCAATCTGGTTAAGAACGTGTAAGCTTGTCTCGAACTTTGCTCGATTGGTGCAAAAACCTGAAGATGCTGCGTGATGAATCGAGGGAAGGATCACGAAAGCTCGCCTGGCTAGTTTTGCCGCTTGCGGGTCTCGCTTCTCTAGATACTGGATGACGACTTCCAGCGACTTGTACAACCCTTGCAGGTCAAAGCCGTGAAGAGACACCGCGCGTCTGCAGAAGACAAAGCAAGTTAATTGACTAATTGTAAAGCTTGATTGGGATTTGGAAAGACATCGATCGTATTCCTGAGCCAATGAGATATTGCTCAACTCAGATGGAACAGGCCTTTGAGAACAAATACAGCAGTCAATACATTTGTTGACAGACCGGAAGGCATTCATAGCGGGCGCATTCCTCGAATGCGGTTTTCTCCACCGTATTGCAATCCGATTGTTAGGAATATCCCTCGCGGACGGACAATCACATCATTCGTACAAGGGAGGTATGCAAAGTCGAGTCTTACCGGCTGGGCTTGTGCTTAGAAATCACCTGCCTGCACAGGATGCAAAAGGAGCTCAACATGCCTCTTGAATTTGTCTTGATTTTGTCAGGTTGATGAGACAGAGGTCTTACAAGAACTCTCAAATCCACACTCTCAGAGAATGTCAGCTCTAGAACGCAAAGAAAGCCCTTTCGGTTCAAGAACAATGCACATCATTTCGTGATCATGAAATGCTCTCATGACTGTGACGGCAGAGATCGAGTTCAAATTCGACTACGTGTTCCTGTCAGTTTCATCCAGACAACTTTGCAAAAGTCCAGGTCTCTAGTGTCAGCTTCATCCAGTCACTTTGCAACTAGAGGACAATTGACATGTGAGGCGCTTCACATTCCTCCTCAGCTTCAAGCAGCGACGTCTTTTGGAGCGTTCACAACGAAGATGTCCCTCAAAATGTCCCTTACTCGTTGTGCTGTTTGGCCCACTCCACAAAGTCGGCCACCGCCGTGTTTCTGAAGATCCACAGGGGGTATCTCCTAAACCCCGAAAGCGCCGCGGCCGCGTTCTCTTTGGGCGACCTGCCGCGGATGTAGCGGTTCACGTGGTCCATGTCGACCAGGTCCGCTTCGCAGACCACCATTGTGAAACCCTGCGAGGTTTGATGCAAAAAGGTTAAGTTGACCAGATTCAGCTCGATCAGCAGATGCTGTCCGTGCTCTCATGTTGTTCAAAAGGCACCTGATAATCAGATCACAGGCCGTAGGCCATGGCTGCTATCCTTACAAATCATCTAGTGCGCGCAGTTACAGCGAGGATGATTGAGCGGACGTCACATAAGTCACACGAGAATACCAGCTTCTTCATTGTTGAAATGAGATGATTGATATCCTAAAGTCCTGAATCGTAGGCATTTCTCTTCTCGTCAACTCGATCCCTGAAGGTTTAAGGATATCTGGAGAAATCATAGGAATCCAAAGCAACAAAGGAAAGGGTCCGTTTCGTTGGTCACTTGGGTATATACTTCCATCTGTAACAAAGCAAAGGGTTTCAGAAAACTTCAAAATAAAGCAAAAAGCTCCAGAGAAGTTCGAAACAATGCAAGAAATTGACTTCCAAGCGTACCTTCTCCTCAACAAGGCGCTTGGTGATTCGTGCCCGCTCTTCATAGAACTCGTGAGTCCCGTGTGTAGCCTCTCCAATCATCACCACCTCTGCTTCGCCAATATGGCGCAACAGCATATCGTACTGCTGCTCAGGATCCCCAGAAAGCTCCAAGGCATGAGGCCGGATCTTTCCGAGATTAACCTTTTGTTCCGCAGGAGACTCCGCCCTCTTTCCTCGTTCTATTGCTCTTCGTTTGACTTCATGCCCCTGCGCAGGCTTGTCAGTCCCATTCATCTTTCTAGAAACACAGGGGACTGGCTGCCTGCCTCTCTTGCTGCTATTCAACCTGATCCAGGCAAAGCGCAATGCCTGGCAGAAGTGCTATCTTGCAATGCATCTGCAGACCAACTGGCAAGTTTCTACAGCGCTGGGATCAATATTGGATCAGCGGAGCTTGCCGAAAGACAAACAGGTCTGCAGGTGCATGAAAGCAGCTCAAGTTGCTACAGAATTAGTTCTGCCAACGCTCTTGGATGATTGAATCGAAGAAAAGTTGTTTATAGTATACTTTAGCCTCCCAAGCGTTCTTAAGCGGTTATGTTTGAGTTCTCTCTGAGCTAAGAGCTTCAAGAGTTGTTCACACGGATGCTGCTTCAAAGCTGGTCGAAGAAAGCAGCCTGAAGATCCATTCAGCTGCGTACAATCTAAGTGAGCGCATGCTCGGATAGATGAGGACAACTTGAAGCTGTAGACTCAGCTTCGTGTATTGTGTGGCAACATACGAACCAAGGCTGTATGCTTTAACGAGTATCTCATTTGTATGCTCAACAGCCTCTGAACGTAGCTGCTTGAAGGATCACAAGCTTGGACCTCGACTGCTCATAAATAGAGGCTCCTGGAGACTCAACCAGATTGTACCTTAATAATTGTAGGCTACTAGAAGAGAAGATAGATGATTCTTGCTTCGCACTTCTTTGCTGTTCAGCTCTCGACAATGACTGCTGATCCCAATTCACTTAACTGCCTAGCTGTTCCAAGAAACCAAGAGGAGGAACCCTGCATGCAGCTAGAATTGCTCCGTCTTGTGCAGAATAAACGAGATATTTACATCCTTCTTTCGTCCCTCCTTATAGCAGCCTGTTACGAGTTGTAAAAGTCAGATGCCTGAGAGTTTTCTCCTCCCGCTGCTGATTGGATTCTCAAGTATGCCCTGTATGCCCTGGCTCATTTTCCTTCACGAGCTGATGTGACTCCTCAAGGTGACATCGAGAGAGTATCAAAGCCGGCCAGTAAGCAGGCATGCATGGGGACGGCTTGAATCAGGCTTACGTGAGGGAACGCTCACGTCAGCCCCAAGTGGACCACACTCTTAGTTGTTCGTGGGGGGGGTGTTCAAGAAAGCACTTTGATCGTATAACGACGCCAAAGTCTCGTGCAACAGAACTGTTCTCAACCACAACTGGCACAAGGGGCCTGGGGTGGGGTGTCGGAGGAAACTTCGAGGTAAGCTAAGTAAGATAAGTGACGTCAAACGGCCCAGTGTCTAGTCAACCGGTGACGACATACTAGCTTCCGAGCTGAGCCGGCGCTCCCTATCGGCTTTCGTACCGGGCCAGCTGCATGATGCAATTCCCGCAAAAGACGGCTTCCAATGAGCTGTGCCAGCAGACTTCAGCATAAGCAGACTTTAGCTAAGCGGAGGCGCTCAGCGAGCTACGCGCGGCATGTGGCTTCCCGGGGTGGTCCACGGGCTTGCATGGATGCCAACACGTCTTCTGCTCCGATCCTTCTAATTCGTGCCCCGAGCGGGCGATGCGCTCTGAACCAAGCACGCCTGGGCCTAAACCGAGTGATCGGGTGGGGTCGCCCAGGAGAAAGCTTGCGCTGCCTCACAGACTCCCTCCTGGAGGCTCCGGGAGTCAGGTCGGTTGGACTTTGGACCGTGATCCACGTCATGGTCGGTCAAGCCGCAAGCGACCGGTCGGCCGTGGTTTCGCGGCTTCGATCGTCATACGGGGATCCCCCTAGAATCATGGATACCTAATCCTTGCCAGTGGCGGCATGCAGTTGAATGCCAGTACCTAGTCATTTTGGAGTCGGTGAACGTTCACTACATTAAGAGCGTGCCTGGTCCACTGCCCATGGCAGTGATAATCTCGTCTCTTTCAGTGCAGAACAGCATGTGTGACATGGCCCACCCGCCCAACCCCCCACCCGCCTAGTAGTTCAGAGCATTTTACGGCCAGCACTCAACTATGGGAAGTCAGCAAAAAACTGAGAGACCCCGTGTATAGACCAGAAGACCCCAGGCAGGTCATGAGATGCAATAAAGGGGACGAAACCGACGGTCCTACTGATACTCCAGAGGAAATGGCTCAGTGCATCAACGCTTTCATCGATACTCATGCATGCAATGTCCCGGTCCTGCTCCAAGTGTACCAAGAATTAATGCACGATCGCGAGCAATAATGATCAGATATGCTGGCCGGCCGATGCCAGGCACGGCAGACCTTGAACACCCGCTTTTGCGAATTGCATGACCCTGCGGGCTGCCGCCAGGTTGGATCCTTTCGTGAGGGAAAGACTCGGACATCTGGTCGTCAATAATGAACAACCGGGCCCCTCAAATTACAGACGGTGAGTCCAGGCCGGATACAGGAGAGGTGACTTAAGTACAGGCACTGACCAATCAAGGACCATAAAATGCGTGCACACCTTAATACAGTCTTCGAAAAAGTTATGTTACCTCGACTTACCTTGACATGTTCTTTCAATTACCTTTAGCTTCTGTATCGAGCCTACCATCCGTGTTGACGTTAGTCTCCTCCTTTGTTTCTTCCTTAGTGTCCCTCATATTCGCTTGGTGAGCAAATTAAGGCACGAGTCCGCTGCATGTACAGGTCAAGTTGGACACCACATACTGTGAGAAACTCTCTGTTGGTTTCCATCCGTCTGACCAATAATATCGAAACATCCTACTGCGGATCAGTGTGCATACGGCTGTCCTGGTTAAGACGTTATCGGTCGAAGTCGTTATCGTCATTGCTATCAATCGGTTCCAGCCCCAGACCCGCCCGGAGTTCGTTTCTTGACATCGGCGGCAAGTGCTGAAGGGGGTACACCCGTGCCCGCGAACCCACCCCCCCACCAGCCGTCCTCCCGTCCGGCGCGCTACTCCTCCGTACGTGGCCCTTCGCTGACGTCATGCCGCTCACTAACGTCATCCCGTTCGAAACGCTACGCTGCCGCGCGACGGCCTCTGTTTGGATGGTCGGGTAACTCCGCTGCTCGCTCTGCACGAAGCCCCGGCCGGAGGGGGAGGGTATCGTTGGGCTTGGAGAGCCGGCCCGGTTGATCCGGTTCAATTGCGCACGCAGGTCCTCAATCTCGCCCTTGGCATTGCGCAGTGCGGCCCGCACGCGGACCAGCTCCTGGCGGTACTCGGCGAGCTCAATGTCCTTCTCCAAACAGTCCTGCTCGACACAGACAGGTTGCTGTAGCTTCAGAAAAGGCTCTCAGCCGGAATGTCTGCATATACTTTGACTTACTGCTTTTGACTCGTTTGCTGATGCTGGGGGATGGCTGAAAGGGAGACATACAAAGGAACGCGAACACGGGAACAACGGCTGACTCCGCATACATGAGCCGGCACACGCTGCCCTCTCCTTGGGAACGACGGGAGATCGTCTCGTTTGCCGAATGGTGGCAACGCCTGCTTGAATAACCTTTGAGGAAGTCCAAACACTCGGACCTAATACGAAAAGCTGCCGTCCAGATCCAATCGCAAGAACGTCAAGGATTCGGACCCCTGCCAAGTAAGGTGAAATGATAAACCAGAGGAGAGTCGGCGAGAAAGAAGTTCGGCACAAAGTCTCGTAACGTCCTTTCTGAGAATCCGGCACATGCCCGTCCGTTGAGGGCCTTGTAACACACGGGTCTGAGCAGCTTACTTTATCCCAGAATCTGCTTCTCATGTCGTATTGCACAACCAGCGGCGCAGGTCTCTGAACTGGTTTATGCCTTTGAAATGGAAAAATAAAAACCTGAAGTAAACGAGCAAGAACAGTCACCCTGTTCCTCAACGTCGAGCTGCTGCAGTGAATGAGGTGCAGAGGACCATAGTAGAGCCCTCACAATGAGCAGAACGGGACAAGGAAAGAAGATCCAGAACCTACCTCGCACTGCCTATTGCACTGGAAGTGGTGCACATCCATCTGTTCCCGGGGCACCTTGGCGCCGCAGTCTTTGCAGCGCACCATCGCCTGGGGGCACCCCGCCAGGTGGATCGCCAGCTCCGACAGCTCCCCCCGCCACTCGCACCCCCCCTCCGCGTTCTCGCACTTGACCTGAGCCCGGCCCATGATGCGGTACACCAGCGGGTTGTGCTCTCTCACGGACTGGGGGGGAGAAAAGTCTGGGTCACAACTTTGGCTTCTGGTTGTTCTCTCGGTACTCACTTGGCCCACCGAGGGGGATAAAAGCCATGCTATTCCTTCTTACTGGATCGGGAGAAGCCAGGTGCAATGATTGGACTGTATTTCTTTGACCAATCGCAGAGGAGGACGGCAATTTACGGACCGGTTTGTAATTTCCAACCGGAGGAGTGGGAAAGGAACCAGAATCCTTCCCCATGTACGAACATCTTGAGGAGTTTTTAAGTTGTAGCAGACTGCAGAGCGACAAGATTCCTTCTATCACCAGATTATAACAGTTTCCATGAAGAAGAAAAAGATCCTTTCCAGGATTGCTAGAGGTCAATAGTGAAAGGAGTAATCCAGGTCCTCAATCCAAACCCAAAAATAGGACTTGAAGTGAAGTGTGTGTAAACATGGAGTGGGCTTTACGTGTGTGCACCTTGTATTGCATGTGCTAATATTGACGAAGCGGCAAGAGTTGCAATATCTGTCAAAAAGGATTGCACACCAATGTCTGTCCTTCAAACAAATTCCTGGGTGACGGTTTCATTTATTGTATCCAAGACGACAGCATTGGACACCACAGCAAAGTGTCCTTTTCCATGTCTCCGCATTACCATTTTCTTTAATCCGCGTGTCCTAAGGCTCACGTTGCCAAAATTTCCGAGTATCAATCAGTCCTGTCTAGGAAGTCTTGTTTATTGTGCCGTCCTTTGAGGCAGACCTGCACAAGCAATGGCTGTGGTCGTTTCCCTGTACAGACCGGAAGAAGTCTCTTGAAGACTGATTCACCTCACATTTTCTAGGTTTCATGTCTCTAGCTGCTGAGAAGAAGCTTCTTCGTACCTTCAACTCTGCTTCCGTCAGGGGCGTCCGATCAGAGGGGCACTCCGGCCCAACCATGCGTAGCGACTGCGAGCCACAATTATGTAGGTCACCGACGTCCCACTTCCCAAATGGTTGGATATGATCTCCACGGTTTCCTGTGATCAACATGTCTAGCAAGGAAACTTTCTTGCAACAAACTGCTTGCAGAATCTTGTGCAAAATCAACCCTGGCCGCCTTAGAATAGAGCTGGCCTCGTGTTGCTGATGCAGCAAAGTGGCGGCGCCTTACCTGGGAGAGGCAGGGGCCGCAAGCCATATGGCCGCAGGGGGTCTGAACAGCATCAAGGGGGGAGATAACGTCATGACAGATGGGGCAGAAGAACTCAGCAGGGAGTGACGACGGAGACAGGAGAACTTCCGTAGAGAAGCCCATGCCTATGCACGATGATGAAGAGCGGAGCCTTCAATCTGGACAAGATTTCTTTGTTTGATTTGCTGGATCTTGGGTCATGCTCTGCAAGTAGAGTTACTATACACTTAAAATGTCCAGCCGCGTTTGCAATGGGGCCGCGTACAGCTTGAGTAACGAGGGTTTGCCACCCCCCTCCTGCTCCAAAAGCTACACAGCGCACTTCATACCATGGCAGCAGCTCTTGAACAATTTAATATTTAACACGATGAGGATGGGGGAAGGGCGCCTCTGATTGACCTAAAGAGTACACTGGTCCAGTGTGCAGAGCTGCGCTCTTGGATGCCATTTTTGCGGGACATAGATGAAGATATTGGAGAAAGCGCTCCTCTCGAACGTACGCCGGCCGAGCCTTGGAGTCCATACAACTTTTTTACGCTTCGTCGCACAGTATGCAACAGGGAACTGTTTCTATACGATGCCCATGGCGAGCAAACCCTAAAAGAAGCCTATCAACCGCCTTCCAAGTTTCATTAAGCAATTGTTCGAAAGTTGGAGAAGCCAGCATGGCTTTCACTTTCTGCATAATTTGACATCGTCTCACTCATCAAATATCTACTCCAAAAAATGCTCAAGAAGGCAAGTGGGAGCTGTATGGAATCTGAAGACTGAGCTACTCAACAGTCTGACTTAACCCTGCGAAGATGGACTATGGCGCAGAGGCAGGCCCTTCGAGTTCAGGCGCGTCGGCTGAGGAGGACATTGTTCCGCCAAAGGCGAAGAAGCAGCGGTCTGAAAGTACACCTGATCGCAAGGTCGCTGAGGGCTGCGAGACCCTACAGTTCTTTGTCAAGCTGGATGGAAAGACTATTGTCTGCAGAGAGAACCCGGATACGGTCCTCAAAGACCTGAAGGTGTCCCTTCTGGCAGAGCGAATAGGAGATACAACGCGTCTGAAGGCCAGCTCTCTTGCAGCAAATACTACATTCACATGCGAAGGGAAGCGTTTGCATGAGGCGCTGAGTCTGAGGCATGTGCCGGCAGGGGCCACGTTGCATTTGTGCCACCTGTTGGGACAAGACCAGCTGTAAGGACATTCGCTTCGTGTGACTGAGTCTTTTTACTCTGCAACTTTTCCAGAACCCTGCATAGCCCTGAAATTTATGCTTTCTCTCTTGTGCCCTCCTAATGTTGCATTTGCTGACGGAGGCTATGATGTGTACTGAAAGTAGACTCGTTACATCTTAGAAACGGCATCTGTCATTCCAATTGTCTCTTTACTCTGCCAGCTCCTGTAAGTGCAGATTCCTTGAATTGCGTTTTTGATTTCGTTGCTCCTTCAGACAGGAAACAAATTTTGAGTGATTCATAGAAATAAGCCTTGAGAAAGAACCCCTTTCATGTCTTGCAGGTACACCCGCGGCTCGATCAGTGCCATCAATCTGTGCAAGTTGGTTGACAATCTCTTAGAAAGCAGGAGGGAGGCGTCGAACGAGCTGGTGGAAAGCATTCCGAAGGAGCTTCACGCATTCTTGAAGCCGCAATTGGAATGTGCTGGTGCAGCCACCTATGCTCAGCGCTTCATCAAGGATGGCGGGGTGGAAGCAATTACGAAGCTTGTGTCCAGCGACTTTCTGTGAGTTGCTTGGACCTGCATCGTTGTAGCCTTGACAGTTTTGAGGCAACAATCAATTGAAGATTGCAATCCTCCTTTTCATACACTTGAATGTGTCTAGGTTCACTTCTATACCACCGAGATTCTGCAAAAGAGTATTCTGGTCTCTCTGCAGAATTCTTGTTTCAACTCGAGTTAGAGCCATGCTCTGACGACTATGTTCATCCCCTGCAGGTTCCTTGCCACATCATGCCTTGCCATGGTCACTGAGCACACTGCGCTCTCAGAGCTGGCCGCTTTCCCTCAAGAGGTTATATTCACGAAGAACGCCGCCCTGATCCTGTGGTGGAACCTCTTTGAGTCCATCCTGGAAAAATACCTGAAAGCAACTGGAAAGTTGTCGGAGTCGAAGGCGGTATATGCAGGCGGTGTGGACGACATGTTTGAGCAAGCCCTTCTCACCCTCTTGAATATGCCTGCGGCCACGTTAGAGACTTGGCAAACGACGATTCCTTCTAGGAGAAGCTCGAACCACCTCAGGCAGACTCTTGGAGGGGCCTTGTGTTCAGTGGTTCAGAAGGCGCTTGCGCACGTGAGAGACAACGTCGCAGCATTCAAGACCGGGGGTTTGCAAAGAGGGCCACTTTCCTCCCCCTTCACTTTGTATCCGAAGCTCCTGGAGAGATGCCGGTCGTTTGGTCTCCTTAGCGGGCCCTGGGGGGAGTACTCCAACGATGGGCTTAAGGAGCATGACCAGTACAAAACCTTAGAAGCAGCAACCGCGCAGATTCTGGAGGACCTATACCAAACTGCGCGGGGCATAGACAGAGCCGCTCGGGTCTCTGCATCCTTGGCGTCTTCCCTCCCCCAGCCACCAGCACCAGATGGCTCTCTTGTTGCAACTCTCAGCGCGCTCGGCAGGCTTCCCCCTCCGTTGCTGATCCGGCTCGCAAATCTGCTAAACTGGATGTACGACTTTGAGGCAGGCGAGGAACACTCCCAGAAAGGCCTCATGGCCTTCCTACAGTCCAACCAGCAGATTTTCAACGCGCTCCTCCACCTGCGCGTCGGCGAGTTTGAGGGCGTGCACGATCTAGGGTTCCTCCTGGTCAGACCTTACACGTTCCTGTGGCCGTTTGAGACCAAGGAGCGCCTGCTGCTGACGCCAAACCTGTGCATCCCCGCCACGCGGAATGCGATCGCCAGCTATGAGGTCCGGGTGAAGCGGGACAATCTGCTCACGGATGCGTTCGCCGGGCTCAGCGCGATCGACGCACAGGCGGTGCGCCAGTTTGGCATTGATGTGGCGTTCGACCAGGAGGAGGGCCACGGGCCGGGCGTCATGCGCGAGTTCCTCACGCTGGTGAGTTCTTGGTTCTCTCACGCTGGTGACTTCCTTGGTTTTCTGCCAGAAGACGGCAAAGTCTTTTTAGTTGCTTCTGAGCCCAAATTCAGCAGGCTCTGAATTCAAGCCCGGCTGCCCTGTCGACAAGGCAACGGTTGGTGGACAGATTGATGGCATTGGTGATGACACGTGAGGGGGCAATCAACGACGGAGGGCAATGTCTTGAGCCTTGCTTGCTTCTAAAAAACTGTGACACGCTCGTGCTCTGCGGCCTTGATTTGCTCGGCATCTTGAAGGAGTGTTCTCTGTGAGAATATAGGCAAGTGTTGCCCCTTGAAGTCGCGAATCTTTGTCTTCCTTGAGACTTTCGTCCTGCCTCAGCCGACAGAGGCCGTGTCCTTATTCAGTCGCCTTGAGAAGAGTGTCTCTTAGCCTTCGGCCGTCCTCAGAATTTGCACCGCTTCTGGCAACAGGTCAGCCGGGCAATTTGCAGGGCGCTCTCATCGCCTGATGCACGTCTCTCCGTATGCCATTGGCGAATGCTTCCAGTATGCGACTTTCTCCCTCATCGACCCCAGGTTTTCTTCAGCTTTTCAAACAAGACCAGGTGTTTTTTAAGAATTGGTCCTCAGTTACTTCCGGGACCTCGTGCCCAGGTCAATCCTCCACATATCAACCCTCTCTGCTGCCCACAGGTCAGCCAGGAGCTCTTCAACCCCGAGCGCGCGCTCTTCCTCGCCTCCCCGATCGACCGGCGCTGCGTGTTTCCCAACCACGCCTCGGGAATCAACCCCGGGCACCTCTCCTACTTCCGCTTCTGCGGCCAGATCATCATTCTCGCGCTCGCGAACAAGGTTCCGCTCGGAGTGACGTTCGGCACCGCTCTGCTGTACGCCCTGGGCGACGAGACCGGAACGACGACCGGCCGGTATGAGTTGGCGGAAGACGTGGACCCGGAGCTGTACGACGCGTGCGAGAAGATTTTGGCTATGGAAGACGACGAGGTGAGGACTATTAATGCGTGTTGCTTCATGTTGAAGAGCTTGGTAGCGGATCAATATTGGGACAGTCTAGGCCGTGCTCGAGCGGCTCGTCGTGTCAAATCAGAGCCGTCCGCTCGTTAAGCCGCAGCAAGCGAACCGACTTAGCAGCGCTGCTCTTTACTGCCTAACGGGTCTGTGGCCCACCTTCCATAAGCTGACCCGAGTGTCTCTCAGACGCCTCCGAGCTGTCAGCTCGTCCGCTGTTGTTTTTGAGACTTCAAAGACCACTTTCTTATTCGTTAAAGTCAGTGGATTCATGACATTTTCCAACTTCGAAAATCTGCCGTCAGCCTCTTTTCCCTGATGAGGAGTTCCATAACGAAGACACCTGAAGGTCGCTCGTCCCTCCCTGCCTTACGATGCCGCTTTTGTATTGCTGTTGTGCGCGTTTTCCGGCTGTTTCTCGGATAGACGAGGTGTCAGTCCCTTGACTTCCAATGCTTCTCGCTCTTTTCGGACGCCTTGCAGAGCGAGATTCAGCGGCTCTCGAATGCAATTGACTACATCTCTAGTTTTCAGCCTGGTTGTCGCGCTACCCGAACTGCGTCCTCCTTTCAGATCACGGACTTGGTTGTGCTCCGATCCTTCCAGCCCGATATGCCGCGTCCGTCAAACTCCTAATGCAGCTATCATAAATATCTGCTTTCAAAACGAGTAATTATTGTCTCTGTTGCCTCCCGTGCTCACAGCCCGTCTCCAATGTGGAGTCTGGCCTCACCTTCGGCCGCACCGTCGATTCAAAGCCGAGTCCCCCTGATCGTCGTTGAGCCCGACTTGCATTGTCCGTGGGCTCAAGCACCTGCGCCTCATCTTCTTGTGTACTCCCGCTAAACTCGTCCAGATCTTGACAACTCAAGGATCGTGTCAAATTGCACATTCGGTTAGACCTGGCCGCCTGACCAGAGTCTTACATGAGTTGAACGCCAAACTTTGCCCAATCCGCAGAACTTGGACCCTGCGATGACCCACAAGCCTCTCATCGAACGGCCCAAGTTCTACTGCCCGAGAAAAGTTCTGCGACTGGCTCGATTCGGATTCGGGTCAGGCGGACGGTTTGACCGAACCTGCAATACCACTCTGGTTACAGCTCGTCCATGTCATTTTGAAACCAGGCACATCCGTTTCACAGGTTGAGAACCTGGGCCTGACCTTCGTCTGCACCATCGACTCCGGCCTCGGCGATCACACCGAAGTCGAGCTCCTCCCGGGGGGCCGCAACCGGGCGCTCACGGCAGAGAATCGGCAGCTGTTCGTGGACCTCAAAGTCCAGAAGCAGGTGATGGAGCCCGTGGCGGAGCAGATCAAAGCGCTTCGCGAGGGCATGGAGTCGCTGCTGCCGGAGGGGGTGTCGTGGGCGCACGTCTTTGCCCCTCTCACCGATCAGGTGAGGAAGCGGAGCGGAATGGGAAGGAATTTAAAGTCTCGGAAAACATTTTTAAAAGGGCTTTCGTCTCGTGCGCGCTTTGCGATGCTTTCTCTCGTACCTTGGAATAGTGATGTCAGTCTGGGCGATGTGAGCAATCAAACACACAAGGTTTCATGCGGCTCGGAGCGCTTTCTGGAGGGCACTTGTCATTGCTCCTGCTTTGTTCCGCAAACTTCTGGGTTGTCATTTGTGTGTGGGAGTACTAGGCATGCAGCCTGTTCTTGTACCTAAAGCGCTCCTGGAAGGCTCCAATGTTGTCAAGTAGCTCGTTGCCGGTGCGGAAGCTACAACTTGGACAGCTGCGGCCGGCTTTGGACACATCCTAGGACCTTTATGCGACGAGAGAGCGGAAGGCGTGACACAGACATAATCTTCGTATGATAGTCGATCTTATTTCCTCTCTCATCTTACGTACTCTCCTTGTGTGCAGGAGTTTGCGTCGCAGCTGCAAGGCGCCACGTCCGACCTGGACATCGACGACTGGGAGCGGCACACGACCTACCACGGCTGCGAAGCCTCCGATGACGTCATCCGGTACTTCTGGGCGGCCGTCCGGAGCCTCTCCCCGGAACAGCAGCGGAACCTCCTGTTCTTCGCGACCGCGATCCGGTACCTACCGTCTACCGGGTTTGCGAGCCTGCACGACCGGGTGCATATTCACTGTGTCGAGACGAGCGTCGAGTCGCTCCCGACCGCGCACACGTGCTTCTTGCAACTGCTGCTGCCGCGGTACACGTCATATGAAACGATGCGGGAGCGCTTGGTCGCGGTGGCGCAGAGACACGTGGCGGAAGGGTACGGAAACGCTTGATGCGACGAGTTTCACAGCAAAGGTTACGTGATGTGGTCGAAAGGACCTCTGCTGGATATAGAAGGCGCTCCCTAAGCGGTAGGGGTCGCTTTAGTATACATGTCATGCAGAGCAAAGACAGAATGCGGCGAGGTACCTTGACGAAAGAAGTATACATACAAGCTTTTGTTTTACTTGTATAAGTAAGATTGTCACGGAGGCCTGCTGCGTTGTTATGCACCGGGCGGCCCACAAAAATAGTTGCAAAAGTGCATTCTTCCTTACGGTCTTGGAGCAGCTCAACGTGCTGAATGGTGTTGTAATTGTCACTAAGTCATCTAACTTGCAACGAGTTTCGCGTTCTATAGCATGGAGTTCGCCGACAAGTTGCGAAGTACGTTAAGAATCATCTCTGACACATGGAAAGGTCAATGATTTCGACGGCGGTTCAACATAGTTTCATGCCCGCGATCAACGGATCAATCTACAACAGCAGTCCTAGCTACTTTGCGCATACTAAATAAGTGTGCGATTATTATGATTGTAACAATTCCGCGCGCGCAGCTGTCATGCAAACGAGATCGATTCAATCACAGCTTCTCGACCTGGCACGCGTTTGTACCCTTTTGGCACTCGATCGACGACTTATGAATGATGCCACCATGCATGACGTACAAGCTAGGTACTGGCAAGCGCACCACATACGTGCACACACGCGGCCCCCGCACCATCCTTGTGCGCAGTCATGTTCATGATAGCTTGCATAAGGAATGGGCTCCGGCAGGCCGGACATGCACTTTCGATCATCCAACATAGCTGGCCATATGAAGGTGACTAGCTCATTACCGCAGGATGGCGATGCCGGCATGTGCAGCGTGAGCCGTCGGCGTGGGACTGGAACCGAACGCGCAGGAATACAGGCTGCGGACTAGAAGTTTGCAGGCTCAAAGCCTGTCAATAAGCTACCATCAGAGATTGCTCTCCAATTCAATCAGCTGTTTCATTGCGTCCTGCTGTTTGGAAGAGCCCATGCCTTTCAGGTATGGTCAAAGACGGTCGAAGCTAGCCGTTTTGGCGCGGAGATCGGCACTAATTCCTGAGTTCGCAAGCCCAGGTTTTCGATCAGCCTTTCTTTCTTTCCGCTGTACAAATACGACGTCACTGTAAGGATTCCGACCCAACTTTCAATATATACCTATGTAACGCCTGATCAGATAAAATTTTATGAAATCAAGACGTTGCTTTTATAAGTCTTCGACTTTACGGTTCCTAAATATGACACTGTAAGTCAGTCGCACGAACAATCTTACAAGACTTCCCAACTAAATGTCTGCTCTGTCAAATGGAGCGCTTCTTAGGTCAATATGTACAAACAGAAAGCATGTTCTCCCCACTCCTCCTACATTTGTTCAGACCTCAAACACCACGATAAGAACAACCTGCACAGACAGAAAGCGAGGTCGAGTCGTCTGAGCACTCTTTTCCTAGGCACCCTGACTGAAAGCTCCGCCACTTCCATCATGAGCAAAGGTAGATAAAAGATAGAGCAGCTTCAGAAATCTCGTCCAAGTAATCAGTCTGCCCTAAGAACCAGCAAAAGCCTGGCTTGGCGTGTACTGCGGGGAAACTCACGAGTTGGCAAAATTGCTGGCGGACGCTGTATGTGGAGAGATTGGAGGCTGTCAATCAGTTCTCTGTGCTTGTCGGACTCTCGTAGGAACAACTCGAGGACTTTCTCGTTCAGCTTGCCAGCCTGGAGGATCCGCTGCATGGCAAGAAAGAACTCACAGAGATGAACTCCTCACGAATATATCTACATATCTGCGTTCAATATAGGAATACATTGACCTGAATGGCTTTCGGCCCTTGGCGTAAATACGAGGCGTGCTCCATCTCCCCGTAAGGAAGATGAGAAAACTCGGGTTACTATTGCAGGAGCCCTGGCCGAAGAACTGTCAACTTATGAGAGCGTCCCATATGAATCAATTGTGTAGCTTGCTTCTCCCACCTTAGCGCCACAGCCAGGAACATCCTCCGACATTTCCAATTGAACAACTGCTCGTTATGGTCAAGGTCGCTGGCATGCCTACTGATTCGAAGCTGCCCTGTCTCTTCAGAGCACTGGTCCGAGTACAACGCAGGAACGGTGAGCTCAACCTGGTCATGCTAGTTATAACATCAATTGGGTAGAAGTTCTAGCACAGCTACTGTTCAGCTAGTTGATCAGAGAAGCTCCACCAACAGCTTAACCTTGGCTACTACCTGCTAAGCCAAAGGCACAAATCTTCGACCTGAAAACTTGTGTAGGAGATGCACTCTAGAATCTATAAAGCACTTCAGATAAGTGTTCAGAAAGGACAACGGGCTAATAGCTGTGTCCCTACTCACAGGTGGTGAACTCACCTGGAAGAGTAACACCAAAACTTCCTCTGGCAGAGCTTCCAGCGAAACGACCTTGTCGATGTTCTTCACAAGCACGTCCAGCGATTGGTTGAACAGAGAGGACGGCCCTGACATCCGGGCCGCTCCTGATTTGTCACCACCGGCTGGGTGAGAAATCCGGGAGGGTTGTCCTGACCAACTCCGCCTTGCTGCACTATTTGCTCGGGCTCTTTACTTCTGGTTGAATGACAAACAAACGTGATTTAGAGAACTCCGTCAGCTATACCTGTTTACCCTGCTCGCTTACCATTGTTTTATCACTAGCTTTCTATTGCTTGCTAGACCTTAACCTACACGAACAGGGCAAGAACGTCTCTCGAAGCTAGGTTAAACTCATAACACATGACAAAGTCTGCGAACATCGCCCGTTCAACCTGCACACTGCAAGCAGCGCGTTGAGCGCATCCTTTTTGGAAAGCGTTGGATGCTTGAACGACAGAAGACGTAACTTCTGCGTCGTAAGCGCAAAGCTATCTAGAGGAGCGCAAAGCTATCTAGAGGAGAAGTTGAAGTTCCTACTGCAGAAAGGGCGCCCTCCTTTCCCTGTAGTCTGTAGAGTCGCGAACCTTCGAATGAACTTTTCTGGTGCCTGGACAAAGAAAGATTTGTTGTGTTTAACCCGTCCGGGTTAACATATGATGGCCTTACATAAAACGCCGGTTCTCGCGCCACTTACAAGAAACGGCAACGGATTAGTGGTAGATACTGCCGGTTGACCATACGGCCTGCAAATTCTAAACCCTTTTCTAAACCCTAGGTAACCCGTTGTTCGAACTTCGAACTGCTCTAGAGTCTAGCTGCCATACAAATTTGAATATTTACAATTAAATAATATTGCAGGGCAAGCCCAGGGCCAGAGCCAGGGAGCTCAAATTCAACGCTGTCTGGCCAGATCTTCGCTGCTGAACGGGGAGCATGCAATTTGCACAGCATTCTTTTTCTCGGCCCTGGGCATCAGAGTTGGTGGCAGCCTCAAACCTACTTTAGACATCAAACGACTTACTCCTTGTAAGGCAGTATTACTAGCATTGCCGTGGCCGTTTGCAGAGCATCACGCAAAACGTCAAGAAGCCCGGCGCACAGTGAAGCAGCTGAGTCGAGTCAGATTCCTTCCAATAGTCTATGTAACATCTTTCCAGAAGGAGCTGAAATGTGATCAGACCTTGAATTGGTCAGCTGGATACCGAGTTCCACTGTGCCCCTGCTTTCAGAATAAGTAGTCACCAATACAAGTCTTATCAGCAACCTTTTGCTCATCAAGCTGTTTGTTACGGCCCACATTTCACTCCGCTGATCGACTGGCAGCGCAGACTCCATCACAATCATCTGATCAGTGCAAATCGGGTTCTTGATAAGCTCGCTCTATCAGCAAGTTCTCACATATCAGTAAGCTCGACCCACCAGCCGAAACTGCCTTGTCACTGGCCCCCCATCATCAGCAACATTGCAAAGGTTTGATACAGCCAGCGGTTCGGAGCAATCTCCTAGTTTCAGTCTCATCTAATCTTGAACTAAGTTTCCCCAGCAAAAGACTGAATTAACCCAACCTAAAACCTTTCTCTAAACCAGGAGGTTCACTAGAAAAGTTGTGCCAATTTCTCCTGGCCCAATGCCCCTCCCCACGCACTCCCGCTATGACTACAGCCCCATACTCCACCGCCCCCCTTGGCGCTGGCCCAACGACACCGGCCTCGCCGTCTACATCGCCATAAACCTCGAGCACTTCTCCTTTGGGGGGGGGCTCGGAGCGCAGCTCGCGCTGCCCCCCCCGACGCAGCCCGACGTGCTCAACTTCTCCTGGCGCGACTACGGGAATCGGGTTGGGGCGTGGCGGTTGCTAGACCTATTGAAAGAGTATGAGTTCCCGTGCTCTTGTCTCGTAAATTCTGAGATCTACAGCTACTGTCCTGAGCTCCTCAAAACGTTTCAGGGGGAGGGGCATGAGATTGTTGCGCACGGGAGGGGGAACCACGAGCGGCAGGGGGGGCTGGCAGAGGACGAGGAACGGAGGCTGATTGCGGAGGCGACGGAGGTGTTGGAAACGAAAGGGGGGGTGCGGCCAAAGGGGTGGCTCAGCCCCTGGATCTCGGAGAGTAATGTGACACCAGATCTACTGCAGGTGGGTGGGTATCTAGGAGATGAGCTTCAGTGTCAAGAAGACTCGTCTGGAAGAGAGCTTTCCTGATTTTTGTTGCTTGCCCGGTTGGCCTGGAAGCTGAGTCGTATAAATTTTCCACCTTGACTCGCTGAAATTTTTGAGAATCCCAGGAGATAGCTTGGAAACGTCCAGGATTTATCAATCTCAGTGTGCAGCCCCCTCAATGGCAAGACCCAACGATTGCAACAGTGTTGAGATGCACTCACTCTTGGGTTCTCTGTTGTACGCACACATCGGCTCTGCCGCTTTTCCTTCCAAGGGACCAATTCAGCACCGAGCCTGCAACAGCCGTTTGCTTGGTTCTCAACTTTTGGTCGCTACCTAGGTCTCTTCAAACTATGGTCCATGCCTGTCAAATCGTGTAACAGGTTGGCGCACTGCATTCTTCTGCTGAACCTTCGCTCACAAATGCAGGAGGCCGGGTATAAATACACTCTCAACTGGGCTTCCGACGACCAGCCCTTCTGGATGCGCACGCGGAGCGGATCGCACATTGTGTCCGTACCCTATCCCCAAGAACTAAACGACATCCCGACGATAGTCCCCAACCGCCGGTCTCACGTCGAATTTGTCGACATGATCATTTGCAATCTTCGCGAAATGGAACGCCAAGTTGAGCGGACGGGCCAGGCTCTCGTCATGGGAATTGCTTTGCATCCATACATAATGGGGCAGCCGTTCCGGTTGCACGAGCTGCGGCGGGCGTTGGATGTATTAAAAATGAGACAGAGTGCAGAGAAGATTTGGCTGACGCGCGCTGGAGATGTTGCAGAGTACTTTGCGGGCTTGGACTTGAAGGCAAGCGAAGTCACTGAGGGTGGTCAGTAGCGGCCGATTTTGGAATGTCCACAAATCCTGATTGACAGAGTCATTGCTTTGTCAGGAGCGGCGCTTGACAGTTGTTAGCGTCCGCTTTGTGGCGGTGTGGAGGTTTGGACGGGCGGAACCACATTCCGAGATATATGTGTTAGTATCAACTCGGCCGCGCTTCTGGCCAATTTCGTATACGTACTTACTGAAGCTTGGTCAGTATACAACCTACTCAACGGCTTTCCGACCATCGGTCGTCTATGGTGCTACAATCGTTACTACTGTAGCTCCGGCTTGCGCGGCATGGATATCATAGTGTGGTACATAGTACAATATTCAGAGCTAGCTGAAACTTATGTACGCTCTGGCGCCGTGGCTGCTCAACACCGAGGCCCATGCCACTTATCATCAAATACTATGCTGCATAGTATGCCTGACTAAATATACTTGACAGCCGCATGCTCCACAAGTGTTTTTATTGCCGGGCAGCCGCCGGACTCAGCCTGCGTCTCGACCGCGCAGTTGATCGGCGCGTGTGCAACGTACAGCCAGCCATATGCGCCGCAGCAATTATGTCGGCATAGATCGACACATCTTTGAATGTTCGATGTTCAATAATATATGGTATGCTAATGAGGTTTATTGCCGCCGCATGTAAATTGCCCTGTCCACAAACGCATGGTTTTCCAGTATCCCAAAGCGAGGGGCTAGCGTCCCTGCCGTTGGATCAATGCTGCTTGTTAACCATTGCGCAGGACATTGCATGTGGGCTCAAGCCCTTAAAGCTGCTATAACGACTTAGGCCCCTTGTGTGCGAGGCACCATCTTCTGATGCTGCCGCTCACGGTACTAGCAGGGACAGCGACTGGCGACGCTTCGATTGGAGGACCGAATTGTGGACTTTCGATCAATTCAGCACGAGCATTAGTCGTTTCTAGGCAGGCGTAGTTCTTAGACCCTAGAATAGCGCCTGCTGGCCACTTCGTGGCAGCGCGGTTAGTGCAAATGCAGAATAGGTCGTTTCTTCGTTCGGTTCTAGGCTGTCGAATATCGTTGCAAGAACATGTCCATGCGAACTTCGCATTCACAATGCGCCTGTACCTGCACACCGCCCCATGCCTTTGATGCGCACGGGCTATAAGAGAAGTGTCCATGTTCAATTTAATTGGAACATCCGGAGCAACTGCATATCTGATCGAGATGAAGTTGCATGACGGTGTGTACTGTCATGCATATAAATGAATCAAGCGCGGAGCACGCCCGTGTATAAGGGCGGCCGCGGCCAGGCTTGATATATTAATTCAATAACGTAGTTTGACCATTCACTCGGTCATTGCATGTCTATAGGACCGGCCCCGCGCCCATGCATGTAAGCCACCAAAGTCAGCTGTACGCACTTTGAGGCATGTGATTCAGAATTAATGATGAGATAGCCGCGGCCGCATTTCATGATTGCATGCAGTACGTTGTTCACAGATCGAAGATCGAGTACATAGAAAGTGCAGCCCACTTGAGTCCATGAAACAGAAGTGATGTAGGAATTCTGGAGTAGAGTAATAGACCTCCTCCTTCAGAATCCATGGAATCCAGCCAAGTAATGATGCTAAAAGCGATCCTGCCGAAGATGATGTTGGAATTTCGGATATATGTAGCCCTTCCAATCCTAGAGCTGTTATGATTCCAACGCATAACTTATTTATCGTACAAACTTTCGGAGCTTCACCTCATGGGATGGACCTAGTTACGTAACTCTGCTAAGCAATCTCCTCCTTGATCCAAAAACAAACCTTATGAGAAACCCTGATTGCAAACTAAAGCCAATGTCCTCAATTCATTTCACCTTACAGTGCGCGACGTTTATCTGAACGATCCGTGCAGACTAAGCGGACCCAATTCCATTTCGACGAGTGCAAAATATCACCTCAAGCAAGCAAATACGCTTTTGATCTCCCGGTTTATTTTTACCTCCATATTCTAACCAAGAATAAGTTACCTCTTCCAATGCAATAGACTACAAAAATGAGACGTAATCTCGTGAAGCACAAACGACTTAAACGTTGACAACGAAGGCCTGCGTTGTGTTGGCGCCATTATCGTTGTAGACCGTGATTGTCTGACTCGGGGAAGCATTCCCGTTGGAGTCCTTCAAAGTAACCTTGTAGGTTCCGTGGAACACGCGCATCTGTAAAGGCAGCAAGCAAGGTTTTTGAGTCTCTCAGCAAACAACCATTTTGATGCATGGATGATAAGCGCCAACGCAAACAACCGCCACCGCGAGCGCCGCCAAAAAAACTGGCAAAGAGGAGAAAAACCAGGTTAAAAAGATCACTATACATTAGAAAAGAGGGACGATCCAGGCGCCGCTGAGCGTGGAATCTTTCGTTGAGGTCATCTGCAGCTAATCTGGAACATTCCACTTGTCAAACAAGCCTGCGGGCTTGCTGACTGCTTGCTGTTGACGGAGGAGAAGGAAGAACGGTCGGGACGCAAGCCGAAACAGAGCCACACGACGTAGCAATGAGCCTGAATGTGTCTGGGGTATCCCGAGGGTTTGTCACCGACTGAATGGAAAACGGCGCAAAGAAAGTGATGTAATGACGCCTGAAAGAAAGGCGTCAAAGCGAAACACTCAACGAGCGAGGGAGCAGCGTATAACGGCGTAAAGGCCGAACGTGGAAGAATGAAGAAAAAATCACCGAAAACAAAACGAGGCCTCGCAAGGGGGAGGAAAGTGGCCGGGAACACGTTTGCAAACCTTCGTAGTAGCAGAGTAGATGGAAGCCACGGAAGCGCAGAAGAAGAGAAATGTGACGAGAGTTCAAGAAAAGAACGGGACCAAAAGCGGAAGTGGAACCGGAGTTAAACCCACCGGCGAAGCGCTGCCTTGCCTGCTAACCGCCCTGTTAACCACTCCGTTACGGGAGCCCAAAAGAAGGACTGGCTCTTTCTGGCACCAGTGCAGCGCTGCCGTGGCTGTTGAACCGCCTGATAATCGCTCTCCTAACGGAATTTCAAGAAGGAGATGAGGAAAGCCTACCGGCGCAATGCAGCCTCGGCTGCTAACCGCCCCGTCAACCACTCTCGTTACGGAGGCTAAGAATGAAGGATTAAAACCACCATGCGCAGTGCTACCTTAACTTTTAACCACTTTTGAAATCCCTCTCCTTACGGGATCCCAAAACAAATAAAACACTCAAAACATACCGGCGCAATGCTGCCTTGGCTGCTAATCGCCCCGTCAACCCCTTTGTTACGGCAGCTCAAAAAGCCGACGAAAGCTTAACCGCCCAGTAACCAGTCTCGTCACCGGGGAACTCAGAAAGAAACGATTCTTAAAACCCGCCGGCGCAGCGCTGCCTTGGTCGCTAACCGTCCCGTCGACCACTTTCGTCACGGCAACTTAGAAAAGAGACAAGCACCCAACACCGTTAACCGCCCCGTTAACGTCTCTCGTCACGGAAACCCAAAGTAAAAGACGAGGTATAGAAAACCCACCGGCGCAGCGCTGCCTTGGCTGCTAACCGCCCCGTCCGTAACCCGCGTCGTCCACTCGTCCCGCAGCTTGAGGTACCGCTGCCCCGCCGCATTTGGCGCGTACGTGTCCGAAGCGAACATGCACGGTCCGCACGTGGCGTCCGAATCGCCGCCCCACGGGTACGGCACCATGTGCTGGAACATGATGGCTGACACGTGGCGGTTGGCGAAGAGCTGCCGGAGCGATGTCTCGACGATGTTTGCCTGGTAGGTGCGGTCGAAGGGGTAACCGTTGCCGAACCCGACGTTGACGTTGAACTCAGTGACTTGGATGGGAAGGCCCGTGCGGTTGTGGATGTAGTCGATGCCTGAAAACGTAAGGTGAGCGCGATAAGGCTTCTAGAATCTGGCAGAATCTGTTTTTGATTCTGTCAACACAACTCGAATGTTTTAGAAGGAGAAAATGCTCAAATGTAAGGGTGTCCTCCTACGAATGCTCTTGCTCAACAAGCTTTCTTTCGGTCCGGCCAGTCTCGGTCGAGGGACTTTAAGAAGGATAGAGAACCGTTTCAAGGGAGCCCCCTTCATGTATACGCAGTGCGAAAGAAGAGAACCTTTCCAAATCTTCCACATTCAGAACACAGGAGTATAACAGAACCGGGCGACAGAGAATTGTCGCCGGTTTGGAGTCCCGCCTTCCGGGTTCTCACTCACAGCTTGGTGGAAAGCCGCAAATAACCGTCGATAGATGGGATGATAGCCAAGGCGCGGACAGGACCCCGCGACAAAAGCCACGTTCTTCCGTCCTCCGCAAATAAAGCACTCAAAAGCACAGCGCAAGGTGGTTCCCTTACCGATGCTCATGCGCTGCGCCTCGTTCTCGTTGGGCGTGATTTGGAACTGCAGCCCCGCTACATTCACCAGCTGGCCCGCCCCCTGAGCGTTCAGGAAGTTGATCCGGTCGATGTAGTTGTCAGGAGATACGGGGTCTCCGCCGTTCTGCAGAGAGTCGGTACAGCTGTGAGTCGCTCCGGGGTTTGGGGTTTAGCAGAGAATGCAGAGCAAAAACGCATTTCCGAGTGTGCTACCGCTCAACAAAGAGGCACAAATCTGACGTTGCGCAGTCAAACCAGGGTCGAGGTTCGTAACCGGACTCTGTGACCGAAGAGCCTTTTCGAGTGCCATCATATGAGAAATGAACTTGACTTTGAGCGCAGTGGGGCAAGTAGACAAGGCGGGTGACTTACTTGAAGTGGGAAGTTGTAGTAGCAGCTCTCGCCGACATCTGCATTGCAACATTTTGAAGGAAGTCAGATCTTATTAGGCAAGCAAAGTAGGAGGACTGAAGAGTCCCTCTGCCTTCCACATCTCCTAACCCCGAGTTTCCGAGGACATGCGCTCCGTTTTGCAAAGGCTACGACGAGGGCGCATTTAGGCGAGCGTACTCGAGTTATGACTCAGGTCAAGTGCCACACTGATGTGAACGTCACGTTGAGCAAGCGGCTCGGCGTTTGGCAGATTCCCCAGAGGCGTCTTACTTTTACGAGAGCCCATGCACGGCAAAAGCAGGTCGGTGAAAAAGGTCGCAAAATACCCAACTCTCAAACAAGAGGACGGAACACGAAAGCGAGCAAAAAGACAACTGATGAAGTCAAGGAAATAGGCGCGGCGCGCTCACTGTACTCGTTGAAGGTGATGGGCGTGTTGTGGCCGATTGCGAGGTCGGCGGAACGGACCGTAGTGAACATCTCGACTGCAGGTCCAGGAACAAAACGTTCGTGAGTGGCCAGAGCGAACTGGTTCTCGAGGACTTCAAGCTTTTGAAATACCAGAAAAGAATTTGACTTCACGTCCAAAGAGCTGGAACGTCTGTCAATGGCCCCGGCAAAACGGAGCGACTCGGGTGGTTAACAAGAACGAAGTTCCTCGGAAAATGGTTTGGAATCATTGAATATTAGTTGGAGACAGGGTCGTGAAAGCGCAATTCAGAGGAAACGCCCCTCTCAGAACGCACAAGGTAAAGAGCCCAGAGCAAACGCTGAAAGCTATTCTTTTTACTCTTGCCAAGCTGAACCAGCTGAAGGGACTCATGGAGGAAACCAACGCACCGATGCTGTCTATCCCGTTGGCGTTTCTGGGGATGTACGTATTGTGGATGCCCTCATTGTCCACCGTCACAGTGACGTAACGACCGTCCGCCGCGTTCATGGCCCTGATTGCGCGCTGCGCGATCAGCGCGTCGAGGTTGCCCTGCGGAGGCGACACGTGGCTGTCAACGGACGGTCCGATTTGCTCCAAAAGAACCGTGTGACGGCGGTGCTACTGCGGGCGTTTGCAATTGTGCACAAAAGCGACGACCAGGTTCCACTCACTAGGATATCCTGGAAACCTGATTGACCTCATTCGCCTGAACTCAAAAACCTTAAACTGTGAGGTGAAGTTGGTTCTTGTCGGTCTTAAAGGTAACCCTGAAACCCTGAAAAGCTTCCTTACGAACCCTGGCCCCCACTTGCTGCTGCACCCAGTCAAGGACTCTAGAAACCCTAACATTTCGAATCGCCTCAAACCTTGACTTAACACAAACCTTGCAAATCTGAAAGGGCCTGCTTACGCACCCCGGCCGCCACTTGCTGCTGCACCCATTGGGGGATCCCGTTGTTGAGGTCATCCCACACAATCTGGGGTCCCCATAGGGACAGGTTCGAGCTTTGCACCCAGGCAATGAACGGCTCGTTGCCGGCGTAGTTAAGCGTGTTCGGCGCCGGCTCGTCAGTGATCCAGCCCCTGAGGAGAAGGGTTAAGGGCGGGTTGGGAAAGGGTCTGAAGAAAGGTGAACAGCTTCATCGCTCCAAAGTGGTGAAAATGCGGGTCAACCTGATGATCTAGCCACTAAGACGGGAGTTAGGGTTCAGCTTATGCATTGGGCTTATGCTTTTGCTGATCGTGGGAAGAGGGTGGAAAAGCGACTAAGCGGGAAGGAGCCTTTAGGAACGAGGCAGATCCAAGGTTTGCACCGCTTTTGCTGGTCGATGAGCATAGAGGGTCCCATGGCAAACCTTATCAGCGCGGCTTTTAGGCACTTTTGCGCAGCACTAAACCGGTGGATGAAAGCGAAATTTATCTTGATTTGTCTCGCTTTTTATGGATTACCCATAGCAGTGTCAAACTGAGGAGATGTCCACTAATCACAACCCCTCTGTTCTAAGAGGGGTTGGTTCTAGCAGTAAGCTACACAGAAAGCGGACGTATGGGTACGCTCGAGCCAGATGCCACATACAAGGACAACAGAACATGCGAAATAGACCAATCTAAAAGCAGAAAGTTCCCCATTTTAGCTACGAGAACCAGGGGGTAAATCATAGTATCTCAGAAAAAGGGGCGACTCACGACAATCCCTGCGCCACAGCACTGGCCTTGAACGTGTTGAACACAAAGTTTTGCAGCGCCGAGTCCGTCACCACTTTCGTGTCGAGGTCCTGGATGCCCCTGCAGAGTAAGCGACGCTAGGTGAGGTCAGGTGACGTCAGCGTACCGAGTTTGCAGGCACTGCCGAGAAGAACGACTCTGTCTGCTCGAAGTTTCATTGGTAGCCTCATTTATCGACACCTGTCAGCCGCACACGCGATCTTTCGAAAGGTAGAGACGGTAGACACGCGTCCTTCTAGAAGCACTGTTCTCGTTCTGGGGTTTCGATTGGTCCTGATTCAGTGGTACTTCACAAGGTACCGGGACTGATTTCGCTCAATCAGTCCGCAACTAAGCTCTGGAACTTGATTTCTTCCGACGGTGGGACAAGCACCTAGGTATCTCCCTCCTGTCGAAAAGGCATCGGCCTTCGCAGTCAAAATTTTCAAACCCTTCCCTGTTCTTTTCTTTGCCACAAGATCACCTGTGTCAGACGCACGAAAGAGTCGAGCTGCCTTTGAAAGGCCCTATAAACCTGAAGCGTCCGCGGACATTTTCCTGATCAGTGAGTCAAAGGGTCTAAAGGAAGCAGGCGCTGGTCATAACAGGCCCTGATTCTCACCATGGAAAGCCCGCACGGACAAGCTCCAAGTCGAACGTTCCGGCCACGGGGGCTCCGTTCCGGCGGAAGGACAGCTGGAGGGGTGCCTTGCGCCACTGCGAACGGTCGGACAAAACACGTCAGCCGATCGGATGAAGATACGTCAGCCTATCAACTGAGATACGTCAGCCGAAACACGTAGGGATACTGGGAGAGGGTTCTGGACGTGGACGTTTTGAGAAAGAAGCTGTCGTTGTCCGCCAAACCAGACGGCAGCTAGCGGTCCAGAAAACGGGCCGTACTACGGTCACGCATGCGGCCGTCGCTGCCAGCGTTACATATGCAGGCAGATGGCAAGTCTGCTGAAGCGAGAGTTTTGCAAGGAATCTGAACGGATGCGTCTGTTTTCTGGGGTTGGTACTTGGCAACTATGCGGAGGCAGCTGACGTCAAGGTGAGCTTTCCTGTCAGCATCTTCATCCCGGACGTTCCCAAAGCGAGTCCGACTTCCCGCAGTGTCGGACTCAGAGAATCAAAGACCAGAGACCAGGATACTGAAAGGACACTGATAACGCATCTGTTCTACAAGGAGCGCGGAGAAACACGTTTCAAAATATTAATAAGCCCACCTGATCTATGCTTGCGTTCTGCGCTTTGATGATATCGGACGTGCTGCGTGGAACGACGGACACGCCGTGCACGTGGATGTCCGCAGAAGTGTCCGCACTGCCAAGGAGACAAACAATCAGTGAGTGCTATAAGCCTACAGTTCAATGATAGATCTCTCGCCTTGTGCTCAACTGGTTCCCAGGTTTCGAACAACGAACTTTCTGGACTTCCAGTATCCAGATTCAAAGTAGATTCAGAAAATTGTCACGTTTCCTACAGCTCGCAGAAATGGGCACCGTGGTGAATTAAGTCCTCGAAAACATCCTCGAGTTCTGCCTGAGCGCCGCTGCGGTCCAGGATATGAAAGAGAATGTAAAAGCGGTTGCTCCGAGTCTGAAAATCACAAAAGAGTTTTTGATGGGGTGAGAACAAAATGAACACAGGCGCGCGGGTGTAAATAGACACTCACCCGCCGATCCGGATCGTCTGTGAGCTGGTGGGAGGTGTAAATGCGTCCATCAGCGGCGATTAGCGATTGTTTTGGATCAGCACGATAGGGAGTTTGGGAAATCAAAGGGAAAAGGAGGACAGTGTAAAAAGGCACTTACACGCCGATCCGGATCATCCGCGAGCTGGGGGCGGTGTGAATGCGTCCACAGCAAACTCTTAAAAGAGCGCGACGAAACGTCCCAGAAGGTTCGGAGGGAAAGGGACGGTGTGAAAAAGCACTCACACGCCAATACGGATCATCTGCGAGCTGGTGGGCGGTGTGAATGCGCCCATAATGAGAGACCAGCAGTCGTTTTGGATCAGCGCCACGGGCGCCATGCAAAAGGGACCCCCCTGGAAGCTGCCCGCCGCCAGAGTGTTGCTCCCGAAGATGATCACGCCGCGGTTGGTCTGGTTCACCGCGTTCCTCGTGCGCACCTGTGAAGGAAGGCGGATGACGTCAGCGAGCCGGAAAGTGACGCTCGAGACAGAGAAGGCGGCACTAGACCGGGATGTATGAGATGCGAAGAGTCCTGCTGCAAAGGGTGCTTCTGATGAAGACCTTGTGACGCCTTAGTAGATTGCATTGAAGGCGCTCAAGGGCCGTGTCCGGGGGTAAATACAGATCCAAAAGATTACATCAGCGAAGCGGAAAACCTAACACTTCAACTCGAGGGACTCGTGACATGAGCCAAGCTGAAGCCCTACTCGTTCGGTTAGGGAAGAGAGAGAGCCGCAAGGGAGCAACACAGCGGAACCTTTTCGTCAGATGCTGACGCTCGTGACATCACCAACAGGTGATCCAACAACGTTTTGAAACTCACCCATGCGCTAAAATAGTGGCTCTGATTCGCCTGCAGGTTATTGACTTGCACCCCCACAGCCGCATCGACCCGACCTCCCCTGGCGGCAGCACTTGCCACCACGTAGGTTCCAGTGGAGTCCGTCTGGTTGGTCAGGCCGCCGGAACAGAACGGACAGAACCAGTTGAACGGAATCCCGCTGGAGAAGTCGTTGTAGACGATGTTGCCCGCGGGGGCGCTTGAGACGAGGGACGTCGAGCACTGCAGAGAGCAACCGGGGGAAGCTTAATCGACTAATTGTAGCTGCCTGAAGCGGTGTTATAAGTTTTTCTAGTTTTGTTGTTGATAAAAATGTCCGCTGATCTCACCATCGAGTTTCAGCAAAACCCCTGTTCCTTCGAGAAGCATGTCGACGCCCGTTGACTAAGCAGATACCGAAGCTGGACCGTTGGATGCGTTGAAGCACAAACACGACGGAGAAAATTCAGACATGATCGGGGGGGTCGCTCTGGGCACTCACCACGTTCCGGGGGGGTGAGGGAAAAGCAAGAGCTGCACAAAGGAGCCAGCGGAGAAGACTTTGTCAGTACCAGTACCGAGACAGGATTTGCAAGGTCCTCCGTGGCAACCTCCGAGCGACCTAAGAATTCCACTCTTGCCTCCACAGCTCATTATTGCTTGTTCCGTAAGTTTCGGATCGTCAATCTCTGGGTTGCGAAATATCAAACGGTAGTCCTTACGATGAAATTGTCGACGACAGTGCTCAAATACAGGGTCGAGCACCCAGGCTACGACAGACACAGATTCCACACACATCGGCGTGCTTCCCAGGTCAGTGCCAAACTCTACTACAGAAAAAAGCACCTAGATGTGGAACCCAAATTCACGGGTTCACAATCTCACAAGGGCTCCGCACTCACAAAGGTTCGCCGAGCCGGACAGCTGGCACGTGAAGCCGTTGCCCACGTAAGGGCTCCGGCAGAGACAGCTGGCACTCGTCTCTGCGGCGCTCGCGCTCTTGGACGTGACAGGTGTCGCGTTCGGGTCGCACGGCCGGCAGTTTTGGCCGTCCCCCGCAAATCCGGGGAGGCACGCGCAGGAACACGTGGCAGAGGAGCCGCTGCCGCTGCTGACGGAGGTGGCGTTGATGCCGCAGTCTGAGGGATGCGTTACGAAGGAATACAAACGGTTACGAGAGGTTACGCAGGGTTTAAGGTCGAAAAAGTTGCAAGGAATTGATTTAGGCTGAGATGGCTCGAGGTGCATAGAAGGGGTGCAGTCTGAAGGAAGGTTACGGATTGGTTTCGAGGGTTTCAAGGTTTCAGGGCTGAGATGGCTTGAGGTGCATAAAAGGATGGCAGCCTGGGGATGAGTTACGAAGATATGAGATGCTTCTAGGTGCCTGGAAGAGGTTGCAGTCTGCTTAGAAGGGCTCGGCCGCATCGCGCAAAGGGGCGTCAAGGAAAGCTTTGAAAGGGAGAGCTCCAAATGTCGAGGCACGGAAAGTCTCGGGTTAAAGACTAACGTTCGAGTGAAACATAAAGAAGAGACGAAGAGCTCAATGTCTGTGCAACTTTACTCCAAAAGGCGTTGAAATTTTGGAGTGCGAGCCCTGTCCATTTTGCCTCCAATCTCTCGCGTCTCTATTTTGATCGGAGACTAAGACCAGTGGCAGTGCACCATCTCAGAGAAGAGGGTGACGAAGAACAAGTAGGGTATGTAGCCTCCTCATTACATGCTTGTACAGTTGGACACCCCGAAGTATGTATACCCTGATACTCCAACATTAGGCAAAACAATTTGGTTCTCACCACCAGCGAGTAAGTGCGCTCTTCTCAATCTGGTTCCAAGATTGCTTACAAGTCAGTCACTTTAACTCTAGAGGCTTTCTGGATACAAAAGGAAAAGCTCACTCACATCGGGACTTGCTACAGACGTAAGCGGTAGGGGAGATTGGGAGCACTGAGCTGCATGCATAGTCCAGTATCTGGCCGTTCTGCCACTTGGCGCAGTTCTCGTTGTTGCGCTCGACACCGTAGCTTCCGTCGGCGCTGTTGTAATCGTTTGGCTCGGCTGTGCTGGCAACCCCGGTCTCAACGCCGCGCCACCGGACGACCGACTTCCGGTTCATGAGGTCCCAGGAGACCGAATTCTGGGCCATGCAATCCTGCGAATGCAATGAAGGACTTGGATGAGTTGGTCTCTCTTTCCATGCAGTCCTGCGTAGCAATGGAAGTTTACATAAACGCGTATTTTTCTTCTATTTCTTGTTAGAGTCTCTTTCTTCTTGCGGGAGCCCCTGCGCATGTCTAGACGACCGCCGGAGGAGACTTCGTGAGAATTTTCCCAAAAGTGCACCTTCCTTGCAAGCCCAAGTGCCACCTGGTGGTTGATGTGCACAGCGATTGTGAGAGCTGTGGCAAAAAGTTGATCCTAGGGCTTTGAATCAGAAGAGGTTTGATAGAGTGTCACCCCACAATATTCTTCGAGGGAGCGAACTAGACGACGGCAAGCCCGGAAAACCCATCTTTACACAGAAGCTTTGGTCACCTACAAAAAATACTGACACTATCATGCAACTCAAGCCCTCATAGGCGCCCTTAGGACGACCGATGTGAGGCTGACTTAAACCTCGAAATGCTTGGGAGTACATTGCATGAGATTCAAGAAGCCAGGAAACTCCAATAAAAACCACCGTCTACATCCGGACATAAAGTCCGTACTCCACAAGCCCACCAAGACTTTCCAACACCTGGTTTCTTAACAAAGTCGCTTCTCACCTGCCAATACCACCCGGCACTCGGCAGGGCCTGGTCCGCCAGCTGGCGCACCCCAAACCAGCAGTCCGTTTGCGCACTGCCCGCACACGTGGCATTGATGTCCTGCCACTCTCCGAGCGTGGATGCCGACGCCAGGTGTCCCCCCTCATTCACACAGTGCTGCTCCGCGACGTCCCATGAGACTCGGGATGAGTTTTTGACGAGTAAGTGACAGCCGCCATTTGAAGTCTGAGTCCAACCAGAGGGGCAGGACGCAAAATCTGCCAGGAGAACACGTATTCTTTCTCCGTATCCTTCCACTTCTGGGGCTCCAGAAGGGTTTTAAACGGGGACGAATAAGAACAAAAGCGGGGTTGGTTCTTTGAGCCCCGTCCATAGGGGTGCAGGGGCAAAGTGCAAGTCAGGGGGCAGGCTAACAATATCTATACTTTTCTGTTGTACTTATTCTGATCTACTTGATCGATCTCTTCCAGCTCCTAGTGACAGGAATGGAGGTGCAGCAAAAAAGGATGGTGGTCGTGGTGCCGTCCAAGGGGGTTAAAGTAAGAGCGGGATAGAAGAAGGGTTCGGGTCTGACTTCTCTGGCATCGAATTCCAGCACACAGCACGGAGATGGTATGAGGAGAGGCGCTCGCAGATAAGGCTTCAGATGTGAGACATACTGAAGGGTTTTGTGGAAAGAGTGAAAGTTCTTCTTTCACCACCTTTTCTTTTCATGTGTCTGACTTCCAACCAACAGAAAGAAAGGGGAAAAGGTGGCCACGAAAGAAGATTTTGTCTTGGGAGTCATCTTGAGCTGGGGTAAAATCCTGCTTTGGGGGTCAGACAGGGGGTTTGACAGGGAATGGTATTTTTTTTCTATTCTTTTTCGACAACGTGTTGGATTTTCACCCTCGAATGCGCCAAGAACGGGAACAAGTGGATTGAGACAGCTTGGTGACTCAAGAGCTTGGGGAAAACACGGAAGGGCTTTGGAGCGGAAGCATTGATTGGCTGTGCAAGAAGAACGAGCAAAGGGGGCTGATACGAGTAGAGACAGGAGAAGAGAGTACAAAAAGCTAGCTTGCAACCGAACTCAGAAAGAGCTGATCGTAGGGTTACACATGCAAAATCTACCAGCTTTGAGCACAATTGTCAGGAACTGGGTCCTTGATTGCAATTTCATGCTCACATGCTCAGAGTTTGTAGCTCAACTATCACCTTGTCAGGCTTGAAAAGATACTTTTTGCGGCCCGGTATGCGGCGTCAAGAGATTGTACACTGACAGAGCTAAGGGAGTCCACATTCAAAGCCAGACGTGTACCTGGTGAGTTTCTAAAAGTCAAGAGTGGCCCCTTTTTGAGTCGTTAGCTCCAGAATTATTTTCTCGTTACAAGAAAGGGCACAAGGCAGTAGCCCCTAGAGTCTGCTCACGACTTAGCCAAGCTGTTCGCAATTTTGGAGAGCTCATGCTGCAACAAAAAAATCTGAACATCACTCACTTTGAAAGGTCTGCCCGTTCACACCGCTGCCATAACTCAACCCGAGCAGCACAACAAGTAGGTGACAGCAAGTCTGAGGGTGCCAGATCCTGAGTTCAGCCCCGCTTCTCCCACTAGGAGTCTGCCCTGCTCGTGGCGACATGGTTGCAACGAATGGTGGGAGGAATCCCTCACAACGAAGCACAAAAAGTGATGCACCTGCGGAACATTGGTGGAGAACCTGAGAGAACTCTGAACGAGCAAGATCCAGAAGAAGAATGCAAGGAGAAGCCGCCGTTTCCTACCAATTCGAATCCTACGTTCTGTAGGCAGACCTTCCTGCTCAATTTTGAAAGCTCTGCAGATTGCAAGTTTGTAGAGATAAGCGAGGCAGGCGCTTTTAAGGACTCCAGTCGGGACTCGACTCTCGAGTAGTCCACGTAGCTGGCAACCGTCACAACCGATCCAGGGTGATCACCACGTTGGACGGTGCAGATCATCTGAGCCGCATGCAGCTGTTTTGGACGGTTGCCGTGATTCTGTCTGATTCCGCTATCTTTGGCAAGTGATTTCCCATTTAATCGTAGGCCGTCGATACGATTTGGCACAGTTTGTCCGCCAATCGGACGGGCCCAGGCTGACGGTGAGTGCATTATGCAGTTGCAAACTCGGATAATACCGGTATTGCATGAAATAATGACTGGTATGGATTCACCATAAGCTGATAAGCTACCGTATCTCGTTGCAAGTTTGAGAACTTTCTGTAGACTTTTTGTGAGCATTGCCCTTACCATCTGTCTGCCATGTCATGTCGATTTAGCTTTCATTTATTAATTAGACGATCATGCACTTGGACGAGCAGAGCCGGCCGTGCCAGCGCAATGCCTTTATCAATATGGTGCCATCGACCGCAAACAGTTGACTCCGTTGCGTGCACACTTTTCATAGACAGCTTCCAAGCTTCTTGCCAGCCTGTAACTTTTTGACATTGCATTATCGCTTCTCCTCACTTACAAAGGACTTTGTTCCCTTGGTTGACCTTCTTTTTGCAGCCGAGACTCTAATTCCTCCATAAGCGATTCCCCCTCGGATCCGTCCCGTTGCACAATTAGATCCGTTGCCGCTTCAGCTCCACACCCGTACACAAGAATGCTGCCCTGTGTTGTGCCGACGAGGATCTCTTCATTCTCCGCTCTTGCTGCCAAGCACCGCAGCTCATCGCCGTAGGGTATCGTCTTCAGCAGGTGACCCTAGAGTAGGAACAAAGTCTTGTTATATGTCAAGAATGCATGCTCCTCAGGCTTAGAGGAGCGAAAGGGGCGGCCCCCGCCGCGGTCCTGCCGAGTTGCTAACCTTTGAACTGTTTTGAAATACGGTTGCTTGTCTCGCTTGATGGCTCCGAATGGTAGTGGAAAGAAGCGCCGAGTCAAGATCGATGAAGCATAGAATGCTGAAAGGCTTGTCACAGGGAACTTAAAACGCGACAACGAGCTCAAACATGCTTATCAGGCAACCCTATCGCATGGTGAGATGCGGAACCACTTCTTGACGACCGTTCTGTACAACTTTCGTAACTTCTGCAGTTTCATCTCAATAGACAAAGCAAGATGGTCCGTTCCCGATCTTTCATCAACCAAGAACCTCTTCTTCATTACGTACCTGACAGCCGTAAAGGACGGACGGACGGCAAGTGACGAAAGCAGCTTGGAACTGCACGTATGAAAGCCTCGAAGAAAGATTTCGACGCCATGCTTCTCACCTTTTCGTAGTCCCACACAAGAACCCGCATGTCCTGCGAGCTGGACAAGAGGCGCCCGGTCACTTTCTGGACGGCGAAGTCCGTCACGGGGCTCTTGTGGCCCTCAAGAGTCCTTTGGAGGGCGCACGCCAAATCCACCGAGATCTGCAATTGGCAAGATAGTGAAACTCATTGGGTGTTTACGCTCTACTATGCTTCTCGGCATAAAGTGTCTCAGCAAAGTTAGCAACTAGCCTAAGAACGACATGCTTGACGATTCGATTGCCGGGAGAAACCTTGGCGGTTTAATGGGAGATGCATCGAAGTTGAAGGAGTACGGAGCAAGCAAGGAACGAACTGAGGCGTGGTATGCGGTCTGCCGAAATAGAGAACCTTGGAGCCTCAGATTAGAGAGTTAGAGGAGATTTGGGGTCAAAACCGGCCGGAATTCGACCACTGACCTACTAGCCTAGTGAGCCTAGGCTACTAGGCTAGTGACCAGTGGTTCAGCCCCCCGCAACCGTCGCGCGCGATTAAATTTAAAATTTGACTCACCGTACGGACGATTTATCGCGATCGCGACGGTCAAATTTCGATCGCACGGTCTACGGTGAATTTCAGCTAGGATCCTAGCTCAGTGGCAGTACCGGTCAACTTTTGCGGGGGGTCTGACTAGCTAGCTAGCCTAGGCTACTAGGTTCCGGGCGGGTTTTGACCCCAAATATACTCTAATTAGTAGCTTCGCGCCAAGGGGCAGGCGGAAACGCGCGAGGAAATCCTTCAGGAAAGCCTAACGTTTACAAGAGGAAGGACTTCAGGCGACTTCGGTCACATTTCAGGTGAGTGCGACTTCTCTTTATGTTCGACTCGGGATGTTCACTCACATCCCATATCCGAATGGTGCCGTCTTCTGAGCCCGAGAAGAGCAGGTCCCCCTCTAGCAGAAGGCACGTGACCGGCGCTTCGTGGCCGCAGAGCGCGCCCCGCGGCTCGGTGTAGCGTACCGTGGCCCAGACCTTGATTGTCAGGTCGTTGCCCGCCGTGAAGAGCAGCTCCTGCGAGGCGGAGAGACTTTATTCAGATGATCTCCAAATTATGACAAGCATAGCGCTTTGGGCAGGAATGTGATGGCCAGAGCGTTCCCAATGAGAACGGGAGCTCCTGCGTGCGGAAGGAGAGGCTTCTACTGACGCCTTAAAGTTGCTTGGCCAGATCATTTTCTTCGGATAGGAGCTCCTGCGTTGGACGGAGCAATTCCATTTTTTAGCACCCTAATGACCGTGTCGTATTCTTTGAGCATGCGCTCCTGCGTTGAAGGAAGGAAAGGCGCGTATCGGATTTGGTAAGAATCGTGGTATAAGTATCAGCCTTGGCACTTGGTCAAGTGAAGCCTTCCATTGATGGTCAGGCCGTTGCCCGCGGTGAAGAGCAGCTCCTCCAACCCGTGAATATTCCTTTTCTAACTCATTGCAAGCACAGCGTGTCGGGACACTTCACCTTTCTGCGGACTTTGATGGCCAGATTGTTCCCTGCGGTAAGCAGAAGCGCGTCATAGATTGGTTCAATGCACTATATTACGCGACTTATTAAAAGGGGTCTATGAATCGACAAGGACAACTGGAAAGTCGGCGTTCCCTCAGAGGAAATTACCATATCTCGACTACATTTGGCGAAGTCGACTCATGTTGCACAAAAAGGTCACGCGTTGATACTTGTCGTTTTGTAAACGAGGAGATCTACGTCAAAAGGCAAAGCGGTAGACCAATTCTTACATGTCTTGTCGAGTGTGCAACGCACAGGATTTCCGCATCCTCATGCGCGACGAACTTCTCAATGAGGTGCGGGGACGCATCAGGGGTGCTGTGTATGTTCCAAACCGCTACCTGCACGGAAGAGCGGAACGCGCGTGGAATGGGCGTGCCGGGCAGACGGAAAGCGGAGCGGAGGGGGCCGGACGCCTACGGAAGCAGAGCACATCGCATTTTTTCGTGGAACTGAGGCTCGATTTTGTGCGCGACCAACTGAACGAAAAACGCAGGGACCGCGTTTGCTTGCATTTGATATGCCCCAGAATCTTTTTCCAAGGAGGTTTTGGAAAATTGCAGTTAAATCTCTTTTCACATTGATCAAGTGGCTAAACGCAAATCAGTCACGCTCTCCCTTTTTGATTGATGGAGTGGAGTCACTCTAGCAAGTCTGTCAGAAAAGTTGTGACAAGAGGCTGCGACGTACACTCTAGCAGCTCGCCTACCTTCCTCCTGATCAGATACCGCTGCGCATCTGTATCCTACTATCAGCAGAACCCTGCCGGAGTGCCTCTGCTGAATACAGTCTTTGAGATGCAGGGTTGAATTGATTACTGAAGGACGCTTCGGAAAGACGAGGGCGACTTCATACCGTGCCATCGAAGCTTGCGGTCGCCAGACAGTGGTCCCCATTCTTTCGTGAGAAGTAGGCCAAGCCAGTGATCGTGTTGCTGCATAAGAACAATATTGGACGCTATTGGCGGTGTTTCAATCGATCTTACATGACGTCTACCTTCTTCTTTGATCTCGAGGCGTGTCTAATCATCGGCTAAAGCTGAAACCTTCCACTTGACTTTAATGCTACAGCTCTGGTGCTCTGCCTCAATGCCAAAACGTTTTGACGATTTCATGGATTTACTATATCACATGGCCAGTCCGATCGCGTCACACTAGTGGACTCCAGTGAGTCCACAGGATCGAAGTCCTCTCGCCTTCTTCTCAAAATTCGCAGACGTATCCTTGGTAAGAGGCCAAACTACGAATGGGACTGGAATGATGGTCACCTCTGCTCCCGCAACATGAGCGCTTGCCGCGTGTCCAGATTCCATAGGCTGATGCTCCCGTCCTCATGGCCGCAAACGAGCCTCTCTTCCTCGTCGCAGAAAAGCAGGCAGCTCGGCTCCGCCTTTCCTGTCTGCGGTACGGAAAGAGTCCAGTAAGGTTTATCTAAATTCACAGCCGGTTGCACTGTGAAAGCACCCGGGGGGCGGTTGGGGTTAGTTTGGGAGTTGGGGTGGTTGCGGGTGCGGAGCGCTTTTGTGTTAGGATGTTTACTCGAGGTGCCGAAGTCTTTCGGTATCGTAATGCATTCGGCAAAGAAAAGAGTCTGGTCTTAGCAGTATGGCGGAAAGGGCAACTTTACGGAAGTCGCAGAGGGAAACGGAAGAACGACGAAAGATCTTGCGAGGGGTAAAGGAAACACCAAAAGTCTACTTTCTATGCAAAGCTTTACGAAGTATCTGTGGATAGCCTCTGGAATTGTAGCATCATTAGCGTCGATAAGATACAGGAATCTCCAAGTCCGACACCTCTTGAAGCGGAAGATGAATGCCACAGTCCAAGTCTTGCTTCCTCACCCGCAGCGTCAGGCGACATGTCATCGAGTCCAGGTCCCACTGCTTGATCGCCCCGTCCGCGCCCGCGCTAAAGAGCCAATCGGAGTCCCTTCCCCCGGGCGCCGCTTTCCCCTTTTCCATGTACGAAAAGGCGACCACCGGCCCCCGGTGGCTGTCTCTGAGCGTGTGGAAGTCCCGCTCGCGCTCCGCCCGGAGGAAGACCACGTGGTCGCCGCACGCGGCCGCGATGGTGTCGCAGTCGTCTAGGAAGAGGACGCCCGTGCAGGCGTCCGACGAAATTTGCTGTGGGAGAGGATTTGGTTAGTTTAACGTGCATTTACCTGTTTGTTCGAGAAAGCTACATTTGGAGTTTTTGCTTTTTGCCGTTCCAAGGTGCCGCTTCCTCATGAGAGGCGTGGGATGAGTGTCTCGGGGTCAAGTTTTTGCCACATCTACGGAGGGACAAGAGACAGCTTCGCAAGGAAGTCACAATCTCGGTGGACCCTTTATCCAAGGCCGACGCACCCGCCCCGAAGGATTGCGCGCGCCCCTTCTGGGTAGGTCTGATCGAGCACTGAACAGCGTTTTAGTCGTCTTAGTCTCAACCAGATTCTTATCTGAGAATGGAGAGGGTCCCAATCTGCTCCAAATTTCTCCAACCCTGCTCGAATGGAAAGGTGCTAGCGGACCGAAAGACACTTTTCGCTAATTGCAAGTACCTGAGAGCAGGAGATCCCAGGAAGGTGCAGACTGTACACGTGGACGTAGCCTGCATCGTCGACGAGAATGATCTGCAGGTGAGGATGCGCAAAGGTGAGGACCTGAAAAGGAACAAAGCGCGAAGGACGTAACGCATGGCATGACGCGATGGGAGTCATCCTATGAAGAGCTGTAAGGGTGTGCGTTTCTATAACAAGAGCGAGGAGTGTAGTGCTGCGAAAGGAAAAAACTTATCTCAAGTTTGCTTGAATTTGACACGTGATAGCAAAAACAAAACCGGTTATCTTTTGCTGAAGGGCATTTTTCCCCGTAACCTTACTTGGCTGGATCATGTGCAGCTTAGTCCTTGAAAAGTTTCCGATTAAGGCGACACCTATCACCCAAAGCACTCACGGCAAGCACTCCTCTCTTGGACGCAACACAGAGACTGCGAATCCAGTCCTGAACGAACAGACCAGTAGTAATAGTAGCGTGCCACCAGTCATAATGATAGCCGTCTTCCAAGGCGTACGGCCCGTCTCAGTCTTCAACTGCTCTTTCCCTTCCCACTTCAAGGATTTCGACACAGATCAGCAGCACGTCTATGACACAGGGACTAAAATTCAGAGCAGACGCACCTCTTGATGCGCGCGGTCCCAAGCGACCCCCGTGAAGAGGCACTGGTGCGGGTTCTCGTACGCAAACAGCATGCTTCCGCGCTGCTCGTCGTAGGCACGTGCTCTCTGGTCTCGCGCCAGCGTCACCACCTGTAAGGATAGCCGATACGGCCTTTGAAATGATTCTCTCTATGCAACGTATCGGCCCTTTGTGAAATGTGGTTTGTGGAACGGCGCAATAAGGGAAAAGCGAAGCGTTTCGAAAAGAAGGGAGCCGGCCCCCCGTTCAAAAGAGGGCGATGGGTTCTTCAGTGCAATTCCCCTCAATTGTAACCGGTTACTAGAGATCACTCGTTATTTACAGAGCCAGTTCTGAGCGTACCCACTGTTGTGTGACTTCGCAAGCGGGTGGCAATCTAAGAATGGAACGATGCGGCTTGTGGAGACTGTTGCTCATGTTGATTAGCAAAGCTTTCAAAAGGTAGAAGAATTTTCAAGCCGTGATTATTCAGGTGGCCCTTTCGCTGCGGTTTGCCGACTGAAACTGATCGAGAGGAGTGAGCACGGATGGTCCGCACCCTCCGGGTGTTGCTAAAGGAAATCAAGCTATCCTAAGTACTGCCAACGTCTACTTTTGGAATTGCCAAAGCAAGCGAAGATGAAGAAGCTGATGCTGCCGAAGCTCACCAAATGTTGTGTCGCTTGGTACAGCACGTGGCTGACGCCAGCTTTCTCCAGCCTCAAGAACGCTGGCTTCGGTGACATCACGGTCGCTGGAACCTGAACCGATACCGGCGCCGGGGCGAGTTTCACGTTGCCCTTCCTGGCATTCAGGCTCGGGTTGCGACAAAGGCTCGGGGCCGAGGAGTCATCCCGGGTGGAGGTGGATGCACGGGATCCGCTCCGCTCGCGCTCCGCTTCTGCTGCAAAGCAGAGCCGGAGCGCCGGGTTTGTTGCCCGGGTTCCCCAGCAAGAACAGATGACCGAAAAGCACTGACGTGTTTCGGTTTTAGCGTCTTCGTGGTGCTAGGAAACGTGAGCTTCTGATGGAGTGATAACCGGATTGGTTAGCGAAAACTATTGCCGCCGTTTTGAGATGACCAACATTGCTCACTGAAAAGGCAGACGTGTAGCGCATCCGCTCGAAATTTTCAAATCCTTCTGCCTTAAAGTCATGGATTCATAAGATTCTTGAGCAGGCACGTGTGCGTTGAATGCAGCGGAGTCCCAAGACCGAACAAGGCTGCCTACCCTGGACCAGTCCATCAGCAGATATGTACCGGGCGCATCGCCAATGAGTTTCGGTGTTGAGATCCTGAGTGTGAACGGAGGTCGTAAAGCGGCACAAGTAACCAACACCAACTGCCGACAAAGGAAGCACGTCTTTCACCTTCTTTGGCGTCCAAGTGCGCCTCGACGTCCGGCGAGAAGCGCGTGGGGATCCTCATCTTCCTCTCAGGCGACGCCGGGGCGGGGATCACGCCCTCGCTGATGCGCTCGAGCGGCGCGGCCGCGCGTTCTTGCCATGCGAGGCTCAGGGGTTCGGGCGTGCGCGCGGAGGGTATGTTGAGAGGTTCGGGCGAGCGCGCTTGGGAACGGCTCGGAGGGTCCGGTGAGCGCGCGCGTGATGAATTTGAACAATCAGGCGAGCGCGCTGGAGAACGGCTGGAAGCGCCGGGGGAGTGCGCGCGGGGAGGGTTTGGAGGTTCGGGCGAGCGCGCGCGAAGAGGACTTGGAGAGCGTGTGCGGGGAGGGGTTGGGCTTTCAGGCGACTGACTGAGAAGCGGGGTGGCCGGGACGCTGACGTCAGTCGCCCGGGATGACGCCCGGGTGGAAAGGCCGTGACTGTCGGACGAGCGGGAGGCGGCCGAAGTGCCGCGGCTCGAGGCGCCCATCCTGCAGAGGACAGGGTTTGAGGTTTAGGGGCTGCGGCGGGCCGGCCGCGGATGAGGGAGGCCCATATCGGACGAACGTACGTGCAGAGCTTGGTTGCCGACCGTGAGTGCTGATACAAGTTGCAACGTTATCCGTGGTGACACTAACCTCCGTGAGATCGTATTTGTTGCCATCCGCAAAGATTCAGCCGTTGGCTGCCGTTGATCTTCAACACTCAAAAGTTCGAACATCGTTCTCATAGTCAGCAAAAAATGCGGAGACCAATGAACGGGATATAAGGTACCAGGCGCTCTCAACTTTGATCGTATTGCCCCATTGTAGATCTCGGAAGAGAATCCGGGGTGCTCTTACATTGCATGAAGCGCAGTGAGATCTTGCTCGCCCCTTCGTGACTGCTTTGTGGTCGACAATTACTTTCATATTTGATTGATGTCGAACTGTAACATTGCTACTTTTCAAACGAATCCATAAAACGGGGCAGCAGGCACGCTCACCCAAATAGGCGCACGCTTTTAGCTGACCCAAGGAGACCGTAAGACGTTGCAGCCCCTGCGGGGTTGAAGTCGAGGGGCGCCGTTCCGTCGGGTCTCCACATGCCTTCCGCTACTTGCGGCAGGAAGGCCGTCACCCCGCCGGCACTGCACGGTAAAGATGTACGTTGAGTTCAAAGTTGCTCCGGTGTGCTGCTCTTTGCCTTGTCTATTTCAATGTTACATTCGAAACGCATCTGGCCTGGTCGACAGGAATTTACAGCCACTATATCTGAATAAAGCATGAGACCAACGCCCTTGGATTCCATGTACAATCAGAATCTTCCGTATGTTCCTCTTTCAGCCCATTTTATCCCATCGAACTAGCCTTCCTATGCAACAGACGTCGGTAATTTGAGCGATCATTTACGCTCTAGTCGACCAGACAGTCGCGACTCGGAAGTCAATCCCATTAGGCAGTCATTAGGCAGTCAGCCTGCAGGGTGCTGGCAAAGTAGTTGACCATCTCGAAGCAGCAGAGATGATTCCTTCCTGGGCCTTTGCGTTATGAGAAGATCCTCACCTATCTGCCGTGTAAAGGATCCCCAGGTCGCCAACTCGTCTCGTGGTGTCAAACGACATGGCGTTCACCCAGTCGTCCATTACAGCGATCGTCCTCTGCAAATACGACGCAACACGTCAAAAATCCAGATTAGAAAATATTTATTTGTGCACCAACATACAAGCACACGGCTGATTGACGCATTAGTTGCTGAGATCAGGTGGCCTTTGAAAGTTCGGTGCTTCCTTGTCAGGGAAGCGGTTTGCCCTAAACAAAAGCGCATGCACTCGCTCCTTCTCAGCCAGCATACGAGCACCAGCCCAGCAAGTTGCACAAACTGCATTAGTCCATATCTGCGACAGGAGCTGGGCTCTATGCGAGAGCTGCTGCAAGTCAAGCCAGGCACTCCGTCACCGTATTGTCGGCAGTTACTACGGCAATGCAACACCCGTGTCCGGTCATATCCTTAAACAAACCGTTTTGAGACATTCTCCCACATGCGGACTGCATCACCTCCCAGGCGAAGGAGATCAGGCTCTAGGAATCCGTCTTCTTCGGCTGTCTTTTAGCCCCAGGCTGGACTTACGTGCAGCGTAAATGATGGAGACGATCCTCCTTGGTCCTTGGCCCCTGCCCTCCAGAGACGGACTGTTGCATCCGTACTGCCGCTTACGAGGTTATTCCGTCCAACCAGTGCCATGCAGGTGACTGTTCCCCCATGGCCCGTAAGGGTTTGGATGCAAACCTTCTCAGGGACTCTCAAGCTCGGGTCCCAAACCTGTGCGTTGAGTGGATTGGTCAAGATCTTCATTGACGCTCTCTACGCCGTGGATCAAAACTTGATTGACACGTAATATTATCCTTGAATGTGGTCTCTACGGATGATTCCGGTTTTGAAACAGACACTCCGAACCAGAACATATGAGAACATGACATATGAGAGGAGGAAGCATCATGCAGTGAGAAATCACCCCTCCTTCGATTCTCGATTTTGCACAATGACGCACTGTTTATAGCTTGTCTGAAGCGTTTCTGTACAGCCGGCAATGAGCTTGTCCTTCAGCAGATTAACAACCACAGTCTCATTCGGACTTGCATCCTTCATTTTACAATCACTCTAATTGTTGCAGGCCACGTTGTCCAACTCCATGTCACCAGCTTAGAAGAGTGCTCTGGTCATCAAGGAATGCACATTTATCTCTCTGTTGAAAGACACTAAAGGCTGCTCACCTTGATACTGAGATCAGAAGACCCGCTGAACAAGAGATATGATCCTGCACCCCTTGTATTCGAAGGCATGTGGATCAAGCTAGAAACACGGCCGTTGTGTCCAGCCAACACAGTCACATCTCGGTTGCATCCTGCACATGGCATCGTGCGGGATTCAGATGACAGCTACTTGAAGATTGCAGATGCATCATGTAAAGGGTTGCCTGCTTTCGAACCAGTCATCTGGCACCTTGCATGCATTACTGATTGCCCCCACGTCGATGAGAACTTGCACCAAAGTCTTGAGCCAACGATGTATTCTGCAGCCCTATTGTGGTACCTTTGGAATGCCTACGATTGCATTCCAAAGGTCAATCTGCTCAGGGAGCTCCCAGACAGCTCTTCCCAAGTGAGCACTTACCTTCGGTCTTCCAAACCTTCCATAGAAGGAGCTTTCCATCCTCGCGGCCAGCTGCGATCACTCTCGCCTCTGGGATATAGGTCAGGCAGTTGATCCTCCCCGCCTGCTTCAGCTTTTGGCCCCGCTTGCCGAGCAGCTTTTTCTCCTCTTCCACAGCTGACCCGTCTGCCTCTGCTGGACTGACACTAGCCACCGCCGATGCCTTCTGTGGGTTCCTGGACAGAAGAGCTGCCCTGGATCCATTCGACCAAGGTCGGTCTACATTGTGCTTCTCCTTTGGTGCGTGTAGCGATCCTCTCCTGTGTAACTCAACTTCTAAAGGTACCACCATCTTTGCGTACGGAGGGGTGTCGTGAGATTCAAAAGCTGGTTGCCCGCTCGACTGAAGGCTGAGAGATGGCTGCAGTCCCTTTACGAAGTACTCAAGAGCTGGTATCAACGTGCGAGCTATGCAGCGCTAAAGAGATGTGCACTTGGTGGTTCTTTGCGAATTGAATGATGCTGCAGCTACATGATTGTTGAACTGGATAGGCGCCATGCCTTCAGGCAGCATCTACCACCATAACAGCATATACAAAGCGGTGAGGATCTGGGGGAACCCAGCGACTGCCGGGTCAGCAGCATGGTGCCGGCAGCACACAGGGATTGCTTATGGTTTGACCCGCTTCCTCATGCTCTTAACGGCAGTGCTAAGCCATATCCAATGGTGCAAGCTCGAGCTGGCTCGAGCTCCTGTTTTGTTACAACGCCTTGGAAACAAGAGCTTCACCAACTTTTAGGGTTTCGTTCGTAAGTATGCTTCGACTGAAAACACGTCGAAGGCGCTGGGCGGGTTCCGACGGCCGTGTTGATTCGACGCGGTACTTGCCTCGCTTCGAAAGCTAGCGCTTGGAAAGCAGCTTATGCAGGAAAGCTCATGCAGGAAAGCTCGTGAGCAAACAAAGCACAAAATTTCAAAAGGCAATGTCGCCAATCCTCATTTGGCCGGAGGACAGAAGGTGTTGAAGTTATTTATCAAGCTAAGCAGCATTGCCCAAACCCTTGCCACAAATGATGGCTCAAGGTCAGGAAGCTACGGAATTGCAGGCGATGGTGAGCCAGGCTGGCAATGCAATCCTTACGCTGCTGCGAGATGGCAATGCTGAGAACAGATCGCAGGCGAATGCGTGGCTTGCATCGTTGGCCGTCCGTCCGGAAGCGTGGCCGATCACAGTGGCGCTTTCATTGCAGAGCTATGATGCAGCAAATCAGGACATTCATTTCTTTGCGCTAAACATGTTGCTGCACAAGGTTCGCTCAGACAATGGCCATCAACAGTTCTCTGTAGACCAGAAAGCGGACGTGTACTACAAGCTGTTAGATGCTCTGCCGAGGGCTGGGAACGATCTGGTGCGGGCCAGGATGAGCATTGTGATCGCTGCAATTGCTGCAGTATCTGGAGCAGAAGCTTGCTATGAGGTGAGACACTTGCTACGGGAACTGCACAACACTGTCAGTGGCTGGTAAAGTTGATTGGTCCACCGTTTCTCAGTTTACTTTACAGAAGGTAATGGAAATGGTCACAAAGGAATGCCTCACCGATGCAAGAGTTGGAAGCCAGTCTGAACTTAGACTTTTAGAGAGCATTTCAACATCCCTTTGGTGGTGGTGCTAGGTGAGTACTGTAGAGACCAGCCCAGAAGCTGAGATTACCTTTTCAAAGGACAAGCAAACACTTTCGCCGTCAGCTTCAGTGTCACTCTTTTTCACAACAATTCTGGTCTGTATTGCTTGCGCCTTGCCAATCATTTCTATTATATGCAGCTGTTCCGAACCAATTGCAACCATGGACCATCATCCAGAGTCGTCTACTTCTGATTGCATGCAACTTTTCAAACAAGCAGCTGTTTCCCCAGTGACTATCAAGCCAAGCAAGAATCCCAAAGTCAACACTTCTGTCATATTTGTTCGTTCGACCTTGTAATTGTAATGCTCATCGGATGAATTTTGTGGGACTTCCACTTCTACTTCGCTTGATCTCCTGAAGCGATTGTTTTGTCATTTTGTAGCTCATTGAGACAGCCACCAGTACCACCAAGTTAGGAGGTCTGGGTGTCCTGTCCCTGGAGGTGCTCACATCCTTGGCGGAAGAAACAGTCCTTCGATCAAAAGCACATCAGTGGGAGGTGAGGTGCACACCTACTTCTTTGAACTTATCGAACAGCAAGTTCAGTGCTTGGCACTTACCGTATGTGATTCAGATCCGGGACATACTTGCTCTCTGCCAGGACTGCATCTGCCTGACTGGTTTCTCTTGTTCTGACGGCTCTCAGCGAGCACCCAAACAGTCCTGTGTTCCCTTCAGCTTATCAGTTCATGGCTTGATTGCAGGTTGTGGAGGCCATGCAAGAGTGCTCTTCCAATGTCCTGAAATACCTTTGGCAATTTGTCAGCTCCACCACTGATCCAGCATGCATCGCCAAAGCATTCTTGTGCTTGGATAGGTGAGTAAACAGTATGACGGATTCGTTCGGCAGTCGCTTCATATGTCATCTTTTACATTGCAAAGACATGGCATTACAAATCTTTCACATGGAACAATCTGCTGTTGTCTTTTTCTGCAATCAAGAGTGAGAGGTATGCCCAAACCTTGACGGCCTCAGGCAAGTACATGACCGGCTGACAGCCTCTTTGTTCACGGCAACCTTGCAGATGGCGTCATGCTGGCATCACTCTTTCTGAGCTCCCGCCATCCTTCCTGGCTGCGCTCCTCGAGTCTCTCAAAGCACCAAACGAGGCCATGTTTGATGCAGCGGTCATGGTCCTCTCAGACCTAGTGCGAGAGGTCGACGTCCTTCCACTCAGAGAATCTGCAATTCGATCAGTCCTGACGGGAACTCTGGCTGCGCGTGCGCACCTCCAGGCACAGTCAGGCTTGGATGATGACAGCCGGGAGAAGCGCGCGTACGGTCTCTGTGTTCTTGGCTCTGCGATTGGTGCAGCAGAGGCGCCATTTTTGTGTAGAGGAGGGAGTGACGCGGTGGCTTTGGTAGAGTGGCTGGTGGATGCGACGGCTGATGGCGCGGATGGCCTGGGGTTTGATGGGGCAGCGCTAGCGCTCGAGGCTTGGCCTAAGATGGCAGCCGTTCCACGGAGCAAGCGCATCCCGCAGTTTCAGGTGCCACTCTTCGAGGCAGTCCTGCAGGTGAGCGAGCCTTCCTATTTTTCTGGCAGCAAATACACGCCCCCCCAGTCACTGCCGGCATGCTCCAGTAGGGAGAGCTTCCTTGTGCACACTCTTCTTGGTGCGTCTCAGTTATTTTGGAAGGCCCTTTTGGGATTCGACTTCTCGGACTTCGTCGGCCTCCAGAAAATTATGGTATAGATACCTTGTCATCAAAGTTTCGAGCAGTGGATCTGACAAAGGCTGACATCTACAAGTGCAAGGCCGCCTCTGCCTAAAACGTACCCCGACAGGAAACTGATGTATGTATACTTCTTCTAAAAGGCCGTAGCGTGAGCCATGGACCTGAGAGCGAGTACACATTTTGTTGCGAGCCTGAACGTCGTACACATTTTGTTGTCCTTTTCGCAGGCCATTGTGCGCATCTCGTCCTTTCCTCCCGACTTCACCTCCTGGGACGACTCCGACCTGGAGCGCGACGACTTTTTCCACTTCCGGGAGAGCTCGGCCACCGACAGCCTGGCAGCCTGCCACAAGGAACTCGGAACGGCCATTCTGCGCCACGTCAGCAGCATGCTCCACCAGGGCTCCACGTGGCAGCTCAAGGAGGCCGGGCTCTTTGTGGCACGGGCAATCAGCCCGGCCGTTTGTACAGCCGCCATGGGGGCAGGATTGAATGGAGTTCTGGGAGCGGCGGGCGGAGAAGACGAGCAGGGCGTCAGTGCCGCGTTCGTGACGTCGCTGTATGAGAACCTACCGAAGGCTTTAGAAGGTAACGCACAAGGCTATCCGTGTCAGACTGACGTTGTGAGTCTGTCCTGCGCTCTGGTCAACCGCTAGCGAGACTTCCTTTTCAATTGAGAGTATCGCTTTCAAAAAGCAGAGTCTTCTATTGCGAACCTCGCATTGGGCACGTTATTTTGAATGTATTAGTCCCTGGTTTCGCACGAAACGATCTAGCTGTCTGGACCAGGAAGGTGCACCCGAAAGCGAAGGCGTTTATGCAACTCAACATTTTCGCATTTAAAGCCAAAAGCCCTATTCGCTGCTCCAAAGAAGCTTCCTCTTTCTTGCAGGGACCCCCTTGCACCCACTCCTGACAGCCGCCGCTTGCCAAGCGGTAGAAGCATACTCACCGTTCGCTGCTCTCAAGACAAACCTACTGGAAGTCGGAATCACGTATGCTGTCATGGCTCTCTCCTCACAAGAAGGTCAGTTTGCCGATGCTCTAAAGTTTTTGATCTGCTTGGTCAATCTCGCTGCTAAATTCCGAACATGTAGATCTGCGGTCATCCGCATCAGCCCTTGATTTAAATTCAGAAGTCGAGGCTTGAAGGTGACTCTGGCGAGCTACAAATTATCGAGTCTGAGGTTGCCAATCAAGGACTCGAGAGAACCACGAACCGAGAAGTCGGAGCACGAGTGATATCGTTGAAATCGTCATTGGAAAGAGGAAGAAGGCGTCACTGAAAATATCTGACAATATCGTTGGTGTTGTCAAGGAGCGTGGGCATCAGGGTTGCTTCCCAGGTATATCGAATTTTGCCCGAAAACGGCCTCGAATGTGGCAGCCCTGCTTTCCAACCGTCGACTCGGTCTCTTAAAGTCCTCGTCAAGACATCCTCACATGCATTCTGAAACACCCGAAACATCGTTCTTGTGCAGCTCGTGGCCCCGCGGCCGCCGCCCTTCGTGCCCTCTGCATCATTGCCGTTCCCGGCCTGGCTGCAACCCACCCGGAGGCGCTCGCTCCTCTTCTTGGCGCGTGCGAGCAGGCGGCAGCCATCATGGGTTCCGGTGGGGAATTGAAAACGGACGAGCGGATCGCTCTGGCGGAGGCGATGGCCGCGGTGGCAGGGGCGCTTCCTCCGCCGCACTCGGAGGAGGCGGTACGGAGGCTGGCGGGGCCGGCGATTATGAGCTGCGGACAACTAGCGGATGCAAAGGTGAGCATTAAGGTATTAGCAGCTGGACACGCGCGGATCTTTCTTCGAATCTGAGAGGAATTGCAAGGGCTGTCTGGGCACCGAGATGACCCGGACGTGCTTCTTGGTATCACAGGTAAGAGGGGTGATCAATCCTGTCTGGGCTGCTTGCGAGATGAGCAAGCACGATCGCTCTCGTTTTTGTGACGAGATGGACAAGCAAAGACGTACCCAAATCGAATGACATGTCTGACAAATCTGCATTCAATCGGGCCTCGAAGCGAAAAGACCCGATTATTTGTTCTTCGAACCAATCGTATCGGATTCGATTTGATGGTGTAACAACCTTGCCGCATGTCTGCCTTGATGCCACGTTTCTAGACGCTTTTGGGGCACCTTCCTAAGTCGAGTGCAATAAGGAATTAGAAGGAAGCGAGGGATCGCTGGGCGGAGAGATGTGTTACTGTGGGAATCTAAAACAGAGTGTTTGCTTCTACAGGCACGGTCCATGGGGATGAGCGCAACCCTCGCCGGCGACCTGCGAGTTCTGTCCGCCATCATAGGCTGCGCCAATCCGGTCCCTGGGAAGGCGCACCCCGCCCTGGGAACGCTGCAGGACGCATGGCCCGTGCTTGGAGCGATTGCGACGAACTGGGCGAATGATTCAGCTGTAAGTCGCAGCCGAGGTGGCTTCCTCTTGAGTGCGCATCTGTGCACATTGTGATTCTCACCATAGTGTGCTTTGGAAAGTCGATGTGCTGTGAGGATTTTCTTTTGATTTGGATGAACCACGTTCGAGACTGAGGACCGCTTCGGTAATAAGCGCTAAGATCCTGAAGGCGATCGACAAGAACCTGCTCTACACCGAAGAGCATACAATGGAAAGGAAAGTAGAGGCGCTGCCGACAGCTGGTAGAGACCGGCAATCTTACAGTCGGCCCGGCTTCAACGCCAGGCCCGGGCCCCGTCTCTTTGAGATGCTCGTTTGTTTTCGCGCTGCAGTTTTGCTCAGGGTTCAGCTGTAGGTTGGGATCTCTTGCACGTATGGAGCATCTATTGCTTTTGCACCTTATGATTCCCTATCTCAACGATTTACCGGCAGGTAGCGGCAGCCATCTGCGGCCTTTGGGGAGTGGTGGCACGCCACGTGGGCACCGTCCTCCTTCCGGTGACCTTAGAAGTGGTCAGCAAAGTCGTCTCCATGTACAGAACGCACCTCGAGCCCGGCAGTCTAGACTGTCTGGCAGAGGTAAGACGGTCTGCAATCAGTTCAGGGCTAAGGTCTCTTGAGTCGAGTTGTCGATATGAAGGGGAGTCCTGATTACCTTTAAGGCCGTTCCGGCCTCTGGAAGGCCGGCTGTTCCGCGTTCGTTCTGTATGTGCGGGCTCAAGATCCTTAGCGCATAATGTGTTCGATCACGGATCCTCTCCGAAGATCAGCAGAAGGTAAGTGATGGAAAGTGGAAGCTAGGCGTGGGCTCACACTACCATATGGAGTCCCGAACGGGGTTGTGCATCACATGTGCACGGCAGACCTACAGCTATGATTTGGATCCCACTTTCGTGTATCTCGAATCGCGGTCGATGAGATGAAAGGGAGGGCACCTTGCAATCGACTTGGGCTCCTTGAGTAACTCCTTGTATCTCTCGTGAACCCCTTGACGTCTCCTGAGCTTCTGCAATGGGTTTTGATTCATTTTCTAAACAACAGCCAAAAACTTTCCGCAGATCATCGCCCTGCACGGCCCCTCCGCGTCCCCGGACCTCCAGGCCGCCCTCTCCTCCACGCTCGCCGACGTCCAGGCCTCCCTCCCGATCCTCCTGGGCAGCCTCGCCGCTTCCGAAGACACAGCAGAGGGATCCCCCTCCAAACGCCTCGCGCGAAGCGGTTCCGATGCGGTCAGCGGTCTGGTCGTCAGCCCGAAGGAGCCGCTCGAGGCGCTGCGCGCGGTGTGCCAGCTGGCGCGCGCGCTGCTCCGGTGCCTGCCCCGTGTGCTCCTGCCGCAGCCCGCGTTCCTGGAGCTCCTGCGATGCGCGTCTGGTGAGCGCCTGGTCAGAAACCCGTGGCGTTCTCGGACCCCGAATCCTTTAGTTGGGCTCTTTTCAGGCTTGGTCTTATGCCAAGCTTCTTTGACCAGTTGACATTCAGCTCTGCCGCCCATGAAAAAGATCTAGCACGCACGCCGTCCTGTTTCATGCATTCGCGTCCACAAAGAAGAGTAAGCAGCGTCATACTCAATTTGCAGACCCTTGGACATGGACACCTTCCCTTTCCTTCTCTTTCTTATTTCATCGCATGTTTTTGGAGGGAACACTTGGCGTCAGAAACCGACTCGTGTGATGGCACAGTGTTTGAGACGCCCGGAGACGGTCACCTTCTCACAGCCCTTCTCCTTGTCCATGTATTCAGACCCCCACAAGAACAAGGACCTTTATAATCCAATTTTGCATCTTGCAGAGTGTTTGAGACGCCCGGAGATGGAGCCCGCCCTGAGCGCGGCCGCGTTCCTCACCGAGAGCATCGCCGGGGGGCCGAGCACCGCTGGCAGGCAGCCCGGGGAGCCCAACTGGGGCCTCCCGCAGGAGCTGCGCGGGAACGTCGACGCCGCGGTTGGACAACTCGGGCAACGACTCGTCGAGGTGAGGCAAATCTTTCTTGCTTGAGGGATGCCGATACAGTTGGCGGTTGGGGGCGCTCTTTCTTTGTTGAAGAGAGATGATTGAACCGGAAGGAGAGGCGGGTCATCGTTGATTTGTGAGTGTTTCCGATATACAACACAAGCAGGCTGAGGTTTGAGGTTGTGAGACTGGTCGAGACGGCAACGGTCGCTGGCTTTTGCAGGCGGAAGAGTCGGCGGCACAAGTTAGATGTCTTGCATGACTTGAAGGCTCGTGGCTGTCGTACTGGCTCCCAAGCATGCATGTCGGTCAAGCTGTGTAACCACAATGCGAACTTGGGCCAAATCTTCCTGGAGCAACCGGGCCGTATCGTTTGTGTCCCCTCTCTCGACCGCAACTGTTGGATTCGACGAGAAGTCTAGCAGCCTCACATTCTTTGCTGTCGCCTTTTTTCGCAGGAGCTTCTGACTGCGATCGCGTCTTCAAGCCGCCCTGCTGCGCTTCTCGAGCCGCTGGCGGAAACGCTATACGCCCTCCGGTGCCAGTACCGCCAGGCGACCCAGGCAGCCATCTCCGCAGTCCTACGGTCGCCGGCTTTTCCAGCCCGGCCAGGGACGCTCTCGACGCCGGGCAAGGAGCGCTTTGTCGAGGCTGTCGTGAGGGAACCGGCTCAACCAAAGCGGCGGTTCACAGGTGGGCTCCTAGTGTTCGTCAGCGCGCAGCGCTCACACTTTTGGCACCTCGTTCCCACTTCGTACGTTTGTAAGGAATCCAACTAAAGCAAAGGCGATTTGTATTCCCGCTTTTTGTTTGAGTCGCACGCTGCTCTGAGGACCCGGAAGCTTACTTACTTTGAGTCATACTCCAAATGAAACTTGCAAAGCTTGGGTTGGATAATCTGCATGCTTAGCCGTTCTGAGTTTTTTGAGCTTTCCATGTTCGGGTGCTCATTTGACACCTGAAATGCTGCAAATGGATGGTGATCCTTTCTTCTTTTGGTGGAGCCCTGGACTTGTCTCGCTCGAGAAACAAACGAGGTGCCAAGAGACCAATAAAAGCTTGACACTTCTTCCGGATTCCTTGCAGAGTTGATCATGGACTTCTCGCGCGTCTGCAACGGGCAAGCTCCGATGGAGATACTGCAAGGATACTGAAAAGGTTTGGCTTACAGTCAGTGCGGATTGAAGGCAAGGCTTTGAAGGCAAAAGCTTATGGGCGATACTTTGGCACGCAACGATGCTCAAATGACGTCGTGGATAGATTAAGTCGCGAGCATCCGGGTCAGGAGGTTTTGGATTCTACAACGAGTGCGGCGTTCCGGCCCAATCCGACCTGCAATGTGCAACGGAATGTCGAGCATCAAAAGTTAAGGTTTTTGGTCCTTTGGTCGATAGATTTCCGCAGGCTGAGCCGACCTATGTGTCTGGGTTCTGAAACGAGGGAGGCTTGCAAGCGTAGTGGTTGTACTAGGCTATATCTTAGGACCGGTTGTCGATCGAAAAAGAGTCAGCGGAAATAATTCCACGTCAGTCACTTGTTGACAATGCAATTGCTCTACTTTCTTGGCACTGAGCGGCCCCCGAGCCGTCGAGCTTAATCGATTCAATGGTATAGATCACGTGTAAAAGCTTGAAATACGTGTAGGCATCACTAATCAAATGCGCTAGGACCAAGCTCGACTGTCCAAGGTCCTTATGATGGCTCGGGCCGCGGGCTGCTATATATAGTTGCATGTGAACTAACACGGGCCTCTTGTATACGTATGCAAGAGCTAGCTGGCCGCATAGCACAATAAAGCTATGGACCTCATGCAATTCATGCATGAATCATTTTAGCCGCGCGAGCCTGTCGACCGGCGACAACATCAAGACAGATTGAAACCACTCATCCTATTTGAGAAATTTGTATTTGTGTATTTCAAGACAAAGGGACTCACGCCGGGCCTACAGCCGCTCGCTCAGGCTCGCAGCATGGTTTACAGATTCGTTAGGGAGCAAAATCCAGGCCCAGGATTGCGACGTAATCCAGCAAACTCCATGCGACCCGGCGTCATTGTAGAGTGGATTCATGCGTGATGCATCACCATATGATATTTGCAATTGATGCACGACGCTGGCCCGCAATTGAACTGATCATGAACTCAAGCTTTGCCTCTAGCTCCGGGATGCGAGGCCGGACTAGTGAAGGTCATGGTAGTTACCGTCCGCACTGAGCAGGACGCCGGGCCGGCCCGCCGCTGCGCCCGACGACATGCCAGCAATTGCGCGTCGTGCCGGACTCGAGCCACGATCGATCTCGAAATGGTCATGGCGCACTGGACTAGATCAAGACCCGAACGCACCGAGCAAACTACTAGCTTGGGAAGTTTAATCGAGTGCAGTCAGGTACTGATTACGGTACAGCACTCACTTCTTGTAGTTGCTAGCGGCCGTCCGCCTCCTAGACAGCTGCTTCGTTTACTTTCTTTGGAGTAAAGCCTGGCAGTATACCGCCGCGCGGCCGAGTAAGTTTGATGATGATAAGCAACGTAACCATGTCAACCGCCGGAACTCTGTTTACAACCTGAGTACGTCAACCCACAACCCGTCTAAAAGTCAGTATTGTTCAGATTCCTGTTGCGGAATCATGGTAACGAGTCTTTGCAGCGCAGTCCTAACGGTAAGTCATGTTACTTCATCCGTCCTATCCGTCCAAAGGTAGTTCTATTCAGTTCTCTGTCCTGATCAATCTGTCCGGTCTATTCTGTCCACTCTGTCCTGTTCCGTAATTCCGTGTGCTAGCTTTCTGAGCTCATACAGTTCGTGGTCCAGTCTATTAGTTGAATTGTTACAGCTGTCTCAGTCTGCAGTCCGTGTATAGGCCGTCGAAAGCTAAAGCAAGCAGTCTATAATGCAGCGTCCGCGTTAAATCCTGGCACCGGCTATGCCGCCGCAGAACGCGGAGTGTGGCTGTTGCTGACGTCGTCTCCGTCCGTAGCGTGCAGAAACGTCCGCAAGCTTTGGCCCCTTAGGAGGGCTTGCAGCATTACCTGCAGCGAAGCGGCAATCCAAACTAGGTGTGGGCGAAAACGGCAAAGGGGCGGGGGGGTCAACACAGAGAGATCAAGTCTGAGCAGAGACTGGACATTTCCTCTCGTGTTCCTTTTGTCTGTGCCGAATAGAGAAGCTTGTTTTCTGGGAAACTAACACGGAGGTTGCAGGTCTGGCGAAAGACTTGCCGCTTGTTCGTCCTCTTCTTGCTTCGTTCAGATTGTCCCAAATGCTTTCTCAGTCATCAGACAAAGGGGGCCAGCGAAAGCAACAGCAAAGAAGAAACAAGAATTGAACAAATTGAACCGGCCGGACCTTGCCGAGCAGCACCGTGTCGGTGTCCCTCGTTTCCGAGTCCGCAGCAGGATTCAGAAGGGGACACTCGGAGAGAGCGGTCTCGAAAAGACGTACGAGAGAAGTGATACGAAGACGACAAGAGAAGTGAACGTAGGTGTGCAAAGATGGAAAGGTGGCTTAAGATGCCGGACATTGTCGAGAATCGGCGTCTCCGCTTTGTTGAGCTGCCCTCCGTCCAGCCAAAAGTACAGTCAAGATAAGACGAAAAGAACCTATCTGTTCTAAAAGAGCGAGATAGGATAAACAGACGGGAAAGAAAGAAAATAAAAATGAAGCTCATTTTCGGACGCCGGACCTTGGCGAGCAGTAGCGTCTCCACTTTGTCGAGCTTCTTATCTTCTGGTGAGGACGAAAATGAACTACCTGTTGAGATGGAAAAGGGCTATCAACAGACGGGAAGAAAGATGAAAAGAACGCTCTTTCGGACGCCGGACCTTGGCGAGCAGCAGCGTGTCCGCGTCCGCGAGGCCGCGGTCGCGCATGAGCTCCAGGAGGCGCAGGTACGCGACCTCGGCCTCCTTGTAGCGCCCCTCGCGCATGCACAGCAGCGCGCGCGCGCTCAGGCCCGCCGGGTACTGCTGCGCGTCGGGAAACGACGCGAGCACGGCGCGGCCGCACTTGGTCTGGAAAGGGAAGCGGAAAACGGGATTTTGACCATGGGTTTATAGAATCTTGTAGCATTCGGAAATGAGGGCCTTTAATTATCTCTTTGAGGAATGGGCTTGATTTCGTCTTAAAGAACATGGCCGCTTGCTGCTGAAGGAGAGCTTGTTGTATGAGTTGAGAGTTGTGGGCTCTCAAGTCTGCTTAGGGAACGGGAGTACAGAAACCCGAGGTCAGGAAACTCCTCCGCGCTTTGCTGTAGGGAGGTTTCATCAATTTCCAAGGCTTTACGAATCAGCTTTTAGGTGGCGCTCGCAAAATCTGCCTGCACTTGCGCAGCTCTGCTTCTCCTGACATTATGAAGGGCCGCCGCACTTTCGTGAGCCCTGTTGCTCCACTTTTAGCTCTTGTTACAGAAACCTCAACGACCAAGTGTCCCACAAAATTAAAGCAGCTCTGCAGACACCTACTGACCACGTGGAACGTGCTACTCGCCACTCGCTACTCGTGGCGCTTTCCGATCCCACCTTCAATCCCCACGCCGCGTACAGAATCTCGTCCCGGACCTCTTGCGCCTCGTCGCTGCCCAGCTGCGTGGATAGCGCTGCTGCTGCCACGTAGCAGCTCGCTGCGGACTCGTCCTTGGCCAGCCGTCCGAACAGGTCGCCCATTCGGACGAAAATCGCCAGCGAAGCGCGCTTGTCCGGGTGATTGGCGTCCGCATGGAGCTGGTAGGCCTGCGAGCCAACATGTTCACAAAGAAGGTTGACCTTAGAGGTTTTGTCGAACTTATTGCGCTCCATTCTTTCTTTGTATCTATGCTGTACGTCATTCATCAGTAGGTAGCCCTCGCCTTTCATCTCCGGTTTGTCTTTGCCTCCTTACAGTTCGTCTTTGCACCTTGCTTTGTTCTTTAGTATGTACAGCGGTTCTCAGCAGGTGATGGGCCGAACGAATAGAGCAAACGACAAGGCGTCACAAGCAAGAGACCATTGATCGCTCAATGTTTCAAAAATAAAATTTAGAAGCTCGCTTGGCGGCTGCTCCACTTTTAGATGTTCAGGCCATTAATAATATGCAGAATCAGCTTATGCCAAATCGGAGACTAAGCGTAAATGCAACGTCACCGTAAATTGACACTGTTTTGAGAAGCTATGGAGGCCATTCGGAGCTCACCTTTGCAAGTTCTTGCCTTGATTTCTCGTACCACCATGCGGCGGTTTGGTACGGAGCAACAAGACGCGAGCTTATTTTGACCCCGCTGGCAAGGTTCCCCAAAGTCCCTTGCCGCCCCATGTCTGCCTTTGCGGAATCCAGGCTTCCACGCAGAATCCTCTCCTCGCTTTCTGGTCGGTAACTCTTCACAACCGCAAATGATCGCTTTCTAAAGGGCGCCTTGAACGACTCAAACGCCCGAGCGTTGAACTCCTGTTCGCTTCCACCGCCGCCGTCGCTTGACACCAGATCTCCAAACGGGTCTGAGCTGCTGCCTTCCTCCGCGCTGCGTGTGTCAATCACTCCCGTCTTCGACTGATCCCCATTCCTCTGCAGCTCACTTCCGCCTTTTGAAGGATCCTTTAATTCAGCGCTTTCTAAACCACCCATTGTTGTAAACCCCCCTACTCCCGAACTCTGCCTCGCAAACTTTGCCTGCGCCCGTTCCAAATCCTTCGCATCGCCGATCCACGCATACACCTCCGCGAATGCGGTGTGCAGGCCCGCCTTCGCTTTCCACGTGTCCCCCTCCCGGGCCTGCCACGTGGCCCCCCTCCCGAGCGCCGCTGCTTGTTTCAGCAGCAGGAGCGCGCGCACCTCGCAGCCATCGTCCATTGCGGACAGCGCGGCTAGGGCGTCCGAAGTGAGGGCCACCATTCGGACGCAGGCGTCCGAGTTCGCTCCCACAGGAAGAGTTGCATCCGCCATGACGGGCAATGCAGCTGACTATGGGGGGAAAATCTTTGCTGGGCAGTCAGTTGGGTGCGGGTTTCCAAGTGTTTGGGGGGCTTTGCTGCCATTATTTGACAACCGCGAAGACGGCTGCATCGATATGGATTACCGCTCCCCGGTTGTTGAAGCAACAACGTGTCATGTTACCTGAGCAATGCGAGACTCACACCTTTACGGCGTTGTGTGCACTAATTCTTTGCTCCGGCACTGGCATTGCCCCCATACTCAAACGCAAGGCCACTCACTTATATGTCAGCCGTATGTATATTAATTCGTCACAGCAACCACGTCACATTTGGAGCAAACAGTCCAAACAACATCTCTGGTTGGTCACCTTGCCAATCTTGAAGCAGATCGACGGCGAAAGACAGATCGAAGCAGGTACGAGTTTGCGACTAACCGCACCTTTGTTACTGGACCCCTTGGGCAGCCCTGCCCTTGTGCTCTCCGCAATGTCCAGAGGCTCTCCTTTTACCAATCAGGAGCCATAATAGCTTCCCTTGGTGCGAGTCATCAAAGGGAGCACGCTTGTGGAGTGCGGTTGGCTCGGATGCAACTGCCACGTCCTGTTACATTGAGGCTCACTGCATTCCAGATCTGCATGGGGAAATGTGAAGTCCCTTTTGTTACATATTAGCACGCTGTTTTTGCAGCCAACTGGACCGCACCTCTTCATGCCATTGCAAGCTACTTGGATGCGCAGCCTTACAGCCTTTCAGAAGATGACTCAGCGCCCAACTCGTCAAAGATGACCAATTTATCAGGCAGAGTCCCAGGCCCTGCTTGCTGATTGGTTCTTGGACAAACCTGACACACGCGCGCAACTGCTGCTTGATTCAAGTTCCTCGTGCGGCGTACGTATTTGAACCGGGGGGCTATACCGTGCAACTGAATAGCGACCCGGGCCGGCCGGCGGCCCTGCAGGAGTCCATGCACGTCAGGACTCCTGAGCTTAGGTCCAGCTTGAGTCGCTCCTGACTCACTCGTCCGACCGATCGACGCCGTTTGAGTCATGCACTGTCTTCCCTCCGGACTGGCCCCGTCAATGTTTGGCCCTCTGACCTCAGGCTGTCCTGCAAGAGCCAAGTACTAATAGTATGTTTCCACAGTAACTAGCACCCTACGTGCGCAGTGACATAGCAATGAGCATACCCCGACGTTAGTACGTATGGCCGATCCTAGGGGTGTCCATCCAATATTGCAGTGCGTGCATGAGCGTAATGCGCATATGCATGATCCTATTTGTAGTTTGCATCATATGTGGCGGAAGTAGCATGCAGCTGCATTTAATATCATCAGTCACGTGCGCGGTCTAAATAGATTGGCTTTTGGCCGTATAGTTCATGGCTTGCACAGGATGCATGCCGCCATGAGAGTGACTTACTTTCCGTCTTATAACAGCTTGATCCGAACCAATATATGGAAGCCACTAGCTGGCACATCATTGGCCTTTGAAGTCCGATTCACAGCCGTGGTACTTCGTAGATAGGGCTCGTATCAACATTACACCCTAGCTAGCAAAGTGTACCGAACAAAGATGTGACGTTCTGATCGATCAAACAGATAATCAGAGCACGTGACGGTATGGACATGCACGTCTGCAGGCGCTAAATGCTTGTGGCTACTGGATCATACACGAAGCACAAATCAGACAAGCTTATGGAATTCACTGCCATATGGCCTATCTTCTTGCGAAAAAAGAAACAACTGCTTTATCGTGCTGGAGCTAGCTAGTGACTTCGGAGTGACAAGTTTAATTGTGGATTTCGGAGACTCGCTAGTAATACACGTTTGGGATCCACGAGGGACTTCAACTCAGCTTCTGAAGATAAGCGACAGAAATCTCTCCTTAAAAGAGCATGTACCTACCTTGTGCCATATCAATACTCAAAGTAATCTAACCATGCTCGCGTTTCCCTTGGAAGAAGAGCTCCTGAGCTTTTGACCAGAACTCTGCTATCTTACAGCACATGCATCGCTCTTCCGTCGCTTTCGACGTCGTCAATCAACGCTCCGGGATTCCAAAAAAAAACTTCACATCACTCATCGTTCCTGCACCTCCTTTCTCAATCTACGTACTACATCCGAGAACGTAATCACACCGCTAAGCAACCCCCCGGGGTCGGTCACCCACACCTGCCGCGTCCGTCCCTTCAACGCCTGCTTCAGCACTTCCCCGAGCGGCGTCTCGGGCGAGCAAGTGACCGGGGCTCTCGGCCCGGGCGCATCTTCGGAGGTCCCCGCCCCGTCGTCCGACGACCGGGGGGTCGTACCGAGACTGCTCCGTCGAGAGCCGTCTTTGTGCACCGCCCCGAAACCGAACCGCCGGGCCATCGATACCCGGGAGAGAAAGTCGATGACGGTAAGGTAGGGCAGCCCCTTGAGCACCTCGGTGGTTACCCCCCGGAGGTGGGACGCCGCCAGTGTGCCCACCACTTTTAAGCCCTTTCCCTGTAAAGAAGACCGTGTCGGCAAAAAGAGTGTCAACGACTGTGAAAGTCCTTCGGCGCGACTCGTCCGCTGCGGGAGGAGGTGAGTTGACGAACGCAGACTTCGGTGTCGATGTCATGCAGACGCACTCTCGAAGGCGCGAGGTATAATCTGCGGTCCCCCGTTTGAGGAGACGTACTTTCTGATGAGAAGTCCACCGGAGTCTCCTGAACTGTTTTGCTGTTGTGCTGCCCGAAATATAGACCGGTGGTCACAATCGTTACTGTGATGGGCTGCTTTGCAGATGCTTACAGTCTGAACGGGGACGACCCGCACAAAGTCTCATCTCCAAAAAGAGGTAGACGCAGTTTGGATACTTTGTGGACGCCCACCCGTACCGACATGGGCTTCTCCGCTTCTCGCAAAGTAGCGTGGTCCGCATCAACAACCGCAATCGCCGTGTGCGCATGGTAGATAACCGGACTCCGACATACCGAAGTTCGACCCGACACAGGACAAAACTTGCTTGATATCAGGCGCAATCGAAGCTCACCTGGACCAGTGGAAAACTTCAAATCAAGACTAATCCTATACCCCGACTCAACAGTCAAAGTTCGGCGCAGATCGGATGCTCACTTGGTTTGTTCGACTTCTGGTCCAAACCTCTGGTCCGCTTCAACGACCGCGATCGCTGCTATGGGGTGCTTTTCAAAGACATGACAACGACTGGTGCAAGAATTGACTAAACGAAGGAGAAGTCGGACGCAAGTAGGACGTGACATCGAACGCAACCGGGACAATAATCTGGACGCTAGTTGGACAATATTGTGGACGCTCACCTGAACCATCATCGGCTCCTCCGCCTGCGGGAACGTGGCGTGGTCCGCCTCGACGACAATAATCGCCCGTAATTGGCTGCTCAGCACAGCTTCGGAAACTAAGCGGAGACCACCAATAACGACTCCCTCATGAAAGCAGGGAAATGCTATTCGGACACGTTTCGGACGCTCACCTGTACCATCATGGGTTCCTCCGCCTCCGGGAACGTTGCGTGGTCCGCCTCCACGACCGCGATTGCCGTGATGGGCTGCGCCACGGAGACGGCCGCGTTGCGCATGCACCGCAGCGCATCCACCATCAGCATGAACGCCGGGATCGACAGCACCGACGCGTGAATGACGTCAGCCGCTTGGACGGTCTGCGACAAAATCCGAAATTGGTGATTCGAAGGCAAAGTGGTGTGATTGAGAAGAGCAGGCTTTTGAGCGCTATGTTAATCATTCACAAGGAGATGAAGAAAATGGACATAAACAGATGCACGGCGAAGCTAAGAATGGAGAACAAAACCAGATGGTGGCAGTGCCCTTAAAAGCACGTCTCCTTGGTTTTGAAAGAGAGTAGACACAGCTCGGAACTTCGGAGTCGCAAACTTAGTTATGAGGCGAATAATCTACCGAGTTCAAGTACAAAAGTGGGCTTACTTTAGAGAGAAGCCCCGCGAAAGCCTCCTCGTTTTGGACAACAAACCGGATGACGTCGGTCTGCGTCAGGAAGTGGTAGTTGGACCCCGCCTCCGCAAACCCGTCGGACCTTCGGGAGGAGCGGGGGGTGCCGGGGAGGGAGGACGTGGTTTGGGGGACGAGGACACGGTGCACCCCTTTGGCAAGGGTGTCAAGGGCTGCCAGGATCCTGCACACGTCAAAGTGACGTCATGCCTTTCGGCTGCCAGGATCTTGCGCACAGTAGAAAGATGTCAAGCGTTATGGCGCGGGGATTTGCACGAGTCAGGGTGACGTCATGCCTTGTGGCCTACAGGACTCGCCCAGGAGTCAGGGCTGAAGAGATTGTTGTCCAGCCAGAAGCGTTGTTGACAGGCGGAGATTTTTGGATACTTTTAGACAACATGTGAAGATGCTGTATGAGTCTCAAAAAGAAAAGTCCTTACTGCGCCGTGAAAACAACAGTTGTGCAAACGCCAGACGTTGCAGGCCTACAGCGCGGCCAAATGACAAGAGGCATCGACTGACACCAACATGTTCCATGCACCTAGGTGACAGGCTGGAGCGCTTACGTGGTGTCGGGGCGCAGCACGATGAGATTGAGCCCCTCGATGGAGCGCCCAACGAGCTTCTCAACCGGGGCCTCCAGCGCCCACTCAATGTTGTCCGCATTGTCCGCAAAGTGCATCAGAACGTCCAAAACGCTGATCACGCCTGCACGTGGGAGTGAATTGAAACTCAGATTCGGGTTTTGGAATCTTGAATTTCAAGGTCGGCACGTTGTTTGTGAGCTTGCCCCTGGAAAGCGCCGCTTATGTTCGAGAAGTGATGTGTGCTGTCCTGAAAGCCAGAGAGATTGTAATGCCCTGGGTAAGGAGGGCCACCATTGGTGGACAGCAGATCCTCGCATGATTGTTGCCAATTGTTGCCTCATGTCAAGCTTTGTAGCTTCATATACAGCTCGACCACCTCTCCTATCATCAGATGAGGCTGATTTAAAAGTCCGTCAACCAGTAGAGAAACAGAGAGTGGGTGGAAGGAGCTGTCGACGCAATCCGGTCGATTTTAGAACAGCATTAGGCAAGCGCCGTTCACAGATGAAGATCTTAGAAACTTGCGGCCTCATGGTGGCAATCAGGGAGAAAGTCCTGAAAGGAAGGTAAAATAGGAGAAAGCCATCCCCTCACCAATGTACTGCTTCGTCGGCAGCCCCGTAGAGGGGTCACTCTCCAGGACGCTGCTGCCGCCCCCCAGCGCACCAATCCACTCATTGGGAGGCGCCGTGATTGGGTACGCCAGCACATCGTCGGTGAGATACGCGTTGATGACATCACCCACTGTCGAGGTGTAGGGCACCTGAATCAGCTGCTGCTTGCGCACCACAAGGTCGCCTATCTTGTGGTCTCTCAGAAAGGCCTGCATCATGCAGATGTTCCACCTAACCGGACTCTGTGAGCTATTCAGGCTTCTTGCATTTCTCCGCTATTCAGGCTTTTTGAACATTTTACTCCTTTCTTCTGGTTGCTAAGTGCGAAGCCGGTGCCCTTTATGGGGCTGTTCAGGGCATTCTACGTATGAGGATTCTTTCACCACCACACTGGTCTAGGTAGATTTGGCGGCCTCCAACTTCAGCTTCTGGCCAGGTGGTTTGAGAGCAGACGCCACTCCTAAATTTCAGCTAGCAATCTGGCTCCAATTGCTCCTCTCAAAGAAAAGGTGCCTGAAACCAAACCCTTATTGACATGATTGAGCTGTTCCTCCCTCAGCGATTGGCTCTTTGTCCGCAGCTGTAAACAGATGATGCAAATGCAGTGCAGCATCAAATGGCCACAGAATTGTCAAATCAAGTATCTGCAAGCGGCAGTCTTGCTGATTGCTTTCAGCACATTGGAGAGCATGCGGAGACGAGAGAAACTGGCGAGAGTTGAAAGGCTTGTTAATATGCCGCTGCTTTACAATCTTCAACGCCAGCATTCTGAAAGAAGCTGGACGCAGAAATCAGAGTTGAGGACGCTGGTCAAACGCCCGGCCTGCATGGCTGGCTGCAGACTTCTGCAGAGCTGAGCGGCGCCTGCATGGGGCGCTTTCGACGTCTAAACCCCCTATAAACCCCGCGGCTGTTCGCCAAACCTGACCGGACGCCGGCCGCCCGCCGCCGCGCGCTGCATGATTGATGTACGCCGCCACCAACTTGCCGGCAGCGGTTGGAATGTGCCCCGTCCTAGATCACGTGACAGCGCTGTGGATCATATATTTCCATGAGCATGCTCAGTGCCGCCCTGGCACTGTACAGAATTGCTGGCAAATGCACACACCGTCAGCTCTTTAGTGAATGGAAAGGGGATGGAAAGTGGAAAAGTACTGAGCTAAATTGTACGCAAAATATCTCTTTCTCAGGCAAGCTGTTGCTCTGCACGACGAGCATGTGAAATATGTCCCATGAAGTCATGGCAACATCTATGTTGCTGTACGGTGTGACCTGGGTGTGACATCATCCTCCACCCTGGAGCCAGACAAGGAGCGCAGAGGAGCATAAGCAGTTACTGAAGCAGGAAAAGTTTTGATCAGCGGAGCTGGCATAAGTCGTGCAGCCTTTCAAGGGCTTCAAGTTTTGGCACAGAAACCTCTCCTTTCAGCGGCATATATTTTTGCTAAGACATATGGTTCTCTCCTGCTTTCTGGTTGTCGACATCCTTGCTTGCCCGTCAGACGACCATCGGAAAAGCATACCTGATTTCCAGGACTTCATCCAGTGAATCAGGTGACTTTCATCGTCCCCAGGTCTTCTGAAGCTGATGATAGCGTCTGCTTGAAAGAAGAAGCCAATTCAGGGTTTCACCTTGAAGACTCCGTGGTGACTGGGCCTTTCTAGAAACGAACGCTTTAAGAGGCAGATGAGCCAAAGGCGGCACAAATTGAAGGAAGACAAGGCAGGAGGTCTGAAGCTGGAGCTTAACATGCTGGTGCCACATACGTGGTCAGTTGGAGGATAACCTTCGGGCCAGCGTCTGCGGGCTGGTTTGGCAGGATCAAGCATGGGCAAGCGAAACCAAATCAGGTGCGCCTTTTACACGCCTTCATTGGGTCCCTGGACGACGTTCAGCAGTTGACAGGATGCTTGCAATCCTATTTCTACATTTTCTGAAACACTGCCCTAACACTGGTCTGAAACATATGTCACAAGGTAAATTTTGAAATACGATACTTTAGTTCACTCAGATTTGAAGGGCAGCAACCTCAAAGCCTGGTTCCAGAGCTGCTTCTAAGGTCATTCTGGTATTGAACACCCTGGTTTACATGGTCTCGGTGTGCTTTGATAGGAGCGCGCTGCAGCGATTTGGCCAGGAGATATAAAGAAGGTTCTCTGAAATACGACGGTTCTCCGTTGCACTACTTCTCGGGTCAAGGTAACCAACAAGCTTGAAAATGCAGATTTCTTCTAACGCTGATGGACAGGCATGCTTTCAGGCTGCGCAATCAGACTTGTCAAGACCGATCAGCAAGCACAAAGCACACAGAGCGAAACCAGAAGCCACAGAGGACCCAGCACAAAGCACAAAGCACAGAGCACAGAGCACAAAACACAGAGCACAGGAAGAGCACAACTTACTGAGCAAAGCTTATCATTTCAGCATGCCCCACAACGGTAAACTTACTGATCATCAGACTGACATTACCAAGGAGCTTGGTAAGTTGATGAATTTGAGCACGGATCGAGCAGTCTGCCATCGGTCTCTTTGCTTCCGCTTTGTTTTGTATCCAGCGGTCCCTGGAAGCTTGGCCACCAGTGAACCAGCCAGAAGGTGCGATTCTGACATGGCTATTGATGCATTTCTCGGGACTTTGTGGTAAAAGGCGGGTTTGTGCGCTCGACAGGGGGCTGCTTTCAGCTGGAACAATGGCCAGCTTCGGCACTGTAAACGTCAGCACATTTACATGGTGGTAACTAGGTTGTGCTCAGAGTTTGCCGCTTTCCAAATGTTGTGCAGGCCGGTTCAGGAAACCGACAGCCCCAGCAGTGAGAGGGGCCACCATGAGCTTGGATCGAATGCCGTGGGATGGAAGGTCTATGATGCATTGCAGCGCCTTGATTCGGGCGGGGAGCTTAGCGACCCTCTTGAAGACATGATCGAACAATCCTGGAAGAAGTCGGCGCGAAAGTGGTTCTGCTTCGACTCCGTGCTCAACCCGCACTCGAGCGCAGTCAGGGTGAGCAAAGCCGAGCAGTAGCCGATAACAAGACTTTGTGTACTCATCTGGTTTTCTATCGCTTGGTTGATAATCTAGACAGCTTTCTGGAAACGCGGGCCTAGCTGCAGCTCTTAGAGTACAACCTTCTGAAATTCATCTCAGCTTAGGGATCCTATCAAAACTTCCGCAATCCCTGCCTTTCAATTGTAACCAAGTCTGGGGAGACTAGATCTCAAGGACGCCTTCTTCTGAATACCTCTCTTTTGCAGCTCAAACGTTTTGAAATGCTCCGTCTCTGTGCAGATATGGAACCGCGTATTCCTGCTATCTCTGCTGTGCAATACGGTGGTGGACCCCCTCTTCTTCTACCTCCTCTCGGTCGACACCACACTGCTCTGCGTCTACGTCCAAAAAGCTTTTGCCATCACCGTTACGGCGTTACGCACCATAAACGACGTGCTCTACCTGATCAACATGTGGCTCCAGTTCCGCACGGCGTATGTCTCGAAGTCCTCGTTGAAACTGGGGATCGGGGCGCTGGTGACCAACCCGCGCAAAGTCGCCATGAATTATGTGCACATTCTGCGCGGGGGGCTCGCGCTCGATATCCTGGCGATCTTGCCTTGTCCTCAGGTAAGGTTGAAATGATTAATAAGAATACGGGAAGCAGTTCGTGCAGTCAAGGGCTGATGTAAGCATCCACAAGATACGTATCTGGCAAATCAAGGAAGTCTGCTCGGAATCAGAAAGCTCTCTTCAGTTTCATTTATTCGCTTTTCGTACGCGGAATGCAACTCAACCCATCGAGAGCGCCCCAAATTTAGCCCTGCCTGTCATATAACGCGCTATTACTGACGTCAATTCCATGCTAACGGCAACCATGCTGACGTCATATCTCCATTCCCCAGATCGCCATCTGGATCCTGGTACCGCGCCTCATGACGTCCGGCAACACGTCGAGAGCTACCACCACGCTCCTCTGCTCCCTGCTGTTTCAGTTCGTCATCCGCCTGTTCCGGTACTTCGCTCTAGTTCGTCGGATGCAGCGCGTGGTGGGGTACATCTTCTGGGGCTCCTGGTGGGGCTTCGTGCTCAACCTGGCAGCCTACTGCGCCGCCGCACACGTAAGGACGTATTAGTCGATTTTCGTAGCGCACACCGATTCTGTAGGTTAGGTTGAGACACAGCTTCAGCTTTGAGTAGTAAGATTATATTGGCGGCGAATGCGGAGTGGCTAAGAATTCCAGACTTGAGAAGGATGAAATGAACATCTTGTCCGTCTCGGCGTCTGAAGATGAAGCTGGCTCTCAAGGGCCTGATCAGTCAGAGTCGAATCTTCGTTACTGAGAGCGCAAGCTGCTGATTCAAGCAACTCTACCAACTTTGGAAGGAAGCTTAACCAAACTACCACTAGCCAACTTAGGAACTCACTTAAGTGAAGATTTTACCTTCTCACTCAGGTCAAAACTTAACGAGTCTTACCAACCCCCAAACTTCAACTTCTCGAATACAAGATTTTATGACATTTCCTTTTTACCTCACGCTAATTATCCACGATGGACGCCCCCGCCTCCAGCACTTTTCCCTCTCTCTCCGGGTTTTAACAGTGTTATCTCCTCTTCTTCAAATACTTTCTTCTGTCTCCCCGTTTGGACACGCGGTACTCCGAGTCTTTCCCCGCTCACATTCTCTGCATGGACCCGAGGCCAAAAGCCTTCTTTTCTACGCAGGTTTTTGGCGCCCTGTGGTACCTCTTCGCCGTGTCCCGGGTGTTCTCCTGCCTGGCGCACCACTGCGAGCGCTACCCGGGGTGCATCCCCCACTACCTGGCCTGCAAGCCCCCCATCCAGTTCGCCAAGGATCCCAACATAAGCATCGGCCGCCTTCACTGGTCGCAGAACGTTAACGTAACGCTGGAATGCGTGCAAGACCAGAAGACGTTCCACCACGGCATCTACTGGAACGCTCTGCCGCTAGTAGTCGGGACCAGCGTCGCCGAGAAGATTGCATTCCCCATCTTTTGGGGGCTCATGACGCTCAGGTAAGTTTTCGCCGGCACTGTTAACAAGCTGATTGCTGGGAAGGTTCTTTATAGTCTCTGGCTGTCCTCCATGATGCTCAAAATATTATGAAGTTCCTTAAAGCTGAAGCTTAGGTCGTGGCAGAGCAGCTAAGGGGAGCAGATACGAAATCATGTCTCTTGTCTGGGAAAGTTTTAACAGTGAGTCCGTTTAAGACGTCAGGGGTTTTGGGACGGAATGTGGCTCGATACGCGAGCTGTAGTACGCCAACTTGCCCTGAGCATTCAATACGATTCCTCCCGCGCAGCTCGTTCTGCAACTCGCTCACGCCCACCGATGATCTCCCCGAGACGCTCTTCAGCCTCGTCCTGGTCATGTCGGGCCTAATGCTCTTTTCCGCGCTCATTGGAAACATCCAGGTAAGCACCTACAGTTTCCTCTCCCGTACAGCTCTTTCTGCAACGCCCTCACGCCCACCGATGATTTCTCCGAGACGCTCTTCAGTCTCGTCCTCGTGATGTCGGGCCTTATGCTCTTCTCCGCGCTCATCGGAAACATCCAGGTAAGCACCTACTTTTCCATTTCGTCAGGGGCTTTACAGGGGTGCAACTTCGAGATTCGTCAAGTCCGGCTTCCAAAGCTCGAAAGTCCAGCCCTGAAAAGGGCTCTCAGTATATTTGTTCTGTCAAGATCCTTTTTAGAGGATCTCTAAAGTTCATCACGATTCTTCGTGCTCGTCAAAACTTTCTGTAAACAAGGCGCATAACGTCCGTATCTTCTTTTGGGCGCTTCAGGATCACGCGTCGTACGCTTGTCAGCTCTGCAGTTATCAATCCCCCGTCTTCCCGTGCACCTTCTCAGGTATTCTTCCAGTCGCTGTGGACGCGCGTCGACCGGATGCGCGCGCGCCGGCAGGACCTGGAGTGGTGGATGGCGCGGCGGCAGCTGCCGATCCCGCTGCAGGAGCGCGTGGACGACTACGAGCAGCAGCACTGGGCGGCGACACGTGGCATCGACGAGGAGGCTATGACGCGCGACCTGCCAGAGGGGCTGCGGCGGGACATCAAGCGGTATCTCTGCTTGGACCTCGTCAGGAAGGTGAGAAGCGAACCAAGCTAACAAGGGACCGCTTTGGTCACAAGAGGGTATGTTGAGTGTTTACCTTTGCTTTCTGGACTTTCCTGCCACACTGAACGTGCCTGCGAAAGGTGCAAAGCTTGAGAGGTCTTGCTTGATTTACCGACCCTTCAAGCAGATTGGCCTCCGAAGAAAAGAGTTAGACGAGAAGCGCAAGATCGATCCATTTGATTGCTTTGTTTTTTGAGTGTCCGGACCACCGTCCTGTTCTGTCAGAAAGGCATTGCGATGATAAATCACTCAGGGGCTTCACAGGAGAAACGGAAGTTCTTTTATGTGCTTTCTTTGGGGAGTCTTCAAGATGTCTCACGAACGTGCGCGCAGATCCCGCTGTTCTCGTACACGGACCCGCTGCTCCTCGACATTCTGTGCGAGCGGCTGCGCCCCGTGCTCTTTACGCGCGGCCTCGTTCTGATGCGCGACGGCGAGCCCGTGCGGCGGCTCTTGCTTCTTGTGCGCGGCCGCCTGCGCAACGTGCACACTTTCGGGGGCCGCCCGAGCGTCGCCCTGCTGGGCCCGGGGGACTTCACCGGGGAAGAGCTTCTCACGTGGGGTCTCTCGCGCACTGCGGATCGGAACCGGCTCCCGCTTTCCACCGCCAGGTTAGCTAGACTTCAGCGTCCCAGATGCTTTTTTCCAGGGGATACGTTTCTCTAGTCTAGCAGGTTGTCCCTTTGTGCATCTGTGCCGCCTACACAATTTCCGAGAGCTTTTTTAAAATCCACGAGATCTTCAGATGGCTGGCCGCTTCTGGAAGCATTACGGCAGCAGTTATCTGGACACTTCCGATTACGCGTTTTTCATGGCGACGACACAGGTTCGAATCCCGTAGGTTGATCATGGTAAGTTGGGTAACCGCAGAAACAGGTAATCCTGACGAGGCTGTGTGGAAGGCGCCTGCGGTTTGAGATTGGGCAGCTGGGACAATCTCGTCAAAGATTCAATGTGGGGATGTGTTGACCAATATTGTCCTGTGGTGCAGCCTGGACTGCGTTGACACCGTGGAGGCGTTTGCGCTGGAGGCAGACGACTTGATGTACGTCACATCGCATTTCCAGCAGCGCCTGCAGAGCAAGAAACTGCGGCACACCATTCGACATTACTCGCCGGTGAGGGTGGCAAATGATATAAGCTGTATAGAGTCCTCTGACTTTGACTGGTCGACTTGACTTGCTCACTGTTGTGGAAGTTACTCCACAACAGTGAGCATGTCAAGTGTCTTTAGTTCATGTCAAGTGTCTTTAGTCCGCCTGCCAGTTTGGCGGATTTTCGAGTGCGCAGACAGCCTTTTCCTCTTCGCAACATACTGTCACCTGCTGGAGATTTAGTCTCGCTCCTCTGTACTTTCTTCCCATCACGCATGCCTCAGGCATTTCCAGAGCGTTCAACGAAAGAGTGTTCGGCAGCCCTGGTGGGACGAGATCCCAGTCCTTGCTGCGTATCTCTTGCAACAGGCGATACGTGTCTTCGTTTCCGCAACTCCGAGAGTCCACTCAAGTGAGAGCTAGACACCTCCGCAGCGTGCATTCGAAGACGACCAAAAAATATCATCGACTTTGCGCTTTCTTCTTTGTAGCATTGGCGCACCTGGGCGGCTGTGACGATTCAATTGACGTGGCGACGCTACAAGGAGGCTGCGGCCAGCCGCCGCGCGCGCGCGCCCGCGGGCCTGCCAGGACAGCTGACCGACCGCAGTAGGTCGGACGACCAGACGAGAGACAAGTTACGTATGTATACTGCTATGTTCACATCGCCAAAGCCGCAAGATTACTAGACGGTCTGCGGCGAAAGATGCAACGGCGGCTAAAAAGGGCTCGCATATTGCTGCACGCGCGCACGCTCATGGCAGCAGAGCTTGGCTGACTACTTTTATTTCAAGGTATCAAAAGGTGGTCGACTGCTGTGTAAGGACAGATTTGAATGCTCGCAAAGTAAGGAGAAGGTTTAACTGAAATGAGGTCTGCCAACGAGAATCCTAGCGGCGAACTGTGAATGATGCCAAGCAGCTCGATGTCCAATCAGCCGTTACAGACAAACGAGTATATGTCTTCAAATGGCGCTAGGATATCGTTACGGTAAGGTTTGAAGAGGTTGAGAGCCCTTGGTGACTGTGTAGGAAGTATCAGAACGTCAACTGTTGAGGAATCTTCTTGCAATACGTCGCAACATAAGGATGTTGTCAAGCAGCCGGTGCCGGTCCTGCCAACATCTACGCCTTAAAGAGGAATACACTCTAGAAGGAATCAATATTGCTGGCAACAAGGAGCACAGCCGCTCGAAATCTGTTGCTTGGAGAGCAACTTTGCTAGACTCCATCCTTCGGGGCTCTGAGATTGATTGGTTGAAATGGCCTGGGCGGGCCAGGACTACCTCTGTATACCTATATGGCACGCAATTTTGCCTCTTTACTAGAGTGGGCCCAGTGTGTCGGTGCATGCTTGAAAGCTTTCATGCATGTTTCCTGTAGCTTCGTAGGGTGCGGCAAGGTAAAACGTTTTGATGTCAGGCATTGCTTTTGTGCGAAATATGTCTTGGACTTCAATATATACATCTGTACAAGCACAGCTTAACGTTTCCCGGCGTAATGCTTGGTTATTTGTATAATCCATGTACGTATAATCTCACATGTACAAGTGAGAGCGACGGACCTCATGGACGAGTTACAGTGTAAACATCTTCGCATGCAGAAGAACAGGTCATGTTTAGATGCGACGCAGTCGAATTGCGCTCGGTGCCGGTCGCGTCGCCCGCGCGCGGCCCAGCGTTACACCTGACCCGACACATTTGACCCAATCCCCGCTTAAACCCGCGCCAAAATTCAGGCACGCGACCGGCGGCCCGGCCGGCCGCGAGAGTACGTGCAACTTCCACTTGAAGTTGCCGGCAGCGGTTCCTCAAACGTGCTGTTTCACGTGGTGTTTTTCTGGCGTGCACGCCATGTGCAGAACCCTAAATTAAGGAAGGAGAGTGAGGTCGCTACAGCCGCTCTCTGTGTGGGTACCCTGACCAGCTGATTGGACGGTAAGCAATTATGTGAACCTGCTCACCAGGTTCAGCCGGCCTTGGCACGAGTCTAGTGAAAATATCTCAATATGAAACTTTGCTTTCTGTTGTGGTTAAGAGATGATCATGATGCCAATCCGTCAGTGCAGCGGCCAGCCTATCTGAGAACAGGTCATTCTCAAGTCTCCTGAATCTCTGATGACGCAATCATGATGCAAGCTGCTGATTTGATCCATGCCATGGCATCACTGTGACGACATTTTCACATTAATCCTGGCACGTGAAGTTGAATTAGATAGGATTGCTGCTTTCTTTTACTCGATGATACAGCTACTAGCCTTGGGACCTGGCCAAAAATGCAGCCTTTCACAATCTCTTGGACCTCCAATCTGATCAAGTCGCAGGCTGTCACGGAAATCACTTAGGAGTATGGACAAATCTCCTTTTCTGAATTCCCTTGTAATTGTGAAGATTGTATAGCGTCCTTGCAAGGGCTGCCTCCAAAGGAAACGAATATCGGGGCTTACAAAGCTTCTACGTCTGCCACTGTTCAAGATTCCAATTGGGTGTGACTGGGGCAATCGGAGGGCGTCAATGACGGGAAGAATTGCGGATCGTGGCTCTGAGTCGCAGCAAGCGCCGGTCATGAAGGAACTTGCCGCACCAAATAATGTCTCGGCCAACTTTACATTGTATTAGTGTCTAAGCTCCCAAGAGCCAGCCTGCGGAGGGGGGGGTTATGGGGGGCCGCAATCGAATCAGGTGCGCTTCTCAGAACCTCCAGTTACTTACCACCTTCTTCGAAACCATGAAACTGAAACGTGAGACGTCCTTGATCAGCCAGTAATCTGTGCACTTGGCTGCTTACGTCATCGTGATGGCTGCGCGTCAGGCAAAAAACGGCTAAGAATATTCTCTGATTCAAAAACTGGCAATGAGAAGGGCAGCTCTTGAGAGCCTATTCAAATTGTTAATTGCTTTCAGCACACAGCGGTCTACGGCAGATGCAGCAGACTCCTATGCCCTAATCCAGTAAACTGCCTGCTAGGAGCATCTACTTCATCCAAAGCTTTGCTAAGCAAGGAGCAGTGGCCTGTTCAAATGTGCATCCAGCCTGCAATCAGCTGCTAGCAGAGGTGCCTGCAGAATTGCATGACACAGGCAGCTCCAATCAGTGCCAGTTCGAATGAGAGCAAAGAGAAGAAGGTTCAAAGAATTTAGGCCACTGAGCAGAACAAAGTTATATCAGTTTGACCTAAGCTAGTTTGGTGCTCGGTTTCACAATTCATGCCCGTTTGCAAGACCAGATTCAACTTGACCCGGTTTCCCATCTGAGTTCCGCCTCTTCTTACATAGTGCTTGCTCTCAGTTGTCACTCATGAATCCTAACCGTTCAGTCAGGGAAGAAACGCTGGCCACATAAGGTACCTTCTCAATCAGGCTTTCATCAGGTCGCAGCAGAATGCGGTTCCAATCTCAACTCAGACTTCTCTTGTCTTGCAAATAACGCAGGCCTCTTGAGAATGCCGACAACCCCAGCAGTGAAAGGAGGGATAGTGAGGTCGAGTCAGGTCCCGCAGAATGGAAGGTTTACGGTCGAAGGCATCGCGGGGGCTCGAGTGGGGAGCTGCAGTTCTTCGAAGAGGTCGAAGACCAGCCGTTGAGGAGGGCGGGCAAGAGATGGCTCTGGTTCGACACAGTATTGAATCCTCATTCAAAGGCTATCATGGTGAGCTAAGCAGATTATACATCAGCCCTGCTCGGAGTAGAGCAATCTCAGTTGGCAGCTGCGAGAAACTCAGAAAAAGACTCCTAGATCTGAATCTCAAAGACATTCCTGGAAAGTTCCGAGTCCCTGCTGCAGCTTGTACTGGACCAGTCTCCGTTCGAACCTTGGAAGCTATTTTGCTTCTCAATTGTAAAACCCCTCGCTTCTCTACCAAAATGTGCGAATCAACCAGAAGCTTTCACATGAGAATTATGCTCCCACAAGCTTCTCTGATATTCCACGTATCATCTCGTTCTCCACCAGGTGTGGAACCGGGTCTTCCTGCTGTCGCTGCTGAGTGGCACGGTGGTCGACCCCCTCTTCTTCTACCTCCTCGCGGTGGACCTCTCCGAGCTGTGCGTCTACGTCCACGAGCCGTTCGCGATCGCCGTTACAGTGTTACGCACCATGAACGACGTGCTCTACATTCTTAACATGTGGCTCCAGTTCCGCACGGCATATGTCTCGCGCTCCTCGCTGAAACTGGGGATCGGCGCGCTAGTGACCAGCCCGCGCAAAGTCGCCATGAACTACGTGCACGTTCTGCGCGGGGGCCTTGCTCTGGACATCCTCGTCATTCTGCCGTGCCCGCAGGTGACTGCTCAATCTTGACTTAAAAACACGCAACTTATGTCACTGGCCTCGAATCCATTTCAAAGTTGAGACGATTGAAAAGGACATGAAACAACCAGCAGATTGGTTCAGCAGAACTTCCTTGAAGCATACCCTCCAATCGAATGGAACCGACATTAGCTCCAAGTAGGAGGCAAGAATGGGATTGCTTGCACCTCGGAAGTAGGAGAACCTTTTGTTCCTGAAGAGCCTCTGCCACAATGTGCCCGCCTGTAAAGAACGCATATTCGAATCGTCCGACAACAAAGGGCTCCTAACGGCAGCTTGCTGCGCTCATCAGTCACTGTCTGGAAACGGCAGCACGCTTTCTTTCAAAGTCTGCTTTCCATCATCCTCATGCACTCTTACACACTCAGTTCCTGCTCATTTTCCTCATCCTTCATTCTTCTCCCCCTTTCTAGTTCACCATCTGGATCCTGGTTCCGCACTTGATGACGTCAGGCTCCACCGCAAGCGCGACCACCGTGCTCCTCTTCGCTCTTCTCGTCCAGTTCATCATCCGGCTCTTCCGGTACTGCGCTCTAGTTCGTCGGATGCAGCGCGTGGTGGGGTACATCTTCTGGGGCTCCTGGTGGGGCTTCGTCCTCAACCTGGCAGCCTACGTCACCGCCGCGCACGTAAGCACGTCATAGCCTAGTCTGTGGAAAATTCAAAGGTGCTCATACGTGTGATTCCGGGCGCCTTTGGCTCCCGAAATCACAGGCTTCCTTTCCCGTTCGCAAAGGCTGCAAATTCCACAACCCGTCATCGTCGGAACACTGAATCTAGTTGGAAATGATTGATTCGTTTTATCCCGCACGTTCCTAACTTATCTGTTCAACGCTCAGGCGAGAAAGACACCTTCATCTAATACCAACGTTCGCAAAACTTCTTCGCTCTCCAGCCTTCCGACTCGCTTCTCTTCCTTTACTTTCAAAGGGCTTTTCTCCGCACACCCCTCTCAAATTTCTGCTTCTTGAAAGCAGCCTTTCCTCCCGGGGTCCTCGTTTCCTGCTTGTTGCCAGCTGTATCTCGCGCTAATCTCCTCTTCTTACCCCACGTTTCTCCTAGCTTCTAATCCTTCTTACCCCACTCCCTCGCCCCGGGTACGTTGTTTCTCGGTTCACGTCCTGACGCTATTGCCTCCCCCTGGTAGGTGTTCGGCGCCCTGTGGTACCTCTTTGCCGTCGCCCGAGTCCACAGCTGCCTGGCTCACAAGTGCGACCAGACTCCCGGGTGCACCCACTACATTCTCGGCTGCGACCCCCCCATCGAAATGGTTCATCACCCCCACTTCAGCGCCGCGCGCGCGGCTTGGACTGGCAACCTGAACGTGACCACGGAGTGCATTACGGACGCAAAGTCGTTTCATCACGGGATCTACTGGAACGCGCTGCCCCTGGTGGTCGGGACCAGCGTCGCGGAGAAGATCGCGTTTCCGATTTTCTGGGGTCTCATGACGCTCAGGTGAGTCACCCGCACGAGAAAGTATGGAGATCAGGAAGGTTTCTTGCACACTCATAGAGCTTGAGTGGATGTGCTGCAAAAAGATCTTTGCTACTTGTTCAATCTCACTACTTGAAGTGCAACATGATTGGGTTTGAAGAGAAGACAGCATCCCATTTCTTAAAAACGTGGTCTTTTTATTGCGGAATCTCTGAATGAAAGATAGCCAATCTTCTTTCACAAACTCCCGTTCGGGTGATCAGCCATGATTTGCGCAGAAATGCAGGAAACCTTTCAATCCGAACGGTGGACGACGAAAGCGAAAACGAGAAAGTCCGACGGAACAAGTAGCTAAGTGCTCAGTACAATCCCCTCCTCCACGAATCAACAAACCTTTCGCATTCTGTGTTGCTTTTGCAGCTCGTTTTGCAACTCGCTCACGCCCACAGATAACCTCCCCGAGACCCTCTTCAGCATCGTCCTCGTCTTGTCAGGCCTGCTGCTCTTCTCCGCGCTCATTGGTAATATTCAGGTAGGCACCTCAAGTTCTTGCTTTCAAGTTAGATTCATAGTCATGGAACTTTGGAATTCCGCATTTTGTTTTCGGTGACTGGAAGGCCAGCTGCTCTTTTCCAGGTTCTCTCGATCCTTGCACCTAAGCTTTGAGCAAGGTATGAGAGCCGGAAAGCTTCTGCCTTTCCGGTCTTCTCAGCGATCCGAGGAATTAAAGGGCTGTGTCCCGTTTTGTCCTTGTACCGTCCAAAGCGCGTCAGTATTCTTGTGAGTGACGCGCTCATTCCAATTTCTTTTCTGCCTCGGTCTGAACACCACCCCAAAAAAGTAACTTGATTGAGGTGTCTCTTCTCTGCTTGTCTTCCCCAGGTGTTCTTCCAGTCGCTTTGGATCCGTGTGGACCGCATGCGCTCGCGCCGGCAGGACCTGGAGTGGTGGATGGCGCGGCGGCAGCTGCCGCGGCCGCTTCAGGAGCGCGTTGACGACTACGAGCAGCAGCACTGGTCGGCTACCCGGGGAATCGACGAAGAGAACATGATTGCAGATCTGCCGGAGGGGCTGAGGCGGGACATCAAGCGCTACCTCTGCCTAGACCTCGTCAAGAAGGTGAAGAGCTTCGAGGCAAAACTTGGTCACTCAAAAGCGAGAAAGTTTGAAGTGGAGGAACGAAAGCGACAGAAATGAAAGTCGTTCAAACCAGTTGTGGGGAGAGAAGTCAAGTACTACTCTGTGGTCACACTTCTTCTTTTAAGGAGATTGATGAGTCTGCTTCGATGATGAAGCGCGGCCCACAAAGGTTCAACGTCTGAAACTTAAGCGCTTCGTCCTTTGCCTCTCCAACCCCCTTTTGAGATAAGTTTCCGACTGCTCGCGCGCGCGCAGATCCCGCTGTTCTCGTACACCGACCCGCTGCTCCTCGACATACTGTGCGAGCGGCTGCGCCCAGTGCTCTTCACGCGCGGCCTCGTTCTAGTTCGCGACGGCGAGCCCGTGCGACGGCTCTTACTTTTGGTGCGCGGCCGCCTGCGCAACGTGCACTCAGTTGGAGGACGCGCCAGTGTCGCAATTTTGGGCCCGGGGGATTTTACCGGGGAGGAGCTGCTGACGTGGGGGCTCGCGCGGACGGTTGACCAGCACCGCCTGCCGCTGTCCACTGCCAGGTCCGCCCGACTATGCTCTTTTCGAACACTTCCCGCTGTCTTGCCACGATTTCATTCGCGACCGTTGAAACAAACGGGACGCATTAAGGTTGGGGTTTGATCGAGCAGATCGAGGAGAACGGATTGCGCCTCTAGGCTTCTCGGAAGATGTCCCGCAAAATACTCTTCTGCGTAGTAACTTTTAGTCCTTCAACGACAGATCGACCTGAGACGAAGTGAGAAGTTCTCAGAGTGCAGAGTCAGAAGAAGTTCTTCCCAAGGCTAAAGCCAACGAAGTATTAAAAGAGCATTTCGTGCTGCATCTGTTCGGAAGGCTGTATCCGCGGGCCGGCGACAAACTTGCTGTTTCCGATATTCCCACAACATATTTACCCACAGATTTGTCTCGAGCTTCAAACGTCAGGCTCTGTTTTAGCCGAGTCGTCAGCTTGTAAGTTTGATGCAAATGACACTGCAGGGACGTCTGCCGATTCTTCTTTGTTTCGTCAAATTCTGTCGTCTTACGCAGCCTGGAGTGCGTTGACACCGTGGAGGCGTTCGCACTGGAGGCGGAGGACCTGATGTACGTCACGTCGCACTTTCAACAGCGCCTGCAAAGCAAGAAACTGCGGCACACGATCCGACATTACTCGCCGGTAAGATTCTATCCTGAGCCCCTTGCTTATATATCCTGGCGGTGTTATCAACCTCACTCCGCCCAGTCGAATTCGTCTAACATAAACTGGTTACGAAGTGGTTAGAATTTTGTCACTTGGTCTGACGACCTCTTGTTTGAGCGACCCACTATCACACGCCGCATGCATCCGTAACGAGATATCGTGGACTGTCCAGCCCACTGAGCGCTGAGTCTGTCATCATTACTGAAGCATCAGTACAAAGGGCTGACTGGATTCATTGTGCAGAATTGGTCGGCAGTCTTTAGGAGAAGTCCAAGAGCCTCGTAAAACTTCGTTTTTGTGAGAAAATGACGGACAGTGTCAAAGAAACCTTGCAGATCCCAGCTAGTACGCTGACCAAAAGGCGGGTTGTCTGACCTGTTTGTGGGACTAGAGGTTTCGGATAATTGATGCGGTTCTTAGAAGAGCGGCACCAAGGTTTCAATTAGCTCTTTCGTTTTGTCACAGCATTGGCGCACGTGGGCGGCCGTGACAATTCAGCTGACGTGGCGGCGCTTCAAGGCGGCCGCTGCGAGCCGCGGCCCGCGCACGGCCTCGGGCCTCGTCCCGGTCCCGGGGCAGCCTACCGACGACCCGACGAGGGACAAGTTGCGCATGTACACTGCTATGTTTACGTCGCCCAAGCCGCAGGATTAACATGTTCACAATGGAGACATTATGGCTCGCATACTTTGCACGCGCGCGCAAACTGAAGCACTAGGAGAGGTTTCAAAAGTGCTAGTTATAGAAGCGAGGATAGTTAGGATGTTGAAAGGTATGCAGCTTAGAAAAGTAGGCGCGGGCCAGCCTTTGAGCTCTTGCGAAATTGATTTTGACTTGTGAGCTTCGAACGTGGTGGATACGTAGTGACTGTCTTCATTGTCTTCTTGAGTTCGTTGTCTTCATTGCCGTTGTATGTGCACGGCAATGAAGACAACAAACTACTTTTGAACTCTCGGGTTCTGAAGTTGATTGTCGATTTGAGGATTTTTGGCTGGCGTCGCACCGGAGTCTTCAATCTATGGTCGCTGACATCTCGCAGGAAGTTTACGTAAGAGGTTATGGGCTTGACCGTCCGCCCTTGTTAAGCCAACCGTCGGTTCTGGTTAACAGAGGTGATTCGCAGAACCCCCGGTAAACTTGAAGCTGTCGTAATCCGTATACGCCTGTCGAGGGGCGCGGGCGCTGGCCATTGGACGGTGTATCAGAAGAGTCACCTTTCTTATCCAACGGCAGACAGCTTTCGGATACCATTGATGATGGACCTGCAATGATGGCGCCGCCTTTCATATCATTGACCCATGTCTTGTATGTACCACGTGGAAGGTGGTGCTCCACGTGGCCAGATTCCGAGGATCTACCGCCCAGGGTATGGAGCCCTGCCGTGCGCAGTCCTGAGCACAGCTTGACTTGACTAAGGACTTGCTAGCGTCGCAGAAGCTGTGCTTGTAGCTACTTGTACCGTCCTGGGAGCTGCCATATGTATGTTCTATCACACGTTCATCTGAGGAATGTACCTGGAACAGTGATTGAGCCGTCTTTCAGATGCTCAAAAGTAAATGCGCTGCATTGTTTGTGGCGTCTCGGGATAGTCTGTGACAGTTTATGACGTCTTGGTTATGCCGATGTTGGGGTGCAAAGTGAGCAAGTCAGAGCAAAGGATTGTGCGGGTTCCAGCCTGCTAACGCCCTTTGACAGCGGCACGATAGAAGGCATCATGCAAGGTGGTGTCCAAACTTTGCAGATATCAGCAGCTCTGCATGGGGGTGTCGTTGGACGACTTGTCTTCACTGAGCTTCTTCAAGCAGGCAATGCAAAGCTCTTGGCATCGAATCCTGCGACGCAATCTTATGAGCAACGAAAGGCTTTGAGGTCTCTTTCAGAGACCCTTGACAGGAGACGGTGGTGTTGTACGCTGTGGTGTGTGCACGGCTCGTGCACAAAGAGACGTACTGCCTTACCCCCTCAAAGAAGAATTGAGCAATATCATGGCGTCCGTCCGTAATGGTATTGCTTCTTTTCTCTCGAGGCTTTTTTTTTTCCACACTGAGATGTGGCCTCCTGAAACTTGAGACAAGGCGTCCTCTTGATGGTTGCAGCATTTACGTCTTGCTTTCAGAGTTGCTTCACCAACTTTCGATCGGAGGTTGCTCGGGCAGATTGCTGATGCTTGGAGCTGATACGAGTCCTTCCACCATGTACTAGGGTCTTACAGCATTGCATGACCCTTGTGTGTAAAATTCTCAAAAGAGTTGCCCTGTTCAAGATGCTTTTCCACAATGTCAAACAGTATGGACATGGTTTTGGACAGCCCTTGTATCCGTTGAACCTTGTTGGATCAGGAATATGGTCAAAGGACCATGAATGCTGTCAAGACATTGCAGCAGAGTGCTCTTCCAATCTGCTGGTTGGCCCAAAACACTCTGGTCTCAGCAAGTAGGCATTCTGTCTACAGTCATACAGTCAATCAGACTCACCTCCAACCTTCCTACTTTGCAGCAACTCTTTTGCTGGCCATCCTTTGCTTCACCTCAGCAGCCACTGCTGACCTTACCACTGATGTCAGCAACGACGCCTCCCGTCGCCACCTGCTACAGGCTTCCTGCCCTGCAACAGGCAGCACTTGCTACACAGCGGATGGCACCACAGGTTACTGCTGTCCAGGGGGTTACAACTGCTACTCTAGCGCCGGCCTGACCTGCTACCTCCAGGGCGTGTCCTATCCGTCCTCCTCCTCTGGGGCAGTCACCAATGGCTTTGTGTCTGGAAGTCCCCCTGCGGAAGCGCCAGCTCCTCAGCCTGGATGTGAGTAGATCTGTGTTTCTTCTGATCTCCCTATCCTCAGCAACATTATTGGGCCCTTTTGCTAGACAGGACTGTCACTCCTGCCTCCTCAAGCAGCCAAGCTTTAGCTTTTCTGGTCTGTGCGCATGCAGCTGCAAAGGCCCTAGCTCACTTCGAGGTAGAGAAACACAACATCAACGAAGCCTTTCAATGTAGGATGATTGAACACGAGTCAGCAGACTAGACTTGGTGCAACTCTGCCGCTGCACCAAGTCTTCTTAACCACCACATCTTGACTGTTCTTGCTTGTAACTGCCAACCAGCTGACCCCACTCTCTACCTACTCTTTGCCACCTGACTTGTCTGCCTTTTTGAGCACTGTTTTTCTCAAAGAACTACTTTCAAGTACTCGAAGTACTTCTTTGTTGACTAGCTCTTGACGATCCCTGGGTTTCAATAAAGTCTTATCTCTTATTGCAGCCGCGGTTGGTGTTCCTTTGACTGGCTCGAGCTGCACTTCCTCTGCCTACCCAACAACCTGTACAACTGCGGACGGTTCTGCTCGGTACTGCTGTCCGAGCGGGTCTGGATGCTTCAGCTCGAGCGATTTCACCTGCTACATCCAGGAAGCAACAGGCGTGTATCCCTCTGCGCCTTCCAACTTCGATTGCTCCAAGATCATTGAGATCACAGTGGATGAAATTCAGGCGCTCTTCTTGACCGGAGAGCTGACCTCACGTGCCCTAATCGAGTGCTACCTGCAGCGCATTGCGGACTTTGACAACCCAATAACCTTCAAGGGCGAGGTAAGGTGCAGAGATTAAGCGTGCAACTTTGATTCACTCTTCCTGTAGATGAGCTGCTTCCATTACCAAGACTTTATGGTGAGGTGATTTGCAGATTTGAGGTGCCTTGGAAGTGAGTTTCGCCTCCAAAAAGCGCGGCTGCCTCTAGTGTAAAGCTACCTCTCAGGCGGGCCGATAATCGACTGATTCGTTTGCTAGGCAAGAAGAGGACTAGAACTTGTAAGCAGGAGTCGTTTCTCCAAAATTCATGTCTGCAGGGTGATCCAGCGTGTGCGCGGTTTTTGAGTCAGGCCCCCTTTCTAAGATGCTTAGCATCCTGACAGAACCACCAAGAGACGGTGAAAGCGAGCTCATTAAGTACTCCTCCCGATTTCTAATTCCGTCATGTCTGTGCAGGTTGCATACGCAACAAATTCCGTCATCGAGTTGAACCCAACAGTGCTGGCAGACGCAGATGCCAAAGACGCCGAGCGAGCGGCATGTCTTCCTACTTGCAACCTCAGCAAGATCCACGGGATCCCCGTCCTGCTCAAAGACAACGTGGCAGCAGACGGGATGAATGTCACAGCAGGTGAGCTGCTTCACCAGAGGGGAAGCAGAAGCAGAGGAAGATGTTGTCAAATTGAGGATCCTAGAGATGGTGGACGGTAATGTTGGATTAAGGGACTAGAGAAGCTCATTGTGAAAGATCTTTTTGGAGCAAGAAAAGTTAGAAGCAGATGGTGGAAGGTCTTTAAAGACCAAGTGAACTTATCCGCTGTCAGAGAAATTGAGAAAACCTTCTCAAACCAAGAGAACCAGGAAGCCACTGGTGCAACATCAGTTACGACAAGGGAACTCGGACATTGATGTTGGAAGATCTTTCACATCAAGGGATCCAGCTAGACATGGTGGAAGCTTTTAATAGATTAGGGAACTTCGAAGCCCTGTTGGAAGTCCTTTCATATCATGGTGGAGGATTCTTTCAGACGAAGGAAATTTCGGAGCTACTAAGTTGGTCGAATCTCTTATCAGACCAAGAGAACTGTGTACAAGCTCATGGTGGACGGTCTGCTGAGCTCTGCAGAATGTTACATTCATAGAGTTGCTAACCAATCAGAGGGTAAAGTACCACCGTGCACATACCATCCTGCTTCTTGCAGGCTCCTACGCTCTGCTGGGAGGCTATCACTCCCCCGCGTTCCTGACAATCCTTATTCTGAACGCTGGCGGCATTATTCTTGGCAAGGCGGGCCTGTCTGAGTGGGCCAACTTCAGAAGCATTTACTCTGTCTCAGGATGGTCTGGCCGTGGAGGTCAAGTCAATGTAAGTCTGCCTTCAAAGTCAGAGGAAGGCTTCCATTTCTTTCTCCTTGAAAGCCGACGTTTTGAGCTAGGGGCGGAGAATCGACAGCCACTATTGAGAAGCAGCAGCAAGGGTCTTTCCTTGTCGATTTCGTCACGGGGTAGACAATAACACGTACGTCTTAAGAGGCGGTTGGTTGTTGCGGTCAGCTTGGTCCTTTGTGGAATAGTTAGTTTAGCGTTTAAATACTGTCGGTCAGAGCGAGTCAGATCGAGTCAGACATTTTCTGCGAGGAAGAACAAAGGAAATCCTTCCGAGTAGGAAGAAGCGAATTGTGAAGGCTTTTGAGAGCCTTCTTGAACCCGTGACCCTATCCCGGACGTGACGCTTTTGATAAGTCGTGCTTGATTGTGCTGCCTTGCAGAGACTGCATGCTTTAAATACACAGTATCGCAAGCACAGTCAAAGGAGAGGAAAATCTTCAAAGCTCGTCTTTGGATTGCGGATAAGCGCAGAGCCATTTCCTAGATCAAAGATCCAGCACTTTGCTCGTGTTTTTCTACCCCTGGTGGACCAACAAGCAGGCTAGCAGGGTAAGATCTGACAGTTGGAAGCGCGGAGCAAGTTCTTCGAAGACCACACACCTTTCAATTTAAAGCATACCTTGCTTGCGTATTGAACCTTTCTGCAACATTCCACCTGTTTCTATCTTTTCCTCCAGGATCCGTACGTTCGCTACTTCATCGACGGTCAGGACAATATCACCGATCCTTACACCAACATTCCTAGCGCAGTCACGCCAGGAGTCTACTACAACGCATCCAATCCAGGCATTGTGTCAGGATCTTCGTCTGGTTCTGCAGTTGCAGCAGCGGCCAATATGGTGAGACCACAGTGGCGCATGTCCAACCTTCGAAGAATGCAACTTCTTTTACCTAGTAACAGATTCCGACAAGTTCCAGGTGCTGCAGGCAAGCGACGTTGAAAATAATAAGAAGTGCTTGCTCCATAGAGTGACATCCGATTTGGAAAGTGCAAAGCGAAGGACTTGCATCCGTTGCTGGTGCACAAGCTGCCCGTGCTTATCATATGTCGTAGTTCCATCCGTCCATGTTTCTATAGAAAGATAAATGCACAAGCAATTGTGACTCGGTATGGATTGAATTACAAACCAAGCTCTCTCGTGCAGGTCACTTTGACGATTGGCTCTGAAACTAGCGGGTCCATTTTGTCACCCAGTCAGTTCAATGCAGTGGCAGGCATCAAGCCGACAGTGGGCCTTGTTAGCAGGAGCGGAGTAGTGCCTCTGTCAGCCTCACAAGATACTGCAGGGTAGGAATCCGGGTTGATGCACTTTCTGTTTCTTGCATGTTTGTCGTGTTTTCGCCGATTGGAGGCCTGTTAAAGCTGATTGTAGTGTTCCTCAGCGAGAGTGAAAAGTGTTTAGTCCCTTCACTCTCCTTCTATGCGCTTATGTTTTGCTGAAGCAACCGGCAAAGCTCGACATTCTGCTGTGTGAATATCGGAGAGGCAATGCCGTTAAATGACTTAAACAAAGCTTGCAGATAGCCTTTTAAGAGTAGCATTATCATTTTTCCAGGCCCATGTGCCGCACTTTAACGGACGCCACCTATTTGCTGGACGTCATTGCTGCACCGGACGCAACCGACCCTGTAACGCTCACTCAAGTGGTTCCTGCTGGAGGTTACGCACAGTTCCTGAATAAGAATGGGCTGCAAGGTGGGGGTGCTTCCTCGAAGTTTAGTAGAGCGTGCTTGAATTCTAACGGACGCTTTACAAGGCTGACGTCTGCATTTGGAGGATCCCTGACGTGGAAGCTTGAATGGACTTGATAAACTCAGAAGGGGCTGCTTTTTCACTCTTGCAAGTTCTTCCCATACGCCGAGTATCGATATTGCTTTCTTAGTCCGAGAAGTATCACATGCACACGTTCATCCTGCTTGACCAACTTCTGCAGGCAAGAAGATTGCGATCGGCCCAGTAGGACCGTACGATGGAGCCGACGACCAGATCATGGCCGCCTACGCTAAAGCCGCAGAGTTTATGAGGTAAGCAAGGCAAGGTCTACTTTCAGGTTTTTGAAGGCTCTCTCTTCCTCATTTGCTCGTCCAATCACCGTTAGAGAAAAGATTGCAGTGAGTTCCTGGACATAAGCACATAAGCACAGGAGGCTTCTCGAACGTACACCTTAGTGTCGGACAGTATCTGGATGGCCACGTGCCTCGCGTGTTGTGGATCAGCTTTAGCTTGATGTACAAGCTGAATCACAGTCCTCGTAGACGTTCTAGAAGAAAGCAAACCGTCTCAAACGTAAGATACTCGCTGCAAGATAGGTTCTTCTCTCGCTATGCGACCTGATCACTATCCGTGCGCGCATGGCGGTGTCAAATGACGACTTCGTTAAACAGAGCAACTCGCTTTCATCTGCAGGTCCGCGGGCGCTACCGTGGACGTTCTACCTGACAACTTCACCTTGCCAGGCGACGACCTAAGCACCGGACTCTTGCTCTGGTACGACTTCAAGCAGAACATTGCCACGTACCTCAGCGGTAGGTCAAGCTCCTCTTTGCTTTCTGTTACATGCCGCTTCACTCTAAAGGGATAGGTTCTCACAACGGCAGGCAGAGTCTAGAAAGCGTCTTGGCAAGAAGATGGTTCGGATGAAAGCTCGAGCCCCTACTTCTATGCACCTCCTCAAGTTCTTGCTTGCTTCCGGTAGAATAATTCTCACTGTGAGCGATTCAGCCGTTTAGGAACGAGCTGTGAAGTCAACAAACTTGCAAGGCGTCGAAGCCTCTTTACGTTCTATGAGTCTGAAAGACAGACATAGCAGATCTTATCTGGAAAAAGCTTGCAAGTGACGATCTGTCTCTTCTTCTTGCAGAAGTCACCTGGGCTCCTGGCGTTACTCCCAAGAACAACCTGGAGGACTTGATCCAATTCAATCTGGGTACGTCTTTTTTACTTTCTCCTCATTTCAGTTCTGACTTGTGCCCCTTCGTTATGCAGTGTGCTCTCACTGGAGAATGCCTGTGGTTGAACATGATGTCAAAGCTAGCAAGAGCGATTTCTCGGCCGTCGAACTCCCCCATTCTGGCCCCATCCGACGGCCAGTAGTGGAGCTCACGAGCATTGAAAGCCTCGCGTAAATTTTGCCTTTTCGTGCACTTACTTTTCGGGCCTCTTGTTAAGGCCTTGTACTTGATACAATCCGGATAGATGCTTACTTTGACCTGGATTTTCTGTATTTCTCGATCTAGTGAACAGCAAGCCCAGTGCCAACAGTAAGCATTTTGGGGTTACTCAAAACCCGAACCTAAGGAAACACCCGCTCCGCACCCGTACCCACCCTAACCCCCTAACTAACCCTACCTGTCTCCGTTACTGTTCACTTGCTGTTACTGTTCACTGCATAAATCGGAATAAATTTTCCACACCTTTTGTTCAGACAACTACTTGCTGGAGTTCCAAGGCGGGACGTGCTGCCGCGGTCAGGTCGCGTACGGCAACTTCTTCCAGGACATCTTCGACGTGGCCCAGGTAAAATGCCACATCGTTTGCATCTTCCAAGCCGTATGCCGATTCAAAAGCTCTTCAGCTTGTCTTGTAAGGGCATGCTCTTAATACTTTGCAAGTCCTGGAGCTTGTGACAAAGTGGCCCGTTTATTTTCGGTGGTGGGAAATGGCTGTTTGATTGAGAAAGGACTGGAAAGCTCTTCCTTAATCGTCCCTTGATTGAAGCGCGAAGCGTTCATCCGGTGCAGATTAGATCAGCTTCAGGTTGAGGTGCCACGTGGATGTCTCTAGGAACCCTCTTCTTGTAAGCGTACTAATATCCTCCCAGATCACTCCAACCATCTAAACGGTTTACTTTCCCTTTAATCTTGCAGAATACCAGCGGATTTGACGACCCAACTTACATGCAGTACAAAGCGGTAAGGCATGCAGTGCTGCCTAAGAAGTACGGTCGAGTCCAACTGCCGTCCGTTGCTTTAGGCTTCTGCTCGTCGCTTCGCCGCTAATGACTGATTGTTTTTTCACATGCTTCGAAGACTGCAAGAGAGGGGCCTTGGCAAATTCAAGCTGCGCCCGATATGTTGCTGTGATTGCCAAGTTCGAAACATATGCAAAGTCTGACTCCTGTCTTATAGCGCCCTATGAGAGAACGGATATAGGAGAGGCAGTTTCTAAGTTGGAGCGTCAAACCTAGAGGTCTTGGAGATCAGAGGGTGTTGCAGGCCGTCTCATACTCTTCTATTAGAGGTATTTGCTCATCAACCCGCTAGGTCTCAACAGAATCTTCTTGTGGGCTGCAGAATGCGGCTCAAACCAAGGTCCTAATCGAACAGTTCTTCCAATCCAACGGCTACGATGCCATCACGTCTTTGGGTGACTACATTGACGACTTTGCGCGCACGCAGTAAGTGTGACACATACTTTGCCGTTGTTTTCTTCTTGTTTACTTACTCGTGCGTTCTCGACACTCTCTAAACAAAATCAGCCGCCACATTTTATCAACGACCCGCTTTCCTCCTTCTTGAATGGTGCTGCTTTTGGAACTTCGTAAGAAGATCAAGTAGTATGTGTACAGATGCCAACTTCTTGTGTTTCCTTACAGGCAGCCCGGGGTTACCGTTCCCCTTGCGCTTTCCGCGGCTGGCTACCCGCTCGGCATCATCTTCCACGGGCTGTCCTACACGGAGGGAAAGCTCATTGAGATTGCGTACGCATTCGAGCAAGGATTTGGCTTCGGGCGTCCGGCCCCCACTTATTGCGACAGCGCTAGCTGCTCTTGAAAAAAGATGGAGAAAGTTCCTAACTTATTGGTAGTGCGGCAGAGCGGCAAACAGCCAGAAAAGCCTAAACGTTGCAGAACTTTCTTGCAAAAACGATTGGAAAGGCGTTCTTGGTGTCCTTCAATGTAAGCATGGGAAGGGTATTTTGTGGCGTGAAGGTAGACTCGGCGTTTGCTAGGCGCGGTGCGGGGGACATCAAAACTTAGGCCAAGCGCGCTGTTTCTTCTGCCTGATTGGCAATCTGGTCCCGTGCAATCATGTATGCACATCCATCATGCAAGGCAGGTTCGGGTGCTCTCGCGCGAACGACGCAATACTTATGAGGAGGTACAGAAGGATTTTGAGATCTCGTACTCGCATTGTTGTCGTATCTTTGTATACGTTTATACCGTCTCGTTCTAAGTGAAGGTGCATCAATCACTTCAGAATGTCACGGGCCGAACCTTTGAATCGCCGAGGCTCGAGAGTACATTCACCGATCTCCGACATTGGTTTAGCACGTGGTATCGGACCGATTGATCTTTTGAAAGCGCAGACACAAATGTAAGAGAGGTCAGAGGGACTGGCAGATGTATTTAACCCTTCCGATCTCACTCGAAGTTCAATTCAGGGTTGACGTGCTTAGCCGTTATCATCTGTTCCTCCAGCGTTCAATCCTCATTTAATGTGCCTTCCATAAATCTCTGATCGTGTTAAACTTGCATCAAATCAATCGTAATGGCGGCTACGTATCCCTTCCTCATTTCGGATTCCTGTCTGCATCATCTGTTCAGTGGTCAGCGATCGCTAGCCATCAGTTTCTAAACAGTTGATGGCCTCGTTATGATCTAGATTAATGACACCAAGCACCCTCAAAATCTATTTTACGACTGTTAACTGCATGCGTTCGCATGTTCAAGCCTCTGCAAAGCACCACCAATCCGCATGCATTGCGAGCCCTTTCGAATTTCGACCATCATCACCAAGTTAATGCGAGCTGCCTAATCTTGCGGTTTCGGCGACGTAAACATGGCAGTGTACATTCGCAGCTTGCTGCGCGCACTTTGCGCGGGGTCGTCGGTCGGCTGGCCCGACAGCGCGGCGAGGCCGGACAAGGACAGGCGCGGCCGCGCGCCATGGGCCTTCGCGGCCGCCTTGTGGCGTCGCCAGGATAATTGAATGGTCACCGCCGCCCACGTGCGCCAGTGCTGTTGAGATGAAAATGAAGACTTGGGTTTGGCGTTACGGGCTCACTTTATGCAAGGGTGGATCTAGTTGTGGATCTAGCGCGCATGCGGTAAGTCGTGTTCTTTCAGCTACAAGACGCTTGCGCTTCTTGGAGAATCGACGCAGCAAGATAGGCAGCGGCCAGCAGAGACTGGGTAAGTTGGATTGGACACACAGGCCGGCAGTGTTGCCTATGTGCTTCTGGATAGATTGACAGCGTATATCTTTTTGAAGCAGGCGGACGCACGAAGAGGCACACTTTAAAAGGCATGATTGTGCGAACAGATCCGATCAACGAGTCGAATGGAGCGCATCTCACCGGCGAGTAGTGTCGGATGGTGTGCCGCAACTTCTTGCTCTGTAAACGCTGCTGAAAGTGCGACGTAACGTACATCAGGTCATCCGCCTCCAGCGCGAACGCCTCAACGGTGTCAACGCACTCCAGGCTGCACAACGAGGATCAAGAGTTGGCACCAAAGCAGAGTATAGTCTCTGCTGCAATAAGAGTTGATCTTGAATTACTCACTGGAATCAACGCAGTTGCGGATGCACAAACAAGCTAAACTAGATTGTCATCCTGGTCAGTCAGTCACTTTCCGAGGAGTGCAGATCCACCACAACAAAGTGACCCGTTGAGCAATCCGAAGCGGCACAATGCCCAAGTCGTGGTGCCAAACAAGCTTCGGACCACATGCGCCGTTTCCAGCAGGACACTTGACGAACCTCGATCCATATCGTTTACTATGATGTGACTCCAAGAATCTATCCTGTAGACCCCGCTTCCGTCACGAGCATCACAGGGTTCCAGTTGACAAGCACCCCAAATGAGTGCTCAAATTCTTTGCTGCCCGCCTCGAGTCACCCTTGGTTGTTTATCTCCGACTTGTAGCCCTGAAGTTATTTGAAAAGGGCGAACAAGTCGGCTCCCTTTCCTGAATCTAGTCGGGGATGCAGAGGGTCACAAGAAGCGCGAAATCTTTGAGGGGCGGGCCATTCCGGAACTGACCTAGCGGCGGAGAGCGGGAGGCGGTTCCGGTCCGCCGTGCGCGCGAGCCCCCACGTGAGCAGCTCCTCCCCGGTGAAGTTCCCCGGGCCCAAGATGACGACACTGGGCCGGCCCCCGACCGTATGCACGTTGCGCAGGCGGCCGCGCACCAGCAGTAAGAGTCGCTGCACAGGCTCGCCCGCGCGCACGACGACGAGGCCGCGCGTGAAGAGCGCGGGGCGCAGCCGCTCGCACAGAATGTCGAGGAGCAGCGGGTCGGTGTATGAAAACAGCGGTATCTGCACGCGCGCGGAGGGCGAAGCTTCGGACGAGCATTACTGCTCTGAAGCAACGCCTCCCTCTGAGAGATGCCCCACCGTCTCACTGTTCTCTATCTTGGCTGCTGACGGGGCAATCTATTTCGAGTGCTGGTTTAATTTCTCGGGCGATAACGGCCTTTTAATACATCCCTTCTACCTCAAAACATTCTTTATCAGTTCCGAGACTTTCCTCTCCTACTTTCATAACGTACTATGGTTTTGCACAACCTCTTCCTAGCGCACAGACAAGCAAACAAGCCAAGCCTTCACCACGCCCGGAAGGTTCTGCTCGTAAATTTCGTAAGCTTTATTCAGAGCTTTCATTTGCTAACCCACCTTTCTAACGAGATCGAGGCACAGGTACCGCTTGATGTCCCTCCGCAGCCCCTCAGGCAGGTCACGTGTCATGGCCTCCTCGTCGATGCCACGTGTCGCCGCCCAGTGCTGCCGCTCGTAGTCGTCCACGCGCTCCTGCAGCGGCCGCGGGAGCGCGCGCCGCGCCATCCACCACTCCAAGTCCTGCCGCCGCTCGCGCATTCTGTCCACGCGCGACCAGAGCGACTGGAAGAACACCTGGAGAAGGAAGCGCGAGACGAAAACGACTTGGCTCTCTCGCGAAAATTTCAAACACCTTAATGCTTGGAAGCTGTGCTTACGTGGAGGAGCGTCGGAGTGATATACCAAGCCTTGTCAAAGCCAGAGTACAGAAGCGTAAAGCCCAATGTTGATGAAAGTTCCAGAATCCTGAGTGCTTACTGGGTCTCTTTCATTTTGCCTGGAGGAGAACAGCAGAGCGCATTTGAGTGCTTCATTCTCGACGGTCTATCATCTCAAAGCCAACAAGTGATTTTCCCGTACTTGCTTACCTGTATGTTACCGATCAGTGCGGAGAAGAGCAGCAGGCCGGACAGAACCATGACGAGGCTGAAGAGCGTCTCGGGGAGGTTATCGGTCGGCGTGAGCGAGTTGCAGAAAGAGCTGCAGTTTGAAGAACGTACGTCTCTCAGGAACGGAATCTAGAACTTCAATCTTTCTCACCTGGATGTTTCCGATGAGCGCAGAGAAGAGCATCAGGCCCGACATGACGAGAACGACGCAGAAAAGCGTCTCGGTGAGATTTGCGGTCGGGGTGAGCGCGTTGCTGAATGAGCTGCAGAGCCCAGGAGAGACGCCTTTTACAAAGCCCCTAGCTTCAGACATACCGATCGTTTTGGGCTCAAGGCCTCAAAAAAATGCTTCCGCACTTAGAAGCCGTTCTAACAAGTTGGAACAGGGCGGCACCCATATCAAAGTGAGGGAGTCCAGACGCCCGCCGAAACGCTGGGTATGCTTGGCTGTGTTCCATACAACCACTTTCTTCCAGCTCATAGAAATTGATTAGAAACAACCGTTCAAATTTATCCAGTTGAAAGGGCGGACCTGAGCTTTATCACAGAATGTTAACTTGCAAAGACCGTTTCCAATAGGTTGACTTGAATTTATCAAAGAACGCTTGCTTTCAAAGACCGTTCACAAGGGCTGACCTGAGCGTCATGAGCCCCCAGAAGATGGGGAACGTCATCTTCTCCACGACGCTCGTCCCGGTCACCAACGGCAGCGCGTTCCAGTAGATGCCGTGGTGGAAGGACCCCTCGTCTTGCATGCACTCCAAAGTCGCATTCACATTGAGAGACCACTCCGCGCGGCCGCCGCTGATGTGTGGATCCTTAGCGAACTGGATAGGCGGCTTGCAGGCCAGGTAGTGGGGGATGCACCCCGGGTAGCGCTCGCAGTGGATCGCCAGGCAGGTGTGCACCCGGGCCACGGCAAAGAGGTACCAAAGGGCGCCGAACACCTGCGCAGGGGGGCAGGATCGATTACTCACTGTTTCTGTACGAAATTTGAGCAGATTATGTTTCTTTCCGCTCGAGTGCACTGTACTCAAGGCTGCGATCTTTACGCTGATGCCTGATTGACAGCCGGCCTCTTTGGCCCCGGTAGAGGCGTTTGTAAACCGGCTCCTCGCGAAAAATGCAAGCTTGCAGGGTCGTCGGTGCCAAGAAGACAACGGATGCAAATGACGTGACGCAACTGGTTTAAACGGTAAGGATGTATAAGCGCTTAGTATTTCTTACGTGCAACTGACCACTGTGCTAGAAACTGGAGACGGGACGTAACTCAAATGACGCTTTTCTGACGTGATCCGGGAAAACAGGCGACACCGTGCTTACGTGTGCAGCAGTGCAGTAGGCTGCCAGGTTGAGCACGAAGCCCCACCAGGAGCCCCAGAAGACGTACCCTACTACGCGCTGCATCCGGCGAACTAGAGCGAGGAAGCGGAATACTCGGATGATGAATTGGATGAGCAGGGAGAAGAGGAGCGCCGTGGTCGCTTGTGACGCGTTGCCTGACGTCATGAGCTTCGGCATCATGACCCAGATGGCCAACTAGAGATAGGAGGAAAAGCTTGTCTGAGAACCAATTGGCTAACGGCTGGCGGGACAGCTGACAGATTTCATGAGTATGTGACTGAGTATCACCACGTGGCGTCTCCAATCAAAGGAGTGAGATCACGAAATCAACGGATCAAGTCGTTCAATTCTTGTCTTGATTCAATAGAATTAGAGTTCCTCAAACTCAAATTGTCTGGCCAAAACATGTCGTTCATTGCGCGATGACTAATTGACGCACCTTGTAGTTACCATGTCAAACGCAAGGATCGCTTCATAACTTTCAGCAGTGCACGAGTCCAGCTAACTCATCTCCTTTCTGCGTCTATTTCGACTGGCAAATGCATTCAATCCGTCTAGTGTGCTGAGTACCATTCCCTCTGAAACCCTATTCTTGATGTTGCAGACACCAGGTCTTGAAAATCATCAGATGTCCACCCGCTTCTTGCGATTCATCATCGACGCTTTGATGCTTCGTTTACCCCGCCAAGCGTACCTGCGGGCACGGCAGAATGGCCAGGATGTCGAGCGCGAGTCCCCCGCGCAGAACGTGCACATAGTTCATGGCAACCTTGCGCGGGCTGGTCACCAGCGCGCCGATCCCCAGGCGCAGCGAAGACTTGGAGACATATGCCGTGCGGAACTGGAGCCACATGTTGATAAGGTAGAGTTCGTCGAAGATGGAGCGTAACAAGGTAACGGCGATGGCGAAAGCCTTTTGGAAGTAGACGCAGAGCAGTGTGGTGTCGACCGCGAGGAGGTAGAAGAAGAGGGGGTCGACCACCGTGCCGCATAGCAGCGAGAGCAGGAAAACGCGGTTCCAGAGCTGGGGAAAAAGTAGTGGAGCAAAATGGTTAGTTGGTTGGAAGATCGTAAGAGGAGCTGAAGAAGTAGTCTGAGGAAGAAAGGACTCGAGGTGCCGGTTGCAGACGGTTGAGATCGGAAAAAGGATCGGAAAAGTCTGCGTGAAGCTAGGATTGACGTGGTTCAACCTGGCTTGCTTCGAATTCTGCAATTGTCTTGTGCAAGAAGGATTAGAAACAATGGCTAGAAGTCCCCTTCTCGCCGGTAAGGCGAGAAACGTGCTCTGCTGAAGAGAGTTGCCATCAAATGCTTCTGCCGTTAGTATCAACCACGTTTTCCACGCCTTCCTTGGTCCCATTACAATTGTCAGAAAAACTCGCGTGGTGATATGCGTGAAATCTGGATATAAACATCCACTTCCGCTGTGAATGTAAATTCAGAAAATAAAATTTAAAGTCAGCCGTTACTATGCGTTCCATGACTTTACAAGACCGGTAGCAATGATGAAAATGGCCTGAAACAGCTCACCCTTATCGCTTTCGAATGCGGGTTAAGTACACTGTCAAACCAGAACCACTTCTTTTTGGAGCTCTTCCACGGTTTGTCTCTGTCCTCCCCATTGGGAATGTGATCGAGCTCCTCCTCTCCATCAGCCGGTCTCGCATCATCGTAGACGCGCCACCCCTCTGGCGCGGTACCCGCTTCAAGCTCTAGAACAGCATCATGCTCCCCTCTCCCCAAAGAAAGCCTGCTGGCATTTCGCTCAAGGACCGGCCTGAAAGATCGAACTTAGGATAGATTGAAGCAGATTTGACCAGCATAAAGCTCCTGGAATCTGCAGTACTAAGAGCTATCTTTGAGTCTCAGCACATCAACGCAGACTCCAAAGAATCGTACTTGGATAGCTGGGAGAATGCCTAGCGCAGAGCAGGCGTTTGAGGAAACAGGCAGGACAACAGACTCTTAGCTGCAGTAAATCGTAGCAACTTAGAGAGCAGAATGTTGAGCAGGGCGCAAACCAGCCAGCAAAATGCAGGCTAAAAGCAAGTCGAAAGACGCAGGATGACTAGCATATTCACGGCAAGATGGCACAACTTGAAAGGCAGGCAAAAAGCAAAGGCAATGCACTTGTACTCATACCTTTTGAAATGACATGGATTAGAATCAAGGCAGCAAACATGGGCAACTTTACGATACCTGCATATTTTGGAGGTGGTTTTTCTTGGACCAGTTTCAAAAATATAGTACAGAGACCTGCGCAGCGAAGTGGCTTTATGCAGAACTGCCCGTGATGATGACCCCTGGGTAACCAAGATCATCCACAAGTGGTCTTCTGATGCTCTGATTCGAAAGCTTGAAAGACTCACTTGACACGGTTCCGGCTGCCCAGCCTTTGAAGGATATGAGAAGCCATGGCCTTTGGCTGGGCCTACTCTTAACACCAACGGACTGTCAACAACTGATCCTGCAGCCTTTAACTCAGCAATTCATCCCTTGCCAGAGCCGGCACCAAGGTCCCTTGCTGCTCTTCGCTCGCATCTCCAGCGAAAATTCAGCTTGATGAAGAATTCTTCTACGCAGCTCTTCCTGGCTTTTCTGCAGAGGGATTCTCTTACTAGAGAAGTCTTTTCCTTCTTCTTTGTGATTGCAAGATCCTGGTCCTCAATTCTGTTGACTTTACTGACAAACGCAGGCTCTGGAGTCGAAGGCATTACTACTAAAGTCATATGCATCTTATGGGAGCTGGCAGTTGCGAGAGAATCTGATGAATCCATCAGACCTTGCTTTGAAACATCGAAGGATTTACTTGGCATGTGCTCGGCATATGCCCCCACATCTCAGGACGACAAAGTTGAGCAGGGACAGCGCATGCTAGGGAAGTTAGTATCTGGTGCAAGGCCCACAATATCCGCACAAAGAGGCCGTCAGGAAGGTTAGGCTCTTCAGAAAGTCTTTCTCTGGAATAAACTTTATTATAAAGGGCCTGTTGCCAGCCTGTTGCTCGATAAGAAAATGTTGCCAAAGACAGCTGAAGAAAGGGAGCTTCAGTAAACCGGAAATAGTTCTCAGGAGGCTTGCTCAACGAGCACATGCGCTCAACCGCCTCGCCCATGTCTAGGTTAACCGTTCAAGATACAAGCTGCCGTGTCACGTGCTCGGTTTCATTTGCTAGTAGTACACTGTGGCCGGCCGCCGCGGGGGCGCCTTGCGCGCGATCGCGCTCGGCCAGAACGTGGGGGTTTATGGGGAGGTTTGGACCGGCCGGCGTTGCTAAATCGGACGTTCACTTTGGATTTGCAATTTCGTTTCCTACCGTCGATAAATTGCGCTGTCAAGTGCGCGCGCTAGATTTCTCAAGCTGCTTAGCTGCATTTGCCTGTGACCGTAGTAACTCGATCTGAGCGTGTGGCTTGACAGGGCGGAGCCTGTAATCAGAGAAGGGCCAACTTGAAGCAGGAGGGCTCCAGGTGCCACACTTCAACGTCTGGGGGGATGGCGGACATAAATTAAGCTTGAAGCGACAGTGCTTAGCAGGGAAACAATCTCTGCCCGGTGCACTAGGTTTGTGCCACGTTTGTGCATAGATGCATGCAATAATCTGGGATGCCGCCAACATCAGTGTGTGCCGATCACCTTGTTACGGGCCACAGGCCGGACCGTAGGCATGCAAGGTCAGTTTGGGCTGCACTTGGCGGCTAATGTTGCTGAACCCAGGTAGAATGCATTATGCGAACAGCCCAGTTACACAGCATTGCACATTTTTGAAATGCTGCTTATTGGGAAGTTTTTTAGTGGGGCTGCAACGTGGCCTTCTTTTGCGCCAGCCATGCGGCTAGCTCGCAGCAGAACCCCTCATTTCTGAGTGAGTGACATGGATTCCGCGCCAGGGGGTCCCTCCGGCAGCGGCCGGGAGACCCCCGGAAGCGGCCGGCAGAGCCCCGGCACGGGGCGGCGGCGATGGGGGGCCGCTGTGGGAAAAGTGGAATCCATGCTGGCGGTTTCCACGGCACTGGATTTGTATGCAGTTCAGCGGCAGAGGCGCGCGCTGCGGGACACCGACCCCTGGGTGATCGTGGAGAAAGTGCGCGGGCTGTGCCAGAGGTGAGGGCCGCTGAGGTCGGCGCTGACGTCACTTTGATGATGATATAAGATGTGTGGATGTATGAGAGGTGAATGGATTCAGGAAAAGCTGCAGCTGCAACCAAAGGGCTGCCAGCGCTGACAATGGTCCGGCAGTGCGAGATGTTTTGAGCTAGCACACTGCGTGAAGTCACGTTGGAAGCACCGGCTGAATTGTCAGGAAAGATGAAAGAAAACGGTTGGAGCTGCATTTGTGGCCGTCGTAACGCTAGCAAGCTTGCGCGCCCTTGTACTCTGCCCTGGTAGGAGCGCGCTGCCAGCAGTCTGTGCGTGCTGAGCTTTTACTAAACTTACAACACTTCCAAAATCAGGACCGCAAAAGCTCTGTTGAGCTATGATGCTATGATGTAGAGCTGAACGGACATCGGCACAGAATCATGCTCTGTCGAATCTTGCAGTAAGTCACGTTATCGGTTTGTCCAGAAAAGATTCTTTTAACACTCGAGCCCCATTCACACCAGTTCAGTATTCTGCAGTAGCCCCCAACCAAAATGTTATACACGTTGGTCAAGCCCTTTCTAACAGATCGCGAAGAGCGTGAAAGTAGTCGAAAGGGCCACCCTCCAGGCATGACTGAGCACAGGGATCTTCTGCACACGCAGGCTGTCAAGGAGGAATCTTGCTTCTTAGAGAAAAGTTTTGAACTTTGAAAATTGTAATCGACTTGTTCCCTCAACAAACCCGACGGTTCTGCTCCGACATAGCAATATGCTCTCTGACAACTTGACAGTTCTGCGCCAGATTACATGGTTCATAACAATAAGTCTTCTGAAAACTGCTATAAGCTATTGATGTATGCTGGCTAAGCACAGGAGTTTCCTGCACACGCAGGCGTCCTCCTCGGCCGCTGTCAGTGGTCCAGGACCTGGTGATCCACGCGGGCTTCCTCTGCGGGTTCATCCGTGAACAGCCGCTTGAGGCACAGTTCCGACTCTGCCAGGTGGTGCAGTTTGAGGACGTGGGGCGGGGGAAACTAGGTACGGCGCCATTTTGGCAGCAAATTCTTCTTTTTGTAAGGGCGTGATTATGCTTGGCTGGAGGAGCTTGTTTGCATAGCAAGGAATATGCTGAGTTGCGCGTTGGGGTGGATAGAGAAGCTAGCTAGTCAACTCGGCGGGTGAAGGCACCTTGTCGAGGGAATTGCGGGAATGACACCTGGTGATGCCTGGCAAGAATAGGCTGACGTTCACTGCCTTCTACTGAGTGCACTTTGAGCGCAACACGTTCGCATGTTGCTAGTCATAGCCACAATGTTGAAAAAGCTCAAGCTTGGGTACATTTTCCAAACGCCACGTGTTCCTTGGCCGGTGCATTCTCATCCACTGCCCTGGAAAAATCGGACGCATCGCAACACGCATCAGACATGGTTGAAATCGATTGAGCATCATTTCGCTGACGCAAGCTGGCGTTCCTTCCTGCAGTCTGCCGGCAAGGGGAGCCGGGGGACCGCTTCTACATGATCATCCACGGCTGGTGAGCGGCCCCCGGCCGCTTTTGCGCTATCCGTCTGTAGATTGAGTACAAGCGTTTTGAGATGTTCAGATTTCAAATAGAGTCAAATGCAGTTGTAAGAGGCGCTACCTTTCATACTCCTCATCAATTCCGTCCGCATCAGCACTCCCGTCCGGAGTAGCTATCTTTGATCAAATCTTTCGGCCCCCCTTTCCAAAGTTCTAGAAATCTATAATCTCTCCAGCTGTCGGCCTCGCTGGTCCCACTCTCAGGAGGAGAATACTCACCGCAACAATCGTCTCATCATACTTTGATTGCTTCCCGCAGCGTGAGCGTCCAGTCGCTGACCGCAAAGCGTCAAGTGCGCAACCTGGGCAATCTAGGCCGGGGGGACTATTTCGGCGACATCGCGCTGATTAATGGGCAGGCGCGGCAGGCCACGTGCATCACCCGGTCGGACACGTGTCTCCTGACCGTTGGCAAGGAAGATTTTCTGGAGCTGTACAAGAACCGCTTCAGCGTGCGATGCGTGCAAGCCATCAAGTTCCTCCGCAAGCAGGTACGGCTCGGTTCCGTTCCGTGCAGTTCCATTCCACGCAGATCCGTTCATTGTGCACCGTTCCTTCGGGCGTTTTCTCGACATCTGTGCCTGCTGAGCGTTACGTTATCAGCCCTGAAGTGCACTTTCCGCCCCGTTCCGTTCCGCTCAAGTCCGCTTGTTCGCCACGGTCTGCGATCGAGATCATTGGCCCCGCGAGAGAAACCCTGCCGGCTTTGTTGAACACAACCCTGCTATCCGGGAGCCGTAAAAATCCATAAAGATGTGCCGTTCCGTTCCGCCTAGGTCCGTCCGTCTTCTGGAACAGCGAGCCGGCGGCTGTTCGCGCATTCGTTGTGCCTGCTGTGCTTTTATGAAGGCGTCTCGCTTACGTTCCAGCCAAGTCCCATCCCTTGTACCTTTCCGTTTCCGTTCCGTGCCGCCCACGTCCGTCCGTTCTTCAGCATCAGCGAGCCCAACCTGCGGTTCTTCGCGCATTACCTGTGCCTGCCGTGCTTCTAACACGGAGTCTCCCGGATTCTCCAGCCGAGATCCAACTCTTATTCTGTTCCATTCCGTTCCGTTCCGCCCAGGTCCGTCCGTTCTTCAGCACCAGTGACCCCAACCTGCGTCCCTTCGCGCATTACCTGTGCCGGCTGTGCTTCTAACACGGAGTCTCCCGGATCCTTCAGCCATGATCAACTCTAATTCCGTTCCGTTCCGATTCCTTCCGCCCAGGTCCGTCCGTTCTTCAGCATCAGCGAGCCCAACCTGCGGCTGTTCGCGCATTACCTGTGCCTACTCCCTTGTTACAGGGAGTATTCCAGTTGTTCCAATCAAATGCTAAAGCTCGTTCCGTTCCGTTCCGCCCAGGTCCGTCCGTTCTTCAGCATCAGCGAGCCCAACTTGCGGCTGTTCGCGCACTACCTGTGCCTGCTGTGCTTCAACCCGGGCACCACGTGGAACGTGGACGACGAGGGCACCGTCTACTTTGTGCGCGCGGGAGAAGCGGAGCTGCTCATCCCGCTGCCGCGCGAGGACGCGCGCTTCAAAATCGAGGGGCCGTACATCAGGTTAGGGGGCAAGCAGCAGGTTTAATCTTGGGAAGGGAGTGCTCTACCGCGCTTTGGAATCAATGAAAATGTGATTTTTGGAAACGAAGAATTTTGTTGGAGCTTCGTCGCCATTTTGAGAAGATATCTACGACTAAAATGGCTGGGATCGATGTGAAGAAGGTTCAACTTTTTCGAGACCAGCCCATGATTTTCATTGTTCTCGCCTTACCCTACGAAACGGGGCCACAGCTTTAGAAATGACGTACGCGCTTGGGAAGAGTCTACAAGGACCGAGACTACTTTTCTAATTGTGTTATGAATGACTCAGTTCGTAGAATAGCAATAGCGATAAATAACAACAGTAGCAATAACATTGAAATCAACTCCCTTGTTTGCGCACAGCGTTACCCGTTTCAAGGAGGGCGACTACTTCGGCGAGAGCAGCGTGTTCCCGGAGGACCGCTGTGGCTGGCTGGTGCGCGCGGTAACGCCGATGCAGCTGTTCTCGGTCCGCGGGAAGGACTTCCTGAAACATGCGGACCCCGTGAGTTGCTTTTTTCAAAACGTTCTGAGAATTGCATCCATAAACTCTCGGCCTTTGCGCTTGATACTTAGTCTACTCGATTTTACCCTTCGCTTTTTTCAAGGGTTTAGAAATCCTAGCACTGCTTTGAGGCCCCAGAAAACAACCAGTTTAGAGACTGAATTGGTACAGCGCAGGGGGGCTGGAGACACCGGAGCTGTCATTTGCAGAAGATTAAGGTGGTACCCGCTTCTGTGAAGCTCCCTCAGCCTTTACGAACCTTTGGTTTTGGCTTGATACACACTGGCTTCACTCGTCGAGCCTGCAACGGTGTCGCTTCCTCCATTTCCTCTCTCATTTTAGAACCGGTCTAAATCTCGCGCGTTCACTAGTGCAGATGCAAATCAGAATCATGTCCGTTAGACCAAAGAAAAAGCTTCATCATCCAATTACGAGATGTAGGGCCCAAGAAACATACAAGGCAAGGTGTCAAGTAACGAGTGTGCATCCGGTTGTAGAGCAATAGATTTGCTGAGAGGATAAGAATTACTGGCTCCGAGGTCGTGTGGGTGACGGAGCTCTCAATCAAACCCGCAGACCGTCATCTCCATGATCCGCGCCGAGTCGTCGTTCCGAGTCGGCTACTACGCCGGCCGCCACTCTCAGCCGACGCCGCAGTTGGCCGAACGCCCGTCGACGTCACAGCTCCGGCTCGCGGACGCGCAGCGGCGCCGGAGCCGCCGGAGCACGCCGCCTCCGGACGGAACGGAAAAGGTTGCGGACGGAATGAAGAGATTACCGGGCGAGGACGGGACGCAGAAGGCGTCCGACGGAATGCAGAAGGCGTCCAACGGAACTTTGAAAGCGTCCGAAGGAACGCAGAAGGATGGGAAGCTGCAGCCGCAGAGCCCAGAGAAGAGCGGCGTGCAAGACAGGGGGTTAGCCGGGGGTTTAACGGATCGGGTCAAGTCGGTCACGAGTCTTTCGAAGGGGAATGTGACTGCGCTCGGGAATCGCGAGAAGAGGTCAACCAGCGAAGGCCCGCCAACGGCAGCAGGGCCTACTTTCAACCGCCCAAAAAGGAGCGACAAGAAGCCGGAGACGTCAGGATTTGGCGGGAATTTTGGCGAGGCAGGCGCCCGCGTGCCATCGGCCGCGTCAGTGTCCGGCTCGACGAGGGGCGCAAAGAGTTTGGGTGATCGGGTTGTGGGCGCCGAAAGCAATGGCGGCGGCGCGTCGCGCGGCACGTCGCGCAATGAAACGAAGGCCGCGAGCGCACGCGGAGAGACTGAGCCGGACGCGCACGGGAAACGGAACGGTAGCAGCACGCGCGCGAGCGCGAGCGGGGAAGGCGCGCCCGCGGGCGCGCTGCAGGGGCGGGTACGCGGCGACAAGCGCCCCGGGCCGAGCGCCATGAAGTCGCCGCTGGGGTTAGGGTTGCGAAGTGAAAACCAAACTCCTGCGCAGCAGTCTAGTAGACAAAATGGAGCAGAGGATGCTGGAAGCGGGTCGGGCGACTTTGGTGGTTCTAATGAGACGGGCATTGCAGCTGTACGTGGGAAGTCTATGGTCGAGTCAGGCGAATCGGGGGATGCTGAGTGCAGGCGTTGGACGCTCCCAGGAGCCGCCCCGCGGCCGCGGAGCGACATCGGCAGGGTTCGCGCGCACGAACCGGGGGGTTGAAGGTTTTGGATCATCTGCCGGAGCCGTCGCGTCGGGAAACACCCCTCGGGAGAGCGCTCTCCGAGGACTTTTCCCGGCGGCCACGCGAACAGTATGAAGAAACTGGCGGCATTTCTGGGCGATCGGACAAAGGGACGAGACTTCTGCACAATAGTGGGCCGCCTGGAGAGGGGGGCACGTTGCCTCGGGGGAATGACGTCAGCGGTCCTCATGCCAGGTGGAAGGACGAAGCAACGGAGGAGATGAGAGAGGAAGTTGCATCGGGCGACGAACGGGGGCCGCGGTCCCAGGCAGGGTCGCCGGACGGCGCGCCCCGGGCCAGCGGCCGGCGAAGCAGACGGCGCGCGCGGTGGCGAGTGCGCGCGCGCAGCGCGCTCTCCTCGGTGGAAGTCTCGCTGGAGACGGCCCGGCGCATGCGCGAGCAGGAGCTGCCCAAGGATTTACAGTTTCGCGGAACGCCCGCTCAGAACGGAGCCGGAAGAAGGGGCGGTTTGGGAGAAGCGGAGCGGAAACGAGAGGAGAAGGCGCGCGGCGCGCCATCGGTGAGATGGGAGAAAGAGGTAGATTCGGACGGAGAGAAGGACACTTCGGTTGGACGGTCGGTCGCGGCCGCGGACGCGGAGGTGTCACGGCGGATCGCACCAAAAGTTGTAGAAATGATGACGTCACTAAAGCGAGTTGAAGGCCAGCAGGGGCGAACCTTGGACGGCGGTGCAATTCTGAGCCCCGCGACAACTGAAGAAGCGAAGGCAGCGAAGGCGTCGCGCCTCGCGCAAGTGTACGGACCGCGGATGCCCGGTCGGCGCCGATCTAGTTCGTCCGCGGCAGCGGTGCGGGCGGACGAGAGCGCGGTCCCCGGAGTAGGGCAAAACGTGAAGAGCCGTGCTCAGAGCGTTTCGGTGCCTAAGGGCCAGAAACTGGCCATGTCACCAGGTAGCCTGTCCTCCCAGCTTCGAAAGCAATTGCACTCTTTGCCGCTGCTACATTCGCCCCCCGGAAGCCCCGACCATGCCCGGGGGACGTTCGAGGCGACGGAGAGGTTTGCGGGATCCCCCAAGGAGGACTTCCCCGTCCTTCCTCCCGTGGATCTGTCGGACCTCCCCCCGGTAGATCTCTCCGACCTTCCGACGCCGTCCGAGATCGTCCGGATGGAGTTGGGACCGGAGGAGAAGCGGTCCCTGGATTTGGTGCCACTGCCGTTGGACGCGCTGACGTTACCGTGGCAGGCGTACACCATTCCGGTGGCGAGCAGTAAACGGTGGGATGGCTTGCAGACTGAAATGAAGAGGAAGGAAAAAGCGAAGGCGGCAAAGCTGCGGCGGAGGACGGGTTTGACAGAGCAGCAGTTGAAACAGTCGGAGCTACAGGCGGTGGCGCATCTAAGAAATCGCACTGTAGATCTGGTCGGAGGAAGAGATTTGGTGTCGTAAAATTGTCTGGACTCTTTTCAATGCACATCGTTATGAACCCCGAGTCTAATGCCTCAAGGTGCGGAAAGCGAGTCCAGCTCCACAAGCATCGCTTATCATTCTTTTGACATCACGTTGAACGTCTCAACGATCATGGCGTACTGCATCATGAACCACGAGTCGTCGAGTCACCGGACACGAATGCACTTTTCTTCTTGTAATGTCTTGATGCCACGATGAGAGCACCGCAGTAGTCGTCCAGTTAGCATGAAGGTTTGAAGATTCCAATCAGTCAAGTCTTCAGCATACCCGGACGCTCACAGCTATATATTCCGATGAGTCTGTTCATACTGCAGGCTTACCTCCTTTCGAAAGGATCCATTTACCCTCAAGTTTCGATTCGCATGCATCTTGAATCAGAGGAAGAGCTCGCCGAAGCACACATGAGCAATTAGCGTTTACAATCGCCGATAGCTTGCTTACCAAAGGCTCGACATTGTAGTACACCAAGCTTTACGTGGGACTGTAGTACAGCAAAGTAGGTAAGAGTCGGTTGCCCTCAAGCTCTCAAATGACCTGTCGATTTTTCTGGTCCATGTTAGGGCTCTTCCAAGGATGTATTCACATTGCCGTGCGCTCTCCTCAAATCTGCCTCGTGTGCTGGTCAGAGAAACTGATGAATCCAGATTGAGAACCTGACGGCCTATTCTTCTGCTACCATCGCACTCTTACTTTCTTCGAGCTCTTGGATACGTGAAAGCGCTTTCTGAAGTGCGTTCTCTGTCTGTGTAGCAAGGGCACGCTCGCCGTCGATCAGTTGCTGAATGAGCTGGCAAGTTCCTGCATTGGTCCACAAAAACGTTCGATCTTTTGGAATTTATCAAGGGTTTTGCTACGTACAAACATCTGAGGCACTTCCACCGATGTAACCAGCTCTACATCTTTTCCGGCCGGGGGGAACTCCATGCATCTTAGACATATTCGAGGTAAAGGTCTTGCAGATTCAAAAGGTGGACTCAAACGGCAAGCCTTCTAGTTTCTGTAGGAGCCGGTACGTACCGAGCATCGGCACCTTCATCCAAACGTCGGGCTTGGGTAGAGTCTTTTCGGGAAACACGTCTTCTCTTATGTTGCCGAGGAACGTAAGCATCTGCAGACAAGGCTTTGATCAACGGTAAAGCATGCTTTGCCAGAAACAGCAATCAAACTGGATAAACTGACGGAGCAACAAGTTCGAGGAAGCCTGAAGTCGTAGCGTTTCGATAGACGTTTAAGTCATCACGTCGCGAACAACAAAGAGCCTTTAAGACCTTCCGAATCAAATTCGCACCTCCAGCTTGCTGCCCTTTGGCACGCCTTCCAGGTCCAAGTTACCATCTCCCTCAGCCAACCTCCTGTCCACCTCCTGTAAGAAAAAAGTCTGATGTTTATCCTCGATTACTGCTGATTCCGGTCTTTGTTTTAAGAACATAGAGGATTTCTATCATCAATCTGAACGAGAAGATAGCATTGTACGAATTCAATCCCTAAGGCTTCTACCTTCTTGAAGGCCGCCGATGCCTTGTGATACTCCTTGACCTTCTCCTCGAGCTCTGCCTCCTGCTCTGGATTCAGTTTGGCCTTTTTGGCAGGAAAGTTCTCGTACTCCACCTGTAGAAAAGCATTCTCATCATAGCCCGCCCGATTGATTGTCTTCATCGAAAGTGGTTCCGGCCATCTTGTTTCTTTCAAATTTCATATCGAAAAGAACATGCAGCTTTAAGCAAGCGACTTGGAGAATAAGGAATGAGCCTAAGACTTTTGATGAATGACTTCGGCCATCATGGAAAGGATCTCGGTAGTACCTGCGTGTAGTCCATCCCTTTACGCTTCGTCACGTACTTTCCGTCCCTTGTCTTCCCCAAGATGAACTGCATTTGGAAACGGAGCTTAAGGGGACAAGATGCTTGTCGTAATGCCTCCAGCAGGAAATGACAAGGTTTGAAGGTAATAGCACGAGAATTCCATTATACCGAATTCGCTGCAATCGAGGAGTAGGGCTTAAAAGACAGCACAGCTCACAAATCACCACCTCCCGACGCGCAAAACCAACCTGAAGTTCTCCGAAGTCCTCCTCAGAAGCAACCTCCTCCATAGGGTCGGCTGCAACCAACATAGGGCATCGGTGAGCGTTAGCGTCTCAATCCAATCAAACAACCTGATTTTCTTCACAGCAGAAACGCAACTGAAGCAGGTACTGAGGCGAAAGTAACGTCGCGAAGCTTACCGTCCTCGTTCTCGCTCTCCTCGTCTCCCATAAACATCTCATCGCTGATTGTGCTCTCTGTACTTGACTTCCGCTCTTCAGAAGCAGCGCTCTTCTTGGTTCGCGTGGGTCCCTGCAGTCAGGGGAGATGAAGATGTTGCTGGTTGGAATGCTATTTTTGTAAGGCGCGGCATGAACGAGGCTGTCTCAGTGAAATATGCATTACACTAGTAGACCACGTGGAAAGTAAATGGCGCTGAATCAGACTATCAGTCCTACCTTCTTTTTGGCCTTCGTCGTCTCTGCGACGGCTGCCTTTTTGGCCTTCACCACCTTTTCTTCACTCTTGCCGGTCTTCTTGAAAAGGTTCTGTTTCCTGTTATCCCCCTTGTCTTTGACCTTTTCGGAATTATGAGTCGATACGGAGCCAGGATTGTCCTCGACGAGCTCCGCAACGCGCTTCCTATCCTCGGCTGCGAGTTCTTCGTACTCCTTCTTGTCCCCGTCGGACAGCGATTTCCACTCCTCAGCCAGGGCCTGCGGGTTTACGACAGGTTCATTTTGTGCACCTAAATTTTGAAAATGGAACCGTTGCAGTGAAAGTATTTCATTGAATCGAAACAAAGGGAAGCGAGCCGACTTTTGACGAAGTCCTCAAGCTTTCCTAGAATGCTCCAATGCACGAGAGCGGTCTTCAACATATGACTTCAGCGGTGCTCACCTTGGTGAGCTCTCCAAAGGTTGCTCCGGGGGAGGCGGCCTTTTGGATTCTCTCTCTGTTCTTCGAGCAGAAGATCATATAAGCTGCAGATAGCGTGAAACAGAATCGACCCTTTAGTCAGTTTTTGCAGCTGCCAAGCTCGTTTCACCGCTTTGCAAACATTTCAAGCGACATAGCAACAAAAACGTTCAATCTGTTTTCTGAAACAAAATTTCTTCTTGGGAGCTTCTGCTTGGCATCTTGCTTACATGTTTTGGCTCGCACTTTCTTTGTCCCTTTGTCCTGTTTGCCCGTGGCAGACTTCCCCTTTTTCTCCCCTCCGTCATTGTTTCCCACCTTTTTCTCAGCTTCTACGCGTATCTTGTCAGCAGCCGCCATACCTTCGTATCTCTGTAAGTAGTAGGCATTGCATAAACCAGTGCTTAGAAACGATCGGCCGGAGAAACTTACAGCAAGCACTAATGAACGATCTGCTTTTGCTTTTTGAGCAATGCTTTATTAGTCCCTCGGTTTTTCTACAGAGCATGCCGTCTTTACATCGGGCCAGGGTTTTATCTATCGACTATGGACTTACCTGACGCTGTTCGTCACCGAGTTCCTTCCACGCCTCCGCCAGTTTCTGCGACAAAATAATCCCCAGATTTTCGATGAACAATGACACACGTGAAAAATGACTAAATGCGCACATAAAAAGAGATGTGCGCTTTTAGTTCATCTCCAGAGCTTGTTTCAACTTCTATTCATGTATCTGGACCACGGAATCACAAGGCTGATCAGAGGAACTCCTGCATGTAAGCTTCATTCTCACCTTTTGCATCTCCGGTAAGCTTAGCTTCCCATTCTGCGCCTTCACTTTCTCGCGGTTCTCCATCCTGCCAATCAAAGACGGCAAGCGATCAGAGGACGACATTCCAAACCTTTCGGGAGCTCATTCTTTCGCTCAAAAGGAAGGTATTATCTATTAATAGCACGCTTGAACGCACCATGTGGATAAACATACCATGCACGGACACAGTAATGTAATTCTAGACTCACGTGAAGAAGATGAAAGCAGAACGGGCTCTCGCTGGCTTCGACTCTTTTGTAATGTTCCTATTCCCATCTCCGACGTGCTCCTTCTCTGCTGATGATCCCTTCTTTTCCTTGCCTTCAGCATCTGAAGCTTTTTCTGTGGCAGCTTTCGTAACTTTGTCAGAGCTCGAAGACAGTTTGTTGGTGGACAATATCTTTGCTGCGCCTCCTTTCTTCGTGTCCTTCGTCGGTGCAGCCTGCATTTACAAGAAGGAAAAGTCGATATGAGAAGGCTGTGAGCTCCAGAAAGGTTTTAAAAGGTCACTTGAAGGATTAGGAAGATTTAAAAAGTGGAACTTCAGAGGGGCTGATGCAATTGGCTCAAGTCCACAATATCGTCATAGAGTTACTTAGAGCGTCTTTAGAGATTGATCCAAAACAATTCGGAAGACCTAGGAAGCTGAAGCAGGTCACACCTCCTTAGGTTTCATCACCATGGAGAACTTCTTTCGTTTGCCACTCTGCTTCACGTTGGTCTCGCCGCCAGTCTTGCCATCTTCAGTCTTTTCGATGGCATCTCCTGCACGAAGAGAAACTTTGGTTTTTTAAGGATAACCATGATAACAGTTTCACCCTTCCACTCGGCGAGCAATCAAATCTAGAAGAAGCGAACTTCAGAAGTGCTAACCGATTGGCATTCATTACCTGATTCCTCTTTGCTCGCCTCCGCTGGAGCTTGAGATGTATGATCAGTATTTGGTTCAGGCGGTGTCTGCACTTGGAAAGACGTGTGATTTCAGTATGTTGATCGCAGGGTCCTATCTAGTACAATCTCGAATTCTCTGCTCAATCCTCGTTTCGCAAGACTTTTCAAACTTCGGGGATGAAACAGGTCGACAGTGAGTTGCATTAAGACACGATTACCGTCCCAAACAGGTGGTAATCGACAGAGGTGATCTGTACTCTACCTCGTTTGCGATGTCCAGACCATCTCTTGTGGTTCCCGGCTCTTCACCTGCAGGTTCAGTGAGTCAGCAGTTGAACGCTCGCAATATGTCACAGCAAGCGCCTTCTGTGAAGCTTCTTGCGGCCAGCAACTTCATATAGGATCATTATGAGACACATGTAGATGCATTCAGGAACGAATTAAATGGGAGGCTCTCTGATGGACAGGTTAGAAAGACGCCGTCAAATAGCAGGAAATGCTTCCTCATCTGTCCGCTCACCATCCAAGTTCTCCGTGCACTTTTCAGCGTTGGCCTCATTCACCTCATCTTCGCCTTTCAAGACAGGCTCCGTATTCCTTCCTTGAATCAGATTTTCCTGAGAAGTATCGCCAATGATTTTCGAGAGCTTTTCGGAAAGGTCGTCGTGTTCTCCGTCAGAATCGGTGTCCGAGTCGCTGTCCGAACCAGAATCGCATTCTTTTCCTTTGCCAACTTTGTCTTCATCCGCAACTCTGGACAATGTAGAAAGCAGGTTCGTCTGTGAGTTTTTGGTTTCTCCCGCTTCGTTATTGCTTTCCATATCCCCTTCAGCAGCTGGGCCAGTTTCTTCAGTCGACTTGGAGACCTGCTCCAAAGCTGCTGCAGCAGCCGTCCTAGGAACCTTCATCTTTCTTGAATGAGAACGGCCACCCTTGGAATTTGCTCGAGACAATGAACTCGATTGAAGAAGGCTGACTTTGTAGGCTGACTCCTCAACAAAATCGCCGCAGCACGGACTTCTTGAAGTCTATGTCTGACTCCAGGCTGACTTGTGACGGCCGCAAGTCGATTGCTGCAAAACGATGATGTAAGCGTCCTCTCAAGACATTTGGAACAAGCCTGGCGATTGAATCGGTCCTGATTTGTTCTGCACGCTAAGCAAGAAATGGATCCAAAGCACCTGAATAAAAGCAACTTGACTTTGGGCTGACCTGCCTGCTCGACAGTCTCAGACCGTGATAGAGTCTTGCATGAGTTTCAAATCGGATGGCAGCTAAAACCCCCTTACACCCTTAAGGGGTTTGGGTGAAACTTGCGCCCGGCGGCCGCCAACGGCTGTTGGTCGACTAGCCAGCTAGAGGCCGCGCTGACGGTATGACCGGGCCCGGTGACGGGTCGCGGCCGGCACGGACGCCCGACTCGGGCGGCCGCAAATGACGCCGCCCGCGCCGGGCGCGCGCGTGGCTCATGGTCTCCTCTGCAATCACGGCCGATTCCCATCCTTTCTCGTCAGCTGCCGGGCCGTCCCTGAACTTGCCAGTGGACAGCACTTCAAGATTCTCCTTGGATGCATTAGAGTGGCACCTTCACTTCAGTGTAGGAAGGAACGCGCCGTTGTTGACGTCCGAGTCATGCGCTGTTTGAATGTTGGTACTACTCTCGTAAGCACGAGTGCTTTAGATTTTACTAGTCATCCGTAATGCGAAATATCTGGCTGATGTACGCCGCGCTACAAACGATGGACTCCACTTCGGATTTGCGTGCAGAACTGGTGGCTTCTTCCACTGTGTATCATATGTGGGAACAGCCATGACCATTTGTACCTCCTTCAGCCCGAGCAGTGGTTGGCAGCAATTTGCGAAAAGCGTCAACCACGGGAGGACACAATGACCATGCGCATAATGCGACCCTGTGGCATGCATATCCTTGCCAAGTCCGATTCGTATCACTCTCTCACAAGATACGATCTCGCAGCCAGCCGTGATTTCGGTTTGTGAAAATATACAAGAACCACGTTGACTGGCGTGATTATGCAGTTTCTTCGCGCAGATGCTCTTGCGGACCTGGCAAATCCAATGCCAGTGTACCATCCTTCTTCAACACCGCCTACTGAGTATTACCGTATATGAATCAATCAGTGTATTCACTGATCATCCGCAATGCGCAGCGCGCATCTTTGTCGACTGCGACAGTATGCGCAGGCGCATGCATCTAGCTAGCGCAATCAGACCGCATTCCACCTTAACAACCGCGTGAAAGGCGGCCGGGCACCATGTCTTGCAGAGGAAATGATCGATCGAGGCCGGCGTTGAGAAGGGCACAATCTGCATTGACTAGCATCAGGAAAGCCTTCGATGACACCATTCAGATTTTCTGGCTGCATCATTGCAGGACAGACTCGATGAGAACAGGATTTGTTTTGATATCTACGTACAAGGAAGCAAGGCTGTAGCGATGGTGCTTTAAAGTGGATGCACCTGGGATGAATGTGTATAAGCGCGGTACAGCAACATCATGCAGTGTGTTTACATTATCGAGTCCCATTCCGGCCCCGAGAACGAGAGAATATGTTGATATATAACAACAATAGCGGCAGGACTTGTTAGAATTCGCCATGCCAGCGTCATTTCTGCACATTTAGGAGAAGCTCACTGGTCGCTCCTAATAATCGATGAGGCGGCCACCGTCTCCTTGGAAGGCTGACACGGGGAAAGCCGGGCCTGGCCCAGCCATGGCATCATAACCAAAGAACCGACGGACGTCGAAAAAAGTCGCACTTAGTCATGCGCGCCCCCGTATCTCACCTCGCACGAGCAAGCTGGTTTTGTGCGGATAAACCTTGCTGAATTAACCTTCTATGACATGACGACCATCGAGATCAGTTCTCGAGCACTGGCCGGCCAATAGTTCCAGGTGGTAAGAAGAGGACGCGCCGCGTCCGCATGAAATCTTCAAGAGAGAGGCCCCGAGGCATTTCCTGCCTTCCACAAGCATTACAGATTTTAACTGTACACGTCTGCCAGTGATGTATAATACAAAAGCAGATCAGTCAGTCCTCCGGAACAGGGCCGACAGTTCCAGGCGGTAAGGAAACAGAGTGCCGCATATGCAATTTTCGGACCAGAAGCTGCTCTACGCTGCCCTCTAGTTCCCTAATTTTGACCTCTGCCAGTTCCCTCTTTTCTCTTTCGGCAGCCAACTCGGCCTCCGCTTTTCGCTGTGCCACTTTTGCTTCCTCCCACCGTGCGCTCACGTGCATGAAAATCTTTTGAAGCAAGTTCCAATCCTTGGCGCAATCCAAAGGGGTGCGGCCCGCCTGCAGTAAGGAAGGCGGAGATCAGGACGCGTCTTGAGCTCTTTAAAGAAGTTCCTAAGAGCCCTGTAACGGTCGGGCGACTGAAAAGGACGTACGCTGCTGTCTGAGTCGCCGCATTCAAACTGCAGATAATGTGCAGCCATGTCAAGCCAGTATTGCAGCTTTGCAAGCGCCGAGAAAGGGACCTGGTAGAAGATGAGTGACGCCCTCTTTAGTGAGTACAGGAAACCGCAGTCGACGATGATCGATCGATTGCCAATTCGAGTAAGCATTACAAGAGTTCTGATAACTTGCAGACCTTCCACTGAACGCGGTTTGCACACCGGTGCTACATAGTCTGGGACGAGGGTGATGCCGCCAAGCCTTGTGGACATCCATTTTGCAGCTGCTTGCAGTTTATGCCGGATGCTGGTCTGGAAGTTGACATACGAACGCGGAGCGTGCTCAGATTCTGCACTAGTTGGGGAGACAACTGGTTGGGGAGACAACGAACTGCTGTTGGTGCTAGATTATGAGGGCCAGAACCTACACCAGCACCTTTCCAGAGGCTCACCTGATCCATGGTGTCCACTCGAGCGCCTCTTTCCAGCAGCATGACCGCAGACCCGATGTCGCCAATCTCCATCGCTATGTGAAGAGCGCTCTTTCCGTCCTTGTTGACTGCGCCGAATCGGGCGCCGTGATCCAGGAGAAGGCGAGCTGCCGTATGGTTCCTGCAATCAGAAGCAGAGAAGGATGATGAATCAACGAGCGTGCCGTAAAAGGCACGGAGTCAAGCAAGATCAGGAGCGGGCAAATGGCCAGAAACGGAAAAGGGCTCTCAGGAGGAGGGCCAGCAGGTTTCGTGGCAAGGTTCTGTACGGCCCTGTTGACAAAAGAGCAGATTTCTTTTTCTCAGTCGTCAAAGTTTGAGACGGCCGATCGATAATCTTCAGCCGCTTTCTCTAGCGCTCTGAAAAGAAACTACTGTACATAGTTGTCCGGCTTGACACTTCTGACAATTCAAGTGGCCTCTTCTTGAGCAGGTCGCCTGTCGAAGCGCCACCAAAAGTTTTACACAATCCAGATTACGGTACTAAGCGTGGAGCGCATCTCGGATCCAAGCAAAAGTCGTATGCCCTCCCAACGATATTCAGTTTTAGAACTGGCATGAAAGATCCGCGTCATTCGTTACGAAGGCAATTACGCCAGGTTACGCTTGGCAATCAATCTTGAATCACTAACCACGTTTTGGGACTTTGACGGGGCTCTGCGCGGGTTGCGGATGCCACCCTGACACGTTTCAGGCTTCGACCACCCTCGGGTTGACTCAGACCGTGAGAGCATCTAAACGTGAGTAATCATAGCCCACGATCATCAGCTGAGCAACCCCGCTTTCAGTATGATCCTGCTTTTGTGCCTCCTTGGATTGGCATCTTCTCGTTCTCTGTTTTCTGTGTTAGGTAACTTCTGGGGGATCCCTTCACGGAGGATGGCCAAAACACTCGTTTCCCCTGCAAACCACTGCCACTTGTTCCTCAGCACCACTGGAGCCGCCATTATACAGTTCATTTTTCAGAAGCGCAACCCTTACTCCAGATCTCAAACCCTCACCTGTAAGCCATGGCCACATGGAGGGGCGTGGCTCGCTCCTCATTCCTGGCCATGCAATCTGCCCCCCTCTCAATCAGCAGCTCCACCCCAGGATTATTGCCCCTAGCAATAGCCACCAGCAGGGGGGTCTGTCCGGCCCAGTTGTTCCTTTCCAGGCTCGCCCCGGCGTCGAGGAGGAGCCGCAACACGTCTAGACGGTCCACGGCGTAGGCTGGATAAGAATGGATGAAAGATGAGTCCGAGGTTTCCGTCTATAAGGGGAAGTTGGATGCAGCTCTGGGACGAATGTGTCCAAGACATGTCAAGGGGAGCAGTCTGGGCTGAGTCCACTCGCAGATTCCGGGGTTGCGGAAGTGCTAAACCAGATTTTCACCAAAAGTTCACCACATTCAACTGGGAGAGGGTGCATTGTCTAGAACTTCATGTACTTAGATCTGAACAGAGCCTCTATTGATCTACAAGCAGGATCGCTGAAAGCAAGCCCGAATTCAGCTTAAGTGGTCCAAAGGGCTGGTGTCCCTTACACAGATTGAATCATCAAGATTTCTGGCACGTAAGAAAGAAGGCAATCCGATGAAATGTGGCAATGCAATTGACAGGAGCTTGCAAAGCAGCCCAAATGTGTGAAGTGTATGCAATGTTGCACAGATCACTACACAACAGTGAATCTGCACGGATCAACTTGCTATAGCTGGACATCGTCACGACACCTTCTGAACCAAGCAAAAAGGGGCATTGTCACCGAACAGCTAGCAGGAACTAAGGATCACTCCACATTGCTCGCCTGATGCATCCGCAGAGCCACATCAGGTTGCAGCTGCACATTCACCTGCTAGGTGCAGCGGGGTCCTCCCAGTCGCATCCTCCTCATTGCAGTTTGCCCCCCCAGCGACGAGCATCTCCGCAGCCGCCAGGTTCTGGAAGAGGACGGCCATGTGCAGGGGCGTCCTGCCATGCTCGTCCACCGCGGAGATGTTGCTGACGTCTGCGTCCAGGAGGGCCGCCACCTCATCGTTCTTGCCGTGCTTCACAGCATCGTGGACAGGATACGAGCTCTGGTCGCTGCCGCCCGTCGAGTCTGCGGTGGTGGTCATTGTAGACCGTCATGAACAGCTCCTGATCCCAAGGTCTAAGGCCGCTTTCTAGTAGCCGCTTCCTTCTTTCTCTGCAGCGACCTGATCAAATGGCCTATTAGTATGAATGAGAGCTTGGTCTGCATTGCGGTGACGCATTGCGCTGCTAGAAAAGCGCGCGTAGGGAACGCGCACTAACAGGCTTACCATAATCAAGACTCGAGTTACGAACCGTCCGATGTCCATCTGACGGTATAGAACACCCGCAGTCACGCAACCAAGGGTGATGACGTCACTGGCGGACCCGTGGGTCCTCGTACCGGTAGCTCCTCGCTGTCACTGCAGCCTGCGTCGTCGACAACCTGCATGCGCGATTGCATGCAGCATTGCATCCGTACTTTTGCGCAGGCTTCGCACTTCGAATCAAGACTTAGCAGGAAAGCGCCTTCGCCTCTTCGAATGTCCAGGGTCGGGTTCACATTGGACTTTCTGCCCTAATTCGGTCTGCCATGATTCGCAATTGGAAGTACCCATGCTGACGTTTTAGCAGTTTCGGATTACGATAGCCAGACTGGGTTCACATTGCAATTTGGTCAGTCGAAATTCGAATCGTAATTCAAAACTCTCGACCGGAGCCATGTGACCGACCACGTGAACCAGATTAAGTACACTAAGTACACAAAACCGTCAGCAAAGGCGGAGGCGTGACGATATCAAACTTGTACTTATCGTGATTGGGCTATCCAAACGCGGTCGTCGACCGCGTTTCAAATTTTGATAGCCTCCCGGATTTGACTGGGTTTTCGACTTCGATAACTTCTGAAGTTCGAAGAATTGACCGTTAGCCCGCCGAATCTGGCGGGGTGACGCTGAGTGACGCAAGCCTAGCTATCGAATCACGATAAAAGTTTTGAGAAAGTCCAATGTGAACCCGACCCAGGACTTCCAACTTCTGCGAGAACACGGCCAGCTGCGCCTTTGTTGGGATCCAGACCAACGTGCGAAGACCCCTTGGCGCCTGCTTCTGCACCAATCTGCAAGGCGTCTTGATTGCAGATTTGTAGGTGGCGAGGCCAATACTAAATTTGACCTGGGTCGGCTGAACAATCCTGCACGTTATAAAAGCATTTCGCCAAGACTAGGATTTGCTGAAATAGAAGGCGTCGGACCTGTACTAGTTAGGCTCCTGCTTGTTCTGCTGGCAATAACAAGGTGCTAAGTCGGCTGACTTGAACGGGAAGTACAGGTAAGCACGACCATAGAGCCAGGGTTTGTACTTTCATGTCCTCTTACAGGTAAGTTGGGCAGTGAATCAAGCGATTAGAAGGGGAATTGGCGCCAGCTAAACATCAAAAACAGGACTGGACTCTTTACTGTCCGACCTGGGTATCCTTATATTTATGAACTCCACTTCATCCGAAGTCCAAATCAGGCTCAGAGTCAGGCCTTTGAACCTGAAGTGTCATCTCGAAGTACAAGCCCTGAACGTCGAAGGAAGCATGTGGTCATGTTTGTCTTCCACTTCAGGATGATTTGATTTCTTCCAGAAGAAATTTATCAGCTGCTCAAGTACCGTAGAGAGCCAAGCTGAAGCTGGAACAGCCTGCCTATTCGTGCATGCAAAGTGGAACTGACGGGTTTTGATGTTGCCTAACAATTGAAACTCCTTTGGAGCGCTTTCGCTTTTTGCTTTTAATTCTATTTGTCACCGGCAAAAAGCATCCTTCACATGGTTGATCAGTATAATGTGCTCCGGTGGGTACTTGGAGAAAACCTTTGCAAGGTTGTGTTACATCGATGTAAGATACGCCACCGGCTTACCTGACAAGCTTTGTGATTGCTGCCCATCATTCCATCTCATTCAGTCGGGTGAGCTTTCCTTTCAGGAATTAGTCAAGCCTATGTTTCGGATCACTTTTTGTAATATTTATCCTCCTGAGTAGCCACTTTTTAACGGAAGATTGTACTTTTATCCTCGCAATTAGCCACCTTTATCCAGAAGATGGTGCTACAGATCTCACTGAATAGGCACAGGCAGTCTATAGAGACTAAAGGCAAGTATGCACAGAAGATCAAGCAGCCCACTTCATTTGTGGGGGTTGTTGAATATGCCAGTTGTCAACAAGCTCTTTTTGAATGAACCTCTGCAAACCTGACAACTTTTGCTTGTTAAAATACTCTTGCCTTCAGCAGAACCGTCGTGCAGGACGGTCAGCCCGGTGTCGAACTCAAGTTGATTGTGATACAATCATTGACACTAGGTCGACTGTGGCACAATTCGTAGCGAAGCACGAACGCATAACCTTCGAAATGCATCGGCCTGAAACGGATAAGATCATCTCTTCTGCAGATTCCATGGACTTTTTCTCTGCTGCGAGGGGTGGGGCCGAGGGCCGCAATCGGAGAGTGGGGGCTGCGATAGCAGTGGCAGCGGTCGCTGGATTGTGAGCCTTCCATTTTCCAGGCCCGTTCATGTTCTTCAACGTCTTTGACAAAACGGACGATGCTTTTCTTCTGTTGCAACCATTCGGGTGTATAGAGCATCGTATTTCCATTCCTTCTCGTGCCCAAGTTCCGTTTTCCTTGTGCTTTTCGTGAAGTTTCGATGTTTGTTTTTCGAAGTTCTTCGAAAGATCACATCAATTCTCGATGTTTGCAGCCGGATTCGGCGTTGGCCACTTCGAGGCCGTCTTCTTTCTCCCTTTCCACTATTCATTGCGCTTTCGAATATTGTTTGTGAAGTGTGAAGTCTGACGAATTGTACTATTTAAGAAATAAGGGCCGGTGCCAAAAAACAAGGTTTGGTTGGCAACGAGAATGAAGGCGTCGACATCTTGTCTACAAGTTCGGCATGCTTTCGTAGTCGTTTTTAGAGCCCTTTACACGTCCCCAGCCTCACGAGACCAAAAAAGCAGCCTGGTCTTCTGATCGAAGATACGAATATTGAGATCCTCAATCTTATGAGTTCTAGGGCGATTTGTTGTCACCGTCGTCTAAGATTGCAAGCGTTCGGTTTTGGATGTAGAGAGCGATTGCTGTTTCAGTACCTCAGACGCCTTTTTCCTTCAGCGAGCACTTGTCAGTTTTTCGTATAAGTAGTTGTCATGGCATTTCAAGCCAAAGCTGACCCAGAAGAAATCCATAGCACATTTGAATCTGAAGAGTTTTCTGAAAGAACGACTTGGAAGGGTGCGGCCGCGCCCCTCAAAGGTTGCGATGTCGACACGTGTTGAGGATTTACGAAAGAAGAGCGACTGAAATGATCTTTGTTGACCCCCTCTAGTTCCATCTTGCCACAAAGAATCCCTAGATCGGCCGCCCGAGTATTCGTCGCTTACGTCCCAGAAATTGCGATTATGGTTATTCAGCACTTTTCGTCTCAACTTCGGGTGTTGTGTCTCGTTCCTTTTCTCGTTTACCTTTTCTAATGCTTCTGTCATTGATATCCAGGTACTTTTACGGCCGCAACGCGTCTCCCAAGAACTCGACCGTCGCCCAAGTGATGGAGGACGCCAGCCGCGGCGGCACTCGCCCCTCTAGTTCCCGGCAAGAAAATTCCGCGATTGCGACGCCGTATGAAGCCGCGACCGTGAAGAACGCCCCCAAGCAGAACGCTGGGAACGTCGAGGCGCTGAAAGTGAACCCGGGGGGTAACCCCGGGGCCAGGCCGTCGTTGGGCTAGAAAATTTGAGGAGACTCTGGTGCATGTAAGACCCAAATTGGTTTTGCGTCGGACCGTATGTACACTAGATTTTTGAGGATCACTGAGAGTGGCTGCACGTGTAGAACGAGCAGCGAATGATGTTTGCAGGAGAAAAGCTCATGAGGCTCCGGTAGAGGGTTCAGCCTGGGAACCAGCCTACAGGAATATTTCAAGTTTTGCGGTAGATTCTTACTTTGGCCCGTCCTCGTCAAATTACCAACACTCTGAATTGAAGGTTCAAAAGTTAAGTTCGCTCAGACTTTCCGGTCGAAGTTCCATCCACACTTGCTGACGCGGTCACGTGGGTTCTGTTAGTGAGTCGATTTCAGTCACTCCGGTCAATCGCTGCTTCGGCGCTCGCTGCGCTTATAGCACAAATGTTAGTTTGCGTCCCCATCGCGTGACGTTCCAGAATCGCGCGTAGTTGCAATGATGGAGGTCGAGTCCGCACTAGCCTTTACATGAACGCCTTTTGAAGTTTTGCACTGATGAAGTATTGAACACGCTCACTCAGCTGAGTCGCTTGACAAATAACTCGTACACGTGTACGTCCATGATGCAATAGTATAATCGACTGTAGCGCATGGCATATTGAAAGTGCTCTCTGCAGCTCATGAGAAAAGTCACTGAAGTTCCCATGACTTGCATATGAATATGGCGGTTATATTTGAGAAGTCACAATCGTTGTAACGATAGCTCATGGCATGTTCCAAACTTGCCCACACGCGGATCAAATCCAATGGTTGACTAAGTTGGCCGCGGCGTTTGCCAGAGAACCGGCCACAGGCTCGCCAATCAGCTAGCCTGCTGCGCGTGCACGTTTTGTAGCCTAGCTCTAGTTACATAGGTTCACTGCATATTAATGAACTTAACTGTCCGACCGCCCGTGCGTCAGCCGCTGCGTGGTGCGACTCCAATTGAAGCATCACTCACACTCAAACTAAAATCAACTCTCGAATTTGAGAACTTCGAATCAGCCTGGACACCCCCGAGTTTTGTCTGCATGATCTAGTTAAGTACAATCAAGTTCAGGCCTGTACCTGATTTGTTGCGGCGGCCATGGCCGTCCATCTTAAGTTGCAATCATTCATTCGTGACTGCGCGCACAACCTCGGCCGCTCAGCGGGTGGAAGTTGGATGCATCTCGAGCACGACGTAGGGGATTGATTTGAGCGATCTAGAGAACAAAGGTCGCATGCATGCTGACACTTACCGCCATAGCTTGCCAGGACCGTTCCAGTCCGTCAAAACACTACGTATTTATACAATATTCTGCATTCTCCGACACGGTTCCAGTCCGTCCAAACACCCTACTTACAGTCTTCCACATATTCTCTCGACTCAAAGCAGCCGCCTGATCTCAAAGAGCATCCCGCAATGATCAAGGATTGACTGTACATTCGCGCAGCTTTTGCACCCAACATCTCAATTCCGTCCTTGCTCCTACCTAGACCTACGACATGCCAAAGCTCTCTGCCACATGCGCATCCGAGACGACCGTAAGCCGCTGCCTCATCATCTCGTACGAGTCATACGCGGGCAGCACGAGCTGCAAAAAACACGTGTGCGACGTGGGCAACATCTCGAGCCCGTCGCCCCCCCGAAAAATGTGAAACCGGTCCGGTAAACCCTGAAACCCTGTGGGCGGGAGGTAGTTGAACGCGGTCGCGAAGAAGAGAAGCCGCCGCCGGCGTTCCTCCGGAAAGGACTCCAACGCCTGCCAGAACCACGTGATCTGGGCGTCGCTCTCGGCGTACTCGTGGTACGACGTGTGCGCCTTCCAATCCGCGAGCGACACGTCGGCTGGGTCGCCCCGCAGGATGAGTGCGAAGTCCTGCAAAAAATCAACCCGCGGTTTGATTTTGAATGATTCCCCGGATGCGAAGTCATGGGCTGGCTCCAGCTTCGAAGGTTTAATCCGCATCAGACTTTCTGCGACTCATCCTAAGAAGTGCACTCGAAGCTTGGCCAAACCTCTGGACTCAAGCGGAGAAGGCGGGAGGTGCAAGTAACGGACAGACTCGCCGGAGCGGAATTCTGAGGGTGGCAAAACGCATGTCAATCAAGCAGGTCCAATATTAATAGGTTTGAAGCTTTTGCTTCCTCCGCCGGGATGGCAACCGACCAGACAACGCCGTTTCGAAGAATCAGAGTGTGATTTTACCGTCTCACTCGAAACGATCGTTCCAGTCTCCCCTTCCCTTCATATCTCTGTGCTTCGTGTTGACTAAGGGTATAAGAAGTATGAACTGAGCTTGACACGCATAGTAATTCGAAAACCGAAAACATGAGTCACACGCTCCGCGCCCGTTCCCTTCCGATACCCTCCTTACCTGTCCCCCGGGCAATTCATTAGTCATCATGGCTCGTCGTGATAGGAAATCAAAAGAACCCTCACCTTTTCCCCGACCGGCTCCAGAACGTCCGAGACCGCCGCATCCGTCCGTGTGAACATCTCTCGGAAGCCGTCCCGGATCGCCGCCACTTGACACTGCACCGGCTCGTACAGCTGCTTCCTGAGCTTGAGCCCAAGAAAGTGTCGCAGCGAGCTGGCCGTCACGGTCTTGTCCTCGCCCCCGGGGAAGAGCGGCATCTCGCGCTGCGCGCCCAGCTTCTCGATGCAGCACACGAACGACAGCTCCAAGAATTCGATCTGCAAAAGCAAGGAACTTTCCGCATGTATAAAGCCAAGTCTTGTCTAGGATTCGTCTTTTCAACGGGTATTTGAAGGAAAGAACGGTGTTTGAGGGATTCTTCTCGCCCTCGACGTATGCCCAGCTTCTCGATGCGGCACACGAATGAGAGCTCCAGGAACTCGATCTGCAAAAGCAAAGAATGTTTCACGTAAAGATTTCCGATCACCGTATAATTTGTACTTCTGAGACGCCTTTTGAACACCTCTTGGAGAGAACCCTGATTGAAGGAAGCCTTCTTCCATCTTCTCGCTGCTTCGATGCGTGCCCAGATCTCCGACATAGCACACGAACGACAGCTCCAAGGATTCAATATGCAACAGCAAGAAATTTTTGCTGTTTGTAAGTCATCAGGTACAAGTTTGTGTTATGGTCTCTCAGAAGTCAGTCTTGAGCTTGCAATGATCCGTCTGAAGAAAGCAAAACCTTTCTTAAGTTGGTGGATGCGCGCCCAGCTTCTCGATGCAGCACACGAACGAGAGCTCCAGGAACTCGATCTGCAACAGCAAGGAAACCTTTTTTGTATAGATTGTCACTTACAATAAGGGTCTCGTTTCGGAGTCGTCTTTTCGACACGTACCCGAAGGACAAGGACGTGATTGAAGGAAAGAACCGATATTGAAGGAAGCTTTCTTCCATCTTTTCACTCTCGACGCATTGCCCAGAAATTCAATACAGCACACGACGAAGCTCCACAAATTTAATCTGCAACAGCCAGGACGCCTTTGACGGACAAGTCTCCACCTGCACAAAGGTGGTCGTTCTGGAATAGTCCGTCGAGCTTTGAAGAGCCGCCTTTGAAAAGAGGACTCTTTGCTCTTGATATGGGTCCAGGTCCCGATGCCAGCGCACGAATGACCACTCGAGGAAGTGCGATTTAGAAAGTGGCCGTCTTAAGACCACCCGAGAACCTGGTATACTGAATTATGTACAGGAGAAAGTGGAACCTTATCTACAACTGCCGTGAGTCTCCTTACGGAGCTCGTTGACCTGTGAGCCCTTTTGAGGGTCTACATACTGCCCGTAAGGATCGGCCTCCAAGTGACCAAAGCGGTCTTACCTCTTCCGGTTTCATCTCCAGCAACTGCTTGCAGCTCCGCCACGTGTCGCAGTCGACATCCGCCGCGTCATCCAGACGTTCCAACTCCTCGCAGACCTCACCCTCCCCCCCTGGTGACGTCACGAGCAGCCGAAACAACGCGGGCGCGAGCGCGATGCCCAGCTGTACCCTGCAGGCCGAGGATGAGACTTTAGTGTCCGCGTTGACCTTATTGTGCAACTTAATTCTATGCTTCTTGTGATAGATTGGTCAATACTATCTCAGATTTGAAGTGGAACTGAAAAGTGGTTCACGTTTTTAGACTCAATTGCGTCAGCTTGGCACTGGCTAACACGCTTGGACCCTGCCAACCGAATAAATCTGTCACGCTGGCGTAACCGTTTACGAGCTTTTCCAGTGACGCAGACCCTGAGGTGCAGAGGAACTTCTCCAGCCTCTGATCGCGTAAGGCAACTTGAACACTACTCAAGCAATTAAGTCCACTCAGAATGGCTGAGAATCATGTCGTACTGTTTCATGTTGACAGGAAGAAGGAATGAACGAACAAAGCACGAAGGATGAAAAGACAACGAGGGTAAAGACAGAAGCGCAGGCCGGCAGAAGCAAGGAGGGCAACATTGCAAGCAAGCGTCCGCAGAGCTAGAAGTAGGACAGGTGGCCCGGGTTGCAGTCGGAAGAACCGTAGAGAAAACAGAATGGGGGACCGGCAAAGCAAGAAGAAATCTTCAAAGGCAACGACCACAACACTCATTAGGATTGGTTTATCGTTCCGTTACCTGTGCGGGAGCGCATAGCAAGGAAGCGGCCGCAAAACTTGAAGTAGACCAAGTAACCCGGGTTGCATTCGGAAGAAGAGAAGACAAGAAAAGGCAAAGCCGGAGGACCCGCAAACGCAAGGGGAACGTAGTCAAGAGCACAACCAGAACACCAACTGGGAACAGTTGTGCCGTTCGCTTACCTATGTGCGAGTGCAAGTGCAAGGAAGCGGCCGCAAAACTTGAAGTAGGCCAGGTGGCCCGGGTTGCAGTCGGACGCGTGGCTCGGGAACACGCGCCGGCGGTCCAGCGGGGATGACAGGAAGAGCGCGTTGGCGGGGTCGAACAGTTGACGTGCCACCTGCAGAGGAAAGAGTCGTGTTTTGAGCTCTATCCTCTACAGTTTTGCGCCGAACTCTTCAGGGCACTTCGTTTTGGATCGGGAGTACTCGCCGGCGCTCCAGCAGGGACGACAAAGAAAGCGCATTGGCGGGGTTATGCAGTTGGCGTGCCACCTGGAGAGGGCAGTACAAGCTTTCAAGCTTTCCGTTGTTTCAATAGACAAAGAGCGGGGAGATACTCGTACTGGAAAGCGCATGCTACCTATCAGCAACCTGGCAGTGATACTTCATGATACTTCCTTCCAGGGAAATGTCCACATCAGCTCACTCACCGCCACAAAGAACTCACGCCGCACCCCCGGGCCGTACCCGTCCTCCTCCGCGAACGTCGGGTATATCCCGCCCCCCCGCAGCTCCGCCGCATCCTCGTACGCCAGCTTATCAAACGCGTCCGCCAGCAGATTCCGCCGGTCCACCGATATTTCCACCTGCGACTCCGCGCTTATGGTGTCCGGCAGGTTATGCTCCAGCCACCGCCGTTTGGTTTCCAGGGTCAGGAACCCGTTATATGGCGACGTAAGCAGCCAAGGCATCTCTTGGAATCCAGAGAACGCGGTGGTGTTCGAGCAAACCAGGGCATTAACCGCGGGTTTGTGGGCTTCGAGAAACGTGCGGAACGACTCGGGGGAGGCTTCGTCGGACTGGGGGTCTGGCGAGTCTTGTTTAGAAGACAGGGTTTGCATCAGCGTGACCAAAGCAGCGACGCACTTCTTCAGCTGGGGAGGGCCGACGTCCGCTTTCCCGGGCCCGTCTAAAGCTCTCCGCTCAATGACCCCCTCCACAGTCTTCCGCGCAGACCTATAGACTTCCCCCCCAAAGGTACGGCCCCAGTCGGACCCCTGTGTCGCACCCCCCTCCGCTGCGCCGAGCACCGCTCGCAGACCGTGACACACGTGCGGCACAACTAGACCGGGGATCTTCCCCACCCCGGACCGGACGTCCGTCAGCTGTGACCTCAGCAGCTCCCAGAGCTGCGTCAGCAGATCCCCGGGGGCTAAGTTGAACCAGGCTGCGAGGCTCGCGTGGGGGGGGGTCTGGAAGAGGAACGTCAGGGCGCGCGAGAGGGGGGGTGCGAGATGGGCCATAAGTTGGTGAATGTGGAACGTGGATTCTTCTATTGCGGAGATGGGGACCCATTCCTTGAGCATCGCGAGAATGATGGCGGCGCCGTGGTGGCCGAGGCGGTCGGGGCTGGGGGCCTGCGCGCACTCGGTCGCGAGGTCCTCGACGAAACCAACGACTGCGGTCCTGGAAACGGATGGGCGATACAATGGTGAGATTCAGAAAATAAAGGGAGGAAACCTCAGTGGAACATGCTTTCAGATTGGAAGAATAAGGGGCACATCCTTAGAAGGTGAACCTCCTAACTCAGCGAGTCATGTCAAACTCGTCTGATTGGCACTGGGAGCCTGCATGGGCATAGAAGAGAGGTTGGTTCCTTCCATTCCTTAGTTTCTCCCCGTCCATCTCTTTGAGGCGGTTCTGCTTTGTCACAGTCGACAATTGCAGCTCCTCGACAAGGAATGTCGATTGGCAAAAGAGGCAGTGAAGCACAGAGAAAGCAACGCATTCGAGACTTGAGGTCCTGGCTTTCGTGTAGGCAAGGCCATTTTGCTCTGGGTGGATCATGGCCAGGTGGTTGTCCGTCCAGATTAAGTAGAGGCTGGCTTTGAAGTTGAGTTGCCAAGTTGGTGAGAAACTGATCGCTTCCAACTGTGGAACCCCCGTTCAAGACATGACATTCGAATTCAAAAGGTCACATTTGTTGAAGGCTTGGATTGACTGGAAATGCGTTGATTCCTTACATGTCTAGATCGCTAAGCCTTGAAAACGCCAGAGCCCAGATGTGGATCGACAAGGACGTTCACTCGCAAACTTTTACGTTTTCATTCAAGTGGAGGTACAAAACGATTCTGACTGAGCTAACCTTTCTTGGAAAAATTGCATTAGCTAGGATGGAATGAAGAATTCCGAATGTGGATGTGACCAATACTTCTTAGGCAATCAAGTATCGGTCTAGTTCACTAGACAGGACATAATAGTGAAGGACAAATTTCACAAAGACATCTCCATATCCTTCCGCAGAGAACCCCCTTGAACCCCTTCCAAAATGCCAGATGCAATCATCAATGGAGAATGAATAGACTAGAACCCAGCCACTTGAACATTGGGGGCCCTTTTTCTTATACTGGAGGGCTACATTTTTGATGCAATGCACTGGAACCAAAAAGCACTATCGAACTACATGCACCGCCAAGCATCAACGAAGTAGAGTGAAATCAGATAGACAGATTGATGCGTGAACTTCTGGCAACTCTGTCACAATCTACATATCAAACTGGTCAACATTCAACCAACAGCAAGTTACCTGCCAGCCTTGTCCAGCCTCTCCTCCTCGTATCTGCTCACCCCCGCCAGCACTTGGAGCCCGCCCTCAGCCAGAAAGATCTTCGCAACCCCCGGGGAGAAGAAGAAGCCGTCTGCGCCTGGCTCCCTCCTCAGGAACCTTCTGCTCGACGTTGTAAACCTCAGCAGCGGTCCAGACTCAGGACAGCTTTCTCCATTTACTGTCTTACTTGTCTTGCCTGTCATCTCATCGACCAGTCTGATCAGAGTTTCCATCTCTTGCTGTATGGGGAGGATGTTCTTGGGGATGGTCCCATCAATGTAAAGTGTAACTCCATCACTGAGACCAACTTCCTGCAGCGTCTTGACACCGTCCAAAGGCTGACCGTTCCTTCTGGTCAGCTTCACATACTTGAAGAACCTGATTGGGATGCCGGTGTCAACGTCCTCCATGTACAGAATGTAATCCACAACGGACTGCACGCTTGATTCAGCGGGTTTCCTCACGACAAACGTTCTTCGCCTCTGCATGGTCATATCTGGGGCCTCCACAAAAAACTGTAGAAAGCGGCCGTCGCTGTCAACAGCCGCGGACTGCAAAGATTGTCTGGGGTCGAATGCAGAGCTTGCTGCATCCCTTTTACTCGGGGGACAGGAGAAGCTTGAAGATTCATGGGGCCTTTTCCTGCCTACGTAGCCGCCACTGGCCTCTGCCATGCTTGATGGTCTCCAAAGGGAACTTGAGTGCAACTCTTAACGCTAAATCAGCGCGAATCTGCAGTTTCTGGATCATAGGCCATAAAAAAGAAGAGGAGCACTCTTTTGGGGGCACCGTGTCGTGAGTCACTGCTCAGATATTATACCTTCTGAGCTTGCTTTCAACAAGATGGAAGCGCATGACTCTTCCAAAAAAGTTTCCACTCAACCAATGTGTCTGCAAAACACATTTTCAAGCAATCGACATTGCCCCTGACATACATTCTCCGATGGCAAAAGTGACGCACATTTCTCTCGCTAGAGAGCAGCCGCAGATGCGCCATTACAACCGTATTACAACGCCAGCAAACGAGGCATCATGATTTGACATGATGATGGTGAACCTCCAGGCTCCAGTCTCCAGGATGAAGCTTGGCCCTTTCAGCAAGTCTCTGAATTTTGCTCTCAAATGATAATTGCATGAATGATGAAACCTTGTATTACATACTTTTGCAGATAACTTATGTATGTAAGATACATGTAAGATACTTGTAAGAACGATCCAAAAAGTCGCAAAGCTGTTATATGAAAGCTGTGTGTACAAACGGCAGTGAAACCGGGATGGTTGACGGGGTTTACGTGCCGGGTTTTACCTGAGAATGGTTACGGGTGCGGGGATAAGCCTTACCGTCATAAAACTCAAAGACGATATAATAATATGGCCCCATTACCAAGTTATATCCCGTATTATCATGTTCATATGTAGGGGTTTATCAGTCATGCGCAGAAAAAATGGCAATATTGTCAGTTGGGGGAGAGCCTGCAGGTTCAGCCGCAGCGCACACCCGCTTACAACGCGCAGCACAAAGGACGGTTGAGGGAGAACAGCTTCTTGTCCTTCGGTTCAATGGCTTCAGAGCGAGCTTCATCAGGTTCCAGCTAGTTACCTATAGGAATGCAGAGACAGAAAGCCATCTGTTCGCTGCTGTGATTGTGGAGAAGCATCACTGCCAGGGCGTCTTCTGTTTCCATGAACTGAAGGACGCAGTACTCTATTGGCAGCGAAGATGGACGATTCTGCAAACTCGGATGCAAACATCACAGAGGATGAACGGTCGTCAGGAAAACGCAAGCTGGATGAAGCAAGTGGAGGAGAGGATTTTTCCAACGAAGAAGGTTTTTTGACTGGTCGTGTCACAAGAATGAGGGTTTCGGAAACTGCAGACAAGAATGGGGGCGCGTCCGGTGGTGTCAATGCTGGGGATCTATCTGAGCTGGTGAGCTTGCTAACACATGTCTTTCAATGGAGATTGTCCTCTTCTTCTGTGTGTGCATTCTCATCTGCAATGTGGAGGGTTTTATGACAGGAATGGGCTGACTAAGAGGGACTGGCTTTCAGACATGCCCTCCTTTGCATCCTGTCAGGGTGAAATGATGTATGGTGCCCATTGTTGAAATTTCAGTCTGCTTTTCTGGAGCCTTACTGCTGCCTCAGGGTTGGGATATGCTGTGTTGAGATTAGCAAGGAGTGGAGCTAACTCAGAAGTGTTTATAGAAAGGCCACAGCCATCAGAAGATACTGTTGCTAGCAGAACGTTAAGATTGGACACGGGGGGATCTTGAGTAATGCGCGAAGGTCTGACAATGAAGCAGTTGGGAAAATTTCAGAGACGCCTCCATTGCCTGCTGACTAATCAATGGCAACTGATGGTGCTTGTTGCACCTTGGTGAAAGTTTTGGTTGTCAGAAACAATCAAGTGTTTGAGCTTCCAGTGAGCTTGTTTGGTACTTGAAATTTCAACTGTGAGGTTGAAATAGCTAATTATACAACCAGCAGAACATCCAAGTTCCTCATCATGCACGCCTTAAGCCTGAAGATTTAGAGAATTTAAGTGTTTTACTTTTCCCCTGGATCACTCTCTCTGCGATTTCTGAGATACCCTTGGGCACCTCTTGTCTCCTCGCAATGTCTCTGCACAGATCTGTTTGAGCAATCTGCCTCCATCTTCTGCAGACCACTGACTCCAAGGCAACCCCAAACCACCAGAAGCATGGTACACCATCCTCAGCACTCCCTCCGAACGGGCCTGCCAATGAGGACCTTGGGGATGGGCCTCTCAACCCTAGCCTTGGCGGAAACCCCCACGCCAGTGGACCTGGTCATGTCGGGCCGCCAGAGACTCCCTCCCCCTTCGAAGCAACACCCGGCAGCCTCCTCCTCCCATCTTCAATGGAAGCCGCGCCCGCTAGCTTTTCCTTCCCCTTCCTGTCAGAGGCGCCCCACGCCAGTACTGCGCCCTCTGTTTACAATGGAGCTTCGCTGTCAGAAAGTGTCCTCCCGCCGTCTGATTTCGTTGGGGACAGACCTATTCATGGGCAGCTAAATGTCTTTTCTTCGCTGCCCCTTCAAACTGCCTTCGTGTCCGACACAAACGCACACAGTGATGACCAACAACTAGAGTCAGGAGCCTTCCAGGGACTCTCTCCGGTCAGGGTGCATGAAGGAAGCCAGGATGGGGCGGTTCTTCCTTCAGACACTTCTGGGGCTCTTGTGGGGCTGGGCTTGGAACTAAGTCGGGGCCAGACTGCAACTACTGACGGAGAGACACCCAGCGACCACGAGATGGTGGATGCTTTCGCAGGCAGCGGAAACATTCCAGGTGGCGCGCTTGAGGAGACAGCGGCGCAGGAGCGAGCTTCAGAACCTGAGCTTCAGGATCTGGGACCAACGGCTAGCGCCGTTCCCAGCGTTGTTAGTGCAACGCCAGCTCTTGAGGCCGAACAAGTTGATGAGGAAGCCGGCGCAACCTTGGATGAGATGACCTTGGATCTTAGCAATTACCCCTCTGCAATTTTTGAGGATGTCGTCATGGGCGGCGAGGTCAGCGGGGAAGCTGACATTGGCACGACTCGGGATGAGGCCAACACGGGCAGCATCATTGGGGACGATGTCAGCATGGGTGAAATTGCATGTGATGACGTCAGGGCGGACGACATCGAGTGCGACGACGTTGACGGTAGGGATGGTGATGTCAGCAGACGGGCGGCAGAGGAGGAACAAGGGGCATCCGAGCAGTGCAGATGCGCTGAGCTGGCGTCGGGGGCTGCGCAACTACAGCTGCTGGTGAAGCTGTTTGACGGGCGCATGGTGCTCGTGCGGGCAGACCCGTCGGAGGGGGCCGAGGCCGTGCTGGAGAAAGTGAGGTGAGGCCCCGGGATTGCTTGAGCCGTCCGATTTGGTAGAGGTAGTTCGCATGGCATGTCGGTTCGTTTGGTTCGTTGTCATTGCTTTCTTCTTCTGCTTTCTGGCACTTGAAAGCCCGTGGAAATTGGTAGAACTTACGTGGCACCGGATTCTCGGTGGTTATGGTCCATAATTATTGCATTCATCTTCTGCTGACTGGCGGCAATCGTCATGTTTACTCAGTAGGCCAGTCGTTGATTCGCAAGTCTACTTAGAAAGCTTGCCCAGCGAGAAAGATCAATCCAGGGTCTGGCATCGGGGTGCATGGGGCGGTCTGATGAAGAACAGGTATGGCTAAAGACTAGGCGCGGTGTCCGTGTTGAGCGATGTCACGGTTTGTGTCTTGTTTGAAAACTCGTAGTCTTTCAGACCCGGCTAGGCAGCGACTAAGTTGAGATTTCGATGGTTGACGGTTGATGAAAATGACTTCGGTATCCCGCTAAACTGGACTCAGTCACTTCAAAGGCGATTAGGCGACTTCTTCACAACGGCTAAGAACCGGCCTCCGGGGCGTTATCAACTAGTTGAGGGGACGCTCATTCAACCAGAATCGACCATCTCTTGACCCCCACCTCGTTAAATCCAATCCCACACTGCCTACTCCTGACTTGCAGGATCAAGACTGGCGTCGACTGCGTGGGCCAGCGATTACTATACAATGGCCGCGAGCTGCCCCCCGACGCGCCCCTCGCCATGTTCGCGCTCGAGAGCGGGTGCACGCTGACGCTCGCAGCCCGGCTGCGCAGCTCCGCGGTTCCGTGGGCGTTCACGCTCACCGAGCGGCTCTTGCACTACGCCAAGGTGGCGCTGGACCCCGGGGAAAAGCTTGGGAGGCGGGAGGTTGCGGCCAACACGGTGACGCACCAGGTGGGATTCCATGCAAGCAAACGTTTCATTTCTGATTACTGCCTGCCGTGGGGGCTGTCGTAACTGCGCAAGCAAGGTTTTTTGACCGACCATCCATGGTTTGTCGGTCATGACCAATTACCTACTTTCTTATCAGATTCGCGCAAGAGGTGTGGTGGGTTTTTCTTGGTCCAATCTCCTGATTATAGTCTGTTCCCCTGTCGTTTAACTTCGAGGTCGCCTTTGTTTTTGCGGCACCGGCTTGGGAACGCACGTTGTTCAAAACATGTAATGACGCGCTCACTCATACGACGCTTATGCGACGTTGGCTTGAGAGTCTCCCATATTGCAATGAATGCGCTGGCTCGCGCAGCGCTCACAACATCGGTTTGGGAGTTCCCTTTGTTTGGAACATTCGAATGAACCGCGCTAAGTCTTACAACGCAAATGCAACATCGGCTTGGGCGTCTCCTTTATTGTATCCTTGAAAAGAATGCCAACTCGTACGAGGTGATGCAACTTCGGCTTGGGCGTCCCCGTCGGCTATAGAACTTGAATGAACGTGCTGACTCGTACGTTGCCTTGCGCGCAGGTCGCGGGCCTCCTGGAGAATGCGCGGCATCTGCGGGCCAAGGCCGCCGACTCCGAGTGGGGCGCCGCCAAAGCGGGCGTCGTTGACGTGTTCCGGACGATGGGCGGGCCCAGGATGCTGCACGCGCTGCTGCAGTCACCCGACGCTTTTTGCCGGTGAGAGGCGGGTCTTGCTCGACTTCCAGATTTTTCCAAGAATCTAGGTTTTAAAGATTGATTGATTACAGTAGCCTAGAGGAGCCAAGGCGGGTGTCGTGGACATCTTATGGACAACAAGCCGCTATCGGATGCTGCATACGCTGCTGCAGTGAGATTGCGAGTCCTTTCTTAGGGTTTTGGAATGATAGGGCTTTGAGGATTGTAGACTACAAGGCCCTGGAAAAGCCAAGGCGGGTTCAGTATATTATCAAGAAACATCAGTCAAGAACCTTGACCTGCAGGCGCTGCGCCAAAGACTGCATTAACGGATTCGCGAGGGAGGTCCGAGTACCTTTCTTCCCCTAGACCCCCCGGTCGCTGTGGCAAAAAATCTATTACAGTTGCTGCAAGTCCGGCCAGCTAGAAATCCTGAGAAGCTCCTCATTCTCAGGTCTTGAATCTGCACCTTTTTTTGGTGTCTTCAAGAGAGTTCAAGTAAGTGCTCTCAATGTGCAGGCGGTGCGCGGAGGACTGCATCCACGGCTTCGTAACGGAGGTCCAGACGGACTACCTCTTCACCCGGGGCCGCCTCGGGCTCTACTGCCTCCCGGTGCTGACGGACGTCTGGACGGCCCTCCTGTCCGACGATTCGGACCACGTCCGTGAGACGTACGAAGAAGTGACGTCAGCGTTGCTCGCCACGCTGGCGGGCAAGAGCCAATGGCTGCTGCGGGACTACTTCCGACTGTCCAAGCAAGGGGCGCTCGATTTCTTCGTGGGGATGCTGGAGCGGGTTAAGGACAGGTGGGTCAGGGCTGGTTACTTGCTTATTGATGATTGCCCTGGTCCATGATAATGGTTTCAGTGGAAGGGGGTTACTTCGCCCGCACTTTAAATACGTTCCGCAACCAAGGCGGTAGCTTTGAATATCTGAAAAGACGATCCTGAAAACGCCTCGATGATATGACAATAGGCTCTCCTCTTGGCCGCCACTCTCCTGCGCAATCGGCCGTCAGAGAGGCTTGAAGATGATGCTAAGCGACGAAGGCTTCGAGCTGATGACAGTCTCTCAGAAAAGGAACTCAATAGGACGCAAGTTCTGAGAGCCAAGGTTAATGTAGATGAAGTATCATCTCCATTTTAAGAACGCTCAATATGTTTCTCTGTAAAAAGCCGTTCGCTTCATCTCAACAAGTTGTTTGCTGAGGAAGCGCAGCACAGCTTCTCCATCGCACAAGCTACCCTGTGCTTACTCAATCTCTTCAACCGCAGGTTATGCGCGTTAACCACCACGCTGACCGACGTTTACACCGAAGAAGGACACTCCTACCACGCGTGGCTCCAGCCGCTCCCCGAAGCAAAAACGTTCGGTGTCCTGTGCCACGTGGTGGTCTCTGCAATGCAATCCGCCGCCGACGAAATCATCCACTGGTTCGACGTCGCCGAGATCGCCCCGGGGGGGGAGCGCCAGTACACGCGCGCAGCCTGGGAAGGGGGGGGTGTTTGGAGCCGCCTCGGCGAGGCCTACGCGCGCGTGCAACGAGTCCTCGACCCCGGGTTCTATGCTGACGTGGCGGCCTGGTGGGGCGCCACGTCAGCGGCGCTCTGGGAGGGAGTGCTCACGGACGATCCGCAGAGCACGCGCGAGCAGGTGTTTCTGGCGCGGGTGACCCTGGACGATTCCGCCCGCTCACAGGTGAACGGAGTCCTGGGTGAGCGGATCTATCACGTCCTCGACGGCCTGGCGGCGTTCAACTTCGGCGGGCCCCAGTCGCCCTTCTTCGAGCGCTTCGAGGCCCTGTTGACGGGCCACGAGTCGGAAATCGACGCGATCGCGCTCGCGTGCCCCGAAAACAAGGCCTGGATGTTCGACGCGCCGGCGCGGCGCCATTTGGCATCCCGGACACGTGTCGCCTGGTTCTTGAAGCAGTTTCCGGAGCCGGAGGAAGGCGGTCCGCGCGTCGAGATCATCGTCCCCAGGGGGGCGACCCTATTACCGGAAACGCTGTCCATGATTGGTGACGAAGAAACGAACGATCTGAGCAAACTGCAGCGCGGGCTCGGCGTGGTTTTCGACGGCGAGGAAGCGGAGGGCCCGGGCGTTCTGCGCGAGTGGTTTGCGCTCGTCGCGAGGGAACTGTTCAGCGAGGAGAAGGGGCTGTTCCTCGCGGCGCCGGAAGATAAGCGGAGGGTGTTTCCGAACCCGGCGTCAGGAGAAGCGTTTGGAAGCGGCAGGTGCAAGAGGCATTTGGAGTATATGCGGCTGGCAGGGCACGTGCTGGGGCTTGCCATTCTGCACAGGTGAGGCGCCACGTGGCAGAGTTTGATTGGGGGCGCGTTGTTCCCTCTAGTCTGCAGGTGTCTCTGTCTTTGTTCGGGCGGTCTGCAATATCACCCTTGGATGAACATATCCTTGTAGAAGTCAGGGCAATTTGGTCCGCACTTGTAGTCGTCTCCAGAGAAGAGCGTTCTGATCATCTCAGGGCGGTGGGAAAGGCTAACTTGTGGTTGGAATACATTGATCAGGGCCTTTGACCATTTTCTTGGCATTGCAAGTGTTTTGAACGCGTGCAGATCCGCAAATCGTCGAAGTCCGGCTCGGTCGAGAAAGCAACGGCGAGGTGCTCGCTTCTCGAATGAGTACACCCCTCCACTCGATACTCTTGACGTAACAAGCTCGATTTTTCCGGTTCACCCTGTTCTAGTTGTTTGTACACTCCTTGTGCATTGAGCAAAACAGTTTGAAGCTTTTACAATCCGGGCTTCGCAAACGCGATACGATTCATGAGTCCCTAAACAGCCTTCATAACGGTAAGTCGAGATTAAGCACTCCGCATGGTTGACTATTCAAATGGGTTTGCTAACCCACTCATCATAACCGTACAGGGTTCCTCTGGGCGTCCGAGTCCTCCTAAGCACCCCCTTCTACGAGGCCCTCGCGCGGCAGCCCCTCTCCTGGGCTGACGCCCGGGACATCTCCCTTTGCAAACCCGGAAATTTCGAGTGTTACGAATCAGTTGTTTTCACCAACCCGTTCATAACCATACAGGGTTCCTCTGGGCGTCCTTCTGAGCACCGCCTTCTACAAGGCCCTCGCACGCCAGCCCCTCTCCTGGGCTGACGCACGGGACATCTCCCCGGACCTCTACAACAGCTGCAAGGCAGTCCTGGATCTACCCCCGGGGGACGTCGAGGCCCTCGGGCTGACCTTCTCCGCTGACGTCATCCAGAACGGGGCCATCTCGACCGTCGATCTCGTGGCGGGCGGCGGCGATGTCGCCGTGACGGGCGACAACCGGGCGGACTACATCGACCGGTTGGTGAACTACCGGTTGCTGACGCAGGCGGAGCCGCAGCTCGGGGCGTTTCACCAGGGGCTCTCGGTGATTATCACCGGGACGCAGAGCCTCGAGCGGGCGTTGACAATCGTCGGCCAGACGGAACTAGAGGAGATTCTTGAGAGCGCGTCGCCGGAGATCGACGTCCGCGACTGGATTCTGCACACGGAGTACTCGGGATATACCCCCGAGTGCGACCAGGTACGCTGGTTCTGGCGGGTGGTGGAGGAGATGACGTCAGAGCAGCGCCGGCGGCTGCTCTACTTCGCGACAGCGGTCGCGCACCTGCCGTTGTCAGGGTTTAGCGCCTTGCCGCATGCATTCCGGCTGCATAGAGCGTATGTGGATTTGGACTGGCTGCCCACGGCGCACACGTGCTTCCACCTCTTCATGCTGCCCCCGTATAGCTCATACGAGATGATGCGCAGCCGGCTGCTTATGGTCACGCAGGATCACGTCGTTGAAGGTTTTGGATTTGTATAGTACTCAACGAGCTTAGGTGGAGTCGGTTTGGAGAGTAGAGACTCACAGTAAGTCAGACTGACATTTATTAGAAGCTGCTTCTAAGATGTACATATGTCAATGGACATGTAGACATATTCATAGATCCGCTGTATCCAGATTGGGTACGAAGATGGACCAGGAAAGGACTCCCTCTAAAATCTACAATCTCAACCTGAAAGAAGCGCTAGCCGCAGCTAGGATGCTTCATGCAATGTAAGTCACTGGCCGCAGTGACTGCAAATTAGTTCCTCAACCTGCATGGCGCGTCAAACCGCTCAATGCTGCGCAGATTGCAGTTGGGCATGTGCTTGCGACATGTATCGAGTGATGGCATGCGCATCCAGGCCGCGCGCGTGCATGCGCGGCCGCCTAGCTCATGTCATGCCGCCCTCAGTACGTAATGCATCATGGTTGTCTATAAGATATGGTTGCAGACGGCGGCGGCCAGTCGTTTCCGGACATGACAGGCTCATGAATCCGAAGAATTGCTGCTTGCATTTCGAGCTGAGTCGGCGTTAACAGCAAGGCGGGGCGATGGGCTGCAGGCAATGGCACCGTGATATATTGGACTACCTTGACGTAAGAAAAGTAAGTTCATCATATCGTGCAATTGAACACATCATGCTGGGTTACTTTTCAAAAGCATTTCACGACCAATTCAAGTGTCCACCTATACTTGTTTTAGTGCCTTAATGATCTTTCAACCTGGACTCGATGCTTCTTAGTGCCGACCTGTTAGGGGCCTCAAACTTGAACGTCTGTTGCGAGTCCGCTGTGTGATTCTGACCTACCCAAATGCGTATATCGTTAGGAGGGGCTTTGCGATACAGTGTGCATCTTTGACGCTGTACAGGTACCTCGGCAACTTCTGCCTTTCGCTCGTTTAGTAATCTGCTGTAGCTTCGCTGAACGTCACTCTTTCGACGACTCTCGCAATCCTGCAATCTCACACACTACGGTCGGCTTCGCCGTTCCCCTAATGATGCAGTGACTACTGTGATCGAGTCGAGAGTTGTCCGTGCGTGTCATTTCGCAGACAGCACGCATGCCCGTCTGACGGACTTTCACTAGAAAGTCCCTTGTTTGGGTGGGCTGATTGAGTCTCAACGAGTACTTGACGTTGTTCCTTATGATCCATGTAACCCCACCTCTCACCCGAGATTTTTCAGCTGTTCCCCCTTTCTCCAAACTCCAAGGGGCTCCTGAAACCAGCCTTTGCATCTGATGACGAAGAGAGCAGCCTTTCGTTACCCAAAAACAGGATATAGAGCCGAAACTCCTATCGTCGAAAACCCGCGGGAAAATTCAGTTTCCGTACACCCCTCACCCCTACCACGACTTAGGCTGGTCGAGGTGTTGATTGTCCATTTTGACCCCCTTCAAAATCTTTTCTATGTCCTGCGCCTCTGCGGACAGCGCACTCGCCAGCTTTCTCGGCACTCCCCCCCCCCTCTGCCGCACCCCCAAGTTCTCCCCCCTTTCAAGCACCCCCTGCGGCGCCCCCGACTCGCCGCTAAAATCCTCCGCAACGAAGTGGGGCATTGACATACTCCCCGGTTCACCCCCCCCCGTTCGTAACCCGCTCCCAAACCGCGGCTGCGAGGGGGGATTGACACCGCCTGCCGAGCGCGGCTGCGGGGCCCTGCCCGACACCGACGTGGTGTTAAGCGCCTCCATGCTGAAATCCGAGTTTATGCTGTTGCTCCGGGACATGGTTGCCTCGGTCCTGCACAGATCGCCGAAGCCCGCTTCTTTGAGAAACGCGTCTAGGTCGGTGTTAATGCTCGCGGCCCGCTGCGTCGCGCCGGGGGTGCTCGACAGCGACTGCGTTCGCATGAGGGGGGGCTCTTCCGGCCGGGGGGGCAGTTGGAGCGACATCGTCCGAACCAACTCTAGTTGCCCATTCACACCAGTCGCCCCAGGGCGCAGATTCCCCAACACGTTTCTCGGAGGCCCCCCCCCGGGTCCTCCTTCCGTGCTGAGCCTTGCCTGACAGGCACCCGGGGGATGTTTTCTTTCTCTCCCGCACGCGCAAAGTCCGCGGCTACATTCCGGGGGGGCGGATTCGCCCCGGGTCTCTCTCCCCCGGGGCGCTCGACGCTGCGTTCCCGGGTACGTGGCCGGTCGATGCTCCCCTCGCGGCTGCTCGAGGGGGACTCCCGCCACGAGCCCGAGCTGCGGTTTCCGTCCGGGTTCCGGCCGGACTTGTCCGGGTTCCGCCCGGATTCCGCCCGGTTGCCACTGACGTGCTGCTTGACGAACTCGCGGAGGTCGTCCTCGGTCCACTTCCCGAGACCCTCGGCGGAAAAGGCGGACGCTGACCTGGCGGGCCGGCGCAGGAGAATCTGCCACGTGGCAGCCACCATGACGATCGCAATGAAGACAGGGGTGCCCGGGAAACTCGCGGCCAGGTTCGGGACCCGGGGGAGGGGCAGCTCTGAGCGGTACATACCAACGAGCCCCCCCGGAAAGGCGAGGACGACCAAACGGTCCTTGTTGGTTGCGAAGGGGGGCGGGACGGAGAGTGATTCCTGAGGGGAGGAGGCTGCACACAAATGGAGGCGGGCGTTAGAGGGGCGTCTTCAAGCGAGGCGGCGACTCGAATCCTAAGAAAGCTTCTCTATAAGAAGGGCAGCTGCTCAGTCGCAGTCGCAAGATGATCCCAGGTTGAGGGTGTGAACCCCCTTCAGAATCGAGCACTGCCGATTTAGCGAGGCGGGCTTGCACACTTTCTTCATTCTTGTTCCATGCTTCACTTTCTTCGGTCTCTCGCTAAGGTACAAACTGATCCTGTTGGGCTTGCGCCAATCTACCTGAAGATATTACGAACATCGACGGCTAAGCTTGGTGCCACTTGAAAGCCCTGATTCCTATTGAGCTTCGACGATCTTCTCGATGAGACACGATTGAAGAAAGACGGCTAACCTTGGTGCCAGTTGAAAGCCCCGCTTTAATTTAAGCTTGTCGGGCTTCCCGCAATTTCCCCTTGAAAAGGATAAAAAGGATAAAATATCGACGGCTAACCTGGGTGCCAGTTGAAGGCCGCGGTGATCTCGGCGGAGGGGACTGTGAACAGCGGGCGCGCCAAGACCGCCTTTCCTGCCCCAAACTTCGGAAGTGACGTGTTGAACACGTCAGCGCCGTGCTCCGAACGCGCTACCAGGTAACCTGCACGCACCAGAATCCAATGGACCGTAAGAATCGTTGTTCGGACCTCCGGTAGTATGAGAAATAGAGTCGATTTTGTGCCCGAGAGAGGATCGTGCACACTGGCCATATTAGTTTGCCAAAAGAACTGCACTTCTCTTGTTGGAAAGTCGAGGGACGCTGAGCTCGAAGCTCATCAACGGATCGGCAATTGTCGACCGGCCAATTCGTCGGTCTGAAGCACCCCGTAGTTTGTCCTCAGATCACAGCGGAATGCGCTCGTCATAGACCTCAACGCACTACGGGATTGTCAGCTCTTCTTCATCTCGCAACATTTTGCGATCCAGCCGACTTCTTATCCTAATGTCCTGCAAGCGAAGCAGTTTATCGAGACTCCAAAGTCGTGAGTCTGACTAGCCAGATTTTTTGAATCAGAATGCAAACCGGAAAGCACAGACCCAGGTCAGCTTTCGCCGCTTCGCAACCTTTCTTGCAGACCACCAAACGAATTTCGGTCTCGGTGCACCTTTGATAGCCTGCGACATCATCGCACCCTCAAAAGTCGATACTCTCCCTTCCTACCAACAAACGCGGAAGCAGAAGAAGACAAACCCAGTAAAAGATCACCAGTCTGCAACTTCCAACAAAACAGGAGTCTCGGTGCAGCGCCGTCAAAAAATAGTCCCTTTCTTTCAGGCAACAAACGCAGAAGCAGAAGGAGACGAATCCAGTAAAGTTTCACGAGTGTGTGCCCCTTTCAATTTAAATGTGGCGCACCTTTGATCGCCTGCAGCGCCGTCGCGCCCTCGAACGCGCCCTTCCGCCGTGCCAGCAGCTGACAGTTGACGCCCCGCCCGTCCCCTCCCACGTTAACCACGACCATCTCCTTGCCCCCCTCGACGATCCCATACCCTTTGGACCGTCCGTTCACGTCAAACGCAAAGCTCTCCAAAACGATCCCGTCGAGCCCGGGGCACTCCACCGGGTGCATCATCATTCTAGTTAGGTCGACTCGGCCGACCCCGGACTTGCTCACGAACACCACCCGGCTCGACGTCAGGGGCTTTTGAAACGCCAGGATGCGCGAGCGCTTGTACAAAATGCCGAGGCGTTTTCGCTCGGTAAGGTCGAAGATTTCCAACCCCCCCGTCGCGTCAGCGGCTAAGAGGAGCTGCGAACCTCCCCGCCGGAGCATGTGCAGAATCTTGACCTCGCCCTCGGATTCCGACCCCCCCAGAAGGGCCTCATTCTCAACCAGCGACCTGGCCTCCCCCTCAGAAGCGCCCGGCTCGTTTTGGCTCTGCCGCAACCCCCCCCCAGCAGCTCGCAAGCTCCCGTGGGAAACGATTTTCGCGCCAGGGGGGTCATCGGACCCCCCCGCAATGTCAGCTTCCGCCAGACAGTGTAGTACGAGCGCGCCGTCTGAATGTCCGGAAACCAGCCACGTTTCTAGGGGGCCCTTGGGGAAGGAAACGAGGGCTGTGACCGGCGAGCGGGCCGCGGAAGAATGTTCACATACTAGTTGTCCGGTGGGCTGGAAAACGTGGAGGGCGCCGTCGCTGTCGCCGACCGCGACGTATGGGCTGAGGCCATCCTCTATCTCCTGCAAACCGGAAGTGGGTCAAATAATGGTTAGCAAGTCGACTTGAAAAGGATGATTGAGAGGTGATTGATGAGATTTCAGTGAGGGGGTTGAGGATGAGGGTTATCTGGAGGCATTATTTGCCATAAGCAGCGACGTGGCTTAGGCCGTCTGCTGACGTTTGCAAACAGTGGGTCAAAATGAGATCCCATGAGAGGAAGTTGGTGCAAAACATGATTACTGAGTCGACTTGAAACAGCTCAATGAGCAGTAGAAAGTGAGTAATTTGGAAAATTTCGAGCGATTTGGCAGTGAGACATTTGGAAATGGAGTTAGTCTGGAAGGCATCGTTGCTGTGCTGTGACTGCAACGTGGCTAGACAATCTGCTGACCCACTTCAAAAGTGGGTCACAGAGGGATTTCTGCGCTGATAATAATTCGGGCTGGGAATGCATAAAATGGAAAGCAATGTAGCATGTGGCTGAGCGCACGCTCAAAGACCTGCTAAAGTGGGTTGAGGGGCGGTTAGGAAGGTGAGAAGAGTACGGGTCAGAATAAAACATGAGAATTGAAGAGCGCCGTGGCTGTTCTTGAATGTGACAAACTGCCCATAACTAACTTCAGTGCTCACCTTCCTGCAGAAGTTGATCAAAAAGTGGGTTACAAGGGGGGTTAAGGATGGGTTTGCAATGTGGAACACAGTGACTTGTGGCCTTTGCCAAAAAGGGGCCTGAAATGCAGAGGGAGTGTGGGGGCCAAAGAACAGGGGTTAGGCAATCGGTTCGGTAGGCAGCGCACGCCAACTGGCTGAAATTTCAGTAAATCTTCTCTAGCATCTTGATGTATTTGGGACTGGGTTAACCAAAGAAGTATCAGTAACGTCAGAATTGTGCTCAAACTCCAAGATGACTCCCCAAAGTGGTGCTTTCACAATGCAGCAACACGCTTTACTCGTCTCCTTGAAACGTCACTTGAAAAATTGCTCAACTCTCGGCGGGTTGCCAGCTCCAAGGAGCAATTCCAAAGCTCTGGATTGATTGCAATCTTCTTCTTCCATGAGTAAATTGGGGCAGTGGCAATCTTCTTCTTCCATGAGTAAATTGTGACTCAGAGAGCAGCTCTTTGCCACTTGCAAAACAAATAGCCCCAGACGCAACCAAAAGTTTGAAACCGTACAGAGGCGCAAAATGTCCTCAAATAAATAGAGTGAAAGGAGAGGAGGTTCCAACGTCCAGGCTCACATCAGCTTAAAAGGGCACGGTATCTGAAATTTAGAGAGGGGCTGACAAATGCAGGCAGAACAGGGGGGTGCAAATCATCATTCCCCAAAGCTGAACTAATATTTCAACCAGAATTTTGCCTCAAAACCACTCCTTTGAAACCAGTAAAAAGTCCTTTCAGCACGTAAGAGAGCTCTCTTTCGAAACCGCCGACAACCCGTGCATGGCTTCAAGGAATAGCAAAGCAATCAATCAAGGGCTCTGTCTATGTGCACTTCAGTACTCTCCGATGCATTTTCCAGAATTGCAATCGGTTGCGAATGCTGCAACTGATTTTCAAAACGAGTCCATTGCAATCCAAACAGCTGAACTCATACCTGTTGCACCGCGTGCAAGCACGTCACTTGCGCCCCCACTTGGACTGCCGCCAGTAGCTGAAAATGGTCGGCCCAAGCCACTCTGGGCCTCACAACAAGTCGCTCTTGATAGCCCACCAGCGCACCCCCTTTTTCCACCCCATCAGATGCCGCCGATTGTTCTACCGACGCCAATGGCATCTCCAAGGGCTCCCCTTGAGGAGTCACAACTGGGTTGGCGACGTCGTCAATTACAGGGCCTTTTGTTAAAGCAGAGCCTGGTGTGGGCTCTTGCAGTGTGATCAGCAAGCTCTTCTCCTGGGCCCTGTTTCGCTGCCACGACGCCAGCTGGCGGCACGGGCAGGAGCAATCCTCGGAGCCCACGTCCGAAACCAGCCGCGAAATCTGGTCTCGTTGTGTCTCCAATAACCGCACGAGGCTCAGAACGAGCTCCTCCTG